ACCACCCTCTTTTTCCTAAATATGGAAGGATGGTCGGCAACAAGACGCTGAATGGCCGAATGTTTACTCAGACGTTGATGCCATGCTGGGATTTTGTTGCGGTGGTTCGCACGCGTCTAGAGCAAAGGAACAGGGCTTGCTGACTTGAAATGTAGCAGGTGAGAATCCGTCGCAGAGAGAGGCTCGATTGTTTGATGTCAACGTTTTGTTATGCTGCACATGACATGCAGAGCGACAAAAACAGACGGCGCGACGGCTATCTTAAAACGCGATTCCCACCAGTGTGTGCGCATGTCTGTCGTGCATATGCCGCTAATGATAGACACACAGCGACGATGCCAGACCAGCCGACTCGGCAGGATAGTCTGGAAAGACAAATACAGACATTCCGAAGGAGTGGGGACTGACCTGTTGGGATACCGGTCTTTTGGCGGGGGCTCGGTCGGTTGGAGCTGGGACGACGATACATACCCTTCTGTAGAGTGTGAAGCATGGCCACGGTGCGACGAAATAACGGGTGGCTGGTCATTGGGATATGACTACCATGGTGCTCATGTTTAAGCGGTCATGTGTCGGGAATCGTGATGTGTGGTGGGATGAACGATGTGGTTCTCATTTGTGGCCCATCAAAGATGGAGACAGGCCAGACCAGACTCGACCAGGGCAAGGTATGGCTTGTTTGGACCGTTGCATCGCATGGACATCTGAACAGCAAGTCCTGGCATGCAGCAAAACGTTGCGGCCCTCGTCCCATCTCAGGGAAAGTGCAGATGCAGCGGGATTGCGAAGCGATGGATGATTCGCGAACTAGGTCGAAAGAAAGAAAACATTCAGGTGCTAGTGTGGGGGGTTGGGCGGAGACCTATCGGATGGGGAGTTGCGGTGAGGCTGGCGGTATGTCCCGGTGAGTCCAAAGCGCTATTGGTCGACGACATGTAAGGAGGAGGAAGAGGAGGACGGGTGGATGGATGCCCGCAGGTCCTGGTGTTTGCGTCGTGGGGCGGTAGGAAAGGTAATTAGTTAGGTGTAGCATGCTCAAAGCCTCCAATGGATGGTGGTGAGAAAGGTGAGTGGCGGCGGGTGAGTCCGGAAAGAAGGTGTGGAAGCTACGTTGAGGCCCAAAACATACATCTACTAAATGTTCAGAGAAACATTGAAGTATTGTGGTCAGAGGCTGTCAGGTATCAAGGAGAGTAGATCGAGTACACATCACCCGAAGATGTCATTGCTGTTGGGCTGTTGATGTCTGACCAAGGTACGGACAATTGAAAGTCGGACCAGAGGATCACACACCCCTAGAAGTGGGGGTTAAATCGACATTTTCCGATTGTTTTCCAGTGTCGAGACGACCTGGAGAGGGTCCGAAAGGGAGCGACTCAGCTGCCCCTGATCTCGTTGCTCGGTGGGCGGAGGAGCAGGGAGTACATAGTAGCTGAGCGGGACGAGGCCTAAGATGAGGAGGCAGGGTGCAGTGCAGTGCAGCACAGTTGCAGCGCAGTATGGCGCAGAGCAGATTTGACGAGCAGAGCAGAGTCAATTGGAAGGATGAGGATGGGGCAGGGCCCGGAGAGGGTCCACGTGGTGCGCATGACATGAATTGTTCTCGCCAGGCCGGACATGGACGTTGCTAGGGTTATTTTACATCGTCAGAGGCGCTTCCCTTCCTGCATGTATATGTCTGCATGTGTGTACGTAGTCGTCTGTCCATGTGTGTGTATGCTTTCCTACTTGCTTCTTGGCCTCTGTCACTCTCCACCCTAGCAGACTCGGAAAGGAAATAGGGAATTTCACTTCTCTGACCATATTCGGGTTAGGCAGAAAGAGAAGCGGCAGGCAAGCAGAGCAACGGCAAAACAAACCTTAGTCTCAGCGGTATCAAAAGTGGCTCGGGATGGTGGGCGTTGTTCTCTCTGCCCGAGACGTTGAGGAACCAAACAGCAATGGCTTGGATGGCTGGGTGGACCACATCACTTTCCCCTTTGGCTTCTCGTGCGTCTCCGTAGCCAAACCCGCACATGCCAAGGGACGGGTCAATGCCTGAATGTTTCTCAGCCGAGACACCGAGAACAGACGTACACACCATCTTTGGTCGGTGAGCGTGCGTGTTGTCGTTGAAGATCATCGACCGGCCCGTGTCTGTATGCCACGGACAGACGGCTTAGGCTTTTTGCTTCGCTATGTAAGCTGTGCAACCGCCTTGCGAAAGTGCCCGAAACATCTACCAACATGATGCGCAGCACATTGCATCCATCTGACGGGCTCGTTGTTTGCTGCTGCTGTTGTTTTTTGTTGTCATCCTCGTCTATACTGTACCCCCAGTCTCTTCACCATAGTGTTATTGAAGCGAACGAAACCTGCGTGTCCCAATTCTCATGCAGCTCAGCGGATGGCAGCCCTTGATCCTTGAAGGCTTTTGTGGCAACATTCAACCGAGCGAACCATTTGAAGGCATCCCCATAATTAGTCCCTCGATTCAAGCATCTCGTTAAGATCTCAAGTGGATCGCGGGGAGGAGGTGGAAGAAGACAGAACGAGACAAGACGAGAGACAACATGATAACCCCCGGAGGAGGAGAGGGGAGGGGAAAAAAAAAAAAAAAAAAAAAAAAAAAAAAAAGAAAAGGGCCAAGGGCCAAGGGCAAGTTCGGAGGAACAGCGGGCGGCGGTTTACCGGCAAGAGGTACCGATCAAAGAGAGTTGGGCCGGGTTCTGTCTTGTTGACCGATATGCTCTTACTGTATCCGTAAGGTATTACTATTATTATGATTCTCACCTGCCAACCCGAGACTCACCGGTAGTGAAAGCGACTTCCCTGCCAGAGGCGTAGCGCGGTGTACCTGACCTCGTGCCATAAGTGTGTGTGTGAGAAAGAGGGAGAGAGACAGGCCCCTAGAGATGGTAGTCGCCCCGCTCGGTGCAGCAAGCAACCCGTGGTCATCCCACTCACCTCCCACCTTCCCAGAACCGGTGCATGCGAGTGGATAGAGGAAGATGACCACCCCCCCCGGACCCTTCCTTCTTCCCTGGGCACCTGTTTCCCCCTCCTTCCCCTCTAAAGGTTTAAAAAAAAAAAAAAAAAGAATTAAATCGGTGCCGGGTCAAGCGCTCCGCTGGTCCTAGTTAGTGGTGATGGGAGTCTATGAGAAGTAAAGGAAGGTAGGTAGGTACTGGTACTAAGAATTAATGAGTAAGTACTGCAGTCGTCCTCAATAGCAGGCACCAGACATTTGCAAGTGCAGGTTCGGACTCGGCGCGGTGCGATGCGGGTTGCGGCTTCCTTTCCTAGTTGCTGGCCTTCATCCAGCCCATCTGTCAACGGCAAGTGCGTGTAGTTGTTTATAAGTGTTCAGAACTTGGCCCAGATGGATTGGCTGGATTAGAAGTGTAATGCCTTGGGCTAGGCTTGGGCTTGCTCCCTTAGGCTGCGTCGTGCAACCTTGCAGTCTTTCTATCCGTACCCAAGATCATTTCTTGTGAGCCTTGTTCTCCCAATTTTCATTTCCCCATTAGTATACTTCCTCCCCACTCATGTCCCATGTGGGCAGCCATTCAACCTCGCAGCTTATATTTATTACCTTGAGCTCATTAGAGGGCTCGACCTGGGCTGAACGTACAAGGCAACTAAAAGGTTAAGGTAAGGGGTAACCACCAGTTAAAAACACATTACACGAAGAAGAAAAGACAAAAAGAACAGTGAGCTAATGCTATACAGATTAGCCAAGTCTCATATCCACCCTGGATTGGGTCATCACTTATCCCGGCACTGCAACCACAGAGTGAAAGCACGAGGGCTGGGGGCTTTGCGGGGGAATGAAACGTCTTTCCATTGTCTGGCTTCTCAGAAATAGCGACAAATAAGCAACGAGCAGCAGCAGCAGTTGCTGCTGCAACACCAAACGACACCTTCCTAAGAGAAGTTGAGGAAGAAAGTCATCCAAAGTAATAGCTCCGGCAGAAACGGGTCATACCAAGATAGCGACCCATACCGGCACCCCTAAGGTCACGATTACTGGAGCTCAGCCAAAAGATTCCCACAACCTAGAACACCCAGGATCCCTGCCTCATATCGCTGGACTTTTCGTCCTCTGATCTCACTCGTCACTCGGCGTGAGACGTTGACCTCTTCATCGACCCGACACCAATCCCACTCACCCCCTGTCTGTCTATCACTCATTGAGGTGCTGTGACCACATCCAATCCGCGCCTACCCCCGTTACTCATCCTCGTCCCCGTCCCCGTCCCCGTCCCGGCCTGGGCTGACCGGTACCTGGGCCGAAGTACCTTTACGTTTACCCTCCCTCCCTCTCTTTTACGCACTCACCTGTCTACCCGCCGTGACGGATACCTCTAGGCCTTCTCCAATTCAGTGCTTTTCAACCTCTGGGTACCTACCTCACCGTGACTGGCCTGTGCTTTTCTACTCTTCCCTCTCCGGTACTCGGTGCACGTCCTTACCATACCCTTAAATCCTGACCGACCGACCTTATTTTTTATTCGTGCACTTTGGCCTCGGCCCTCATCCTCCCACCTTCACACACCTCGAATTGGGATGGTTGTCCACCGAAACTAAATACCCATTTTTTGTCTTTCTTTAAGCTCCACGGTCACGTCGGTGTTTTCCCCTTGCTTTCTGGCCCTCAATTGGCATCTTTCCGCCTAGGTGCCCTCTCTGCTTGGCTGCCCCCCGCCTTCAAGGACCCGTTTCTTTTACCCCTCACTTTTTCTCTGCTCGCGACCTCGCGTCGGTGAATCTCGGTGGGGCTCACCACACAATCTGCCCGACATCGATTCACACAAAGAAAAGCCGCGAAGAGGAAACAGACAACAGAGAGAGTACCGTTCGGAGAATTTCGCTTGCCACCCTTTTCCCAATTCATTATTTTTTTCCCTTTTCCTTCTTCTTTATTTTTTTTTTTTGCCACACACCCACACCACACCACACGCCGAGGATGGGTCGAGGGTAGTTGCTGCTGTGACAAAGGGACAACACATTTGGCAAGCATGCATCCGGCTCCGAGTCTGGTAGAAGCGCCTCCGAAGAACGGCAGTGAAGAGTCTGGAAACAGACCTTCAACCGGCTCGCCTTCCATGTCGCAACATGACCAACCCCAATCGCAACAGACTCAGGCTCAACAGCCGCCTCAACCTCAGCCGTCGCCGCCGCCGCAGCAGCAACAGCAGCAACAGCAGACCACACCTCAGCAGCAACCTCAACAACCCCCTCCCACTCCTGGCCACTCGGCCTCTCCCCCTTTGAGAAAGGACACCAACTCGTCCATCTCAACTCAGGCCACCACGGCCTCCGCTGCCACCAACATGTCCGCGGAAACAAGCAACACATCGTACAGTGCCGACACCTCTCCTAACTTAACATCCATATTCCATGTAAAGGATGGCTCCGACGTCTCTAACCGGGTCCGCGCGAGCAGGAGGCGAACCGGTCCTTTGTCCCAGCAACAGAGAGAGAAAGCTGCCCTCATCAGAAAGCTCGGCGCGTGTAACGACTGCCGCCGCAGAAGAGTTGCTGTACGTTAACCCGTAACCCATCTCATATTATGTAATATATCGAGTTGCTCTCCCCTGCTGACAGTCTGATGCGCCTCAAGTGTCATCCCAGCCATCACAACATGACTTGGGAGGATGCTGTCCGGAAATATCACAGATCTCACAGCCCAACTATTCAGGATATCGCTCCTTCGTTGTCTGCTCAACGTCCGCTTAGTCCTGCGCCCGTTCTTAATAACAATGTGAAGCCAATGTACACCCAGGATCCTCAGGACATGATGGATATCGACTCGCCTACGCCGTCTGGGCAGCATCGGTTGAGCGAATCTCGCATTCGCACGCCTTTGCCCTCTGGCCCACGTTTAGACAAGCCACCGATGCTCCCGGGTATAGAAAGTCTCAAGTCAGACTTGCAGACCAATGTTTCTAGAATTCTCTCTACCCCCAGTCGCAGTCGCTACTCTAGTGCACAGGCGTTATTACTGTATTGGCAAGATGACCCTGACCTCAGTGTTGGAAATTCGGTCAAGGAGTTGGGTGAGGTCTTTGACCAGTACTACCGATATACGTTTTCGATCACGACTATTCCGTCATCCTCGGAAACTTGCAAAAGCCCCTGGAGATGGCTCTCACGGAAGATCACCGACTTTGTGGAGGATCGCGACCAGCGCGATGTCTTGAAAATTGTCTACTATAACGGCCACTCCTATTTGGATGGCAACCGGGAGATGGTCCTTGCTAGGTAAGTTCTCCTCTGTACGGGTTCTGCGCCAATGCCGACACGTTCCAGCTCCAAGGATAAGGACAAAGCCGAGACAATCCGATGGAGTGGAATCCAGCAGGTGTTGGAGGAAGCTTGCTCTGATACACTGATCATCATGGATGCCGCCTTCTTCCCATCCTCAAAAATGCACAGGCAACATGGTGTCCTGGAATTGGTCGCCGCTGCAGTGTCTGAGGAACACTTTGATGCCCTGGATCGCTGCACTTTCACCAAGGTCCTCACCGAGCACCTCAAGACCCGCGCCTCTCAACGTTTTACCAGCCCGTTCTCAGCAGCCGAGCTTCACTCAAAGTTATTATCTACCTACCCTTCTCTTGTCCAGGATAAGAACCCGGAAAAGGAGACCATCACCAGTTTCCCCTCGCCGTTGCATATGCAGGTGTCCGGAAATGCTCGGCTGCCTTCGATTCTTCTAGCCCCGCTGAACATCGGTCCTATGCGGACGAGTCTGCCATTTGGTACGGAGGGCCAGCAGCTCGTCTTGTCCATCCGAATAGGCGATGACCCAATAGATGTCGATACCTGGACTGAATGGCTGAGGCTAATGCCTGAAGGAATCAAGGATGTGAGGGTCGACGGTCCTTACCGACCGGCAAGGTAGCTCGGCGACAGATAATGGCGCCCCTTTATACGTTTACCAAGTATTTGGTCCTTCGGATGACGACCCGTCAGCGTCTTGGCGTATAGGACAGCGATTGCTTCCAGTTTCGCCACTTTCGTCTCCCCCCAACCCATCTCTACCCTGCAACTTACGGCCTGTGATGGGCCGCTTTATGCGTTAATGACTACTTCACGACATGACATCATCCCCCCTCTCGCCAGGTGGAGGAGAAGGAAAACCGGCATTAAAATTAAAGGGCGTAGTCGAGAGTCACGATACACGCCGCATTTGATCGTTTTCAATCTCCTTATTTGAGATATTTGTCCGACACAAGAGCGAGGAGCGGACACGGGAAAGAGGCTAAGAGAAGTGAGAATATTGGGTGTTTTCACATGGGCATACTACCAGCCGTATGACGGCTGCGGTTTCAACTATTTAGGAAGCGAAGAACAGCTCTGCATTAGTGGATATCCCCAAAACTCGCTTTTTAAGATTGCAACTCTGATCTACTACCAGCCCCTTTTCTTTGAATATGTCATGCAGGTTCGTGATGCGATGCTAACAACGGCCGTTTCAGTAGCTGGTGTACTCATCCTTTCCATCCGGAGAGAGTGACACAATGCCCCTATCAAAACCCCCCCTAAAAAAAAAAACATCTTGGTATCGAAAATTTCCTTTTACAAACACACGCACATTTATACAACCATAGCTTAGATAGCCGAGATCACTGCAGCAACAGCAGCACTAGCCAGTCCGGCCCAGACACTCAGGCTCATCTTGGCTGCGGGGCTCTGAGCCTCGATGTTGCCAATGATGAAGTTGGGTTCGTAATCGGTCTCACGGGTGTCGAGCGTGCCGTTCCAGCAATAGCGCTGGAAACAGCTGTTGCACGCCTCCGGTACCGTCTCGCGGTTTCTGGCCATGCTGCGCGACAGGATCGCGCAGGCGACGCAGCGCGGCCACTCCGCGTCCAAGGTGGCGTTGCCCTGGGTCGCTGAGTCGTAGCCGTTTTGGATGATGGCGTCGCGCTGGTCGCGCTCGTAGTCCGGATCGAACGTCGAGACGTTGGAATGTGCGACATAGGGAGCGTTGGGGAGGTACACTACCAGAGGTGGCACCCGCTGGCTGCCGCTCAGGGTGAAGTTTGAGGCGTCGCAGCCGAAGAAGGTAGGGCGCTTGTTGAGGCCGAGGTTGATGAAGGTGTTCGCGTCCGGAACGGCAGGGAAGATGGTGCCGTTTGCGATGGGTTCCGTGATGCGGTCGTAGGTCGCGCGGAGGGCGGTGCCGTTGGGCCAGTTGAAGTTCGTATCGGCGGAGGAGTCTACGGCGAAGATGACGTCGACGGCGCGGTTGGGCTGGATGAGCGGGTGCAACGGGATGTTCTGGAGATCCTCGCCGCCATCTACCAGGGATAACTGCCGCTCGTTTGCGTTGAGGTTCGTTCTTGGGTTCCAGCCGAAGAAGGGATTGGGGACGTATTGGGCGATGTCGTTGTTGTCGCGGTCGAGGATGTTGAGGATGCTTGTTAGAGCGCTCTGGATGAAATCCGGGAGGCCGGCTGAAGTCAGGTTTTGCAGCATGAATTGGTTGAAGAGAGACGAAGAGGTGCCCATGACGTAACCTGCTTGGTCAAAGCCGCGGACGCAGGAGCCGTTGTTGGGGATGCGACCGGCGGAGAAGTTCGACGCAAGGTAGCGGAGGGGGGCGAAGCCGAACGCCGTAGGGTCCCAGGTCCCGAGCTCGAAGGGGTTGAACTCGTAGACGGTGGCATTGAGAGAGATGATGCGTTCGCCGGGGGCTCGACCGTCCGCAACTAGAATTGGAAGCGGCTGTTGGCCGGACTGGAAGTTTGCGTCTTCGGCAATGGAAGAGAAGGTGTACGAAGGGCCACCGTCGGTGGCGTTGATGAGCTGGTAGGAGAGAGCACGCCCCCAGTAGTCCGTGATGGAGACCTCGAAGCCCTCATCCTTAGAGCTGACCTGCTTAGCGACTGTGGCCCAGTAGTCGGCAATGTTAAGGATGGAAATGCCGGGTTCCTTGGGGCCCTTGAAGATGGAGCGGTCGAACTGCCAGACAGCGGAGCCCTTGGAGCCGCGCTGCAGGTCGACTACCGAGGAGAAGTTGTTGGTATAGATGGATCCTACGAGCCAGCCACCGCCGGATAGGCCGGCGAGGTAAGTCGCAGACTGAAGGAGACCGCCAATACCGCCGGCACCAGTCGAATTAGGAGTGCGGCTGTCTGCGGCGGCGAGGAAGCCAGCACCGTTCATGAGGGCGCGGTAGCCGCCTCCTGATACTGCCAGGCCGATATTGGGTAGTTGAGAGGGAGATGATCTGACGCGATCGATATAAGCGCCAGCATCGAAGCCAGGAATGTTTGCACGAGTAAGAAGCTCGCGCATGGGCTCGATGGTGGCATTACGCCGACGCGGGAGCCAGTCCGTCTCATTCGGCGACAAGGCAGCAGCCGAACGAATGGTGGGACGGGCGGTTGGACAGTCGACGATCGCCGGGGCGTAGCCTCCCGATGGAGAGTCGGGGAGGGCGCGGGGGTCTAGGGCTCCCACGATGAGGCCGGCCGCCATTGGCGTTGCGGGATCGACAGCCCATGCGGGAGCGAGGGTGGCCGTCAAGGCCAGCAGAGATGGCAACAGCATGTTGCAAAACTGCAAACAAATGGTATATGGCTAAGCAGCAAGAAAAGGGCCAAGCGTATGGCGTGAGAGTAATGCTAGCCAGGAAATTAAAAAGAATGATATAGGAGAAGGGGGGAGGTGGGTAAATAAAGTGAACCAAGCCTTCAGAAGAAGGAAAACTCGGAGGTGACGGGTTGCAAACAAGGATGGAGACGTTCAGCAATTATAATAGAATTTAATGATTGTCATCGCCCAGGCGCATGGCTCAGAGACAGTGCGGTAAGGCAACTTGGACGGGGATCTTGTACTCTCCGAAGCTTCCACGGACCCAGATGCGCTAGAGAAGCTTTTTCAACTGGTGTCGGTCGGTATGACGTCGAACGAAGATAAGCACGGTTCCTTTCCGGAGCACGAGGGTGCCGCGGTATACTTTTTGAGGATCCTCAAAAAAAAAAAAATTGCAGGCCAATGCTTGGTTGCTGGCGGTCGAACTGTGCGATGTGACGACGACTGTGTGAGTTGGAATTGTGTGAGTGGATGCGTGATGAGCTGTCAATGTGAAAAAACCAAGAGCTGGGATGGGAGTCAAGCTCAAATGATGTAGCCAGGAGACAACCGGGACTTCCAAAAGTTTATAATGAAAAAGCCCGACAGACAGATCATCAGGGTCTTTTTCAGTATTGAAAACGAGAATAACCACAAGTGCGATGAGGATGTAAGGCTGCAGGGAGCCTACAACGGAGCTTTACAGTAATGAGCGGTGGAGTTCATTGAGGGGGGCAGTGATGTGACCCTCAAGACAACGAAGTTTCATGTGCGAACAGGCGAATGGGAGCGAGATGAAGGCTCGTAAAGCCTGTTGCTGGGCATTTCTGGGCAGCTGAAGGATGGGATGAGTACGCGGAATTGTGGCTTTGGAGCAAATGAAAAGGGCCGGATCGACCGGCTCGGCTGGTGAGATGGGAGGCGATGATCTTTTAGGGTGCTTGGTAAATTAGTTTCCTACTACGGAGTATACACGGAGAAGATACAGGAAGACGGCCGCTCTGTCTAGGGCGCGCGGGTGGAGAGACGTGGAGCGCAGGCCGTGCCAATGCACGGATTTTGCCTAGAGGGCTGGGCGAAGGGGTCAGGAAGCGGGAAAAAAGGAATCAAAGATGGATTGGACCAACGAATCTGACGGTGTTTGTGGGGAGGTTGATGCAAGGAGACGGTGTGAGGCATCGGCATCGGCATCGGCATCATTCAAAAAGGCAAACGGCTCGAGAGGGCGATGAGGTCAAGTGCGGTTCTAGACTCTCGGGTGCGGCGTTTTATGAGTTGGAACGTTGGTATGGCATTCCAGTTCCTGGCGGGCGTCTCGTGCCCGCACTACTCTACACCCGCCTGTTTCTTGCGACGCAACCTAGCGCAGAAGGCCCGGTATTACCGCCTTCAGGTGTCAGCAACTTGTCTGGCCTGATCGATCCGGACAGGTGTGACATATGCTGACCGTCCTACCAAACATTCGTACTTCAGGAATGCCCGCGAATGAGCATGGGGCCAATGGCTTTTCGTTACGTCCTGTAAGACGGGGCAGGCATATGTCGACACCGCAGGGTCAAAAATGGTGCCTGATAATCGATCGGCCGCCATGGAATTGGAGCTGGCTTATTCTGTGCCTGCGCCATCTTTAATGCTGACTGTGTGCAACGACAATTTGACGGATCGTATTGCCCACTGGTTACGGTGACACCAGAGCCCACCAACTCCAGTAACCGAATTGAGAAGACGTGGACCAACTATGTTTTTCCACAGTATGTCATACGCGTATATTGGCAGTGACACTCCCTTCCCAAGTAAAGTATCAGGCGCGTAACTGCATCTGTGCCAAGATGATGGTGCCATGTCGGCGCCTTCGCCTTGCCCTGTTGCCTGCATGAGCCTCCCGAGGCTTGCCCCCCTTCCCCAATGACGGGTCGATCCCGAGGAATACTATAGTACCATCGGAAGTTTACCCTCAGGGCCCATGCAGCAGAGGATGGTCATTACGCATACCTTGAAAGACGTACCGGTAGCGGGTTGGAGTGTGCCTGTATCTGGGGTGTGCCTTGCTGATATGGGTAAGCTGCCCCTCGCATAAGGTAGGATAACTGTGGGGAGAAGCAAGCCTCTTTCACTCTGCCCTGGCAACTTTTTGGGGGGGTCGACTGGCCAAAGTCGATGGAACGGGAGCGGTATTGATGCGACCTCATATAGAGGCTTGCGTGTTTCAGCAAGGCCAAGAAGAGTCTAAAGAAACTCTGTCGAAGTTTTCCCCCCGTACGACGGGCTGCTGAGTCTATAATGGCGACATTGTGACTTTAGGAGCCTAGGTCATCTAGACCGCTTTGGTAGAGCTGTGTCTCGTAATCCTTTGTTAGGTCGCCTTGACTGCCGTTAAGAGATAGCCGCCGACAAGAACTGCCGTAAATACTATTGGATGACGCAGGTAGCCCAGTGGACACTGTCAAACTCTCAAAGAAAAGAAAAGGGTCAAGGTCAATCAATGTTATGACGTCTCTGTGCTAACAAGGAAACAGAGGTTTACTTCGGCCAGAACAGTACAACTTGTGAAGTTTGAGGGGTTTGCTGCGATCTCGAACAGCATTGGTTCCGAGTAACTTTGTTTATCAACATGTTATTTGTTGTTGAGTTGTGTTGGAAGTGACACTAGAAAATCGATCGACCCAATGGCGGTGTTGCATGACGTTAGTCACCAGGCTTCCATGACTTCTTCGCGTGGCTTTGAAGCGTGGATGTTGATCGGTGCCGTAGCTCTTGGTCAAAGAGGAGCGCTGTTGGTAGGCCAGCTGGTTTTCGATCGCTGCCAGCTGGCAGGGCCTCACCTGACTCTGAGTCACGGGCAAGGGTTGCAGCGCTCCGAAAGTGGATCCTGCCAAAAGACGTTGACCTGGCAACGGTAAATACGCGAAGCTCCGTATCAACAAAACCCTCTCCCACTCTTCCCTGCCTTGGGAGCTTTCAATTCATCGTCACAGCATCATGTAAATAACCGCCAACATACTCTTCGGAACCTCATTCTACTAACCCACCAGCCAAAAAAAGACATCCCTTTCTTCACCATCTTTGTTTTGCTTTTCAATTTCGCACAATATGGAGCCCCAATCACCACCCAAGCGCATCACGCGCTCCAGAGCTGCGAAGACGGGTGAAACCTCGACCAGCACAAGAACCACCAAGGTCGTGACTGCAGCGGCTAAAGCTAAGTCGACTGTTACTGCTCCTACACGATCTACATCAGCCAAAAGAAAGACCCGATCAGACGACGCCGAAGACGAAGAACACAACGAACAGGCACAACAATCAGAACCCGCCATGCGTGCCACCAGAGCCACTCGAGGCCGCCCAAAGAAGATTGTAGAGGAGCCCGTAGCATCGGCGCCCTCAACGTCAAGTGTAGCGCCGGGGAGAGCTACTCGTGCACGAGCTGCTACGCGAAAGGTCCCGGTCGCCGAGCCTGCAGCCCCTAAAGAAGAGCCTGCTAAGCCCACCCGTGGCCGGCCCAGAAAGATGGCAACTCAGTCCACGGAGGAAGCTCCTGAAAAGGAGGCAGAGCCGGTGAAGAAGACGACGCGCACCCGCGCAGCGCCGGTTACAGCAGCAAAGCCCGCCGTCAAGAAGACGGTAACATTCCAAGAACCCGAAAAGGAAAACATCGCTCCTGACGCAAGCAAGAAGACGGCCGACAAGTCCACAACTGCCACTGGCCTTAGAGCCAGACCGGTGCGAAAGCCTCCCGTTCCCAAAGCCCCTCGAACTACCCGCACCGCTGCCCCCTCGAAGACGGAGAAAACCCCCTTGAGCCCTAAGAAGGTTACCCAGATCCCCATGTCTCGTGACTGCTCCGAGGACGAGTTGGCTGGGGAAAGCACACCTCCGAGACCCATGATGAAGAGCCCCACCAAACCTCCCACCGGTGTCCTTGGCTCTTCCAAGAAGCTCAACTTGCAGCCCATGGAAAGGCCTACCGACTCAAAAGATCACGCCGACGAGAGCGCCGAACCAGAGGTCCAAGAAGACGAAGTCACTAACGTGTTGGCCTCCCCTGCCAAGAGATTGCCTGCCTCACCATACCGGGATACCATGAAGTCTCCAGCTAAGCGTGCAGAGGGAGTGTCATTGAAGCCGGCCTCAGCAATGAAGCCCAATGGCGAGGGGGTCGCCCCGACTCCACTCAAGGCCTCCCTTCTACACTCCCCCGCTAAGCGGCCTCAGTCGGCTATTAAGCCATTTGCCCTGCCGTCAACTGGCCCGGAGGAGAGAAAGATCTCGAACTTCAAAGCGTCTCTCCTTCAGTCGCCTGCCAAGCGACCTTTGTCTCCCATCAAAGGCCTGGTTACTAAACCTCAGGAGCCTCCTCAGGAGATGCAATCTCCTGCAACGAAGCCTCTGCTTCTCTCAACACCAACTGCCCTGCCTCCTGCAAAGCGTTCTTCTGAGAAGTTGATGGAAGAGGAGTCTGCTCACAACGAGGATGACGATGAAGAGCTGGATGAGATAGCAGAGGCCATGCTCAATGAGTCTATTCACCTTGAGGAGCCCATGCAGTTTCCTGGCCGCCTCTCCGCCGTTCTCCCAAGGCATGCAGACCCTGTCTTCAAGAAAGACATGCCTGCTCTTGAGTCTCCTCAGGAAGATCTGGCCAGCACTGACGAAGTAGATACCGTTCAACAACTTGCGGGAGTTTCTATGATGCATGACGAAGCTCCAACTGAGGTTGTGGCTGACGACATACCCGATTTTGACAGCGAGCCCATGATGGTTGATGATGAGCCTTACTTCCAGCCTCAAGACCAGGCAACACTCCATGTCGCAACCAGCGCCCTCGCCCCTCAGCCCGCACTTAAGGCACCCACTGGTACTTTTGGACTTCGACAGAAGGATGTGGATCCGTACCATAACATGGATTCCGATTCTGACGACGACCTTGCCAATAGCCCTCGCGTGTCTGCTGCACACGATTTTGTCCCCCTTACTCCTACCCCTTCATCTGCTCGCCGGAGTATGGCCAAGTCAAGAGTTTCCAATGTTGGCTTCACTCCTCTGGCACAGAAGCTCAACGCCTGGTCCGCTGGAAGTCCTGCCAAGGTTTCCAAGCAGGCTGCTGTAGAACCTTTACAGAACCCCGAGGGCTCGACCTCAACTGCTGGAACCCCTCGCGCTTACGAGTCGCCTCTCAGAAGCACTTACTTTGAGGACGAAATGACTGTTCGTGCCGACATGGAGGCACAGAATGAAATTGAAGCTGCAATTGAAGCCGAGATCTCTGCCGCCAGTGAAGATCCCGATTTCGATGACCTTATGGTTACCGATGAGGACATGGCTCTCGCTGCCGAGGCGAATGAGATGTCGTTGATGGAACCTGAGCAGCTGGACGAGATCGTCAACACCTCCAACAGCTTCGAAGACACCCTTTCTGAGGCCAGCCAAGAGTACGGCGACGAAAACGAGATGCCCGTCGACCCTGCTATGTTGAATGATAACGCCTCCGTCCCACCGACTACGCCCAACCGTGTCTTGGCGCGTGAGTTCCATACTGTTTCCAAGGTTCCTCTAAAGGATGCGGATGAGTCAACTCCTCGTCCTAAGAAGAAGCGTGCTGCGAGCATCTCCCGGCTCCCGGCCAGCCGCCCAACTCAAAACCTTAACAGGAGCGCAACTGTCATTTCCTACTCTCCCGGCAAGCAAATCTCGGAGCCAGAACAGGATGCCTTTGAACCTGAGTCAGCACCTGTTACTCCAGCCAAGTCTGACATCTGGTCGACGCTTGGAACCCCGGCACGGACTCCTCACCGAAACCTGAACCCTGGCCTGCTTCGTGGCGCCGTTGTCTTTGTTGACGTACACACTACCGAGGGAGCGGATGCCAGCGGCATATTTGTCGAACTCCTTACTCAGATGGGCGCTAGATGCGTCAAGACTTGGGCCTGGAACCCAAGCGCAACCGACAACTCAGATGCCTCTAAGATCGGCATTACCCATGTTGTGTTTAAGGATGGTGGTAAGCGCACGATGGAGAAGGTCAGAGAATCCAATGGCGTTGTTCAGTGTGTCGGTGTGAGCTGGGTACTTGAGTAAGTTTATTCTTCTGACCTCTTCGTGAAAGTCCTTGCTAACATGCCCCAGCTGTGAGCGTGAGAATGAGTGGCTCGATGAGGCATCGTACTACATCGACACCTCTCTGGTTCCCCGCGGAGGTGCTCGTCGTAGAAAGAGCATGGAGCCCAAGGCCCTGACGAATCAGAATGGCATGCTCGTTCTTTCTCCAGTCAAGGGTGGCCGTGATGCCAAGACTGCGCCGAACACACCTATGAACCGACGCGATAGTACAGTGTGGATGCATACTCCTTCTGACGATGCTGAGGACGACGACGATGATTGGGAGGGTCTGATGTCTCCGGTTCCTGTCACACCTGCTCCCGACTCTCTTGCCCGCTACGCTGCCAACGTCACCCCCGAGACGCCCGGTGCTACCGACTATGACTCTTCTCCCACCAAGGCATTGCTGATGCAGACTTGCCCTCCTAAGTCCAATGCTTACGCTGAGATGGGCGATGGCATTCTCAAGAGGGAGAAGGATGAGACCGTCATGCAGCGCTTGATGGCGGCTCGCAGGAAGAGTTTGCAGTTCGCCCCCAAGATTGGAAGCCCACTGTCCAAGGCCTGGAAGTAGGACCTTAATGTGTGCGGTTGTCCTTTCGGCAAGGAAATCAACCGCTTGTTTTTGCGATAGGTTTTGTTTTAGTTATTATAGACGGCGTTGGTATGGGTATGGATATGGATACGGAATCCGGCAATGGTGTTTAGGTTTATCGGATTGGTTGTACATCGGACCAAGTGCGATCACAGTGTCGCTTGTTATAAGAAACATTTGGAATCTTTCATCTGACCGCTTTGCCAATGTATGAACTAGTTCCAGTGAGGTTCAAGCTGCGTTGGCCCTTATCCCTATGTTTCCGTCCTCTCGTACTCACCGTGGGCGACTTCAAGCAGCTTCTTGGTACCCATGATCTATAACTCTTAAGCGTTGAATCTTTGGAACGCAAGCATTCTCAGCAACTCCCGAGACCGATTTGCTCTCCTCGGACGAGGATGCACTGACATCCTGTAAGAGCAAATCTACGTCCAACGAGCCAAGGATGTGATGGTCCGTCTGAAGATGATGTGATATTGAAAGCGCGGCCAAGTTGTTTGAAACAAGACTGGTTGCCTGGTAAGGGATAGTTGCATTTTGGTATGCGTGGATCGAAAGCAAGTATATCTTCAAGATAATAGGGCTCGGATTATGTTACGTCTATCCCCTGATTCATCCGTCCCTATGGTTTATGCACATAAAGCGCCTAATGCTGAAGAGCACTCTTTTAATGTCTTTCGCTAATTTTTTGGTGAAAGTCAATTAAGCAAAGCGTAGCTAAGCACATTAGATGACTACATGGCTTTCTTAAGCTTGAAATAAAATTTGTTAGTTGTACTAATGGGGAACAATCAAAAAGGGCGGTTTTCTTTTGGGGAAAAAAATAGGTCAAGAACAATAGTGATGTTGTTTGAGCGCTGCCGTTCCCGTGTATGGAATAAAAGGGTCAAGAGACAAGCCCAAAAATTTACCCAATATGCCAATAACGTAGATATCGCGTCGTTACGGGGACTTCAGGCCGCGTAATCGCAGAGGAATACAGTAGGCGGGTCTACTTGACTCGCATTATCTGATAACAGACTGCTTGTGTCAACTCTTGATGCCGATAGTCCGTGCGGCGAACGCCAAAGGCCGAATTTTTCTTCTTTTTTACATCATTCATAGAAAATTGAATTTGTGATGATGTATTTGGCGCGTTTATTGACGAGTTGCTTGCTGGCGCGCGTCGCTGCGGCGGCAGAGCAGAAGCCCATTGGGCCGGGGCTAGATACCCACCCGCCGCCGATCATATCGGACCATGGCCAGACGCCAGTTAGATGGCACCGGAGTCTCAACTTCTCGTCGTCGGCGCCGCACCTCTTTGCCTCGGCGTACGGGCTATTGCAGCAATGGAGCAATACAGTGTTTCCAAACGGGCACACCATGGCTGCTGTGGAGATCCCGGCTTTTACGCTTTTGTATCATGGGAGGATGGACGAGGAAGCTGCGCCGAGCCCGGAGTGGCTTGCATTTGATATGTGAGTTGATTGCAGTATTTATGGAGGTTGTCTGTTACATTTAACTTGAGTCGTACATGTGAATGATTGAGCTATTGAGTTCAACGAGAGAATCAAGTTCGGGGGCTAACTCCGATGAACCCCCCCAGAGAAATGGCCTATGGTATTATGGGTAGTACCCGTCAGAGCTGGATGCTGAGCTATCAAACTACGCGACCCGCCAAGGCCCTATATTTTGACGGGGAGTCCGCTGCGTTAATGGGGCTGGGGCAGCTGGACACGCAGATGCTGCATCTCTATGGGAACGTCACCGGTCCTAAATCCAGTGGGGGCCTCTGGCGAGGGATAGAGCCGGAGTATGAGAGGGCCATGGGGTTGTGTGATTGGCTCTTAGAGAAGGGTTTGAGAGGTCCTGATGGGTTTGAGGGGGTCGTGAGGATGAATGCTGGGTTTGAAGTCATCTGGTGCGATTTTGGGAGTGATACTTTGAGGCTTGTCTCGAAGGGGAACGTAACGGTACCACAGATAAGAAAATCCAAAGGCAAGACAGAACACAAAAGCGAATATGGAGAAAACAAAGAGGCAGAGGTATCAGATACCGGGTACAAAAGCGGAGAACTGACATCAATCTATCCGCTCCCGCCGCAACCGACAAGGACCGATCGCGCCGTTACTCCGACAAAACCTGCGATTCCTCCGAACTGGCGCGGGATTATTGGCCCCGTCGATCGCGAGCCATTTCTACAGAGCCAAGGATGGGGCTGGTTTGCTTCGGCAACATGGCATTACGGATCGACCGGCATGGGCCCTGGGAGAGGAGAGACGAGAGCTAGAGTATTGAGCTGTGGGATTATCAGTTGGTACTCCGGCGGGTTCTGGGGCTCGATGGTGGAAGAGGAACAGAAGAGATTGAATCTTACCAAGGAAGGGTATTGGACTGGTGAAACTGATGGTGGGAATCGGAGTGTGGCTTTGGCGGAACTGGGGAGACGTAGGAGGCTGCATCATCTTGAAAGTGCAACGGAAAAACAGGCGGAGATGATGAGGAAAGAGACAGAAACGATGTTGAGAGATGTTTCAACAGGGGACGGCGGATGTAGTGGAATGGATTGGGTTGGTAGCCTTGGAGAGATTGTGCAGAGAACCGCAGGTCACTTGATGACTTTGGAGCAGGCAACGAGGTTTGGTGGCGATTGGGCTAATGAGACAGAAGTGGGCGAGTGGTTATACAAGCTGAGGGGGCAAAGTCACATGTTTTTGGTGTCGTTTTTGGAATACCCTCACGAGATCGACGGGAGGACTTGGGATGTTGACGGGCCGCTTTTTGGAGAAACGTATTCGAGGTGTCGATACCGGTATACAAGGTTGTTGGTGGACCTTCCTTTAACCTCAAGGGAGAGCGACCTCAGGGACGCGATAGAGGAAGTTATGGGCGGGATTTGTGGGGTTTTGATTGAGGTGGGCTTCCATCTTGAGAGGGCTTGGTACGCGCTGGAAGAAGGGGCATCATCTGAACTTGAAAATTCGAGTGAGATATGGCAGGAGGGGCTAGGAAGTTTGAGAGCTTGGGTAGGATGGGAGGGAGAGTTCATTCGATGCCAAAGGGTTTGCGAATGGGATGAGCGCTGCTACATTCCCATGTGGCCATTGCTGAAGTCTGTTTGGGGCGGAAGACGGCCGAGGCCGCCCTCTGATCACAAGCCGGGGAATGGATCTGAGCCGATACCACCGCCGCCACATCGGGGCCGGGGCCCGGAAGGGAACCATACCGGGCCTGGGTACGGGATGCCTGGTCGCAGTCCCGTTTGGATGGGAGATGAGACGGACCTTTGGGAACCCAAATGTGTAAAGGTAGAAGACATTATGCCGAAGCCTCGAGAGGGCTAAGTTGGAGTGAGTAGCCAGTAGGGTGAGGGCGTTACTTTGAGATTTCAAGCTTTTCAAGATGGACAATAACGGCACATTCGAATGCCTCCGTGATGAATCGAAGTGTTTCATGAGCTGGCTGTATCTTTTGACCATGGATTTGGCATGCAAAGAAACATTTGGCACATCTGAGGTTACAAGTAAGACAAATTCGCCAGAACATAGTGCCCAGCCTTTGCAAATTGAGTACACACATCGTACTTTAATCCAAGTTGAAGTTTTTGGTCGTCTGATCTGAACCAAGGTTAGCGTTCGGTCGAGATTAATAGGCCTGAATTTACATACCATTTTATAACATGAATATTCTTTTGTCTTAACCTAGACTTTTTATCTCTATAGCCCCATTCGTAGCCGAACCCAAACTCTCATTTCATGCATTCATGTATGCCTTCATCGCCTTGACCGCATCGCCATCATTGGCCTTCAATAGTTCCGTTGCCTTGGGCTTGGTGAGCTCCAGCTCGTCAACCTGCATAATGCCCGTCAGTGCGTGTTCACGCCCAGTATGCCATGTTCACATCTTCTGTGCTTTATTGAATAGGGCACAACTAACCAACAGCGCCACGTCGGCAGCGTCGACCTTAACGTTCTTGACCTCCTTCTTAGCTGCGGTGGCACTTCCCAAGCCCTTGATGGCCTTTGCAGCAGCTTCGGCATCCACCTTATCTTCGGAAGCATCGTCGCCACGGGCATCAAGGCTGGCGAGCGCAGACGCAGCCTTGCGGTCCTCGGCGGACTTGGCGGGTTGGACTTCCTCCTCGACGTCACCGGCGGTGGCGCCCTCGACAACGGCAGGGGGTTGCTTCTCGGACATTTTTGGGCGGCTTCCTTTCGATAGATCGGTTGTGCGAGGATAGCGGGGTCGACAAGTTCCGGACGTGGTGTGTTGGATCAGTGAGGTTCTTGATGACAAGCTGAGGCAGGTCCGGAGGCCAGCAAGCTCAGCGCGCAGATCGGAATTTGTGGTGGGGCGGCTTAAGGTGGGGGCGGGGAGGGGGGAAGCTCAAGAATCATCGAAAGAGAACTTTTGCACTGTGAGGTGGTACCCTGGGGCGGTCTACACCGACGGTGAGCGGTCATAGTCGGTACGCCTCGGCATAGGGCGGTGTTGCCTTTCAGGGAAGGGAAAAGCACAACCTTAAGCACTAGCTTCCGCGAGTTGAACAGACAAGTCGGTTCCTGAATTATTTTTTTCGGCGCACATTATTGGCTGTCATTGGCCAATTTGTGTTGCACCGTTGGCAGGCCCTTTTATTCCGCTCCTACTCATTCCCAAATTTGGCCACATTGTCCCTGCTTCCGCCCATCTGAATTAAGATTTGACTCACTATACCTGAGTACGTCAAAAGAGTCATTGCTTCGTTTTACTCAGATTCTCATTCGACTTTTTTGGGAGGGCAACTCTCCATCTTCACTTCCTCAACTCACTTCTTCTCTTTCATTGCCCTTCCCGTGTCGCCTTGTCGGTGGTGAATATCATACACCCCCGTCATGTCATCCTCCGCACCGTGGTCGCCTGATTCCTGGCGGTCAAAACCCATCAAACAAGCACCCACCTACCCAGATGAGGCCGCGCTCAAGAAATCAGTAAACGAACTCAGCCGTCTGCCGCCAATTGTTCACCCAAAGGAGATTGTCACCTTGAAGCAGCACCTTCGCGATGTGGCACTTGGCGAAGCCTTCCTGCTTCAGGGCGGTGACTGCGCTGAGCTATTCGATTACTGTGAGCAGAACGCTATCGAATCAAAGATCAAGCTGCTATTGCAGATGAGCCTGGTTCTCATTTGGGGCGCCGACAAACGTGTGGTTCGCATTGGGCGCATGGCTGGTCAGTATGCTAAGCCAAGGTCGAGCCCGACTGAAATGGTGGATGGTGTGGAGTTACCCTCGTTCCGGGGCGACATCCTCAACGGCTTTCATGTCGACGAGCGGGAGATTGACCCTCAGAGACTTGTCAAGTGAGCTCTTCTCATATTCAGGCGATAAACACAACAGACTAACAAGTTAGGGCCTACCAATATTCATCAGCAACTTTGAACTACATCAGAGCATCGCTCTCATCTGGCATAGCCGATCTCCACAGACCGCTGGACTGGGGTCTGGGTCATGTCCAGGACCCGGAGCTCAAGAGGAAGTACTCCGAGGCCGTCCTCTCCCTTACGGACATGCTGCGCTTCCTTCACACCATTGGTGCCGACAAGAGTGACAAGCTTGACACGGTCGACCTCTTCACTAGCCACGAGGGTCTGCTACTCGAGTACGAGCAGCCGCTGACCCGCCTGCTGGAGACGCCCGCGCCGCGCCCCACACTCAACGGCCACTCCGCCACCGAGACGAAGAAGGAGTACTACGACACCTCGGCACATTTTCTCTGGATTGGCGACCGCACGCGGCAAATCGACGGGGCTCACGTTGAGTTCTTCCGGGGAATCGCAAACCCCATTGGCATCAAGGTCGGCCCTACCACGCCGACGGACGACCTGCTCGCCCTGCTGCGTACGCTCAACCCGGACTGTGAGCCAGGCAAGATCACACTCATCACACGATACGGCGCCGCGAAGGTTCGCGCGCTGCTGCCGGCGCACATCCGTGCTGTTGAGGACAGCGAGTACCGCCGCTGTGTCGTCTGGCAATGCGACCCCATGCATGGCAACACGCTGTCCACTGGCAGTGGTATCAAGACGCGGCGGTTCCGGGACATCTTCGAGGAGCTACAGGAGACGCTGCACATCCACAAGGAACAGGGCAGTTTTCTGGGCGGTGTGCACTTGGAGCTGACTGGCGATGCTGTAACCGAGTGTCTCGGAGGTAGTGAGGGTCTGGACGAGGATGACTTGTCCACCAACTACACCAGTTTCTGCGACCCAAGACTAAACGAGAAGCAGGCGCTTGAGCTAGCGTTCTTGATTGCGGACCACTACAGGAATGAACGGAGACCGATATCCTAGATAGAGTGTTTGCATATTATGTAAGGTTTTAAGTAACTCCGGGGCATAACTTGGTCATAAAAAGCAGTCTTTTACAATTAAAGGTCATGAATTTTCGTACGATATCAGCTACAACGGGTGAGGACTGGTTCATGCCCTACTAACGTGTCTCATCCTTTTGGGTCAACCCCGGGGTAAGAGTACCAAGATTCCATCCTACTTGTATCCATGCCTAATTTCGAGTAGCGCTCTGACTTGAGATAGAGCAGATGTTCCAACAACTTATGTCCGGGTACTTTCCCTGAAGCGCGAGGAAAGCAGCTCTCGGTCGAAGCTGCACTGAAAGCTCAGGGCGCATTGGATCGAAAAAGGTGGGGGCATTCTAACGCCTACCCAGCAAGGAAGTTTAATACGGATATCAGCGGGCCAAGTATCGTATGGTGGTGCCAGTGCGTCTTAGCGCCATTACCCCAGTGCCGATAAGGGGAGCGGGGCTTCCCCGCGGCTCCGTCAAGAAACCCCCCGTGACTGGTGTAAGTACCTTGGAGCTCCCCTTTCTCCCTTAAGAAGTCCTTCTCAATCTTGCATCTTTCATAGCTCAAACTCTCCTGCCTACCCTCGCTCGGGAGCTAATGATCTCAGTTCACTTTTTTAATACTTCAGCTAGCATCTGACCTTATCAACACTAACAAGATGGTCTATCCCTTTGACTATCTCCAGCACCGTCGTGACTGGTCAGTCAACCAATCTAAGCATCCTAACCTCCGAAAGGCCGAGTTTACTAACACAGCCGCAGCCAATTCAAGCAGTCCGAACGTGCTGACAGAATCCGCCGCTTGACAGCTTACCATGGTCCTTTTTCATCCCAAGACCGCCAGATCTTGGACAAACCAATCGATGAGCTTGTGCAGGACGTCCACAAGTCTGTCCTAAAACCAATAGACATTCTCAAGACTTACGGCAAGGTTGCTCTCAAGGCTCATGAGCGCACAAATTGCCTCACGGAAATCATGCTGTCGGATGCGGAAACGTGGGTTGAAGATGGCTCGATCAACATGAAAGGTCCTCTGGCCGGCATCCCCGTGAGTTTGAAGGACACAATTGTAGTGGGTGGTTACGATGCCACTGTCGGTTTTAGCAGTTTTGTCGGGAATAAGACGATCGAGGACGGCCCCGTTGTACAGCTTCTGAAAGACGCCGGTGCAGTTCCATACGTCAAGACGAACTTGCCCATCACATTACTCAGTTTTGAATCTACCAACGATGTCTGGGGCAGGTGCACGAACCCGCACAACTCGAAATATTCTCCTGGCGGCTCTACAGGAGGTGAAAGTGCACTACTGGCCATGGGTGGTCGTATCGGTATCGGCAGCGACGTTGCAGGCAGCGTGAGAGTTCCGGCACATTTCGCTGGTTGCTATAGTATCCGTTGCTCCACAGGGCGCTGGCCAAAGCTGGGCTTCCGCACGAGTATGCCCGGCCAGGAAGGTGTGCCGTCTGTGTATAGTCCCATGACGCGCACTCTCGATGACCTGAGATATTTTACGCGAGCTGTGGTCGGAATGGAGCCATGGAAATACGACTACTCCGTACACCCAATGCCATGGAAGCATGATGTTGAGAAGGAATATCTCGAGAAGCCGAAGTTTCGTGTGGGTGTCATGCGTACCGACGGTGTAGTCGACCCCAGCCCAGCTTGCAGACGTGCGCTCGAGATGGTCGAAGTTGCGCTGCGAAAAGATGGCCACGAGATCGTCGAAATCAACCCCCCTTCGCCCTATGAAGCTTTGAAGACGGCTTCGTTGGCGCTGAATGCTGATGGGTGCCAGATGTTTAGCTCTTTCATGCGCACTGGAGAGTGGAACGATGCAGGTGCGACACAGATGAAATTCCTCTTTAACTTGCCGGGTCCCCTTAAGTATTTGTACTACCTTTGGGTAAAATATATCCGTCGAGACGATGTCTGGGCTGGTCTGGTCCGCAACTGGCGCCCCCAAACGGCGTTCGAGAACTGGAAACTAGTCAGTCAGAGGGAGGCACACCGTCTGGATTGGTTCAACTGGTGGAACAAGGTCAATGTTGACTTCCTGATCACTCCACCCAACGCCACGCCAGCCGTCCCGCATGATGGAATGAAGGATGCTGTCAGCAGCTGCGGGTACACGTTCCTCTTTAATCTGGTAAGTTTATGGCTTCATTCTCCAGGATCCTAGCTGAAACGTCTATAGCTCGATTACACTGCCGGCGTCATTCCTGTGACGCATGTAGACAAAAACCTGGATCAACTGCCTGCCGACTTCAACATCAAGAAACTCAACGGTGTCGCCCGTGGCGCATATAAGCTATACAACGCCAAGGACATGCACGGCCTACCCGTCGGTGTTCAGATCGTGGGGAGGAGGCTTGAGGAGGAGAAGGTACTCTCCATAATGAAGAGAGTAGAGGACGCGTTGGGTGAGGATAAGTACAAGCTTTTGGAGATTGATTAGCCCTCTAAAATGGCTTGGGAGTTGTATGCTATCGAGAGGAACCCGCCTTGCATGGCAATTTGGATAGCCGAATGACATAATGTTGAGCATGCCGATTCCGCTACCAATGTTTAATGCAAAAAGACCAATTGGAGGCCGATCATTTTTAGGCCAACTGACTTCCCCGATATAAAATGCCAATTCTTTGAGTTTCGGGCCTTTCTTGCCGTCTAAGTAGACTGGGAATGCGGGGCAGCTGTCGTCGAGGCAGGTCCGAGATCGGACTGCAGCCTTACCTTTCCCAACTACATCTCATCACGCGCGGGTTGTGTAAGTGCAGAGGACAAGTATTTAATCAATCAGGCTTCCGCAGCATCAGGATCTATTCGCCTTCGTAGGAAGTTTTACACCCTTAAAATTACCGCATCGACATTTTCACATGATGTCTGAGCAAAAGCAAGACAAGTGGACGACGGAGGTGAGTTCATGCTGACTTGCTGACCCCGTAAATGAGACCGGACGCTGACTTACACGGTACAGGCGTACCAGCACTCTGCGTCCTTCGTGCCGAAGCTGGCAACTAAAGTTGTCGGATGGCTCGACGTCCAAAAGGATGATGTCATTCTCGACATCGGCTGCGGCGGTAATTACCCTCACTTACTGTCTTATTTGCTTCATTCTTATCGGAGAACACAGCAGGCGAGACGCTAACTCATACCTAGACGGTATTCTCGATGTCGAGTTTGGCAAGATTCTCGCCCAAGGCAGTGGCTCTCTCCACGGCATCGACGCCTCGCCGTCTATGATCACTGCGGCCAAGAAGCTGGTCCAAAACGCCGGTCTCTCCAATTGCCAGTTTGAAGGTCTGTCGCATCCTTCCTATTGCCTTTTACCAACTCCCAAAAAAACCTTGGGTTTAGTTACTGACGCAGCTTCTGTAGTTCTCGACGCAACCAAGATCAGTACCTCGCAGACGCCTTCACTCCAGACGCCAACTTTTACAAAGGCTTTCTCCAACGCGGCCCTGCACTGGATCCTCCGCGCACCGGGGTCTCAAATCCCTGTTTTTACTTCCATCCGCGATGCTCTTTTGCCTGGAGGTACCCTCGTTCTCGAGATGGGTGGCCTTGGGTGCATCTGTGAGATGCGCACCGCTCTCCTCATGGCCGTTGCCCGCAGGATCGGCATTGAGAAGGCCAAGGAGGTCGATCCCTGGTTTTTCCCTGACGAGAACTGGCTGAAAAATGTGCTGGAGAATGAGGTTGGCGGATGGAAGATTGAAAAGATTGAAAGGGAATGGAGACCGACGATGGCGGATAAGGGGGGCGTTGAGGGGTGGTGTAGATTGATGGGCAAGGAGCTGCTTGATGCCGTGCCGGAAGAGGAGAGAGAAGATGCAGTGAGGGAAGTAACAGATGTTTTGAGCGAAGTTTGCAAGGTTCCGGGTGGAGGCCAGATGATTAGTTATGTCCGGTTGAGGTGTTTGGCGAGGAAAGTATAGGAGGCGATGAGGAGCATGAGAGTATAGACGCAAGGGACGCCTGTGTTGGGATAAAGGAGCCTTCTGGTCGCAAAGCACTTGGGTTTTGGGTGAAATCAGCATGAATTCTATCAGATTCGGCCTCAAAGTTGAGTAGGGCACTTGTAGCGCTGTTGACGACAACGTCTACCAAGGTGCCAGCGACGAAGTTGTCAACGCTTTTATGGCACCTAAAGACGATTGTATGAGCCTTGTTAGCTTGAAAAGGCAACTCGGTATTAAAAGCCAAGACAACAAGACCAAAGACAGCCCGTATTCATCCACGAGCAGATTCATATGTGCGCTGCTGTCATAGCTCTCCCATCTGTAAAATCAAATATGGTCTTTGAAAATGGAGATATGGATTCTTCCGTTTCGAAAAATCACCTTGAGGACTAAACCTAAACAACCCGTCAATGAGCCAGAGCCCAGCATAAGGTTTTCATCAAGCGTTAAGGCGAGGGACCGGTTTGCCAAGAGCCCTTAATCCCATAATAGCCATGGGAATGAAATTAAGTTAAAACCACTTCTTATCGTTTCCTCCTTGCCTCAAGAACTTCCTACTCTAAAGGCAGACTATCCCCCGTTCAACTGCTGCCAAAGTATTACTTCGTCTCATCATCGGCTAAAATCTCGTTCCTAACCTGAAACCAGAATATTCTCCTTTGCGTCATTAAGGCGTGTTGGGCATGGGACGAACCAAAGCATCCACGTTCATGCAGCAGTTCCATACAAAAAAGAAAGAAGTATCTAAATAAAGGAAAAAAATCTCAAATCCAGGGCGTCGGGCCGCACAACGACTCCGTTGCCACGCCAGGTACTCCGTTTCGGCAACTCGGCCACGACGACGTCAAGAAATCAATAGCCGGAATCATCATCGGCAACTGCGTAAAACTTCTTTGTCGGAAAAGTTCCGATGTGGAAAGTTTTTCGGACTAATCGACCACTGTCCCGGGGCGGCATTGTCCCCCTCCTTTTCGCGACGGGGAGGAAACCAGATTCATCCGCCCACTCTTCATCCCACCTTCCGCCATTTCCCGTCTTCGTCAGTCGCCTAAACGCCTTTCTTTACTCGTATGCCGCTCATCCAAAACACAAAAAGCCCCCACTTACTCGTCCAAACCACAAGTTTTCCGCGGGCCTAATCACCAAGATACCAAGTACCTCGATCGGCCTGTTAAATCACTACAAGTCAAGTGCAGAGAGCTAAGAAAGAAGAAAAGCAAATGTAAAGAAATTTAGTACGAAATACGAGAGCATGTCGACTCATAATCAAACCATTTCCAACAAACCTTTCATCATAGCCACCAAAGTCAGACTTTCGTTACCAGCATCTCAAACCCCATTACCCACCCTCCCACTCAGTGACAGCTACCGCAGCAGAAGAAAATGGCATAAACGAGCTAGTCTGGTATTACCAACCGAACTACAACCGACACGGCTTTCATGTTCAGAATGGCCCCCAAAACGCCAACCGTTTGAGGTAGTTCTAAACCCATGCCCCCCAGCGGGTTACTCCACTCAGTTCCTAGAGCCAACTCAGTCTTCTCGTCCCATCTAGACTTTAGTAAAGGCCATCGTGCGGCCGTGGTTTTTACCACCAGCTATCATGGGACACAGACGCTTTGATCAAGTGAGGCCTAGACGGTCTATTTCGGCGTGTTAGCTGGTGAACTAGGTTCACTAGGTCGGGAGCTGCCCGGGCGGAAGACTTCGGCGGGGCTCCACCTCTGTCATTTTTAGTTCCGCCTGTTGCCCCATACCAGCTCATTCGCCCTGGGCCCTCGTGTTCTTCGTTACTTGATGCCTTTTGTAAATTCATGCTTGCAAGTAATCTTCTGAATGTGGCCATGCACGATCAACGCCAACCAAAAAAAAGAAAAAAAAAAAAAAAGTAGAATAGTCGTTCATACCAGTCAGTGCGGTTGATGGTTCAGACCATATGTTGATAGTGGTTCATGCTGCACATCGGAACTCGTCGAGTTAATGGCTAGTACCTCGACGACGCCATTCGATACTCACTCGCCCTTCTATCAAACGCCAATAGCACAAAATAGAGTGAGTATGCATGAGATCGTATCACGTAGCACATCTAGCATCGTGCCCTCTCTCTGTAGGTTATACAAAAGAAGAATGCCTTAGAAAAACCTGTGGTCATGATTGAATATGATGATATATATGGATTTCATATATGTGAAAGAACCTTGCCTAGCATCCGCGACTCGCAGTAGGAACGGTAGACCGCGAGGCACTTTGGATGGTGGTAAGAGATATAAAATGATACACATCGCTGGGTGTTTCTTTAATGCATTTCCAGCCAACGCCTTCCCGCTTGCAGTCCAGATTCTGAAATCGACACTCCTCTTGGCGCGATACCGCCCTTCCCATGCTTGGGCATTGAAAATGTCGTCTGCTAACGTAAAATCCTACATGTACAGAAAACAACGGATATATCGAGAAGATTTGTTTTTGAGTTTTTCTTTTTTTTGTGGACATGGTAATATTTTGCGTTCAGAAGTGCTCCTTCCAGAAACGGAAATTGACTTCCCTGACAGTCGCAGCCTTGCACGCTTGGTTAATGTCGCGAGCTGAAAACAAAATATCGTTAGCCAATGATTGTAGGAAAAATAAAATGACAAAAACTTACCAGCAACTGAGGGGCCACAAAAGTAAACACCAACAGTCGTGCGCATGCTTCCCTCCAGACCATTGAGGTAGGTCCGGTCCAGAATACCATCACGCATAGTGGAAAAAAGCTTCAGGAAGTTGGGTCTACCGAAGTTGGTACGCGACTTAAGCTCAGTAAGCGGGTCATGGTCAGAACCGACGGAGTTGAGCACAATGTTTTGCGTTGTATCCATGTCCAGCTTTTGAGTGAGGTAGGTATGGATCTTCAAGAACTCGACACCGTTGCTGCCAGGAAGGCGAGCGGCCTCATCAGACTGAGATTCGAGAGAAGATAGAAGAGTCTGGAACCATTCGAACGAGCCCGTGTCCTTGCAGACCCAGATAAATTCGACGCGGCGAAGACGGGTAGGAGGGTTTGGCCCATTGCGCAGATGCCAAATGTTTTTCAGAATCGACGCCCAAGGAGTGACACCAATACCAGTGCCGATGAGCACCGCAATTTCGTTTTCGAACACATCCTCCGCAGGAGCGCCGTAAGGGCCATCGATACGAAGGTCAGGCATTTGTTGACCGTTTTGCAGAGCAACCTCGTACATGCCCATGGGGTCAACACCATCGTAAAGCTTGGCCTGGGCACTGCCAGCTCCAACTGCGTCACCAAGAGCGCGGGTGAAATCGCCAACCTGACGAACGTGAACAGATACATAAGGGTCGAAGGGGCACGAGGTGATGGTGAAAGGGTGCCACTGGTAGTTTGAAATGGACGGCACTTGAAGGAACAGCCACTGGCCAGCCTTATATTTGAACGAAGGCTTGTTGAATTGAAGCTCCACGACATCTTTTGCTTGTTAGATTAGAAGACAGAATCGGGGAGGCATGTCTTACCGTACGGGTGGCGGACAACACGGGTGATCTTGGTGAGGCGGCGGGCACGGATTTCACGATAGGTGCGTTCCATGAGGTAGAAAGCTCCCGACCAGAGCTCCCACCTCCAACCAAGGTAACCAATGCAATGGTCCCAGTAGTCCTTTCCAGCAAAAGGAGAGTAAGATTCAGCGGTGTCTCGAACGAAGCACCCGACGGTGTGGGTGTACAATCCAAGGAAGAAGGGGATGAAAAGATGGTGAGTGTACCAAAAGGTTTCGAATGACTGTTGGCGAATACGGGCGTGAGCAGTGGTGTACATTAGGAGCATGCAAAGAAGCATAGTATGGCCGGTTACACCACCAGCCTGAGCATAGTGAATCTGAATAGCTGTTACCGGTCGAATCTGGGTCACTTCAACGTTGAAGAAGCTGTACAAGTCAGTGACTGGGCGTTTTGAAGTCAAGGGTATGAGCTTACTTGATGTAATGAGCAGAAGTGTGCAGGATAGTGAACAGAAGCATAGAGTAAGCCAATTGTCTGTGAAGCCAAAGGTTCTCGTCGAGAGGAAGGAAGCGAACTTTTGGCCGGATCCATCGCATAACTGTCCGGCAAACAGGGAGAAGAATAAGCATTCCATCGACACTAAGGACCAATCCGGCACCTCTAGAGATCCAGACGGAATACTGCAAAGTGTTCAGGCCCGCGAGCCTTACATCAGCTGCCTGTTTCCACCTAGAATGTATTAGTAATTACCATTGGGTGAGATTCCTGGACAAGCTTGGCTCACCAGCCGTAGGCAAAGATGCCCCAGTGAAAGGTCCAAAAAAGGAAGTGAAACAGCAGCTTTTGAGCAGTGAACTGCTTCTTGACCAAAGTCCCGAAGGTCAAGTCGCCCGACATTTTGACTCGAATTCGTCTCTCTACTTTTTGTTATTTTACTAGGGTGTCGACCTGCGACAGTACTGGCGAGTGGGCAGGCAGGCTCGGGCCTCGGATGGCACGCAACGGCTTGCGACGTGGATCGAATGACGGCAGCACGATGAATTCCCAATCGTCCCCGTTAACTGGTATCCTGAAGCCAAACTTTGTTTCCCAGTCTCTTTCTTTCCGATCTCCGAATTAAAGCTTCTTTGTAATATCAAAAGAGGCGGCGAGTGACGAAAAAAAGAAAAGAAAAAACAATACTCCAGCCAAACGAAGTTGGAGTGCTTTTAGAAGAAAAAGAGTGATCTGAGCCAGCAGCGAAGGAAAGGAAGGGTCTCGTTAGTCGGAAGGGCTCGAGGGATTGACTTTACTCTTCGACGTGACCGAGGTGCAAGGGTGAAGAAGAGAAAAATGAAGGTGAGAGAAGAGAGGTGAAAAGAGAAGATATGAAGCTTTTGGCCGGTGGGGGGGCAGTCATAAAAAGATGAGTTGGACGGCAGTTAACTGAGGGCGTCTGTCTTTTGGCTTGGCGTCCTGGAAGACGACCTGTGACAAGGATTTCGCCGGGAGTTAATCGGTTCTTGGAATGCCCAGGACCAGGGTTGATAGGGGAGCTTGTCGAGGTCGGAAGGATAGAATTCGATCCGACGACTCGATGATGTGGAGGAGGCTTGCTGGCGGTAGGATGGAAAGTGTGGATGGGGAGGGGGTTTGTGGTGATGTCGGGACTAATCTTTCGGATGTCAGGTGTCCATGAAACCTCGTCAACGGGCGGGCTAGAAAGGAGCTGTTCGTCTGCAATCCAGTGTCGAGGCTGATTCTGTGGCGGCCGTGGACGGGACAGGGGAGGACAGGGTGGACTGGACGAGTCGGTAGATCAGACGTTGGAAGGGTTTCGCAGTTTTGGGGGACATGTATCAGTCCGATCCGAGAGGCGAGGTCTAATCAGACGGCAGGGCCAGGTGCGACAGCAGGTGGGCGGAGTTGAGACGAGTTTTGTTAGAGGCGCTTTGACGAGGGGGGCACCAAGGCTATTCTGACGTTTCGGTTGCAGCAGGGGAGGGGCTTTTGTTCGCAGCGAAAAAGGCGGATGGAATTCAACGATGAACTAGGGCTGCCCTCTTTGGTTCTTTCTTTCTTCTCCTTTCTCACGCAATTGGAGTTCGTACAGGTAGCTGTCGTCGATTTCCGCTCCAGGAAGGGGGGGCTCCGTGGAGACAGGGTATGGTACCGTTCTGTTGGGAAAGGAAAAGGGGAAAACAGAGGAAAAGAGAAAAATGGTTCCGATCGGAAAGACGAGTCGAGGTCCTCATATCCATCAAGATGCGGACATGCACGTTGCGGTCTGCAGGTCAGAGGCAACATCGTGTCATGCCTTTCTTTGCCGCCCGCCCAGACTGGTGGGTTGAGAAGTGGACAGGACCAAGGTGATGGGAGTCGATGAGAAGCAAGAATGGTGGCTTCTTAGTGGCTAGTTTTAATTTTGGAACACGGACGCCAGACCTGTTTCGGCCGGGCCCATGATACTGGGCGCTTACAGTGGTGAGGGAAAGAGCGAAAAAGGTGAGGCGTGCACGCGGGCAGGTGCTGGTGGCTGGTCGACAGTGACACAGGATTCGCTGTAAGGGCAAAATGCCACAGAAGGCATAGCGGGGAAGCCACTGTAGAAGGGCACCAATGTGACGGATTTAACTGCATCCCATGGCAGGGCAGGTTGCAATCAACGCATTAGCGTGCAGCTATAGCGTATGTAGGTCAGTAACAACATCCCAACTAGTGTAATTGTGAGAGGGAAATAGCGACCATTGATATTCCAATGCTTGGGTGAGCCCAGATGCCCCCTAGCATATGCCCAGCATGAAGAGAATTACTGAGTCAAAGGATAAGAAATCATGCGAACTTAAGCAGGACTCCAATCTTCCTACGCTGCGAATTGCAACTTTACAAAGCAGGCGCTGATTTCCATTGGTTGTCCAGAATTAGAGCTTCAACCTCAAAAAGCATCACTGGCAAGGCCTCCCTGGTGGATTTGTCCTCCTATTTCTCGTTGCTGCTTGTTCGCGTGTCAATTGTAACTAGCTTGGTGATTACGTGGAAGCTTCAAGGCAGGTTAACTGCAATGTCACCGCAAGGTACTGGAGAACTTGTCACGCATTTTCGTTCCCGAATCGTAGCCCTTACTGCGTGGCTGGGATGATCTGACAGGCTTTGAAAAGAGAGACAACGACGGCACGATAGGTAAGCCACGGGGAAGGGGAAAAGAAAAAAAAAATAAGAATGGGGGACAGGTAGAGGCACAGGGGTCACCCCACATTCCCGCTAGTCTCTATTTTGCCTGGTGGCAGGGGTCGCCAGTTACGAATGCACAAGGTGCGGCAGGTTCCCACCCACACAGACAGACAGACAGGACCGGACCAGCAACAGGAACAGCAAGACAGGAGCAAGTAATAATTACCACGTATCTAAGTAGAACATACTACTAGTAGTATGTACAGAAGGCCACAGCAAAAAACCGGCAGGAACACTTTAAGCAGGGGGTCGCTGCATGGCGACCAGGAAAGTCCCTTCCTTGTTCTTCTTTTGGTGAGCTTGGCCCGTGCATCACCCGCAAATTTCCAAAACTGATCATCCCGGCAAATGTACCACCTGGAGCCTCCTCATCCACACTTTATCCTCGTTGTGAAACCTTGGAGCCTCTTGCCAACCCTCACGTCAAACTTGCTCCTCTCCACCCATTCTTCCCACAAACCAGAACAACCTCAATCTGTCAGCTTATCTCGGCCTGTCTAGCCCATCTGTCGCTCGAGCAGGGTTCGCAAGGGTGCTATCCTCTTCCCCCTGGCTCCCTCCCATTCCTTTCTGCCCCCCTTCTTCAGATGGCCGCCAAAGACACGAGCGGGAAGTCTAAGCCCACATGCCTCTGCGGTCCAATAGCGTCCGTGCCTTTTGCTGTAGCGTAACTCTCTCCATGCCGCCTTTTCTCCTCAGGGTCTCAGTTGACCAGACCACCCAGCAAAAAATGTCTTCCATGAGCCCATCCATGTGTGCTTCCCACGTCAGACTCGTACGATATTGTTTACAGATCACCTGTCTTTGATTCACCCTATTCAGATTCGCTATTCAACCCTATTTTTCTTCCCGGCTCAAGCTTAAAGAGGTCAAGCATTCTCGCCTTTTTATCTGAACCATCAGTCCACTTCACTCTTGGCTCAACGTTCCTCTTCCTGCGAGGCTGAAGTCTTGCCTCGTTCTCGCTCCCTCTGGACTACCCACACACACGCACACACACACAGCGTTTACTCAGCCTGAGTCCTGTTCAGCCAACCGCCCTTGCCTGTTTCGGATACTCGGCACCCTCGCCAACTGAATTCTTTGCTTTCTCAATGCTTGCACACCTGCACCACAATCATTCCAAGCTCCGTAATGACTCGCCCCTAGTCCTACTGGTTCCGCTTCCAGTATCATCGGCAGTCTGAACGGCTTCAAATCCCGCTAGTACTGCCAGTCAAAACCCTTTCCTCCAGACATGGTGACGTCCTTCGTTCAGCCTCGCCCGAACGCCCCCGGCTATCCTGTTACTTGCGGCTGTGCCAAGAACCCACCAACTGTTTTGCGCTCCCTCTTTGCAGCAATCGTCGTTGCTCAGGCCCGGCACCGCAATGCCACATCCTGGTGAAACGGCCTACGCCAAACATTGGCACGGGTCTCCGCACTCAAAACGGTTGTCATGCCCGCACGAGGCACCAACTCTACCCACTTGCCTGATCGTCACTCACACAGACATTTCTAAGCTACGACACCCAAGTCAGCCTCCAGTCCCCATATTTTACGCCAAGCTTTCTTCATGCCAAGTCATCTCTTTCAAAGCTTCCTTGTCAGACCAGGTCACCCTAGTATCAGCACTAAATGCCAATGTCAAGTGCAGGCTTTCGTAGGTATGATAGTCACTGCTAACGATCTTGTTCATCAGCCATGTCGCTCCTTATCAGTCTCAGCATCAAGCCTCCACACCGCCTTCGATCGACGACAGAACCTCATGAGGGGCTTCCCACCTGGTGCTTTTCACATCCACAGCATCTGAAGCCTTCGTCTGATTCATGTCACAGTCACGTTGGTCACTGACCTTAACTTTCGTGGCGGGCGCCCTAGCTAGATAGAATTCATCTTGTTGCTTGTTCTGGACTCGGATTCAGACCCCGTCCTGTGACAAAGGGTTTGGGATAATCTCATAGCATGAGAAGCTCGTGCCAAGATGGGCAAGACATACATCGGCCATCACACGTCGGATTTCAGCTCGGGTCACAGTGTGTTCCTTTCCGGCTACGCTCAGACCTTGCTCTAGAGGTCCTCCCCGCAGTGGGTTCCTTTGACCCTACCTTCTGGCGAAAGACGACCATACAGACTAGGGATCTTCAGATGCGCATTTTGCAAACTATGACTGAACCTGCATGAATCTGCTGGAGTCATTGACTCTATTGAAAGACCAAAAGCCCCTGAACGCCATGTGCCAGTAGCCAAATGCCTTCTGTGGTTGTTATCCGGCGCTGTGTGGACCATTTCGTATCTCTTTTTGAGTCTCATATTGGCAGCAGATGAGTCATTAGCTTCATTTTATATACGTAGTAAGCTTGAGAAAGAAATAAACCCTGTTCAAATGCTTAGTCTCTGGCTAACCTCCACTGCAAGCCGGCCATGCAGCAAGGGCTTAACCCCGCCCATGAACATTTTTGGGTATGCGTTTAAGGTCGCTTGCGCTCATTTCAACACATTAACTTATTCTCATAAAGACGCTGTGCAACGTCTCGTTGTTTCGTAAGCTATCTTCACTTGCCAAATGGTCTTATCTGCCGAAGTCCATCGCTACCCAGCCTGAGGGTTCGTGTCATTACAGGTTACTCAGGAAAGCTATAAATTCTTCTCCGAAACTCATCTTTATAGACAACGTGCATATATTGGTGCTCCTCTTGGCCTCAGATGTTAGTCACATCCTGTATAAATGCGTGATCCTTCATTTTCTGTTACTATCGTCCCCTATTACGAAACCCCTGCATGGCTTAACATGACGAGTTGTAAAGTAAGTACGTCGGAGAGCATCAAGCAACCTTTCCGGGTCATTTTGCATTGGATCGTGATCCAACAGCTTGTAACTTTGCAGAACTTGCGAAGCCTGTGTCCTATGTGCTGGACAATACGCCAACCATTGCGTTGCTACTTCCGGAGACTGTCGTAAATCGCAGTGCCATACTTCTGCTGATTGACTCGCAGCACAGTCTAGCACTGCGTCAAACAACCTGCAAGTTGCTTCAGTGTTGGGCAAAAGTTTTTTGTGCTTGGTGATTTCTCCATCAGCCAGACTACCTCCACATCTTCGCAGTGCCACAGCGAAATCCCACGCGTCGCACAGAACGGCTTTTAATAATGAACGCCCTGCGCAACCTGCGACGTGGTCATCAGCATATCTTTGTAAGGGAATGCAAAACGTGATGAAACGTTTTCTAAGTTCTCTTGGCAGCCACATGTCCCTTAATGCATGTAATACCGTTGTTTCCTGTATCGACTGGAAACTATGAGACTTGGCGAGCTTATTTTCATCCAATAACGCTTCCAATGCGTCTTCGTTTCGTGCTATAAGTGCGGTATTCAAAAAGCTCAAAACCTCTTGGGGGGATAAGTCGGACAAGTCTCCAGCCTCGTTCAGTAGCCAGCGGACAAGCTTGGCAGACCCAGGTCCACCTCGCTGGATTGCAATGTCAACGAAACCGCGAGCATGGAAATCTCCGGTGGGTATGATTGATAGCCGAGGGCGGTCTTTGAAGTGTTCTCGGACGTCTTTTTGAAACTCGATAATTGCTTCTTCGTGGAGGTCCATTGTCGAAAGCTTTGCGTAAAGTTGCATCTCCCTGGGGATGTCAACTCCGGAAGGGTGCCCCCTAACAATTGCGCAAACATCTTGATAGATACCTTTATGTCGCCACGTATCGCAAGATTTCGGGAACCCGATATTTTCGTCCTGGTGCACATAACTAGATGGCCACGTCTTGCCACCTCGCGCTATGAACCCAGTGACACTGCAAACTAGGCGATGGTGAGCACGTTGTTCTTCTTGATAGCGCTCCTTACTTCCTAACGGGAGGTCTTGGGCCAACACCGATTGTAACAGCATTTCCAGAAGCACCGTTTTCAGATTAAGACCATTGTCTACTAATGTCGAGATCACCTTGTCTACCAGAGGATGATGGTCCAGCAGGTCGGCGTAGGCGAATGCCCTATGCAATGCAAATCGAAGCCGAATGTCGCATTCATAAGGAGGTCGGACAAGAATTTCAGTCGCGCCAGACAGTAAGGAGCTGAAGTCGCGTCTCGGGATTCCTGGAGGGTTCCAGTCCAAATTGGTCCAAGGTGCGTAGTCGGCCGAGGCATCTATGTTGTTCCACAACCTCCACGTTCTCGACGACGTGGAAATATTTCGTGTATGCCAAGGCCAGTTTTCTTTGGCGTACCGCAAAAACGGGTAGTCGCGCGTCATGTTCGTGTCCGACAGTCCGTCAGCCGATGACATGTCTGGCATGGCGCTCCTCCCAAGTGATAGGGGTTGGGACTCCTTAAATTGCATCTTGATTAACCTTGCTATGCCCTTTCCATATTTCTTCGCCATGAGCGATTCAACAGTGCGGTCAACCACTTTATGAGGAACATTGTTGGGGGTTGTTGGAGTGAGGTTGTCGTGAGGTCTCCCGGCCAATGCCCTCTGGAAGTCGCTGAAATTAAGGTAGGTCAGGCAGATCTCGCCAACAAAGCCGTCGCAATCTCGTAGATCCAAGTTGAATAAATGATTTGGCTTTTCCGTAGAACCCAGTAGATATGCCGAGATCGAATGATGGCTGAAATGGACGGTTTCGCTACCTTCTTCTACCTGTACGAGATTCTCACACCATGCCGGTAGACGGTTGATACCATTAATTCGCTGGCTTTCCTGTGAGCTTCTCTGGTTTATTTTGATCTTCAGAACCTCCGCAAATTGACTCAGTGTCAGTGGTGAGTTGACGGCTGCAGTCCATTTAAAGACTGACTGTGCAATCTCGGTATTTCCCTTCTGATCAATCCGTCTGAGAGCTCGATCAAACGTCTCCGGAAGGTTTCTCGGAATATCGAGAAGAGCTTCCCGTACTTCGTCGTCATTACGACGTGTGCATATATCCTCAATAGTGAGGAAAGCCCATAGAAACCTAGAAAGTTACTTAGCCTAGGTACCTACTCAGACTCAACAGAAGTTGTACAAACTTACATCCCTTCACCACCAATACTTATTACGTCTAGAATTTCATTGATTAAGCTTTGGTCTCCAACTTCCCACTCCCCTTCTTCTTGCTTTTCTCGCAAAATATCTTTCGCAAATAGCGCCAAATCGCGGTTTGTGTGCTCAGAACCAACAATCAAGCGCGATACTGCTGGTAGAGAACGTGCGATTGTGTCCCCGAGACTGTCTCTGCCCGATACCATAATTTTGATTCTACCTTTAGGACATCTTTGAAGAAAAGATGATAATCCTTTTAGTATGAAGTGTTGGTCTGTCGTGGAACACTCGTCCAAGCCGTCTAAGACCAAAAAAGTATCTTCGGCAGCGGTGACAGACCGGTTAAAAAGCTCGAGAAGAGACTCATGATCGAAAAATTGAGATTTAGAATTCTCCAAAATGGTCAAAAAGTCGTCGTCAACTGAGTTGTGGGCCAGTACCTGACGAATGAGAGACCGAAAGATAACGTCAGGGCTTTGGCTCGTGATGTCGTCAAAACGGATGAAGAAAAACGAGATGACCTGGCGGACATTTCTGTTTCTAACAATAGAATCCACAATTCTCGCACTGCAAAGGCATCAGTAACTTCAAACATCGGATCAGAATGAATTTTGCGAAACAAATCACTTACGTGAGGACGGTCTTTCCGGAACCGACTGTTGGCTGTCAGTACACGTCGTGCGATTGCTGTGGCTTGAGAAGGACATCCGATTTAAAAAAAAATACTACTAACTCTTTCCTGTGATGTTGAGCACAGCCGACTGATCATTGTAATACCAGTCTTTGAATATCTGCGTGTCAAATGCCCATTCTGCCGTGCCTTTGTGGCGCTTAGACCTAGCATTTTTGTATACTGTTTGGTAATCGTAGGATGATAAACTGTTCAATAATAACTCCCATTTACGTACTGTGCAATTGTTTTAGACTTCAAGATCACATTGCAGTGAAACCAAGACTCACACTTTGTCTGGAGCCTTGTATCCCTCCCAAGGCTTTGGATACCTTTGCTCGACTTCCGGCTCTGTTTTAAAAGGCTTTTTTGAACCTTCCGTTGCTCATCTTGGTTCAGACGATCGTACTGGGCTTTTGCAAGGCCTACTTCCTCCTTAGCCAGGCTGGCAGTTGTGCGGATACTCTCGACCGCAGGTCGGATCTGGGATTCAAAGGAGTTTGTTAGGGCGGCCCAAGCCTTCTGTTGCCCTAGTTAGCTGTTGGCAGCTGTTCTTGAGGCCTTGGTAAAAAGCCGAAGCATACATGGTAAGCGAGTTAAGTTGATGATTTGTGTGCAACAAGAAATAATAGCAAGGTGGAAATCGCATATGGATTTCTTCAAACGCTGCGAATCGGGAAAAAGGCGCTCGTATTCAAGGAATTGTGGTATTAGATGATTGAAACCCTGCAAAAGACTGGTAAAGTTTTGGAAATACGACGTAAAGTTTATCAAGACCTGACGAAATCAGCATGGAAATTGCAATGCTGGTTCAGCTACTGGTTCACCGCGTATCATGAAAGTCAACTTCACTGATCCCCAGATTAAAGCCGCGATCTGCGGATTCGACGAAACGTATGTATCGACGACTTGCGCAAAGCTCTGGACTGTCTGTAAAAGGGCACAAAGCTTGGGAGCCATAGTCCTACCCTGACGTGTAGGGTCCATCTCATCTAGTTCTAATGTAAATTTGAAGGCGGCATCGGCATCATTCAATCCTGTTTTCTGTACGTTTAGTCTCTTACGCTCTTCATCAGTCAGCATTGCCTGAAATTGCGCCAGCGCGATTTCCAGGCCGCTTGCTGAATCGTCGGCTTGGCCATCGGTACCGAGCGACCGAGTGACGATAGACTGCCTGGACGGGGCTGCTGGAAACGACAGGCGCATTGTTAACTAACAACAAGAAACTGGCGAATATGAAGTTGGAGGGGATTTGCCAGTCTATCAGGGGGATTTTGTGCCACACAACTGCCCCCGCTTCCATGCATGCGTCCATCCATGTATTGGTCAATTTTGCAGGGGAGCAAGCTATTCTCTAGGAACGGTAGCCCGAAATAGGCTGGCAAGGCAGATTATGCGCTTGGCGCTACGACGCCCTGCATATGCGATTGAATGGCTGGCCTCACTTGAATTTTCGCTTCCCATTCCCTGGTTTCCAATGAAAGAGGGAGCCGGCTGCAGACTTAAGTGTTTTAGTTGAAGCGCTCGACTGGGCTTAAAACTTGGTCACGTAGGGTTACATATGACAGCGGCAATTAGTTACACATAACAGCCGTCTGCCTTGGGCTTCTTCATAACCATCAACTTGCCGGTAACTTCCCTCCTGCTGAATCAAAAGTGAACTATCTTTTAAGTGAATTATCTCTCAAGACGACTCCATATACTTCAATGGCGAGCGTAGAAGCCTCCGAATTTCTTGATCATAAACTCGACCGAACACTTGACGGTCTTCTAATGCTTCCTCGCTTCCAATATCCATCCCTTCCCACGTCGACAAGCATTCGCCTTATCAAATTACTCCCCTCCCATCCAGATGTGCTTCGTTGTAAAATGGTTAGCCTGAATCTCAACGAGCAGTCTCAGGCATCCCCATACGTCGCATTGTCTTACACGTGGGGGGACCCAATAACTATTAGGGAGGAGCCTGTGCCCGCATCGGGAAATCTCAGAATGCCGGAAGATTTTGCCAAATTGCCATTCGTGTTCGAGTCCGAGTGTTCAGGCGACGTAAAAGTATATAACACTGACTATGCCATGAAATATTACGTTGAAAGGCACCCTTGGATTCCACGAGTAAAAGATCAGATCCCACAAATTGCATCAGAACCGATAGAAATCGACGGCCAGCTGACTTACATACAAGAGAACCTGCGGTGTTTTCTCATGGAATATCGTTCTTTCCAGCTCAATCTTTCGATTACATCATCACCGACCGAGGATGATTGCAGAGATGGCCGTTTTCATGAGGCTCTCCAAGCACCGATTTGGATCGATGCCCTTTGTATCAACCAGAACGACCTGAAAGAGAGGAGCTCTCAGGTTCAGTTGATGGATAGGGTCTTTCGAGGCGCCATGAGAGTGTTTGCTTGGTTGGGACCTCCAGATGGCCTTACTGTTGATGCCATACGGGGACTACACAATATCTACGAATCTGACATTATTGCAAAGGCAGAGGAGGGAATGACTCTGTCAGCAGTTCCAGGCATGGAACTTATCCACTGGTTTGCCGTCTTTGCTTTTTTTCAACGGTCTTGGTTTCGGCGTGCTTGGGTTACGCAGGAAGCAATTTTTGGGAGGGAGCGCATCACAGTTTTTTTTGGAGGCACCATGTTTTCCTGGGAACGAATTTCCATGTTAGTTGAAGCGCTAATTAAATCTGGCCTTCACCTGGAAATGTTGAAACTTGGTCGCAACCTCCTTAAGGGGGAACCACTCTCTGATAATACTCGGCAAATTCGAAAGCTAGCTGCATTTGACGATGAGAACGATAAGAACGCCGACGACACTGATGATTCCACAGACGCGACCAAAAAGATGCTTCGAGGACTAGATGGCTTGTCTTTTACATACTCAATTCGGAACCTTGTATTCCGTTTCAGGACAGACGGTGACACAATATTCACAGAGTTCCCTCCTCTGTTGCGTGTTTTGGGTTTGTTCCGTGGTACAGACGCCACGGATCCACGAGACAAAGTCTTCGCTTTTCTGAACATTGCTTCTGATGCGAGAAAGCTGGCCATAGTCCCGGACTACAGTGCTACCCTGCAGTCAGTCTACAGACAAACCACAGAGACAATCATGAGAAAGACGGCGTCCTTATCGATACTCTCACAGGTTCAAGAGCCTTTCCACACTCGGTTTTATCAGTTGCCCGGGTGGGTGCCTGACTTTAGCTCTCAACTTCCCTACACTCCTCTTGATACGGGTGATGACGACGTGTTGTTCTGCGTATCGGGTTCTGGTACTGAAACATGGTTTGAGATCCACAACGACGACACACTAGAAGTCGAGACGATTGAAGTAGACGTGGTTATGATAAGCGAGCTGGTGGGAAACGACCTTGATGATATGGTTCTAAATCTGTTGAAATCGATTCTCAGAATACCCCATCAGTATCCAATTGGGGACTTCGAGAAACAAGTCAAAAGTCCTTTTGAGGATACAGATTTCGATAACATGACCGAGGACCTTCAAATATCTGAAGAAGAAAAAGAAGATGATAGGATATCAGAGAGAGCTGGCATCGAGCCATCTCCTAGCCGCTTCATCAACTACAAGGGACATGATGCTAGCGATATGCTAAAGGGAAAGAGCTCACCGGAGGCTACAGATATGTCAGATGATGCAAATCTGTTCAACCATTTCTACGAAAGATTGGACTATGAAGGGAATATTGAGAGCGAACACCTACCGCATCGACAGAGTGCCGCAAAGGAGATATCTGCTGTTGAGACAGAACACAAAATTACTTCGGAAAAGGACGAAGAGGAAAAAAAGGAGCAAAATAATGGTGTCATTTTCGAGGTTGCTGTTTCAAACGCAGGCGATGTTGATTCAAACGACCATGGTATGTACGGTGCAGATACGTGCCATCAAATTTCGGGCGGAGAATCGCAGAGCCCAGATTGGCAGGACAGCACAGGCTCTTTCAGGATCAGGGGCATCACGCGTGTTGAAGCATTATGGCGAACATTAGTTGGAAACATGCTCCCAAACCCAAATCCAGGCTTCTTCGTATACCCCGATGATGCGGTGACCTATCCAGCTCCGGAATCTTTGGGTCATGGCTTCTCGAATTGGATTGAGGTTGGAATCTTGGAGATGTGGTATCTTTTTCAAAACTTCGATGGAGATGAATCTCCATTGTCCAGCTCTGGAGCCCGACGCGTTTTAACTACTCTTGCCCTCTGGGCAGCGATCTACCGAAACAAACATATTCCTCTCACTAAAGATACGATAGGTTATAGCCTCGAACATGCAGATCTCACGAAGATGGCAAAGAAAGAGAAAGAAGAGGAGGAAGATATCGGGTTCATTATTAGCAGCCAAAAATTTCTCCCAAGTGCATCGAGGCTCAAAACGCTCCTAGACGATCCAAACCTGATAGATGAACTTCGAGGATACGATGGAGACCCGCAGGCCGCCGTCAATGGGCAGTGGAGAGAGCAAGCGTTGTTGCATTTTAACAGTGATGAGAGGGCTAATATCAACTCATTTGAGAAGAGGATGAGAACTATGCTAGAAGGAAGGAGGCTTTTCACCACTAAGGGAGGCCTTGTGGGAGTAGGGCCCCGGTCATTGTTTTCGGAACGTGGTTGCTTGTATGAGATCCATATAATTAAGGGTGCAAAAGTTCCCTATATTCTCGCAAGGTTTGATGATGGATCGTATCGTTTGGTTGGAGAAGCTTATGTCCATGGCATTATGAACGGAGAGATACCTGAAAAAATGGGGGATCTTGACTGGTGCAATTATAAGAGAATTAGATTGAAATGAGCAGATTCGACATGGGTTAATTTTGAATCTAGAGGTGTCCCAGGACATGACAATCGAACGTCTTGGAACATTCGAAGCGTTGTGAAAGTGCCATGGAGGCACCAGGGCGTTAAATTTTCAAGCAATACTGTCTTTAGCTATGTTCTCAATAGTTGCCGACTTAGTTCCGTTCAGTGCGAACCAAAGTTACTGAACCATCACAGAATAGACCTTCGGCGAGTCTTCTATGATCACCAGCCAATTTTATGTAAAATTACGCATGAGTGATCACTCGCCTAGGTATGTGTTATTAGCGCAAATACATTGCATTGGGAAAAAACTGCCAAAGTTCCTGTCAAACGACTGCGTTAAGAATAATTTTCATAGATAGGTGGCCATTATGATGTGGAGGGGAGAATTGAGCGAAGAGCTATTGTTGAAAGCTATGAATAGGAACAGCGATGTGATAATGAGATTCAGGTACCTGGAATAGCGTACCCGATGTCGTTTTCATCCGTTGTTCCTTCGTCTATCCAAGCAGGTAAGATGAGGTAGTTTATCAGGGTATGTAGGCATGGAAATTCAAGAGTAATGACTGAGAAAACAAAATGTTCGAGCCCATAACCGCCTTGCCTGTGTGCAAAAACTCTGGTCTCAAGTATATTAGTATCAATACGTCGCACCATCCTCTGTATGACGGATGTTCAAGGCAATATCAAGATTGCCGACCTGTGATTTTCTCATCCTGAGACTAGTACTTTATGGCTTGATGAACTTTCCATCAACCTCCTCCTGCCAAGATAATGGCGCATAATCAATCGGACTTTGCGTCTTCGACCAGTTTTCTGGAGCAGGGCAATCATGAACCAAGTGTATGTGGGCTGAATAGATCATTCCAGTGTCTACAGGATCTTACCAGGCTTCGGTTTTCGCACCTGTCTTAGGTACTCAATATCGATTACTGTCGCGAAACAGACTGTCAAGTCCCTGGCGCAACACTAAATATTGACAGCTGGTGGGGAACAGTGCGTTTTCTACAACCTTGCGAGTATAACCAGGACCTCCTCGGAAAACTGGCAGGCTTCCAAGGCAGAATAATGTTACACAACAGTATGTGGAGATGGCACGGGAATGCGGCATCGACACATTGCCAAGCCTTTAGTGGTTGTGGTGGCTCCCAAAATACGAGTATGATTAGCCTGCGCTTGCGCACCCAGGCTGTTGTGTACATGTCGTGACTATTATGTGTTTCAGACTACAGTCGGATGAAGTTGCCATAGCCTGGCTTATGTATAGCAGTTCTTGTCTGGGTTGACAATATCATGGTCACTCTATGGGTGACAGGCAAGTAACACGGAACGATCACTGAGTATTCAAATTGGCATGTGCCATGTGCCATGACCGACAAGCGAGGACGATGGCCAAGCAAACTGGAGCTTTGACAGATCAGCCCACCAAAGAGTCCAGGCGTTCTATCCGGTCCACCCCCGGATCTGCACTAGTCCTAGAACAGCTAGGGCGCTGGCAGTCCAGATAACGATAACGATAGGATCATCCTTCGACCCTCTTCTCCATGGATCCCGTCTGGGCTTCCCTCTGTCACCACGAAACCCAGCCAGAACGGCAGTCACAGAGTGTTCTGCATCCTGCCAGACAGCCGCCTACAATGGCGTCGGAAACTTCTCCTAAGCGGCTCGACGAGCTTCCTGACGAGATTCTCTTGCGTGTCCTCTCCTGTAAGCATTGCCGTCACTGTATTGGTCACAGAGCCCCGGATTTTTAGCTGACAGCCTGGGCGTGCCTCTCAGTCCTTGAGCCCTACGACTTCCCCGGCCTGCAGCTTGTTTGTCGCAAGCTTCAAAAGATATCGCTCGACAACAGTCATTGGCGATCGAGGACGTATGACGAATCGCCTTTTTTTGAGTCCATCCAGCGACGCCGATGCCTGTCCCGCATTGTCGACGACGACATCCTTGACGAACCCCTCCTCAACGCCGCCGCACACTTGAGTCAAGAGCATGGTGGCACAGAGCCGTTACCTAAATTCTACAACGAAGAGACTGGAGAGCAGCGCAAACTGCAGAGGCACCGAGACATGGCGAACTGGGACCCTACGTTTCCGACCGAGCCCGTCTTCTGGTACAATGAGTACATTCAGCGCTGCGCGCCCATGGCCACAAGTTGGCTGCAGCAGCCAAGGATAAGAGACGGTAGCGAGGAAGATACACTGGATGTGCGAGGCATGGCTCTCTACAGTCCGAATCAAAGCAGTAATGAGCTCTTGGCCGTGTCTCCGCTAGATGATGGGTCAATAAGCTTATGGGACGTGAAAGGCACTCGTGGACGCAAAGGCGCTATGGTCGCCAAAAGCCGAGATGCTGTGCTCTATCTTGACGGACCTCAGATCATGGGAAGGTCCCGAAAGATTGATACTGGAGTGACCGAGTGCATCAGCATTGACAGTTTCTCCGGAAAAGCCTTCGTCGCTGTCCAAGGACACCTCCGCGAAGTGGATCTCAGTCGTCTAGACATCGTCTCTGAACAATCGTTTGAGTGGTCTATCACTGCTCTCTCTCCTGCTAGTCCCGGATTGCCTTTAACCGTGGGAACATCTTTAGGCATTCATCTTTTTGATTACAGAGCGCGGACAATGGCCCCGAGCGACATCATTGAGAAAATTGATGTCTTGGCTGTCGATTCCACAAATGGGTTCTCCGGAAGAAAAAACGTCTTCGAGTCGGATCCGTTGCCGCCTTATGCACCCTTGTCCCAACCTACACCACTTAGCATTCTGCATTTGCCAAAGCCGAACGATGAAAATTCCTTCTCGGATGACATATACGTAGCAGGGCGCTTTTCCAATATCCTTCATTACGATCGGCGCAAGTTTCCTTCGATTGTAGGATCCATTCATTCCGGGGCTAGATTGTCGAGTCTGGCATCTCTTCCTTATCCTTTCTCTACACTAGACAGCGAAACGCGTCGGAGAGGTGAACTGTCCGTGGAGCAGGTGATAGAGTCAAAAATGAGAAAAGGCGGACGGACTTTAATTGCTTGCGGCGAGTACAACACTAAAGGGTCGTTGGAACTTTACGGGCTATGCCCGTCTCAAGGAGATTTCTCCACGGATCTGATTCAGAACTCAACAATGAAGAACCGGCAAACGTCCTCGCAATCCAAGATTCTATCGGTGACCAATCAAGGCACTCGAATAGTCTTTTCTGATGGCTCCGGCCTCCTGAAGTGGTTCGAGCGTGATGGGTTTACTGAAGTGCGGAGACATAAGATTGGACATAGTGAGATTTCAGAGCGTCCGTCCCTCTTCGCTTCTATGCCTGGCTCAGATGACCTGGCAAGAAAAATACTATCGACGCAAACGCGTAATGGAGCGGATAATGTCAACGACGATGACATTTTGTTCTGGACGGGTGAGAAGCTAGGCCTAGTTAGTTTCTCAGGCAAGCCGGGGTTTCAAGCAGACGAGTTCGAGACTGAGAGGCAAAAATCTGAGGAAGAGGCCAGAGTTGATGAGGCAGAAAAAGAGTACGGTGAGAGGATGAGAATGGCGCTTGAACGCCAGGCCGGCGATGTCAGGTTTGTAAGAGGATTGGGCATGGGGTCAAGGGGATAAAATGTGCAATGTACGTTACGAATTGGACGACGATAAACCAAGAGAACGGGAACTGGGAAGCGAAAGCTGGGACTGGCCATGCGATGTATGAACTAGCAGCAATCAGCACTCATAGAAAATAAATGGGATGAACGACTTAGGCTACCTTTTGCCGATTAATCCGCAGACCCTTCGAATGACCTCAATATTGACTTCACTGTGTAGATCAGTATACCGAGCCTTGGCAACCAATCACTCTTGTAAATAGCATGCTAATACGGCGCATGCTGGAGGGACTCAGCAATGAACACCCGCCGGTTTCGGAAAAGACCCATTCTGACCCTCAAATTAGGCCACACTGAAGGTGCGATGGTTCAGCTGTACACTCGCTGCTTCTGGGACGAACCATGGCTTGACCTTAAATTGACCTTCTGCACACATTAGACTGAGAGGAGGGCAAGACGGAGATTATCCTTTTGCGTGACACGTAGAACACACCCCACCAATGATGGTGAGGGGGAAAAGCTATGACCTCAATTTTTGCCTTGCCATTCAAGACAGGGACGGGGAGAGTCTTTTTTTGGCAGAAAATCCAGGAAAATCTCCCGCAGCAGAAGCGGGATGGGCAGGGGTGGCATAAAGAGGAGTGGGGATTCGCTTGAGGGGCGCTAAAGCATCGTGAGCATTACGCGGAACCAGGCGTCACCGATTCTCCGTGCAGAGGCTGTGCCAGCCCCGGAAGAACCTCGGTCATTGGCTGACTGAGCCCCAAAGCCCCCTCTGAACAGGCTGGGTGTGTCGTCAGGCACCACCGGGGCAGATTGTCGGCCGACATTTGGATTTGGATCTCGGGCAAAGAACCAGCCACACTGCACCTGCGTAATCCCTCCGTCCGCACCGCAACGTCACTTTCTGGTGCCGCCTACTTTCCAGTCTCTCACTCGACCAGAAAGCAATTTTTCGCTCTTTCATCCGCCAGCGCAAACACCGAGAAAATCTCTTTGCGCGCAACCAAAGAGTTATTGGTATTCCTCCATTGAGAATCGCCCAACATGGTGAGACGCTTCATGCCCCGCGCCCAGTTTCCACCTCCCGGCTGCGACCTCAACCCTACCATCACAACAGGCAGAACTAATCGATGCGCTCGTATTATCTAGGGTATCTCACGACGTCCCAAGGACAAATCCGCGAGGGCGGGCCCCGCCGGTCCCTCCGGAGCGGCGGGCAGCGGCGGCAAGCCGAAAAAGGCCACTTACGAGGTCACCAAGAAAAAAGAGATTGGCGTTTCGGATCTTACGTTGCTCAGTAAGGTGTCTAACGAAGCCATCAACGACAATCTCAAAAAAAGATTCGAAGGAGCTGAGATCTACACCTACATTGGCCATGTGTTGGTGTCTGTCAATCCTTTCCGGGACCTGGGCATCTACACCGACCAGGTCCTCGACAGTTACAAGGGCAAAAACCGTCTAGAGATGCCCCCGCATGTCTTCGCTATTGCCGAATCTGCGTACTACAACATGAAAGCCTATACTGACAACCAGTGTGTCATTATTTCGGGAGAGTCGGGTGCCGGCAAGACCGAAGCTGCTAAACGTATCATGCAGTACATCGCCAACGTGTCAGGAGGAGAGACGGGCGACATTAAGCAAATCAAGGACATGGTGCTGGCAACCAACCCCTTGCTAGAGTCTTTCGGAAACGCAAAGACCCTGAGAAATAACAACTCTTCTCGTTTCGGCAAGTACCTGCAAATTCATTTTAATGCGCAGGGCGAACCTGTCGGTGCCGACATCACCAACTACCTCCTCGAGAAGTCTAGAGTCGTCGGCCAGATCACCAACGAGCGAAACTTCCATATTTTCTACCAATTCACCAAGGGTGCCTCTCAGACTTACCGACAACAGTTCGGCATCCAAACGCCCGAGACATACGTTTATACTAGCAGATCGAAGTGCCTTGAGGTCGACGGAATTGACGACCTGGCCGAGTACAACGATACGCTTGACGCCATGAAGATTATTGGTCTCAGTCAAGCCGAGCAAGATGAGATCTTCCGCATGTTAGCGGCGATCTTGTGGGCCGGCAACATCCAGTTCCACGAGGGTCAAGATGGATACGCTGCAGTTAGCGACCAGTCGGTAGTGGATTTCTTGGCATACCTACTGGAGGTCACGCCCGACCAGCTTGTCAAAGCGATTACCATTCGTATACTCACTCCGCGTAATGGCGAGGTTATTGAGTCACCGACGAACGTCTCACAAGCTGTTGCGACGCGAGATGCCCTGTCCAAGGCCATTTACAGCAACCTCTTTGACTGGATTGTCGAACGCATCAACAAGTCTCTCAAGGCAAAGCAAGCAACGACCAACAACATTGGTATCCTTGATATCTACGGCTTCGAAATTTTTGAGAAGAACAGTTTCGAACAGCTTTGCATTAACTACGTCAACGAAAAGCTGCAGCAAATTTTCATTCAGCTGACACTGAAGGCCGAGCAGGATGAATATGCGCGTGAACAGATCCAATGGACGCCAATCAAGTACTTTGATAACAAGATAGTGTGTGATCTGATTGAGTCGGTTCGGCCTCCTGGTGTTTTGTCTGCCATGAAGGATGCTACCAAGACAGCTCACGCTGATCCCGCCGCCTCCGACCGAACCTTTATGCAAAGCATCAACGGAATGTCTAACCCTCACCTGACGCCCCGCCAAGGCAGCTTCATCATTAAACATTACGCCGGTGATGTGGCGTACACGGTGGACGGAATTACAGATAAGAACAAAGATTTGCTTCTGAAGGGTCTGCTCAATCTTTTCCAGGGCAGCGGCAACCAGTTTGTCCATACTTTGTTCCCCCACCAGGTTGACCAGGACAACCGGAAGCAACCGCCATCTGCTGGCGACCGAATCAGAGCCTCCGCAAACGCACTTGTTGAAACTCTGATGAAGTGTCAGCCGTCATACATCCGAACTATCAAGCCAAACGAGAACAAGTCACCATCTGAGTACAATGTACCCAATGTGTTGCATCAGATCAAGTATCTCGGTCTTCAAGAGAACGTCCGCATTCGCCGGGCTGGCTTCGCCTACAGACAAACTTTTGAGAAGTTTGTCGATCGTTTCTTCTTGCTGTCACCCGCGACTTCATACGCGGGCGAGTACACGTGGCAGGGCTCGTATCAGGACGCAGTTAAGCAAATTCTCAAGGACACCAGCATACCCAAAGAAGAGTGGCAAATGGGTACTACCAAGGCCTTCATCAAGTCACCAGAGACACTCTTTGCGCTTGAGCATATGAGAGACCGATACTGGCACAATATGGCTACTCGTATCCAGCGTATGTGGCGAGCTTATCTGGCCTATCGTGCAGAGTCTGCTACTCGTATTCAACGGTTTTGGCGTAAGAAGAGAACCGGTGCTGAGTACTTGCAACTTCGGGACCAGGGCCATAGGGTTCTTCAAAACCGCAAGGAGAGGCGGAGATACAGCTTACTCGGATCTCGAAGATTTTTGGGAGATTACCTCGGAATCAATGCGTCTACTGGGCCCGGATCACAAATAAGAAATGCAATCGGTATTTCCAACAACGAGAAGGTCGTATTTTCTTGCCGCGGAGAAATCTTGGAAGCCAAGTTTGGCAGATCCAGCAAGCCTAGCCCTCGTATCTTGATTGTCACTAACAACAAGTTCTACATTGTTGCCCAAATGCTGGTTAACAACCAGCCTCAGATCTCAGTCGAGCGATCAATGCCCTTGGGCGCTATTAAGTTCATCGGAGCTTCAGCCGCCCGCGACGACTGGTTCTCCTTGGGGGTGGGATCGCCACAGGAGCCTGACCCCTTGTTGAACTGTGTGCTGAAGACAGAAATGTTCACGCAAATGCAGCGTGTCATGCCTGGTGGCTTTAACCTCAAAATCGGTGAGGTGATTGAGTATGCAAAGAAGCCTGGAAAGATGCAGACTGTGAAGGTTCTCAAAGACTCCCAGCAGCCGGTTGACTACTACAAGAGTGGAGCTGTGCACACACAACCTGGCGAGCCTCCTTCGTCCGTTTCCAAGCCGACGCCAAAGGGCAAGCCTGTTCCTCCTCGTCCGATCACGCGCGGTAAGCTGATCAAACCTGGTGGCCCTAATGGACGTCCATCTCGGATTACAAACAGTCGGCCCCAACCCCGACCAGGTGCTTCTTCTGCGAAGACTGGGCCTTCGATGACTACTCAGCCGGCCGCCGCTGTCAGCTCTGCCAAAACTGGACCTTTTGGACGTCAACAACCAGCTGCGGCCGCTGCTACCGCTAACATTCCCGTAAGACCGGCGGCGTCAAACTCTGGAGCTACGAGAATGCCTCCTCCCCCGCCTCCGGCTGCGCCGCCGGCGCCAAACAAGATCATGGCCAAAGTGCTATACGACTTTGCCGGCCAGAGAGAGAACGAACTCTCTATCAAGGCTGGCGACCTTATCGAGATCGTCCAAAAGGAGAACAACGGTAATCATCTTTTCTTCTTAGTATTTAATGCGCAAACTAACACTCCCCAGGTTGGTGGCTTGGTAAGAACGAAAAGGGTCAGGCGTGGGTACCTGCTGCCTACGTCGAAGAGCAAGCTCCTCCGCCAGTGGTGGCTCCCCGTCCTCCCCCGCCTCCTCCTTCTGCCAACGGTGCAGCTGCCCGTGGCAAGCCCACTCCTCCCCAGCCTCCAGTCAAGCGTCCCGCTGCCGGACGAAAGCCGGCTGTCGCTCAACCTCGTGACTCCGGTCTAAGCTTGAACGGTTCCAACGGCTCCGACAGTCGCAGCAACACTCCTACGCCAAGTCTGGGTAACAGTTTGGCGGATGCCTTACTTGCGAGAAAGAACGCGATGCAAAAGAAGGATGATGATGATGACTGGTGATCAAGCTTCGTGTGTGGAATGTCAGAGACGACAACATCGGGTCTCTAGATCTGGACCATGGATTGATGCCTCATGATTGCACGACACGATTGCTCTTGAGACTGATGGGAGAGAATAATCTGGATTGCTTCTAGAGTGGCAAGCGGTTCACAGTCAATTACTTTTTTTTTCGAGTTCTTTCAGCATACACGATCAGGGCGACCCTGGGTGGAAGGAGGTTATGGTCCTGTCTTGTGTGCAAACCTTCTTTGTTTGGTAGAATTGGGAGTAAAGGGGATTCACGGCATATGCGAGCCCTCTTTGGATGCCCCCATTAACTGTGTTGGTTTTTTAGGCGAGGAATATAGAAACATGGGGATTGCCCCCAAAAAAGACTTCTTTACCAATGTTTAGGTTTGATCTGTTTTTCAAAGTAATTTCTACTCCTCACCGTCCTTTTGTAGGACTTTTCTCCGACGTAATAACTCGGCAAGAGGGATGTCTTCATCGTCTGTCATGTCCTCATCCTCATCAACCCCATAATCCTGTAGCCTTTCGCCGTCAGCATTCGTCCACCCTGGTTCACCATCCGCGCCTTGCTCATAATCATCACCAGATTCGTCGGAGATGAGATCATAGTCCGCCTCCTCTAACTCAGCCATAAGCTGCGACCGCTCGCCTTGCCACCTTCGCATGTCCATTTCCTGCCTTGATTTGAACGCCTCCAGCTCCTCTTCCTTGCTTGCATATTTCGGTGTTTTAGACCTCTCAGTGTCCCGAGAAGCAGGCCAGCCCCCATTTCCTCTACGCATCTTTTCAGGGTCTGGCGGCGGCCACATGCCCTCCTTGGTATTATGTCCATTCTCTGGCCAATCCCAGCCCACTCCGCGGCCGGTTTTGCTGATCTCTGGGTTCCCAGCGAAGGGAAAAAACCATATTAACACGTTCCGCGTCCCCATCGCTTGCGATAGGTTGTCGAAAATCCCGATATCATATGGAAATTCCACTTTTTCCAAACGTAGTTTCTTACCATCAGGACCCGTGATTGACCAAAAGTCACCATTGCTCCTGTTGCGGTTGGAAGAACGATCGCAAAGGGCGTTGTGGCGGTCCAATTCCCATCCTTCGATCATTGTTTCGTTCAAGACCCAGCTGCGAATGGTGGAGAAGAAGAGTATGAAGAGGGCGAAGGAGGTGAAGAAGCACACTAAAGATAGAAGTGTGAGGTGGACGAGAACTGGCAGCGAAGGACCGAGGTAAGATGGGAGTGAGCGGTTCTCCCAGAGAGAGGCGAAACGTAGGAATAGCAAGCGGGCGAGACTCCACAACGACAAATTCGTATAGAAAAGGAAGCGGAGGAAGTGCGGGAATGTTCGCATCGAGACGCAATTCGCTGTCCAAGGGCACTGATGGTTTGTTAGCACTTCGTTATAAGGCAAGCCTGGGGAATGTGGAATTGCTTGCATGGTGATCCATCTTCGGAATGCAGCGACGACAGTTACGGCAGTGGTGAGCTCGTGGTGGTTTCGGGGCAGAGCACTTCCTGCACCAGCGGCGGAGAAGACCATATTCGTCTGGCTCTGGGACCTCGATTACACCATCTGCGAAAGTGTACCGTCCGGGGTCGACGGTGCAGGCCTTGTAGTATGTATACCACAAGCAAACTAGCAGTATGTTGAAAGTGTAGAACTCGGCGGATGAGAGACGGCCCGGTAGCAGCGAGTCCCCAGCAACGTAGAAAAGAATCTGGGAAGAGTATGCAAGGAAGGCAATCAAGAGGCAAACTGCCGGCACGGCGAGCCGCTTGATCAGAGGGGAGTCGTTGAAGCCGGCCATTTCTGCGCCATGAGGGAACTCGAACGTCGGACCGAAGAGGTAGTTGGGTTTGTTGTGAAGACGTCGGGGTGTAATGTCAGCCCACGACCGTCGGTACCGGCACGTACGGGCGGGATGTCGGAATACGGAGGTCAGGGTCCTTTGGTGGAACATAAGGAAGCTTGACGCGGTCCAGGAGGTGGGGGCAGCATAGTGGGACGCGTCGTTTTAGGTGGGTTTGATTAGCTTATGTAAGATTAGAGATGTCCCGGGCCACCCCCTGGATCGATCATGCTTGAACCTGAACAGTGCTCCGTGTTTTATCGTTGTTTGCCTTTCTTGTCATAACACAAAATCAGAATATTCGAATTACGGTCTTGTATGATTGCATTGCTTGGCCCTCGAAAAAGAAAACTTGCTTGACCGTTGTACGAAATTGCATACCTATGCTATCCGTATCCTTGATGGACTTTGTGGAGCTTTGAGTGTCCTTCTTTCGCCCAAATGGCACGCGATGTGCATGTGCATCTCACGGCCATATGGTAAGCAATGTCCGAGTCTCCGTACTAGTCTAATAACTAACCACTTCCTACAGTGTCGTTGTGTCCTTTTCATGGATTTCGTATAATTTCGAGAGACATGCCTTGGTTGGTAAGTATTTGGATTCCAGCAGTGCGCCGTGTGGCCGACGATCAGGAATCTAATTCATGTCACAGAATGGCCTCGGTTGTCTTCCGTTCTCATCTTTGTGATATCGGGAGCCCTGACATGGCTTGCAAGTTATCTCTCCAAATGGCTGCCAGGAGCTGATGGCAGGTTTGGTAAGTTTAGGTTTTCATTAACCTCGATGTCTTTTCATACGAAACTTATATTTCTTAGATGAGAGCAAGGAGTCGTTGAAAGGCACATTTGAGCCATCAATCCCAGCAAGGCCAAGGCGTTACTTTATCCCCTTGCTTGTCTTCCTTATTTTCCTCCGTTTGGAGCTTTTCCATCGAGTTACGGCGCAGTTGCAGTGCTCAACACCAGGAGTTCAGGTGAGCCACCGTTACCAAGATGAACGCCATCAAGTTCAGAACTCACTGGAATACAGTCCTTTTTATGCAGCCTGTTGGTATTTTATGACATCTTCTTCTGTCGACGGCCTTCTCCACCTCAGATGAAAGAGCAAACACCTTGGGATAGTCCCTTAGATGACCTGCTAAGGTGGCTCAACACCGCCCCCATCACGATGCTCGTGAGTACTGTCATTTTCGGTTATGGAACTTTCCTTGCCGTTGGCCAGGGACCCCGTTCGACTTATTTTTGCTCTGCCATTCTGGATAGTTGGATCTCGACACTAGCTCTCCAGCTCCTCGGTCTACTCCTAGATGCCGCCATCGCCATAGTCCTACACCGCATACTCTCCTGGACAAAGACCACCAAATTGCGTCTGAAAACGCTTGGGGCAATTCAGGCGCTCACAGGAGTTTTTATCAAAATCTTTCAGATCCTCATATCGCCCTTTGTTTCATCTAGCGAGGGATACCCGTCATCACTTAACGGTGTCGACTCGTTGTACTTCTTCGACATATTCATCGACAGCTTTACGTTCTCCGTGTTGGTCAGCTTGCTTACTATACTAGTCTGCGAAACAAGCCCAGCTATGCCAGCTAGTATTATAACTTTCGTATCAGGCATGTCAGCAGCAATCCAAAACATTACTCGCATAGGGGCATGGCATATCCCGTCGAAGTCTGCCGCTATTATGCCAACGTACCTTCTCTATTTGGGCTTCAGTATCTTCCTGTACACCTCTAACATGCGATCCGTCTTGTTCATTCGGAGATCTTTCATCGTTGCTCTACTACCGCTCCTTCTTGTTGGCATGACTGTGTTCGGTTTCTTGAAATCCGACACGGTTAAGGGTCATCCCATTGAGGGAGAGATCTACAATAATAGAATACAAGCAGACCGATGGCTTCGCCTAGCTTCTACAAGCGACAGCCTCCGCGTAGCTGCGCAAGTCTATCAAGAGCGGCACTATGGGCGAGATCCGCCACCGAACTTTGACAAGTGGTATGAATTCGCCAAAGAGCGCAAGTCGGTCATTATCGACCACTTTGAGCAGATGGAGAGCGATATTCTCCCTTTCTGGGGAATCAAACCGGAGACTATTCGGCAGGCCTACAACGACAAACTTCTCAAGGAACAGCGGATGGCAGTGATCACGATTCAGAACAAGAAAGCGGCTCACAATTACAAATGGGATGATGAACATCGCAAAATGCTTGACGAGTTGATCAACACGATCAATCTCTTTGTTGTGCATTTATCAGACATGAAAATACCAATCAATCTAGCCGACCAGCCTCGAGTGCTCACGCCTTGGTCTGATCTGACCAGATACACCACTACTGGCAAGAACTCTGCTAAGAAGTTCAAGCTTCTGTCATCACGCTCAGTGGACGAGCCAGGCGGACAGACAGCAGCACAGCCCCCCAAGGTGGAAGAAGTTACAAACGAAATATTCATACCTAGTAATCAAAACTTGGCGAATGAAGTTGCGATAGGCTTGCCTCCAGTCCCACCGCAGTCGAGTGCGATGGCATATGCCTCTACCAAAGCATTCAGAGAATCGGAGGCCTCGGTGTGCCCTGCAGGCAGCCCAGGAAGATCGGGCCTTCACTGGAACATACGAGACTTTTGCTCTTCATGCGTCAAATACCACTCTGACAACCAGCTTATTTGGAGCTGGGCGGCATCAAAGAGTTTATGTGAGCAGCAAGACATAACTCGCCTTCATAGCTTCCACATGTCAGCCCCAAAACTCGACCCGATCCGGGAACTGTTACCCGTCTTTAGCAGATCCAAGGCCGATGGCTTCAACGACATTCTGATCCCCCTCCCGCCCTTGGACAATGAGGTTGCTGATGTCAGCAAGCAATTTCGCCAGCGCAAGGATGAGCTTTACTGGCGAGGCACAATCGGCGAAGGCCCCATTAGTGATGAGTCTCTACGGGGCAGTCACAAGAGCCGACTCGTCCATTTGATCAACAATGCCACGGCCGCAGACCAGGTGACGATGATGGTTCTCGCACCTGCACAGAAGGACTACTTTGGCTACGAGATCGTGCGCGCTACGGAGGCAAATAAGATTCTACCCTTTAATATCGGGATCTCGGACTATGCCTGTGAGGGTCCGGCGTGCGATGTTGCGCGCGCTGAGCTGGGCCAGCGGGCCGGCAACGAGGACCCCCTGGAGTATCGTTACGTGTTCTTGCTCGACGAAGACTCCGGCCCGCCTAAAGACTTACTTCGGACTATCCGTTCGCCGGGCAGTGTGCCGGTCTTGACATCTGTGTTTGGAGAGTGGTACTCTGAGCGGCTCATCCCCTGGCTTCACTTTGTGCCAATCGACCTGAGATATCATGCGCTGCACACCACGATGGCATACTTTTTTGGGCTCAAGGACCGAGGCAAGGTCAATGGTCGCAATATCGAAACAGAATCCCGGTGGGAGGATGGCGAATGGATCGCCACACAGGGCAAGCGGTGGGCGGACCAGGCGATTCGAAAGGAAGACATGGAGATTTATCTGTTCCGGCTGCTACTTGAGTGGGGCCGCGTGGTGAGTGACGACCGGGACAGTATCGGATTCCGGCTTGAAAAGTCATAGCTGTCTTTATTATTTTTGAGTTGTTACTGGTAGATGTATAAAAGTTGGAATATCATATGTTCATACCTTCATTTGGCCATAAGTTATGCGACAGCCGTCTTAGTCAAGTGCCTATCGTAGCGAACGAAACTACCTCTCTATCAAAATTGATTTAAAGTGGGTTATGCTGTGACTCTTCAAGAGAGCTTGAGCTTGAAATCCAAGCTATCGGATCAGCTGAATCCCCGAAAATACTATCCCGCGGTTAGACTACACCCCTAGTCTCCGGCCAATAATCAAATGGCATGGTCCGCAGTAGCGAAGGTATGTCTGCTGCTTATTCGAGAACTGCCAGTCTTGCCCATCACAACTGCTTCACATCTTCTGCCAACTAGGCTGGTAACAAGCCATGGATACTTCTTGATGGCAATATATTGCCCCATGGATGCCAGCGAAATGGAATTATCCCTCTTATCATTCATCGCCGCAGTGGTTGGCGAGGCCAAAGTTGACAAGGTCATGTAGTCCTCGCGATAAGCCACAAGAAGCTCTCCACAATATTGATCGACTAATTTACAGAAGGCCTGTTTGCTTGAGGCCCAGCAGGTGCTAGCACACAAGGTGGCTTTCTTTGTCGGCTTTAAAAAGCACGTTAACGCCGGCAATAAATCAAGATGATGAGCGCAGAACAAGAACGAAATCTAAGTGTATCTGTCAGGTTGCCATATAGACGAAAAAAAGACTAGTAGTAGGGTGGGTCTGGGTCGTAGACAATGCCGTGTCGGAAAACCTTGCGTTCTTGGGGGCCATTCAAATGAACCAGTTGTTCCTGAAACCGTAGAGTATTATCTCCTGTTATGTTTCGGATGAGAGTGTCGCTACACCTCGAGGACCCTAAATCCCACTTTTCAAAGTAGGTGGCACGGTGGGTGGCCATCTATCACTTGAGGCCGACCCTTAGGAAAAGGGGGAAATCAGGTTAAGGGCCACGAAACCAGAGCCCCTGGATTGGCGTGTTAGCTTGTCCCATAACCGAACCGATGAATATCTTTCCCCTTCTTTTCCGAGGCTCGTCCAAACTATCAAACAGGGGTGGGTTGTTCGGGAGGTGGTTGAGGCTGAAGCTTGTTTCAGAGTGACAGGCGAAAGAGAGCGGGAATTGGGTTGGATGCGAGTAGTATCAATACCTGAGATTTTGGAAAAGAGAAGCAACCAAAGCATGACTGGAGGAAATCCGAGGGCCAGGTAGTTGACGTGCCATTTGCATTCTATTTGCATTTCGCAATGGCAATGGAGCTTCGAGGTTTGTCACGGATGGGCGGCCGCAGCTTGGGCCTACCTTAAACTCCCTGGCCCCCCAAGCTCCTGATGCCCGCTCCATGACGTTTTCTCGGGAGACCCGGGATCAAAGTATCTATTTGCATTGTGAAAGGTGGGATGCTACGTTTCCTGCACGTACCTTGCGAGGATGTGCCTGCCTGTCCGCCAATTTATCGCACAGGTTGCCTTGAGGAGGCCTACCGAGCTAACGCTTAGCATGGGCTAGGCAGCCCCTCCCCCTCCAAACATCCGGCTCAATGTCACTCTACCCCGCCATTCTCCCAGCGAAGGTGCCTCACAAAGACAGAAATCCGATTGACCTCAGTTAATAGGTTGTTGGGAAAGGTGTGTTGCTTACATACCCACCGCCCATCATATCCGAGTGATTGCTACATCGCACCCTCTAACCTCCAAACGAACGCCCAATCTTTCCTCCGTCTACAACCTTTCCCATCTTGGACCTCGTCTAAATCCAATTGCCCTTACTGCTAATCCCCGCTCGCAACCCACGCGACAGAGCTTCTTTCCATCTCCATTCATTCCAGCAGCTTCTCCCAGCTACTCCGTTAATACCCCGCGCACGCGCGACATATCCTCATCCCACCCCGACTCCTATTCATCACACCGACATCCGCAACTCTACCTCTATCTTTACCTAATCTTGCCGATAAAGCAAAATGGTCGACCGGCCCAACAAACCCACCGCCTTGGCTACTACACCGGGCCTCCCGCCCCAGGCGACCGTTAGCATCACCCACTCCAACTCCCGCGTCTCTGCCACCCTTCCGACCGGCGAGTCTGTTGAGGTTCTCCTGCACGGCGCTACCGTCCTGAGTTGGAAGGATGCCTCCGGTCGCGAGCGCCTCTGGATGTCGGAGGCCACTGTATTCGACGGCTCTAAACCTGTGCGCGGCGGCATCCCTCTCGTCTTCCCCGTTTTTGGCCCCCCCTCCGACGCCCACCCCCCGACTGCTAAGCTCTCCCAGCACGGCTTCGCCCGTTCTTCGCGATGGGAGTTCCTCGGAAAGTCGACGAGCGAGGGCTCCGATACATCCTCAGTGAAGTTGGACTTTGGTCTCTCGTCGGCCAATCTTGACGAGGAGACGAAGGCCAAGTGGGGATACAAATTCGGTGCCATCTACAGTGTTACTCTTGACCGCGAAAACCTTTCTACCTCTATAGTTGTGACGAATGAGGGCGAAGAGCCTTTCGACTGCCAGATTCTTATGCACACATACCTGCGCGTGAACGTATGATGCCCCCCTCCCTCCTTCACCCTCCTGCACTCTACACAATGGAACTGACACTGAATATGAATAGGATATCACACAAGTTCAAGTCCAAGGCCTCGACGGTGCCAACTACACTGACAAGGTTCACTCGGGCGCCTCAAAGACCCAGTCGGGTAACATCACCATCGACGCCGAGACGGATCGCATTTACACGCCTCCGGCCGGCCCCAAGGCTCCGGTCACTGTTCTTGAGGCAGGTGAGCCGATCTATTCTGTCGTCCGAGACAACCTAGAGAACGTCGTCGTGTGGAATCCATGGGTCGACAAGGCCAACAGCATCGCCGATTTCGCGCCCAAGGATGGCTACAAGCATATGCTCTGCGTCGAGCCTGGCTCTGTTAAGGGCTGGCAGAAGCTGGAGGGCGGCGATGCATTTGAAGGTGCCCAGATCATTACTGCACACTAACTATCTCGCTGCGAGAAACTGGGTAACCAAGAATGGACAAGATACAGGAGAGAGAGATGCAGGATGACGCATGCTTTGAAGCGTCTGGGGACACTAGCTCTCCTACGGATGAACAATCTATTTAGAGGGAATATTTAGACGGCCATCTGTGGAAGGGCCCAAAACTATCATGAACAAGCAGGCGCGATGGAAAGCAAGCTCGAAATCTACTCTTAAATCAATTCACGTTGAAACCGCCCACAGTATCGTCGAGAACCCATTGCAGTGAGAATGAGTTGCAAGGTTCATAATTAACTTTTTTTTTCTATTCTACTTCGTTTCATTATCCTGGGTGACGGTAGGGGTCATCAGCACCCAGAAACCGCAAATCAATGCTCGCGACAATTTAATACAACATGATGACGGTGGCTGATAACAAGTGCCTCCTCAACTCATTCCCAAGAGGGCCAAACCCACTCGACTTAATTCATGGCATGATTTCCCAACCGGTTTCGTACAATGAGGAAAGGATAACTGGTTCCTTCTCTCTCTCCAGCCCAATAGCCCAAAAACCTGCGCCAATAATGCAAGACTAGTAACCTCTCGTCGTCATGAATGATATATGGTTTGTGTATGAGGAGTATTGACGTGTCCTCTGGGGATCCAGTAAGAAAGTAAAACGATTAAAATGAAAAACGTTGGTGGTGGCGGTAATATGTGATGAGTGGCGCGAACAGTCTTGCGGCCTCAAGATCGTCCGCGCTTCTCGGCGGCGAACAGTTCATGTTTTATATCCATGAGCATGTCCTCCATTTTGTACACCTCGTCACGCGATAGTGATGCTGAGCGAAGGTTGGCAAGTATTGTGCCAAGAGACTCCAGCATGTTGGCATCCTTGGTCGGCACTTGGGCGAAGCCGTTGGGCTGATCGATAAGGTCGACATCCATTGAGTCCTCCAATGCCACGTTATCAGCAGGTACAGACTCTTGGGACTGGCTTTCACGACTGTCCGCTTCCTGCAGCTCAGTAACGACTTGAGACTGGAGCTCGGCTTCATAGTCCTCACTCCTCGACCCTGTGGAACGACGTGAAGGTGTATCATGCAGTACGTGTAAGCTCTGCTGGGAGACTTCTTCCCCAAGGACGGGAGACATTTGCGAAGCCTCAAGTTGCGATAATGCGGTTTCTTCGGCGTTATCGATTGATTGTCTCTTTTTGCGGCGCGTATCGTACTTGGAAGAGTCCCTCTTGCGCTTCTTGTCAGATTTATCAGGCGACGAGGCTGCGGAGCCTGCCACAGGTGTTGAAGTTGTTGCAGGGAAGCGAGAGTTGCTCTTGCGAGAACGAGTCTGTCGCTGGGCCAGCTCTGTTGTCTCGTTCTCATCCACCGCCTCCTTCACCTCCTCCTCATCCTCCTCTTCTTCTTCGTCATCTCCTCCAACGGTAATGCAGTCAAGCACAACAGCCTTCTTCTTGGCGCTCCTGGAAGCTTTGTTAGCTTTGGGAGGCGAGATAGCAGGGTAATCGTTGATCGGGAGGTCGCACCGTCTACGATCAAGCTCTACTACGAGTTTGAGCATGCTGCTTTCGTCTCCTTCGCTCATATCGAATGATCGATTAGCAGCATTTCGAGAAGCAGAGCGGGTGAGCACATTGGGCGCGGGGCTGGACGGAGCGTCAACAAAGACCTCCTGCCCGGACCTCGGCTCTTCTCTATCAGTTGTGCGATTATTTCGAGGAGTAGACGGTGCGTTGCCAGATTTGGGTGCAGATTCAGACTCGGCAGTGGTTTGCTCAGGTCGCTGTGCCTCTTTTGTTGTCTCCAAAGCAGGTGGCGGAAGTTCAGGCTCAACAACAGCGCTCGAACGAACAGTCTGCATGGAGGTGTCCCCCCCAGATCCCAGGTCGTGACTGGCCTGTCTAGAACCGTGCTTAGAAGTGATTCCATTCGATAGGTCCAGCTCGGTAGGCTCATTCGGGGGCGCTGAAGGCTCTGCAGGAGGAGAGCCAGAAACCGGCGATGAGCTAAATTGCCAGTCCTCAACCTCACTGCGGCTACTAGACCGTGACTTGATCTGAGTGAGCAAAGGGAACGGGCGAGGCTCAGGGGGTGAGGACGGAGGGTCTGTCATATCCTGGTCATGGTCCACCATGGCAACGGCCTGCCCCCTACGGGGAGTTGGAGTTGAACTGACAAAGTCCTCATATCTCTGGCTGCGCTTAGGGGTAGCATCCTGGGGAGTCTCAGGATCTTTATCAGAAACCGTCTTAGGCTTCTGTGGCTCATGCGCCTCCAGCTGCAAGGCGGGGCTAGATCGCATCTCAGGGAACATTGCCGAGGTGTCTTTTTGTCTTTCTCGAATTTCTTTTTGGCGTTCAGTTAGAGCTTGTGACTCGACGTCGGCGTCGGAGTTCAATGGCGACTTCTCAATGGGGGCAAACTGAATCTGGGAGTCGTCGTGTCTCAAGCGAGCAGTGGGGGCACTGCGGCGGCCCCTGCTACGTGTTTTCTTGGAAGAATTATCGACTCGGCGATTCGCAGAGGATTTTTTGACTGAATTCAAAGGCGATGATTGGATAGATCTAGGCTGGAGCCTCTTGCGAGACGATCGAGTTGACCCGGCACTAAGCATGTCGATGTCGTTTTGGGAATCGATAAACGAGCGATTCTGACCTGTTGTTGGAGCGCCGATAGTCTCCAAACCTGGAAGAGTTATGTCCACCAATGATTGGACAGAAAGCAGAACAGCCTTCAGATGATCGGGGTATTGAATGCTCTCTGCGTTTCCAAAAATGCTGTTCCACATCTCGGAAACGGAGTTGATGATGTGTCGGTGCTTGCTTTCGAAGGCAGCGCAAATCAACTCTTCGTAAGTGTCTAGTTGAATTTCCTCCGGTCTGCTACCCGACAAAGCAATCTTGGACACAACATCCCAAAGCGTCTTAACCTATGACCAATTAGCATAAAGTTTCCCGCCATCGTTCATGAGGACTCACGGCTTCCGATGGCGCAGGGCTCTGTCGAGTCTTCAGAATACCCTGCGAGTCCCGAATCCACAAAACGAGGCCATTCTCTAAGGTGGCAATAGTTCTTGGAACAAGCTCGGAGTTGCAGCGAGAGAGAAACCCACTCGTTTCTTTGATGAAAGTAGCAACAGACTCATCAAGATCTCCACGCTCCCCAGCCTCATATAGACGCTCCAGGAGGTCATTGGTCAACTTGTAGAGGGTATCAAATGGGTCAAAAGACGAAGATCTCGGACCAGTGACAGCTGTGCCCCACAGCCGGCGTCGAGCAGCTTCCACAGCCTGACGGTCTAACGGGTGGGATGCAACAGAAAGTAATTCAGAGGTAGCTATGATAGTCTTTGCCGGGATAGAGACAGTCCGGTCGGCTGGGAGGCTTTCCCTAATCACCTTGGCAAGCGGCTCAATTGCTCCCAGGGCTCGTCCAGCCTCACCGGTCTCCTCGCTGGATCTGTTAGACAGCAGCGAGTAGAGGGAGCACCAATTCTGCCAGGGCAGGTTCGGCGTTTCCCTCCAACCACGTTCAAGTAATCGGACCACTGAGCGATATTCGTGGCCAACAGTTGGCTCGCCAGTTGAGCTGGTTGTCTGAGCACTGTTTTGGGACATGTTGAACGTGGCTGCCAAGCACTCGGATGCAAAAACCCATGGTGCGTATGGCTTATGTGATGCTGGAGATGACCAGCTTGGAGCAACTGAGAGCATTTCTTGAGCCAGTTCTGAACGAGACCTTGGTGGTTTGGACGTAAAGAATGGCGAGAAAACAGTTCGGAAGAAGTCGACAAAGTCCTCGCCATCAGGAATACCGGGAGGAAGCACAGAGACCAGACCAAACAAATGGTGGAGCGGCGTCCGAGCATCACCAGAATTCTTTGCAGGCTTATGAGAAGGGGTCGAAACAGGCGTGAATGTATGAAAGCGGCCGAGAGAAATCATCTTCTCGGTGAAGGGCAAGAGGCCAAGTGCTTCAACCGTGACGGAGATAAGCTCCCTAGCGCTGCGAAGAAATCGAGCAGCTGTCTCAGAGTCGGTTCCCTTCATCTCGCTCAGCCCAGTTTCCCAGTGCTTGAGCAAAAGCCCGCACATTTGTGAGATGAAGGATGTGGTGTCTACAGAAACTTTGATTTCTTTGGAAGCCGCAGAGGCAACAGCTGCAACCAGAGTTCGCCACAATCGATGAACCTGGCTCTTTTTATCCGCCAACTCAAGAAAATGTCTTTCCATAATGGGTTCGATGACTTGGAAAACACTTGCGGCATTTCGGCGAAGCCACTTGGGATCGATGGACGGCAACTCCTCGGGACGGGCGAGAGTCGTCTCCCTAATACGTTCTTCTCTCCAAATTCGTGGCGTAGCCGAGTCAAACAATCCAATAAGTACCAGGGTCGCTTGTCGCAAATGCTCGTCAACAACTTCGGGGTTTCTAGCAGCTGCCTTGGGCGGTTCTATAATAGGCCGCACGCATGCATCCCAATAAGTATCGAGAAGAACAGGATTTGTGCCGGGCTTGAAGGTGTAATACAGAAGGTTGCACACACTGCCGAAAACAACTTCTCGGATGTGTTTGCTGGTGTATTTTGATTTGAGCTGGCTGCCCAACGGCTGATATAAGGTGGGAAGCAACTTCACAAACGACTGGCCTTCTGTGTGCATGGACCAAACGAAACGGTTCCATGCGAAATTTGCCTCTTGCTTGGTCTGTGGGTGGTCATTGTTGTTGAAGCTCATCTGAATGAGCTGAAGCCACTGGTTAAAGAACTGCCAACGGTCCAATGGGCAGCGCAAGAAGAGCACAATGACACTCCAAATCTTGGGCACTGCTGCGGTCAACTGCCTATCTTCCTTGTCCTTGGCCATTGTAAACAACCGACGGTGGTAGTACTCTGCGAACTTCATCTCTTCAATGGATGTATCAAAGAGCTCCATCACTTTCCGTGACAACATCTTCTCCTTCCCAAATGTGTATACAGCCTCAAAACCGAGAGATATCGCCGCTGACCTCAAGTCCTTAACTGTGCTCAGCATATCTGTCAGGAGGTCGTTGAGCCAGTCGGAATGAACAGCCATTAACTGCTTGGTCTGTTGAACCAGTCTCCTGTAGATCATAATTCGTGACATGACAATGCTCTTGCCCTTGAGATGCTCTTCGATCTTGCGCAGCGCAGCGACTAGACGACGGACGCGGTCAGAGGTCATCACTTTTGTAGGGAAGTCCTGTGTTGCAACAGCGTGCATCAAGTGTCGAGTAACATCCTTTGGTGTCGACGAGTCCTCAAAGGATCGGATACAGTGATCGAGAAAGAAAACGCCGAAATCGCTGGGTATCGTAGAGGCAATGGCGGGAAAGTGGAGGAAAGTGGCGAGCAGGGAAAGGGCATTGTTGACAAGCGGGACATCAGGTCCACCAGTCGTGAGACTCTTGGACGTGATATCCCGTTGGATGAACTGGACGAACAGACCCATCTTGCTTTGGAGAGCAATGCGATCAGGGAGGTTATTGGATGTCTTCAGCGTCATCACCAATGTCGAATATGCATCTCGCTTCGAGTCTCTGTCAGCGCCTGCGAGCTGCTTCACTGTTGACTCCAACATGTCGGAAATGTTTGCTGGGGTAGCAAGCGTGTCTGCCTCGACGCTGGTGTGAAGTGGACTCGGAGAGGATGGTTGTTTTAGGATTCCCTTCACAGGTTTAGGCTGTGTCGATGACGGCACGGAAAGGGGCGATCGCTTGTTGAGAGAGTTCTGGGCCGCGTACTTGGGTGCCTCGTTGTACTGAGCCTTAGCAGAGAAGCCCACGCGCTTTCTTGTTCTGCGGACGCTTGGATTCGTTGAGTCGGCACCGGACAAGGGCGAGTGCACATTTGGCGGAGTGTGAAGGCTCGATCGTGGATCAGACGATGGAGGGAGGACAAGAAGATGCTTGGAGGTGGCATCAACAGCTTGATTGGTCTCGCGGGGCGGCGTCGGTGGGCGAGGAGGCAGCGACTCGAGTCGGCTTGATACAACTTCGACAGATCCCATGATTGCAGGAAGCTTTCCGTCGGAGCAGGAGATGGGGCACCGGACACCAGCTGTCTCTTTACCCTATCTCGGCTGGCGCATATGTACGTTGGACTCCTGCCAGCAGAGAGAAAAGGAGTGACGGATCAAAGAAACCAAATGCAAAAAGTCCTATCCGTAACGTACAAATCAGTCGGTTCTGTAGGGAATGGCTAGGAGGGGGTTTCCAACGACAACAAGTGTATGGAGATTGAGGAGAATTAGACCTGAGCGAGGCCGTGTACGGAAAGATTATGGAGAGCGGGACCTGGAGTACTTTTCGCAGCACGTCCTCCGTCTACGATCCCAAAATGGATGGTCCTAATTAATTGGTTGGGGGTTGACGCTGCTTAAACACGTCCACGATGCACGTAAAAACGCGAGCTGGGCGCGAAAACCACTTAAAGATGTGGTCCGTGCCTGGCGTGTACCCCAGTAATATGGTTGTCTGGTTGCCTGGGGGTTGGGCTGACGAAGTGGGGCAATGGAATGGCCTGAACTTCCATGTCAGAATTCGCATAGCACGGCTTGCGCAAATGCCGTAGCAACTGGTAGAATGCTGCTTAGCTAAGCTTCCATATCCTCCTGTGGCGTCCGTCGCCATGGGTATCCATAGGAGACCCTTAAAACTTAACTACGTATCCGTAAGAGACGTCAAATTCCTGTCAGCCAGCCACTGTGGCGCCCCCTCTCCTGTGTAACAGTCCGTAGTGGAGCGAAGGAGCTCCGTCTGTCTCGTGATCTTGACTGGATCAATTCCCTTTGTCATATGGGTGACTTTCCATTATCTCTACCAGCCTTTACTTGCTCTACACCGGAATTCTCTCCATCTGATACCGAGCTCTTGGGAAAGTGCAACCTTTCTGACTTTTGCAGATTGAGCGCGACGCCAAATCGGACTTCGCTCTCCGGTCATTGAGACCTGTATTATCCACGTCAAGCCACTTCAAACCGACTTTGAGAGCCCCAACTTGTCAGCCGGCCCTTGAGGCTGTTGAAGCAGTTTTGCACTAAGAAAGAGAGGTACGAACTCAACTTTTATCATCGGGTAGATTCGTCTTCCCCTTTGGTACGTCGTCGTCTTCCGGCTTGTCTCAGGATTGTCATGTGCTCGCACCAAGGAAAATACTGAGTATACGGGAATGAAAGTCAAACCGAGTATCACCAACCAACCGCAAGCTTCTTTCACTTCTCTGTTAGCCGCTGACATATTGCCGGTTCCGTCAATCCGGCACTGGACCCGGTCTTGAGCACGGTTCCGCACGCCGCAACATGTCGCAACCAATCCTCGTGCAGGCCAACCTAACTGGTAAGGGTATGTCAGAACTCACCCCTGACTCAGCAACTCGTGCAACTAACTGTTGTCAGCAAAACTTGAGGCAGTCACTAGTTTGATAAGCAAACTTGGCGATGACCTGAAGAGCCATGCCCTCCTTCCGCAGCGTAAATCCCACCTTAGTTCTTCTGCATCAACGAAGCTGAGCTGATTAAAACAGAGCGAGATGCTGCCCTGGAAGAACTTAAGATATATGGAAGGGATCCGAGAGATGCCGGTCCTATCTTTACACCAGAGGTTAGTCCAACCGCTGATGCAGCCGTTCCACAAAGCTTACTTTTCCTAGGGAATTGAAATTCTCACGAAACATGCTTTCGACAGCCAATCAAACTCTACAGCAAGGGCTGCCTTACGAGTTCTGGCCAACGCTATGCTACTGGAGCCCAAGACCCGTCAAATGTTCGTGAACCTTGGCTACGAAGAGATTGCCTGTAAAAAGTTGAAGAACGACAGCTTCGACGATGAGTTCCTCGTTTCGCGGGTAATCTTCCTCACGACTTACAATACAAATATCGATCTTGATGCCCTTATCCAGAAGCATGGCTTGGCAGACACTATCGCCGAGAACCTGGCGAGGCATGTTAGGATGTTTGAGAATGATCAAAGTAAAACCCCTGTCGACCCAATGGAAGATATGGCCTTGAACGAGACGCTGCGTCTCCTCTTCAATCTGTCTCATTTCTGCCCGTCTAAGACATCGGCCTTCACTACCAGTGTACCCTACATCATCACTTTGCTGTGGAAGCAAGACATATCTGCTAACAAGCCGCTCGATCCTCCGTTCAATTCACTTATCAACGCACTGTTAAACTTGGAGTTGGAGAGTAAAGAGATTCAGTCATCAATATACCCAGATGCAGAGCCTAAAAAGGTTGCCGAGAGGTTGATCGAGTTACTGGATCTGTCGTTGAAGGCATATCCAGATAACGAACTGGAACAACTAACGACGCCGCTCGTCGGTGTCTTACGAAGAGCGCATGACGGCGCCCCCGAGGGTGTGAAGAATTACATTCGCATGACTCTTCTTCCCAATGAAGATGACAGGAAGGAGGTTCTGGGTCGCGGGACATCGCTCACTTCTAGGCTGCTGCGCAACTCTACAAACCCTTTGACACCTCAACTTCGAGATGCTATATCACACCTGCTTTTCGACATGTCAGATAGAGACGCCTCTAAATTCGTTGAAAATGTCGGCTATGGATTCGCATCCGGATTCCTGTTTCAAAACAATATTCCTATTCCTTCGAACGCCACCGAAACGTCCAGTGCAGGAGACAATCAGCGGCCAGTCAACCCCATAACTGGTCAGTTTGTAGACAGAGAGAAGCAAGTTGACATGCCCGAAATGACAGAAGAAGAAAAGGAGAGGGAAGCCGAGAGACTATTCGTCTTGTTCGAGAGGTAAGAGTAGCTTCATGCCATCGCAATACGGAATACTAACGTATAAAAGGCTGAAAAAGACGGGAATCGTGGACATACAGAATCCTGTTGAACAAGCAGTGAGGTCAGGACGATTTGACGAGCTGGGAGATAACAGAGTGGAAGAGCTGGACTAGACAAATTCTGAAGGACCAAGCGAGGACGGACGGGTACGGAAGGCTAAAAGCAGGCAGGTAAATTCTATCAAAGTTTCGTAGTCTTGAGGACCATTCGTAATGTGTTAAGCGAGACAATCATCTATGAAGTGCTAGTATACAGGCCTGGGGGCAGCAGCTGGTTTTTAAAACTGCCAACTGGGAAGGCAATGTAAGCAGGGCTCGTATGCGTGCATCCGGCGGGACCTTCTAATGCCTTCCATGTTAGGATTTCAACATTTTATTCGGCCTACCTAGGTAGTGCAAGGGACTTTCTTCTGTATGTCTCCCCCTTCCTCAAAACCAAACAGCAGAGTTGAACAGGAGACTATGCCCGCTTGAGGGATTGCCTGTTTCCGCTCGTGTTGGTCAACCTTAGATTACCTTACCTAGGCAGGCAATCCACTCTCTATTGTGACCTCGACCTCAAATTTTTTGGTTCACCTTTGGCAGGCACAGGATAACAAAGGCAGCTACGTTCTGCTGTTGCACTGGCACCTTCTGTAACCTCAAGACCCTCGGAGTTCGTATCCCTTCACTCCTTTCTTCAATCGCGCCTCGCCCATTTCCATAAGGTCAAATTCTACCCAGATGTCTTTTTCGTCCCTTCCTTTTCTCAATCACCTTTCACAAAAGTGAAAGCCATCCTCCGATTTTGTCATTATTCATTCAATTTCTATTACGGCGATACGTTTCCTATCCACAACTACACCGCCCTGTGCAACACAGTCTTCCATTTCATCATGTCAGTGCCAAAGGTATTCAAGGGCCGTGAGATTGAGATGACCCAAGACCAATTTGCTTCCGAAAAAGCGTCGTTGTGAGTGAGCAAACACATGAAGATCACTTTAACCTTGATCCAGTACTGAAGGAACTCCAGCGCAGTCACACAGGATGAAGACGAAGAGGATATACCCTTCATAAAGTCTGATATCACCAGCTCCGGGGGCGTGAGGTCTTTCGATACATCCGAGGGCAAGCGTAAGCGCGGCCGACCAAGCAAAAACTCATGTCTCGGTGCCAAAAGACTCAAGCAACCCATCTTTTACACTCATGTTGAGGCTCCTGAGGACCCCAACCCGTCAGATATGGAACCCGTCAAGGATGAGTCGTCGACTGAAGATGGAGCTCTTCGCTCTAGCCCTGAGACTTTCGCCCAGAAAAATCGCAAAAACGGCAAGATGCAGAAATCTACTCAAGCAGTGGTATTAAGTCTGGAAACTGCCCCAGTTGCCTCGATGGGCCCTGATATCCCGCAGTCCCGCGACTTTCGTTCTAGCCCGGAGACCAAAGAGAACAATGATTCTTCTAGCGAGGATGAAAACGATCTATCTGTGTCAGTGGATGCTTCTATGCGTGGCGACCACCCTCACAAGGCCCAAAATCCTACATCATCGGGCAGGGTTTCCAGGGATCAGGGCCAGCAGAGTCGCGTATCGGCCCGCCTCAGGGCCAAAGTCTCGCATAAACATGGGCCTACACGTTCCTCTAACAAACAAGCAGCCTCTGCTGATAAGGTAGTGAGCCTAACCCTCTATAATAAATTCCAAATCTTTAACATCACTTCTAGCCTCTCACTACCCACGGAAGAGGTGTCTGTCGGGTCAAAAAAAGCTCTTCGAGGGGACGGAAGTCTGCCCCTAGTTCCTCTGAAGAGGAGTATGAAGTGGAGTGCATTGTTGATGTCCGAGTCGACAAGCGCACGATGGAACAGCAATTTTGGGTTAAGTGGAAGGGTTATCCCTCTGAAGATAACACGTGGGAGCCGGAACGGAATCTTTCTAAATGCGCATCACTCATCAAAGCTTTCATGAAAAAGAGTCGCAACGCAAGCATTACGGTAAAGAAATAAGCTATTAGGCGTGGCGAGTATCATCGGAGTCTGTGAGGCAGTCCACGCCCAGGTTGCAGTTTGGTTCAGTGTTTGCTGGGGCGTAAGGTTGGCAAAATTTCCACCGATCGGTGGTTTGCAGGTAATTGCTACTAGAGGCATTCGTTTCCGTGCGTTTTTGAAGGCTTCAGCAAAGAGCTTCGCGTTGGAGGTGAACTAATGGTAGGGGATTTGGGTTTTACAGCGTGGTCTTGTAGCTGAGCCCTTACATAGCTACCCCCGCAAAATTCTCCGACTGGTTCAGTCAGTCCAACAGCTAGCCCTTAGCTCTTTTTTGGGGTTTCTCAGTGACCTCAACCCTTCCGTCAACGTGTCGTGTAGACGTCAGCTCAACAATCTTTTTTCCCCCCCCCCCGTGCTGCAGCTTCGTCCCTCCACAAGCACGTCTGCGCCGCGTTCAATTGCGCATAATTCTTGAAATCACCTCTATCGCTGAAGCCACGCCGGCAGATATCCTGAACGATCGCAACCATGGACGCCGTCCGCTCTGCCCTTCAGCCTGTCACCCATAACCTTCCGGCCCCGATCCGCGACCTCGGCGTATCCATTATCGGCGAGCAGTGCTACAAGTCGCTCCTGCTGGATATCAATATTGAGGATACTGAGTGCATCAAGCTTGGTTTGTCCAAAGGCATCGGCCTGGGCATTGTCGGCGTTTCGAGCATTGTCAAGCTCCCGCAGATTCGCAAGCTCACTTCCTCGCAGTCGGGCGAGGGCATCTCTGTGCTCTCTTACCTCCTGGAGACCGCGTCCTACCTCGTCTCCCTGGCGTATAACTACCGCAACCAGTTCCCATTCAGCACTTACGGCGAGACGGCACTCATCATGGGTCAGAATGTCATTATCACGGTTCTCGTACTGAACTACACCGGTCGCGCCGGACTTGCTGCCGTGTTTGTTACTGCGCTTGCAGTTGCCCTCGGCACGCTATTTACTGGTGGCCTCATTGATATGCAGACGTTGGGATACCTGCAGGCCGGTGCCGGTGTGCTGAGCGTCGCGAGCAAAGTGCCACAAATTCTGGCGATCTGGTCTGAAGGCGGTACTGGACAGCTCAGTGCCTTTGCTGTAAGTATTATTTATCTCTTGTCTTCTATTATGTACGGTTTGGAGCTAAATCGGTGCCATCAGGTCTTCAACTACCTCCTCGGATCTCTCTCACGTATCTTTACAACTCTTCAAGAGGTTGACGACAAGCTCATTCTATACAATTTCATTGCTGGTTTCGTTCTCAACGCGGTCCTGGCTACGCAAATGGCGTACTACTGGAACGCGCCATCCAAGAAGGCCAAGGGAAAGCAGAAGGTCCCTATCGCTGCGGCCCCTGCTGCTTCTTCGGCTACCTCGTCTGCCACGCCAAAGAACAAGACTCCTACTACGCGTCGTCGTGGTTGAATGATCTCATACATAGTGGTGGCTATTTGGTTGCTAGCTACCAGAGGCGTGCTTAGATACCATACTGTTAATGATAATACAGTAAGCATACTTGAAAGCATTTCTGTTCACCTCTTTTATGCGTATATGTTGTTGCTAGTCGTACGCACGTATGATGAGGACAAGTATTATGATTGCGTGGCGCAATTCGTTGCCCGACTTGTCTCCGTAGATGGCGCAAAGGGAGTCTATAGTCCACATGTCGATGTTATTGATGTGAGCTGCAATCTTAAGGGGCAATTCATGTACAGTAGGCACATTGGACGAATCATTCATTACCTGACTTCCGTTCTTGGATCTTTCTACCATGTGCTTCATTCGCCCTTTCTAAATAACAATTTTACGGTAAGCTGATAAGATTCATCGTCTGCTAAGATACTCTTCGAAGGTTTAGGAGCTTCGGCGGAAAACATAACTCGAGAACCTATGCTTGAGTTCCTGTTGCGGGGCATGTTGCAAACTGCAATCCGACAACCAGATATGTTTGCCATCGTGTCATCGGTAGTCGAGGGGCAGAAAACTTCCCATATTCAAAGGACAAGATTATCTCGCAATCTTCCTACTTAATAGTCTTGCAACATAAGCACTTTACAAGCATCCTGTGTTGAAGTAAAAACAAACAGTGAAGTGCAGTTAGTTAATCACTCGGGCACCGCTACCAATACTCGACATCAGCCGTCGAGAGTAGAATGCGGGAATCCATTTGGGATCCTGGTCAACTTGTCTCAAAATGGGTTTCCGCGAATCTGGGCCAACCCTTGGGCAATTCGAACAGCTCAAGAGAGACGAGGTTGCTGGTGATAGTGTCAAGTCCAATCTATTAAGATTTACGCCACACAAAGTTCCCGGTGTAGGTAAGCCATCCAACAACGAAGACAAGTTAAGCATGAATACTTTCAAGTATCTACTTCAGCATAAAATTCCATGCTGTTGTCCATGCGTCGCATACGACAAGTCCGCCTCGGCGGGCTGCCGATACCAACTATTATGAGCACAAATACGATCAAGGGCATGCCAAGCTCTCATCCTTCACTACATCTCGTCATATCATAACGAATTGCTAGACAACCTTACTGAATGAAGGTGACCCGAACCAATGGAATACTTTTGCATGACCATTTGGCTTCGATAACCCTCTCGACCACCTTTCTTTCGCCTCATGTTGGTCTTCCAGGATGGTTTCGTTCATCTCACTGGGAGACTCTTGGCTAGCCTGTTTCAACAGTTTGTCAAAGGCGAATACATAGACAGTCAAACGTCAGAGAAATTGCTCTGGTTAGAACATCGCAAGTCAATTCACTGAAGCACTATCTCTCTTCTCTTATAAAAGGGCCATAGCCCGAGACAGTCAGGACGAAACGAAACTAAAAGTGTGGAGTCACATATATGCCCGAAGGCAGTGACCTCCAGCCCCAAGTCCTAGAACCACATTCTCGTCGCTCTCATAGTCAACCCATTTTCAGCGTCCATCATGGCCATCGTGCCGTCGCTAAAAAGGATGTTAGAATACGCCCAAAAAGATGGTAAGGAGGGGAGAAGCCTACTTAATCCAACAAAACACAAAGAAAGAGTAATAAGCACAGTCTAGGTGCGGGTGGCTGCCAAGACGATCAAACCCGCAGCAACAGCAACTCCCCAGACACCGAAGCCGCCGAGCTGCATGATTCGCAGGTTGCGTCGCTGAGCATAAGAGAGTCCAGAGCATTCTCCATGGGTGATGGCCGAAAGAATGTGATCAGCGCGGCAGGCAAGAATAATGTATCCGACAAAGGGAAGAAACAGAGTGGTAGTCATGATGACACAGTAAAAGATCTTCTGACGGCGCTGTGCCATGTCGGAAAGAGGGAGATCGTCAACGGTTGCAGCCATGTCGGCAAGCTCAGAGTCGGTGCCACGACCACCAGCGTTTCGGACAGCATGAAAGGCGCGGTAGCGCGCAAGAACCTCGGTAGAATAAAGATGAGGTGACATCGGGCGATTGATCTGCTGGTCTATGGCGAGAGCCTCAGCGGCGGCTTGAGGGCTGATACGGTTCATCTTGCGGCTGGTCGTGGTTGAAGCTCTGTCTCTGGGATTTTGGGAGGGACGAGGACGTAGAGCGAATTGCGAGCTGTAGAACTCGTGTTCAGGTTGCCGGAAAGGATTTTGTTGATGTTCTGAAGTAGAAGAGAGTCAGTCTGTGGTTCTCTTTTCCAAAGATGAGGAAAACAAGAGAAGTGTATTTCAAGGAAGGGATTTAAGATTCATCAAGTAGTTTTAAGACAAAACGCATCGTTTAAAAGGGCTTGCAATTAGAGATAGGAAGGAGCACATGAACAAAAGGGGCCAGTGCTTACCAGAAACAAACAGATCGCGACAGTCAAAGCTCGGGTTGTTAATCCGAGAGAAGAGTGAACGAGCAGAGTCCTTTCGAACAGCAGGACGAGGAAGAGCGTAAGTGCTGTCTTGTGTAGAAGAGATGCGCATTCCCGGTGAAAGCACGCGACCAGATAAAGTCTGGTCTTCTAAGCCGCTTGCGCGGCGCACCGCCTGACGTCTGGCTGCATCCTCTCGAGGCACTAGGGGAAATGGGAGGTTAGCATACTCTTTGTGACCAACTTGACCAGTCTTTGCCATGCGAGAAGTTGTCCGCATGGGCGCCGCCACTGACTCCAACTCGATGTCTTCCCAATACTCTGGTTGCCGCTGTCGGCGGGGAATTATAGGAGGAGGACGGCTGGGAAGGGAGTCAAGCAAGGGAAAAGGAGCCGATGGTGAAGGAAGAGGGAGTATGGCGGAAGGTTTCCCCCACCAAGCTGTGGTAGCTGAAGGAACTCGGCGGCTTTGATTATACTGATTCTGAATAAGAAGAGCATCAGAAACATTAGCAATGCTGCTGCCTGTTATGACTCGTCCGACGGTACCAACAGGAAAGCCGTCACGGTCATCGGTGACGGTCCTCCAGTCGTCATCCATATCGATATCTGCCCTTCCTTTCACTCCCTTTGACATTCTTGTTGGCTGACTGTTGCCTATGGCATCGTATGGCTCCGCTTCCTGCATACTCGCCTCATCAGATCGGGCATGTGGGATAGGAACAGGTACCTTGACACCAGATGCAGTGACTTCCCAAGATGATTGAATAGCAGGAGCATGATAAAATTCAGTCTCCTGAGTGTTCCCAGTCTTGTAGGGTGAGCTGTGAAGGTCTTTAATGCGTGAGGGGTGTGTTCGATCGACAATGAGACCGCTAGACGGCTGACTGATACCCGTGGCATGATGGAGAGCACGGGAGACCTCCTTTTCAGCGTGAGGGCGCATGAACAGCTTCTTGGATTCGGTCTCAATTTGTTCACATTTCATCTCAGATTCTTTGGATGAACAGGCCGAGAAGGCATGAAAAGGGTTTAGACGACTAACAGAAGCCTCGTCTTTGTCGTTCTCCTTGATATGATCTTCAGAGATTTCGGAAACATCAGCATCGTACTGTAGCTCAAGTTTTGTTGTCTCCTTTTTGTCACCATGTTGAGGCAAAGAGGGGACTGATGATCCAAGAGGGGTACCTTGATCAGTGAATATGGGTTGCTGGATAATATTGTGAGTTGACTCTTGTGTAGCATTAAAGAAGCCGGAGACTGCATTCTTCTTTGTGATATCATCGATATGAGTTTGGGACGTTTGCCCAATAGAGTTCTGGGGGCCCAATACCGCAGGCGGAGGGAGAACTGGCAGTGATGCCAGGATAGGCGATGACTTAGGATCAAGCTTAATAGTGTCCAAAATGAACTCATCATCAGTCGCATCGGGGCTGTAGGGGGCACCGTCTTCGGGATAGAAGGAGGAAGCATCCGGAAAGTTGTTGAGAGAAGTCTGACTCGCAAAGGGGTCTCTGGTGGCAGCAGGCTGATTGCCTGCATCCTTCGAGTTGTGTGATGTTACTGAAGTTTCAATGAAAGCATACTCGTTCTCAGATGCGCAAACTGATATAGAGGCATTGAAAGCCTGGTTGGAAGTATGGTCGGCAGTCTTGCTTTGAGAGTTCATTGCTGATAGAGATTCAGGGCTGGTGGGGCTCATTTCACAACCAGTTTGAATATTGACAGATTTCTTTGTCTCTTCCAAAAACACCTTGTCCTTGAACTTTCTAAAATTTTTGGACTCATTAGAGTCTCTTAGGATATCATCGACTTGCTCAGGAGTCAATTTCGTTTGGTTTCTAAGATCCTCGTCGAAAGCAACCTTTGGAGTAGGCGGCGCAATGTTTCGGTGAGCCTCATTAAAAGAGCTGTAGATAGGTCGATTTGGAGTGAGTGACCGTTTGGAAGGGAGCTGAATGAGTCAGTTAGATAGCTTTCAAAGTCATCTGCGCTGTCAAACTCATACCGTTCCATGGTCCCGTCCGTCGGCCATCTTTTGGATGATGCAACTCCTGCTGTGGGGATATTTGCAAATGCTCTTTCTCTTGCGTGTAATGTGGAGTTTAGCCTTTGAGGTGAACGGGCCAAAGAAATAAACTCCTCTGATAGACGAAAAGTTACGACAAGAAAAGGTGATGGCTAACAATACCCGATGAAAGAATGGGCGAAAGAATGCAGAAAATGAAATATCAGAGATGAAGCGATTTCAAGTCCAAGTTATAACCGAAAGGGAAAATCTTGGGACAGAAAACGGGCGAAGAGTTCAAGAATGAAAAGAATTTTCCAAGAGTGAGCCTTTGTAGAAAGAACCCATGCCAACGCTTGTTTGATATACTCAGAGGTAGAAGTGCGGGTGTGAGTTTGGGATGGATTGGTAGAAGTGAGGGAAGAAGACTGAGGGAAAAATGAGACTCCAAAACGGGAAGCAACATGGAACGGTAGAGCTGAAGTGAGGAAGGAACGAAAGGAGGTCGCAAAGGTACACTCCGTGTCACGGCCATTCGTTCTTTCCCATCTCCGGCAGGTCGTCGCTGCCAAAGCAAAGAGCGGGCTCTATTTTGTCAACATGACAAGAGACGCGGGTGAGAATGATGGGAGCGGACACTAGAAAATAACTTGACTTAAGTGATGAATACACCAATGATTCACTGTTAAAGGAATCGAATTCGTCAATTCTCGCTTGAAACCCAGTATCTTTCCTACCTCTGACAGCGACATGTGTTGTCGTCGAGGGCGCACTAGACACACATGGCTGCCTTGATCGCGTAGGTGCTCCATGTTTTCTTTCGACTCTCAATTTATCATTGTGGTCTGATCAGTTTCATGTAGGCCATTGTCTAAATATTTGATAGGAAAGAGTGGGTGCCGAAAAAAAAACAATACATCGACATTGCACTCGAACCGCCCCCGTGGTGAGATCATGGACGAACGCTTGCAGTAATCGGATACTAACATATATTTCCCTTTCGTCACTTTATATTTAAAAATTTTTTTTGTCACTTCTAGGCCTGAAGAATTCAAACAACTTGTGATGGTGTGTTCAGTATTAACTAGATTACCCTCCACGGAAGATAATTTAGTAGCCGATTCAGCCAAAGGCTTCCAACACTAACAACTATGAACAAGATCACTTACAGTATCAGAAGCCAAAGAAATCAGTTAGAAATATGAAATGTTATTTAAGAATACGAAATGCTGAGCCTTGTTTGACTGATTCTGCTGTCTGACCTTTGTCCAACATGTTTAAGCTTAAGGAGGGAGAATGGAATTCCATGAAAATATGATCCGTTACAAACACTCAAATTGAGTCTTATGTCTCGTAGTATGTGCGATTCACCGAGCATGTCAACCACAGTGGTTGATGCATCATTCTCTTTGACAACAATTTATGTATGCCAGTGAAGGACATGTCGTTGGAAAGGAGGGTAAGTATGCACAACCAACCATCAAACGGTCGCCATTTGGTAAGCGAGGGTCTAGACCCAAGGAGGTTAGTGTGGGTCCCCTGCGATTGGCGATAATTATTTACGATATCCCTGAGCCTAGCACATAGACCCTGTCACCTTCCAACCTTTTTCATGTTGAGATTCAAGCCGTGTATCAGGATATTGTGTAGAGAGAGCCGGGCGCACTCCTAGCATCAGCTACATCTTGGCAGCAATGGATTTATCTCAGAATATGCGACGACAAGAGTGCCAAAGCACGTTCAGACGGTGGTGCTTCGGTAACGCCCTTCCCGAGTCACTTTTCCGTCTCCACCTTGGTTACTCTTCCAAGTTTATGAAGCTTCAGCCGGACTTGTGGTAATCGAAGCGACAGCTGTGCCGCTAATGATTTCCCCCGCAACAGTGAGATTAGAACTTGAAGCCTCAGATCTACCACATCCGACTTGGCGAAGCATTCGGACAAGGCTTAGCAATTATCCAAACCAACCTGCTAGCCCGTTGCCGATCTACGACATACGAAACATTACTATCAATCGTGATGGATCTCGGCACGGATTAACGCAAGATGAACTCCAAACCACCCCACATCTACCGAGAGGACCAAGTCAGGAGACAGGCTTCTAAGGAGATTGTGGAAGTTTGAGGAAACTGGCGCATTAAAGAGTCAAGCAGATAGAGTTCGGCCTGTCCGCAGTCCGTGCTCATAGGTATCGTCCGAGCCTAATGGACCGAAGATTGACAGACGCAAGCACTCAATGCGTGCGGGCCTCGTAAGACACGGCTCCAGTCACCACTTGGGGGCGAACAGGCAAAATCCCAAACAGCAAGCTCCCTTGAGACAGTAAAGATCGGCACCGCCTGAGAAGTTTGGGTTTGTGGCAAATACTTGACTGACGAAGACAGGGCGAAAAGCATTGTTTCGTCCGCGAGTGTTACTAAGGAAGCAGAAAATGCCGCTGGCTGTCAATCAACAGGACCCTTTCCTCGCCATCCTATGCGTCAGCTACAGCATTCGGAAATGTTGTATGCATTGCAAACACATCGCATGGCATAGCATAGCATGACATGGCATAAAGGCGCAGTGCAGCCATGAGCCGGACATGTGTCTCGGCGCGTGCTGGACTTGGTGGGATGCAGAGGTCAGCATTCTAGCCAACGTTATCCTTTCGTTTGGCCTTTGCATCGGAGAATGCTCCGTGGGTCTTGCTGAGTCGTCATGGACCGGTCAGCAAGTAAAGAAGAGAACGGGGATGTGGATGAGTGTTGGCTTCAGTGGTTGGCAGTCCAATCTCAATTTCCAAAGTGTTGGAAAGCCTCAAAAAAGGAGGCGACCAGAGACAACGATGTGCACGGGTGAGGCAACCAATGAGAGGTCGAACCTAAGGCGGCGCAGCCAATGATGAGCGGCAAAGGGCCAGCCCCCCGTTGCCAAATCCAACCAGATCTGTTGAACCCGGCCATCCCTCGCCTCCCGCCCACCATTCCCCCCACAGCCCCTGAGGGAGGGCACTCGCATGCCTCAACTCTTCCGCCCGCGCCGCTCTCTCTATCCATCCAGCGAACCATCGATATGGGGCGTTCTCTCTGAAGGCCACGCAGCTGAAAAGACTGTCAAGCTGACAGCGTGCATATGTGAGACGGCATCAACCGCCGAAATATCATGCGTCATTGTTGTCTTGAAGCGCAGCGCAGGTCAATCGAGATGTGTGATAGAGGTTCCTAGCCGGGGCTTGCAAGGTTAGCGATAGCGAGGATGGGAATGTAGGTTCGTCAAGCTCCAACGCTATGTGGCCTGGAGACGCCACGTTCCTTGCACTGGGCGGCGGATGGCAGTGATGGAACTCGCACTAAATCTGCCATGCGCAACGCCGCACACGCATATCCGCCTTAGCTCCCACACACCGCTCGTACGACCGTCCGCTGCCGTCCACCCAAACCACCCCCAAACGTCGTCCCGCTGGGTGGGATTCTGCATATGAGCGCCAGCCAAGGGGGCCTAGACGGGCCTTGCAACGTTGTACGGCCCTGAGCTGGGTCTGCCCATGCAGCTGTTGTTCTCCAGAGAACAGGCTGGCCGACGGGCAATTCGTCTACCACTCGCCTCACTCGATTACTCGAAACCGTTGTTTTTTGTTTCGTTTCTCTGGCATGGTTCTCCCAAGTTATCCATTCCTCGTTAGTTGCCGTACGCAACCATTGGACACCGGCGCCGGCCACACTTCTCCACCGGTCGCTCAATGAGATTTCCGGGCGCACATGACACCAGGGCGCTCTGCTGCCCGTATTTCACCTTGACGCCCCCGGCCTGCCAACCCTTTTCCTACCCCGATCTTCCGAGATTTGCCCTTTCCCCTCCATTTCACCTTTTCACACCCATCTGCAAATTTCCAAGCATGTTCAATGGCGTTTTGGGTGGTAGGAGGGGAGGCAAGGCCATCGTCCCGCGACGAGGACCATGCCCTCAGTGCCGACCTGTACGTTGTGGGTGGCAAGCGGCGGGTTGGTCATCTCGATGAGCACGGTTTTCAGGACAATTACGACAACCACGACGAAGCTCCTTTGCCCAAGAGAGCGAAGCTATCGCATTATACCCCCGAATCGGATTCTAGCTGTTTACCGCGGGGATCAATACCTGTACAGAACTTGTCGTTTCTGGTGATTCGAGAAGAAGCATCTCCAACACCTCCGACCCCCGAATGTGCAGAGCTCGATGTCAGCCCATCGCCAATGGAACGGACCGCATCCGGTTTATCAATCTCTTCGGACACAAGCATTTACCACATCGCAGACAATGAAGAATCGAGACTTTTGGGCGACGACGCCGCTGCTCGGATGGTTGAGGACCGACTGCAGCTCAGTCGTCGACGGGCCAAGGACACTCAACATGAGAGGATCCTAAGGTCTCTCATTCAACCACGGTCTCGACACGCCGAGTTTTCCATTGACAACGCTGCTCTGGAGAGCATTTTTTCGGCCGCAAACGAAATTTTTTTCCACAACTCTCTCTCTCAGCGCGTAACCTGGGACTGGTCCCATGCATCAAGTGCTCAGTACAAGGACCATATTATCGGCACCACAGCTCTTCGGCGCTCAAAGATGGGAGGCTTTGAGACGCTCATAGTGCTTTCGAATCCGATTTTGAAAGACAAGAAGTACAATCGCCGACTTCTCATTTCAACCTTTTTGCACGAGCTTATTCACAGTTACCTTTTCATCAAATGTGGCATTAAGGCTCGTTATTGCGGCGGGCACACACCAGGATTTCGAAAAATCGCAGAACTCATTGACCTTTGGGCTGGCCCAGACAACCTACACTTGCGCGACATGGAGGCCGACTTGGATCACTTCCGGGAGGACGAGGGTCGATTTGCAGTTGATGATCCTCAGTTGACGGACGCCCCCTCACGAGCCATCTATCAAGGCAGCCATGAATATCTCATTCCTCATCATCATCACACAATCTATGACCACCATGCCCACGACTACGGGAGATCACGAAATCAGCATCAGGACCGATGGGATTATTGCATCAATGACCACCGAGGGCACTTTCCAATTAGCAGGGCCAGCAGTCCCACATCGACAATCCCGACAACAACTGAGGGGGATTTCGAAGAAGTGGAGCCGTTGGAGGAAGGCGAAATCCGTGAGCCACGTGGTCGACTCTTCTTCCCTGACGATTACGCCTCTAGTAGACATTCATCTGCTCACTACGAACGGCACTATGACTCACACTTTGGGCGATGGGCCCGCCCCGATGACCGACGAGGAACATCAACTTTGAGTTATGACAACAATACTAACTCAGTCATCACTATACGTTAGGAGATGCCGCAACACGATATGGCATCACCAATTTGTGTATATATACGTATACATATTTCAGCCTATTTCCCTTTTGTCTTGGCCTATTTGAATAAGGTTGTGCGGTTACTTTAAAAGCATATTAGCATGGCGACGGTGTTATTGACGGTTCTATCAATGGTTGTGGCGGCGGTCGTTCTTACATGGGAATCTATTAGGTGCATCATCATGGGCTACTGGACAAAGTACAATCTTGTAATTCCCTTCGTCTCCATCATTTTAGACACCTATCATGCCTAGCATTAGCATTTCAGACGTACTATACACATAGTATTTATTCCATATATATTATCTAACAGACTATAAACATGATGCCTTGGCTCTTATGTGACATTCCTCGCCCTGAAGTGCTCTCCAGACTCATGGCAATGAACCCTCTGAGGGCTGTCCGCCGACAACACTGCACATGCCCTACATACAAAGAACTGCGACACAACCTGCATACATTGTTTGACAACGCTGACATCGACAAAAAGATTGAGCCCTTTCCATGAAACCATGCACCTCCTCCTTGGGGGGCGCTATGAGGTGAGGGAACGTGCCCGTGCTGCGACAGTTGGCATTTGTGCCAGAAGCACCCAAGCGTAACTGCAATTATGTGAAGATTACAAAATGGACGTCTCGCCAGGAAGACTTCTGGAATTGAAAGACAGCAAGCCGCATCCCAACTCGTTCTCTACCCAACTGAAAAATGGCCGAAGACATGCGAACAAGAAATCTACCGCAGCGTTGTCAGCATCACTCGTCAATATTTCGCAAGAATGAACACCTAATACAATCACAATCATACAACATCAATGACGTCGCAATCACCTTGACTGAGAGTATTACAGGGCAAATGCAATGGACCGCTCGTGAAAAACCTCTTAAAGACACCGTCGCTCGCATTTTGTCAAAACAGGGCGCCGAAACAAACCCAAAAATCGTCTCAGCCAGCACCATCTTCTCGCTTATGAAGTCAATTGACGATCTCTGCCTCCTTGGACTACTTTTCCCCACAACCCAGCTCAATCACGTCTCCCACCCTGTCTTCCTAGAAGTTGGACAGGCGCGGGGTCGCGTAGGGTGGACTCAATCGCTCCAGGCCAAGGCCGGGCCACGCACAAGCCACAGCATCCTTATCCGTCTGAGCACAACCCGCTACTATGGCGACGACAAGAGGGAGGCCTTGTCGCTGAAGGAAGTCATACAAGTTGCGATTCACGAGATGATCCACGCTTACTTGCTTCTGCTTTCATGTCGGCAGAGGCAGTGCGGAGTCGAGTTTGACACTATGCACCGAGACTCTGATGGAAGCGGCCACGGGCTTGCTTTCGTCGCCCTGTTGAAGGCTGTTTTGGGGCAGGTTCAGAGCTGGGCGCCGCAGTTGAAGGAGTTTGGTATGACGGACGAGGCCATTGATCCGTATGAGGACTTTAGTCTCAGGTTGTGGAAGAGAGGTGAAGGTATTTCGGCAAGGACTAAGGAGCAAAGGGTGTGGTGGCTGGCAGCGAGACCATTGTAACTGTTGTGAATTGAGTCTGTGTTCCTGGTACATTTTCTAAGGCTTGAAGAAAGAAACGGTTAGTGCTGTGAGTATCAAACGGGTTTACATCTTTTGTGGCTCAATAGGCCGTGGCGCTTTATGGCATTGTTCAATGACGAAGTGGAATTATTTGTCGTGTGATGGATCTGATCAACAATGACAACACATAAGTATCCGTTTTGGAAACATGCGACTCTTCTGAAGGTCTATTCACGAACGTGTAGTAAGGAATCAAAGACTTCGCCGCACAGAAGATTGGTATTACGGCACATTGTCGTGGAGTCCGTATCATATCTGATCACGTTTCTTTGGGGCTTATGATAGTTTCAACCGACAACAATGTTGCAAGCCACCACGCAGTTGTCTCCTTGGAAAGAGACTTTCTGCTTCTGGTTGGCTCATTTACTGTAAAGAATCGTGATTTGAAGTGTTGCGATGTCATGAAATCGCAAATTATCTAGTCAAGAACTAAAGCCATCGTTGATCCACTCACCGCATTTGTGTAGTTATTGTTGCAATGACACTCTATGGATGACGCTATCTAAATGACCTCGATTAGAAATAATGGCGGCAATCTATTTCACATTTAAGATTCACTATCAAGACTCGGTTAGACACTGTGGTCATCCTCCGCTTCTGCTCATAAGGACGCAGGCGCAATGGAGCAGATCTGTGTTTCTTATAGGGAAATCACGGAAACATGCTGTACAGCCTCGGGAGCACTGTGAGCTGGGTTAAAATAACACATACCACGTCGTGGTAGATCGGGGTCTTCTTGGTTTTGAGGAAGCAAAGGTGTATACCTCTACCATCTTGTTTAATACATAATTGTCCGTCAGACAAGCGAATCCACGTAAGTAAGCATCTGCCTTGGCTGAAACATAACTGAGTCGTATTAAACACGCAATGTAATCTTGAGAATTGACTTTACATATCGGACGGCTACTTGTGCTGCAAGTCGGATTTATCTATTGTCGTCGGTCTATCAGACGCATGCTGATAATATCGTCTACGAAACTCCAAGTTGGGACTAGTTTGCGGATAGTTTGCGGATAGTTAGCTTACTGTCGTGCTGGCTCCGGGCCTCCGGACCCACTCTGCCGCGTCTCGGCCGCGAGGTCACGTGACCTCGCTCCAGCGACCGTATTCTTAAGCGTCCTTCGCTCCGCTCGCTCACTTAGAGAAGACAAGCCGTTTTGTTCCTAGTTGATGCCGCCCGTGCCTGACGTCGGTCACCACAGTTATGAGCCCAGCTTACCACATCACCCCTTTCTACTGTTAACCAGACGAAGGGTTCGTGGCGGAACACCATCAACTCCTTACGGTCTTCACAAATTTCGCTTCAAACAGCAACTTCTACAACGAAGATGTCGTCGCAGATATCTGTTCTCACGAGTACGACAAGGCTAACCTGCCGCCGGGACTTCCCCGTTTGGTACGACGCTCTCTACGCCGAAGCCGACGCAGCAGACGTCTGGGATCTCATAGACCCAGACGACACTACGTCTCCGTCAGACCCAAGAGAGGACGATGAAGAACTCTCGATCGAATCATGGATCACGCAGCAGAACGAAAAGCAGCGTAGAACCTATGATCGGAAGCGGAAAGCCTACGATTCGATTCTCCAGCATAGGGCAGAAGCGAGTGACGATACAGGGGAAGAACTCCAGGAGCCTGTAGCACAACCAACTCTCACGCAAAACACGCCCGGGATCTTTGAAAGATATACGAACTACCTCGCTTCAAAATCAGGCCGCGACGTCCTCAAAACTCGTCGGGAGCGGGACTTCGACTCTATTCAGCGTTGGGTTAAGGAAACGGTCGACAAGGACATCCTCTACGCTGCGAGATCGGAGATCCTAGCGAAGAACCAACGTTCACTCCGTGCTCTTATTCAGTACCTTCGGAAACGCTACGCTCCAAGCGAATCAAGCAGTCAAACTACAGTTCGCGAAGAGTACCTTCTCCTCCTGGAAAAGGCCAACACAAGCGTAAACCCCCAGACCTGGCTAAGAGACTTCCATCGAGTACTGCTCCGCGCGCTTCGATTCAGAATACCGGAAAGCCAGGGAACGCTCGCTTCGAAAACTTTTCTTCGAGCGGTGGGACACCGTTTTGCCCCCTCCTGGGCGACCTCCGAGCTCACTGAAATTGTCAAAATGGAGCGCAAGGGGGACCGCATCCCTACTGTAAGTGAATACAGGGATATGCTGGAGGACTTGCTGTATGAGGACACCCTATACGACAAAAATCGGGGTAAAACAAGCGGTGTGTACGCTACCCTTGCCGGTCGCCCGAGCGAAGCAATCTCAGATGGAAAAAGCGGTTCGAAAGGAAAAGGCAAATCCGAAGCGTGCCCCTGCAACAAACCCCACAACGCAAACCCCCTGGAGTGCACCCGCGTGGAGTACGCCCTTACCGGGCGAATCAAGCCTTCCCAGGACAAACTATCGAGGGACGAGTGCAAGGAGATTCGAAAGCGTATCAATCAGTCCGAGAACTATGATCTCCGAGCCGAATTAGCTCGGAAAGGCTGGATCTGGGCGACGGAACCTCCCAGCTTCCGAAACCCAGCGCCGCCTCGCAATAGGTCGTCAGGAAATACCGGCTCTAAAGCGAAATCGCAGCAAGAGGAGAATGAGTCAGAGGTGACACTGAAGAGAAATATCCACGCAGTAACGATCAGCCGTGAACTTCTCCGGGAAATTTCGGACGACTTCGACTCGGACTACGACCAACCAAGCGTATTTGCAACCCCACTGACGGGACCCCATGTTCTGTCACGAAGCACGGTTCTCGACAACTGCGGAGCTACGCACCTTGTTAACAACCTTGACTTGCTTGAATCGTCTTCTATTAAAACGTGCATCGGCGACGAGAGAGTCGACTCAGGAACTGCTTCGTACCCAATCCTAGCAAAGGGAACGTGGATCTTGCCAAAAGCACTAAATGGCCCTGATGGAGACCTCACAGCAGACCTTACGCTCCATAACGTTGGATACGTAGAGAACTTTCACGTTAACATCGTTTCGGAAGCACTCCTCCGAAAGACAGGCATCTGGTACTCCGGATTGGATAACACACTTCGCCAGGGAACGTACAAAAACAGCGTGGTAGTCAAGCATCTTGTTAGGAAGATGAACATTACTTTCTTCGAATATAAGACCGGTTCCCAGTATATTGCTCAGAAGCGAATTACCTCGAGTAACGCAGGAATCGTGAACCATTTGGTGCTTGCAGTACAGGATCCCGCTCGACTCTCGCTTCGTAAACCACCTGATAGGTATGATGACGCCTGGTTATGGCACCTTCGTTCGGGTCACCTCGCACCAGACGCACTAGAACGAATGGTGTCAAACGTGAGAGGAGTAAAGATAAAAGGACCCACGCGTCTGGAATGCGAATACTGCGCGACAGCGCACGCGAAACAGTTAATTTCGAGGCGAACCTCTGAACGGAAAGCAATTCGACCGTACTATAGGGTCTCATGGGATCTCTTCGACTACCCGACAAGCTTTGACAAGAACCGCTGGCTCTTAGTGATCAAAGACGAATATACCGGTCGTCTTTTCGCGTTTCCGCGCGTAAGTAAATCGCACACCTTCGTCTTCGACGCTCTCAGGCACTTCGAACGATGGGTCGCTCGCCAACGAGGCGTCACCCTGTGCAAGCTGAGACAAGACGTAGAACGCGCGGTAATTGCGATAAACGGAATGACTGAGTATCAACTTTGGGCCCAGCATAACGGGATTGAAATCGAAGAGACACCCCCCTACACCAAGGAACCCAATGGCGGAGGCGAACGAGCGGGCCAGGAATTAATAACCCGAGCGATAAAGATGCTCAGCGCAGCGGGCCTGCCAACTACTCTCTGGGTGGAAGCAGTCATGGCAGCCGCCTACCTGTACAATATGTCACCACGGAAGCGAAGAGCTTGGCTCTCACCAATTCAAGTCGAAGAGAGCTGGTTCCGACAGTATTTTCGCTGGTGGCAACCACAATACAGCGCGAGCCTCGCCCGCGACCTTCGCCCCCACTGGGGCTGGACGTACGCGTATGGGTGTAGGGCTTATCCCCTGAAAAAGGACCGCGAAGCGGATAGGAACAGACGTAACTTCAAGGTGGAACCGCGAGGACATATTGGATATCTGGTGGGCTACGTTATGGACGCTCACAACCTATACAGAGTCTGGATACCCTCGCTTGATCAAGTGATTATCACGCGAAACGTTACCTTTGACGAGACGAAGTTCTACTCGAAGGACGATGCAAAAGCTAGTTTACAAGCGGAGGTGGCCGAGACAGTCTCCACGGAGATCTCGGAACCTCCGGCTACGGCGAACCCAGGACTCCAATTCCTCGGACTTGCAAAACCAAGCGAACTCGTATTTTCACTTGAAGAGCAGCCCCTGCCACCTGCCTTCGCGCCGTCGACCGTAATCTCAGAAGAGACAACGGTAAAACGCTCCGCGGTTAACAGCCGACGCGAAGAGGGCCTGCTCACCCCGGAACCGACCCCTGAGCCGGCCGCAGCGCCGGAGGGGACGGACGGGCAAACGACCGGCCAACAAAGCTCCGAAGCGATGGACGCCGGCGTTCCCGACCCGGGGCACGAAGCCCTCTCTGAGGCGGTCGAAGACGTGATATACGTCAAGACCAACAACGAACCTCCACGAGAACCGGCCGTGGAGGCCGACTCGAGTAATGATCTCGGGGGTGACTCCCCAACTCACCCGGTGCGGCCACACTCGGATAATGGGAACGGGCGCGAACCCGAGATAAAGACCAAGCGGGTGTACAACCGCAAGGACTACGGCCAACAACAGGGCAAACCGAGACGATCACCTCGCTTCGCCCAACACTTCGCATTCCTACAAACGGAACGTAATTGGGAAACTTTCTTCCATACCTATATGCCTGATCAGCAGAAGGCTGTGGAGGAAGCGAACCAAGCCCACTATACGCTCCATTGCTTCGTCTTCGCGTCAATACACCAAGCGAAGCACTCCAGAGCGGTCACTCCACAGCGAGTGAAAATACACACAGATGAGCTTATAAAGCCCCCACGAACGTGGAAAAGTGTTGAAAAAATGCCGACCCACCTCCGAAACCTGTTTTACGAAGCGGCCCAAGCCGAGATAAGTAAATTAGAGGAGATGGACGCTTGGAAAATCATTGACGAACACGAAGCGTCTACGAAACCTATTCCTCTAAAGTGGGTGTTCACTTACAAGCTTGATCAAGACGGCTACCTCGACCGCTGCAAGGCACGAATTTGCGTCCGCGGCGACCTCCAGGCGAAGCATCCTCTCGAACAGACCTACGCAGCGACCCTCGCAGCAAGGACGTTTAGAGTAGCGATGGCGCTCGCGGCGGAATTCGACCTTGAAGTAGACCAATTCGACGTAGTCAATGCGTTTCTAAACGCAACAAGAGGACCGAACGACCCGCCTGTCGTCTGCTACCTACCAGACGGCTTCAAACAGAACGGGAAGTACGTCGAGCTCCGCCGTGCCTTATACGGGCTACGAGACGCTCCCCTCCTTTGGTATAAGGAGTTCTCATCAACGCTGCGGCGCCTGGGACTCAAGCCTGCAAGCGAAGACCCCTGTCTCTTCACTTCAAACGACAAGAAAGTGATGGTACTCTTCTACGTAGACGATATCCTCGTCTTATACCATAGGGACCACCGCGAAGCTGCTCAAAACGTTATAAACGGGGTGAAAGCCGAGTATGAACTCAAGGACCAAGGCCCTGTCGAGTGGTATCTAGGCATTCGCGTGATACGTGACCGTGAGAAGCGAACAATTAACCTCGCACACGACCAATATATCGAACGCGTAGCGAAGAAATTCAACCTTATCGACTCGATCGTGCCGCATACACCATTGCCATTCGTCCCGCTCCAGAAGAACACCGCTGAAGAGACCCCTGACCAGGTAAAGCAATACCAAGAGAAGGTCGGCTCAATTCTGTACACTGCGATCATGATTCGCCCCGACGTCGCCTTCGCTTGCGCTATACTCTCGAGGTTCCTAACGAACCCGTCTCTCGAACATCAGAAGGCCGCGAACCAAGTCATTAGATATCTTTATCACACTCGCTACCTTTCGCTCTGCTTCGGTAGCTCGGGGGGTGCAGGTGCCCAAGTTCTCCTAATTGCGGGCGACGCCTCGTTCGCAGACGACGAAGAGACGCGGCGTTCATCTCAAGGGTACATCATCTCACTGTTCGGCGGTCCCATTCAGTGGAAAGCCGCGAGACAGAATACCGTTACCACTTCTACTACAGAAGCGGAACTCCTTAGCCTCGAAAACACTGCTAAGGAGACCATCGCTCTCAAACGCTTATTTCGGGATATTGAACTAGACCTCGGAGACGTATGGAAGATCCATTGTGACAATCGCCAAACGATTCGCCTGGTAGTAGGCGACAAGGAACGCATCTCAACGCGCCTTCGCCACGTTGATATACAGAACATGTGGCTACGCCAAGAGTATGCCAAGAAGACGTTCGACGTGGTATATATGCCTACCGACGAGATGCCAGCAGACGGTCTCACAAAAGCACTCTCCCGAGCGAAGTTCGAACACTTCAGGGCACTTCTAAACCTACAAGACATTCGGGCACAAGTCACAAGAAGCGAAGAGAAACAGGTGCGCGCGAGCAATGCTGGCCCGGAGGCCGAAAGTTAAATTTTGACTTGGCCCCTGGCCAGGAAGCATGATACGCTCCCAAAGGAGCAAAAGCAAGCGTACTTACGCCCCGTAGGGCGGGCTCTTTTAACGACCTCGGAGGGAGGCCGCGTACGTGTCCATCAGGACGTTGTACGCGGGGAGAACAGCCGCCGGCAAGTGTCCTCCAACAAGGCTGTCAATGGCAGCACGGAGACCAGCCGCTTCGGCCACGGCCGGAACCGCTGCAGAAGAGTCAACGGGCAGAGGAAATAATAACTGATGGGCAACCCACGTTGTGGGCCAATCAGAAGGCAGGATTTTCAGAAAATTCAACTGGCAATAATAAGAGGCAAGTACGACGGTTGAATAAAGGAAAGTGCGATTATTGCGCCAGGCGGCGCGCAAGGGCGAATTTCGCCATATTCACATCACTTCGAGCACAAAGACCGAGGCGAATACAACAACACCTCTCTTTTGTTATATATATATTCACAAGAGGCTCTGAATAGCCTCATAATCTTGTATCTAGGCGATAGTAGCGATATGGCCTCGAGGCGCGGTTTTCCAGACGACTACGCGCCGTCTGGGGGGTGTGTCGTGCTGGCTCCGGGCCTCCGGACCCACTCTGCCGCGTCTCGGCCGCGAGGTCACGTGACCTCGCTCCAGCGACCGTATTCTTAAGCGTCCTTCGCTCCGCTCGCTCACTTAGAGAAGACAAGCCGTTTTGTTCCTAGTTGATGCCGCCCGTGCCTGACGTCGGTCACCACACTTACTTAGCTCGATGGAACGCGAACAGGGGTTTTTTTTGAGTCTAATGTCAGCTATTTGCTAAGAGGAGACACTTGAATGGGGTTCTGGTGATGCTAGCGCAGTATCTCATGACTCTTTCACCCGGCACTAAACATGGGGGCAGAATTTGCCGCCTCTGAGTGGAGTTTTCTGAAGACTGAAGAAAAAATGATCATCTTGCTTTGTGTGACCTGGAAAGTAGCTTTCGTGGTATCAATGTCGTTTGATTCGGACAAAGTTGATCTTATGACTCATGAAGGAAAGCTCAACCAAGATAAGGTGATAAAGAGGTCTCATTAGGAACACAAGCGGTCTATCAAGAGCACGTATAATGCCACCGCTAGACAAGAAGGGAGAATTAGAGAAGCCGTAAGATCTATTGCGGCACCAGATAGGGGGTCATCCATAGCGTTCGAGCCAGTGTCGGACTTCGGCCGGTGCAGTGGCCCACAATCGCGGCCCGGGCCGCACGCAGCAGAGGCCTTCGGAGGTCCAGCACCGCAGCGGTTATTATTACGGCTAACGTTTTTCGCATCCACTGGCTTATTTTAATTGAGGTTTCTGCAGTCGTTCTCCTGATGAAAGTGGGGGAAGGATGACAGTATTTTTGGCACATATAAATGTCACTATTGTTCTGGCCAAATCCACCCTCTCTCTTGGCACCCCTGTCTCTCATCATACTTACTCCCCGTCTTCCCTATTATCATATACAGCCTTCAAACAGACATTTAAAACTTCAAAATAGACAAGTTTAAAATACATTGAACTGCATTTCTAAATTTGGAGTGGACAACGCTGTACCCATTCCTTTTGGTCGCCTCGTGGAGGCGGTTCACCCTTCTCGGTTGTTATTTGGGGTTGAAGATTCTCTTGCGAGTAAAGATTTCTGTTAGAGCTATTTCAGGCATTGCTGTCACATGGGCAAGTATATCAGGTTGCTAATACAGGGGTCTAGACAACTCAGAACTTGTCAACATTTCAGCCTCTATAATGGGGGTGAATAGCATTAGTCTGGCAGAGATCCTAGCTCAAATTACATCATTGATTGATGTGCTCAGCCGAGCACAAAAAGATTGTTAATTGTGACGAGATCTTTAGACCGTGGAATGATAGGATGAACTTGGTAAATGGTCTAAATGCAAATAGTGCCTGGTATTTAAGTTGCTAGGTACATGTCTGAACTGTTATTAAAGCTCTTGCTCATCCTAAATGTTGCCCCAATTTAAAGCGCCAACTTCCAGAGAAAATGGAATACCGTCTGAGGTGCGTTATCTCTACACCACTCTAAGGTTGAAACCAGGTCCTATAGCACACATTATTCCGATTCAGTCTTCAACTAGAGGCCTTTCACCTGCGTCCAAAGTCGCTTGAATACGCTGGGAAGGTAACCATTTATCTGCAGGAATAACCCACCAAGAGATAACAGCAAAGATTGTTACGATTCCCATGATTACGGGAGCATAGTTTAGCGTTGATGCTTCCACAGGAAAAGCGTAAGGGGAGAATAACACGGCAACAACCCATCCGTTCCATATGACAGCAATAGCTTGGAAAGGCTTGCTCCATTTTCCAAGGCTCCAAGCTGGCTTGGGAAATGTTTTTGGCGTGAGGAAAAGGCGACCGAGGCAAATAAGGCCGTAGGCAGCCGCTGACGGAACACCTGCTGCAGAGACGAGGGAAGTGAAAGCTACAGACGATGGAAGGATTGTACAGGTGATTATAGATGCGGTTGCCCAAACCACAATCACACTATTACGAGGTTGACCATCAACAACTTTAGACACCCAAGAGGAGTAAGGCAGAACACCGTCTCTGGCAACTGCGAAGACAAGGCGAGAGGCAGCAAGGATAGCGATTGCGGTGTTCTTGGGTATGTCAGACCTAGACCCATTCAAGGATTTTGACCATGATTACTCACAAACCAAAGAGCAACAATGCAGATGATGTTCATAAAGATATGCGCATGTTGGCCAAGGATAGCCGCGTACAGTGGCACGAAAGGCTGGGCGCCACCATAGGAGAACAGTGTGTCGGCGTCGGGCTGTCAAGAGTTAGTAAGAAAAGTCAACATCATTTGTTAAAATGAGATCCACTCACGACACAAAACAAGAAAAGTATAACGACGATGAAGCCCCCGACACCACTTGTGACAGTGCTCCAGAAGATACCCTGGGCCGCTGCAACGCTGGCATTCTTGGTCTCCTCAGCGACGTGACCGGACGCGTCAAAGCCAATGAGAATTCCGGCAGTAGCAAGGTAAGAAAGGCACCAATTCCACCCGTCCGGAGCGCCTGTTCCATTGTAGGTTGTGAGAAATGCGTCATGAGCTGAGCGGAAACCAATGGTGTTCTTGGTCGCAATGGGCAGCCAGATCATGTTCAGTACAAAATCCAGCAGTACAAAAGAAGTTGACAAGTAGAAAATCCACTTGAAATAACGGGCTGTAGCAAGCGTTAGCACAGCGCTGCAAGCTGAATCCACAACGGACATCGACTTACGTGGTAGGAGGTTCCAGATTGCTGCCAGAGCGAGCATAACTTCGGTTGCAATCCATTGAATAGCTCTAAACTTTACGCTTGACGAGTCGGATGGGAAGTCTAGGTTAAAGACTGCAATTTCCTGCGGCATCATTAGCGGCTCGAGATCAAGAGACACATATCAGACGAGCAGTGCAAAGTGATCTTACTGAAAGCATGTAATTGACTGCTGACTGCGTGTTGCCTTAACATTTGTTAGCCATAGTTAACCGCAATGTGTACAACTGTGACCAAGTTGCAACTTACTGGCACAAAACGTTGTCCAGGCAGTGGTGCTCCACCACGCAACAACAAAGCCAAATAGCCTTCCATACCGAGGCCCGCCAGCCTCTGCTGCCCATAAATAGATAGATCCAGCGAGAGGGAGTGATGAGCAAATTTCTGCAATTACAGCGGCGGTGATGAACGTGAAGACACAAGTCACAATGAAGCTTGTCCTACTTGAAAGTCAGCAATTGCCTTCATGGAGAATAACAATAAGACAAATCACCAGTAAGCAAGGTTTCCGCCTGCCGCAATGCCAGTTGAAAATGTCACACGGACACCGCCGATAAAGTAAAGAGCAGCTGAGTCAAGTCAGCTCTAATTTGATCTGACCGGGTGGCAGTGTTCATTCAAATGGGCCTACCAAAAGTTGTTGCAAAGTTATGGAAAACGTTGAAACTTCTGTGCAGAACCTATGAACGTCAATCATGAACAAGCTAGGGCTTTGCAATGAGACTGTTGCTCACTGGCTTGTATCCCAGGCTCTCCTGCAAAGTCTTTGGTCAGCGGTCATCCTAGTAAGTCTGAGGCTTAGCTCACCAAAGTTCGCGAGTCCTTGCTTGTTTCTCCTTCAGCGTCGCTATTCGTAACACCTAGGTCCTTGGGGACTGTTCCATATTGCCGCTGCGCAGTCATCTTGGCGTTGCACCGCAAGTCTTGGTGTTGGTCCAAATCGGGCGAATTGCGGATATTGAGAAGAAAAACAAGCAAATGAAGATGTCTGCATCTTATGGTAGGTCAGTCAGATGACCTGAAAACTTGTCAGGCTGGGCGGAAATACTCGGCTTTAGTAAAAAAACGGAATTCTTCCAATAAGGGTAGTTTTGGCTCGCGTGATGTGGGACTAGATGACGGCATCGGTAATTGGCACAGAATGGCTTTAGTAGCATGCGCAAGCAAATTCCCTAGTTTCTGGTAATGGGCTACTGAATGACATCGATTGAGACGCACCCATAGCCTAAGAGCTCACCGGAATAACTTGTAACTTTCTGAGTATTTTTCAAAGTGTTGTATTGTTATGACACGCTGATTTAGGCATACTGACTTAAGTATCCGGTCTATCTCAGCGTTTTGAATACCTACTCGAGGCCAAAATGGCACATCTACCGAAAACTCCTGTTATTGTCATGTACTTTCAACACATTATGTGTCATAACCTGTCAGATTTTGTGCTGCAAGGAACCCACCGTGGTCCTTCATTCGGGCTGAATTCCGATTATGGAAAGGCTGAAGGAGTTGAGGAGCAGTTTCCGCATCACGCAATCTGCTGAAGCAAAACGTAACGATAGCGGCCAGGCAGCCCACTAAGGTAAATAAACCACTCAGATGGGCCATTCCAAATAGAAACAGAAAACCGAAACTTGCGGAAATATATCCCAGCTGCCTCGGTTCAAGTTTAGGAGACAACTGCCACTGCGTCGACGATTAGTTGTAGCAGTTTAGTCATTTCAATTGTTTCTAAGTCATGCCAAGACCGAAACTCCGTTTTCTAACAACTCAATGATGTTTCTTCTGGTTGTTTTCTTATTTCTTGTGCTGATCGGGCTGGCTATGCTCAAGGTGATTAGTACATAGATTTGACTTTGAGCTATTTCCTATTAACAGTTTTGTAGACTATTACACAAGCCAGCATATCGCCGTTACTACACATACCAGAAGCCGGCTGGGGAGCAGCTTATTCACGGTTGATATGGGCTTTTCGCGAAGAATTTCGAGGCAACATCACTATCAAGCTCCCGAAGCTCCATGAACAGTTAGGTGATTCTGATTGCTCATTATCCTACTGTCAGTACCCATCTGATACAAAGGTTGATAGGTCCCCTTGTTCGGATAGGACCAAATGAGGTATCATTCTCTTCGATGGAAATCTATGACTTTGTCCACAAAGTCAACAGCGGCTTCGTTAAAGACCCTCGTAACTACGGCGAATTCATTCAGGATGGTCATCCGGCTTTGTTCTCCATTACGTAAGGGTACGCTTTTCTCCTATACGTGCGCCTTTAGTTAATGAAGGTAGAGATCCGGAGGAACATTCCAAACGACGAAGAATACTTGGCCGACTGTACAGCCGCAGCCAAATGGTTAATCTCGAGGCACTCATGCTTCAGCACGTAAACCATTTCGTTCAAGCGATGCATCAAAGATCTGTCGCTTTTGATATTGGTCCAGCATGCCGAGCACTGGAGGCTGACATCATCTGTACGTCTGTTTATGTGACGATGGTGCTTGCAGCAAAGACATCACCACCATTGGAGCTTGATAGCTGACTCTGATAGCGGAATTTTCATTTGGAGAAGCATTGAATGCCATCAGTGCCTGGTCAAATGAAGAAGAGCTGGCAATCGTATCCAAAAACGACAAGAAGGCAACTCTGATGCCGTTAGTAAGCTAATTTATTATTTTGATTGGGCGAAGTCGTACTGATTCTTAGTAGCTTATGAACTTCCCTCTCATTTACGAGTTATGGGGCTCCATAGAGGCCGTTTTATGTCGAATGACGAGCTCGAAAGTTTCTTATCAACAAGGGCTTGACATGTATGACAAAGTTCGTGGCTCCTCTGGCACTTCAGCTTTCGTTTAACTAACAGACTTACAGTGGACACACACTGCCTGGACCCGTAACAAGCTTGTTGAAAATACAAGCAATTCTCAATTTCCGAATCTAATCAGGGTTATGGTGGCAGCAGGTGTCCCTTCACAGACTGCGTTATCAGAAGCCAAAGAGAACCTAGGCCCAGGTACTGACACAACGTCAGCTTCGTTAGCACACATTCTTTATGCGCTCTCACGCAACCCATCTTTTCAACAAAAATTATATCAGGATCTTTCAAAACTGCAATTCCCTACCGACATGAACTCGCTGGAGAAAATCCCTCGATTGAAGGCCTGCGTGAAGGAAGGGATTCGTTGGGCTGGTGCTGCGGCTGCCATGCTGCCTCGTGTTGTTCCTAAGGGTGGCGTGGAATTATGTGGCAAGTTCATTCCAGAAAATGTAAGCTTATGGTCCATCATTTTGTCTCTAAGCCTTTGGCTGTTTTCGTTTCATATTTGTGGTTTTTTTTTTTTTTTTTTTTTTGCGCATGGAATCTCTGACTGATCGCCAAACCAGACTGTGTTAACCTCGTCGCCGATATGGTATCTGCGAGATAAGGATGCGTTCCCCGATCCTGAGCTATTTGACCCTTACCGCTGGATAGATGAGAGTGGGACATTAATGAAAGAAGACGACCTTAGGGATAAGTTCTATATCCCTTTTTCCAAAGGTGCCAACGTCTGCATAGGTCTACAGTAAGTGGTCTGACATCTTTTTTAAACAACCCGACTAACTGCTGCCTCGTAAAGCTTTTCTTACTATGAACTGTACCTCAGTTTAGCAAAGATAATTGAGAGCTTTGAGCTCGTGGATGATAATTGCGTAACAGGCCAGGTATATGGCCATGACTGGAGCCCAGTACAGCTCCCAAAGCGAAAGGAATGGGTTGCTGCAGTGCCAACAGATGCACTACTTGTCAGAGTGTTCCCGAGAAGACGGGTTGCTTGACACCTGCATTATCTACCAGAATCAAGTAGGGGTAGAAAGCTTGCTTGACCCTCATGGCACACGCGGTAGATAACCCAGTTTCGTCAGTGGCCAACTTGCCCTTATTGCTAACACAGCAAGGGAGCAAAGGCTTCTCATTTGGACTACTCGTGATTCTACAAATCCCGACTCTTCGAGATCGAGGGTGGATGGTTCATCAAGAAAGACTAAATAATACTCTTAAACATAGTGGAATTAAACGTCTGGGCGATTTAAAGAAAAGAAACAAGGTTTCACCCCAGCTCCTAGGTATGTCAACCACAGGAGAGTATATGAGAGCACATTTGTAACTTAAAACAATCATTGTGACTTTCCATACATATGAATTTCCTACTGCTATTGCTCTTAATTGTTACATTCGGAATTCTTGGCGTTGCTTTAGTGGCAAGATTAACATGGAATAATTCAAATAAGGTTCGGAGCCAGTCTATTTTCCCAAGCGAGCATTAATTGGCTCTTTCCTAACCCAGCTAAGGCATTTGGACCGAATAAGGGTCCGCGACTCAACTTAATTATATGCAATTGACAACCTTTAGGCGTAAAATACTTCAAATGCGTGCTTAAGGTAATCGAGACGGCAATGCCAGATGATGGTAATTGTGTTGACCATGCTGTTCCCGATGAGCCCGGAGCGTTAACAAAGACATAAAGAGGGCGTTGCTCATATAATGCCGAGCTTCTCATTGAGACATTTCATAACGTCCCACACCCACTTCTGGGCACCCCCCACATTTGGGCACCCCATTTACACCAAAAACGCCGTTTTTCGAAATTCTATATTAAACTAACTACTATACTTACTAAGAAAAGAAAATATATATAAACTATGTTAAGTATAATTATAGCCATCTAATTTTTTATAAAGGTTTAAATATAATAATAGTTATAATATAGAAGTTTAAAACTAAAAGCTTTAAAATGTTAGTAGATACTAGTAACTTACTAGTATTCCTTAACATTAGAAAAATATATTTTCGCTTATATATACTTATTTAAAAAATCTAGGAAATTAATATTTATACTTATTAAAAGTATATAATTATATCTAAAAGAGATTTAAAAGTATTACTTTAGTAAATATAGTATAATTAAGGGTTAAAATTCTATAATAGAAACTTTTCTTAAGGGAAATTTTAAAATATTATTCTAAGCTTAAAGAATTTTTTACTAAGTATAAGAATATATAAATCTACTATATCTTACTTAAAAATTCTAATCATATTAGTTAAATATCTCTACCTATTTTATATATTAAGATATAGGCTAGGTAAATTAGTATTATAAATGTTAAACCTTGAATTTATAATACTTATTATTAATAATACTAGTATATAGCTACTTAAGTGTTATAATTAAGTCTTAATCTATTTAATATATATTTATTCTCTTTAATAAGTAAAGTATTTAGTTTAATATAGAATTTCGAAAAACGGCGTTTTTGGTGTAAATGGGGTGCCCAAATGTGGGGGGTGCCCAGAAGTGGGTGTGGGACGTTACCTTGTCTACTTTTATTTAAAATTTTCTTGTTCCTCAAACCCCCACAATATGCGTCTGTCGATTCCTTTCGTCTGTGGTACGTATTACCAGGGAAGCTCGTATCGTTATTATATCATGCTGATAACTTATCAGCTGCCTTGATCGGCTCCTCTGTGGCACAGAGGCATGTTGGTGGTTGCGCAAGCACCGTTCTGGGAACCAGCTCTCAGGCGGACCAAAAAGCTTGCTGCCCCGGCTCGGTTGTGAGAGGTGGTGGCCAAAGCTGGGACGTGAGTTACTCGTTTCAAACAATCATTATGATGGTAGCTGACAGAATATAGTGCTGTATTCCCTCGTCCCAATATATGAGTTATCGCAGCTGTTGTCTTGGTCGCGGGAAGCAGTCCTGGTTGGCAGGCACTACATGCTAAATTCTGCAATGAATAGGGTTTGATTTGCATTTGTCTGAGGTAGAAATACGTGCAAAGATACATGCTATTCCATGACCTACTACTACTTTCTTCTTCTCGCCCCTTGTTTCAATCTGTGGAATATCAGTCAGGTCATGCATCAAAGTCGATGCGCACCTGTAGTTAGAACATCGAGTGTGTTCACGAGCATGCACGGTCCTGTTGCAAGAGTTTCTGTGTCTCTATGAAGGAACAGAACGATTGTCTGGTTCCTTCTTGAAATCTTCCAAGTTGTAAAATTTGCTGATGCTGATTGAATTTTACCATTCACCATGTAACAGCAATATCGCGGCCTTACTTAATGCTAACTTATGCCTACTTGTCGATACGAACGCTGGAAAAGCATTCATCATCTTTTCCATCATCCCTTAGAGTTTCCCCAAATGAAGGACGTCTAGCAATCTTGCCAGCGCGCGAGAGACTTAAAGGTATTAATTACATGATGGGTCCGTGTATACGTCAGTATTGCGTTCAAGCTATCACGTGGATTACTTCCCTCCCCCAGTCTGCGGGATTTTTGACGAAGGAAAGCATAGTATTACCATTCCTTTTCTTGGTAACTATTCTGCCTGTCACACCGACACGCATGTCCAATTTAAAATCTTGCCAATTGACTAAATGTTTCTGGAAGTATTAAATTATCATGATATTAAGTTGTGATCTCCCATATCGTTATCCTGTATTCCAATCAAATACACTGTCGGTGTCATCCCAATTACAACCCAGCTTAACTTGAAGAGCACGAAGGCTACATTAACTCCCGTTTATAAACCATTCGAAATCGTAAATCATGAACCCCTCATCAGTATTATACCGGAGGCAACGAATCTGGCATCTTCCGCTCTTGTTGGTCTTGATTCACCTCAGTCTCATTGACGAAGTTGCCAAAACCAGCAGGCTTCTCGTTGGGAGAGCTCGACATGCTCACATCAGAAGTGACGTCCGTATTAGAGTGAGACACGTTGACGTGTGTTGGTCCAAAGTTACGGCTACTTCGGTTGTTCGACGAGACGCAATTCTGAGAAGTAGTGACCAAGCCAACCCTGGCGGCAAGGGCCTTTAACGGCGGCAGACAGAGACACAGCATTGCTGCCGACAGTTCGCCTATTGACCATAGAGCGGGCACCACGTTCCAGTATGTAAAATCGGGCTTGAGCTTCAGAAACGATAGGCGGAAGACCGATATGGCGACAATGCTAGAAGGGGGGGTTTTCTATCAGTAAGAGCTACAACAGTAGGGGAAGGTTCACATAAAACTTACAAGAATCCAAGGCTGAATATTCCCAATAGATAAAGCTTTTGGGACTGAGGAAGTTGCAGCTTGAGAAGTGCCGGTAACGGCAGGACGAAAATGATAATGTCGGTGATAATGCTACACGCTCCGAAAACATAATAAAGGATTTCCTGAGAAAGGCACTTGGCTGGTATAGTGTGGTCCCAAAATCCCTGGATGGGAATACAGAATGCAAAAGACATGATCACGACTGACACACCCCAGGCGGCGACTAGGACCATGCCGGCGATATAAATTTTGCGCATGAAGTTCGTGGCCAACACACGGTAATACTGCAGCAAAAAGGACATTTTCAAGGTCAGGTGGGCCATGCCGTAGAAAAGGACAGAGACCCAGAAACACTACAGATGCAGGTACTGTCAGAAACATGCGCAGAAAAACAGGAAATGGTGCGGGTGGGTAGTCTACCTTAGTGAACTGGACATACTCTTCCGCAGACACTGTTTGAATATGTCTTCCAAGGCCATAACGAGTCACTACTGCCAGTTAGTGATATCGCCGCGGGAAAGAGTCAAATCGAGACAAACTTGTTGCAATAGCGAGCCCACAGCCCATCACACATATCTATCTTGGTTAGATATATAGTCGTTCGAACTCATAAACAGGAGTACTCACTAAGGAAAAAAATGCAGCCCAGTCGTCAGGGCCAGTTTGTTTGACGATAACGTCGCACACCCACTTCTCGCACACCCCCACATTTCGCACACCCATAAATCGCTCATGTAGAATTTTACCCTCTTCAACATTCTTTAATATCTTCACCACTTTTACAGCGATTATTATAATTCTTTGAATAGTTACTCTTATACGCTTAATGGGCCAGTATACGGAAACAGAAGTCAATCAAGCTCTCAATGCAGTTGCAAGTGGGCAGAGTGTCCGAAAGGCAGCTCATGATGCTGGAATTCCACCATCAACCCTCCAGTCTCGATTAAAGGGTTCACAGGCAAGAAATGTAGCTTTCTCTAGCTTCCAGAAGCTATCTCCAGCACAGGAAAGTCACTTAGCTGAATGGGTGCGTATCCAGGCGGCGTTAGGGCTGCCGCCAACACATCAACAACTCAAGGAATTTGCCCAGCGAATCCTAGACATCAGAGGCACTACCCAGCCACTTGGGAGAAACTGGATTCAGTTCTTTATTAAGAGAAATCCATCAATCAAGGTTCATAGAGCTAGAGCCATCGATTCTAAGCGTGTCAATGGGGCCTCAACTAATGTAATCAGGCAATGGTTTCAACAACTCGCCCTTCCAGAGATCAAGGCGATCAAACCACATCATCGCTATAACATGGATGAAACTGGTATCCTAGAAGGCAGAGGATCAAATGGCTTAGTACTGGGATCATCAGAAAGCTCATCAATGCGAAAAAAACAGCCTGGGTCTCGGGCTTGGACAACTATGCTTGAGTGTGTCTCTGCAACTGGTCAGGCGCTTCCTCCACTTGTTATTTATCGAGGGAAATCGGTTCAACAACAATGGTTTCCTCTTGATATCCATAAACGTGATATTTACAGTGGTTGGAAGTTCACAGCAACTGAGAATGGCTGGACTTCAGACTCTACAGCTGTGGAATGGCTTGAGAACATCTTTATCCCTCTGACTAAGCCTGATCATCCCTCTGAGCAGAGACTATTGATCCTAGACGGTCATGGCAGTCATGAAACAACAGAATTTATGTATCTCTGTTATAAACACAAGATATATCTCCTTTTCCTACCGCCACATACATCCCACGTTCTCCAACCTCTAGACCAAGCAGTCTTTGGGCCTCTCAAGGCGACCTATCGAAAAGAGCTTGGATACCTCATTCAACACAACGATTCTACAGTTGTAGGCAAACGGAACTTTCTTACCTGCTATGGAAAAGCACGCCAGATGGCATTTTCAAGCAAGAATATCAGAAGCGGCTGGAAAGCAACAGGACTATGGCCCATTTCGATAGCTCGACCGCTCATGAGCCCTCTACTGCTTGAGAATGCTTCCAAGCCCTCAAAGCCAGGCTATTCTACGCCTATGAGGGCCTCTGATGGTGGAAAAGACGAAAACTGGGCATCTGCTACATCCATAGTAGCCTGGTCAACGCCCAAGAAGACAGTTGATCTATATGATCAACTTAGCTTATTCAGCAAGTTGGATAAAGATCAGCAAACGCAGCGACTGTTGTTTCGGAAGGTTCAAAAGGGATTTGATGAAAAGGACTATCAATTGGCTACAGCAGAGAAGAAGATTGCAATGTTGGAAGCAGAAGTTGAGGCTGGAATGGTACGGAAGCGGCGTAAGGTCCAAATGAGCCCAAATTCGAAGTTTGCCAACATTGAGGCAATTCACAAAGCCCAAATTGAGGCTGGCGAAATTGAGGATAGCTCAGATGAATCTAGCGAGCCTGAATTACCTATTAAAACTGGCGATAGTATCACAGTTGCAGGAGACGAATCAGACTTATAGTTATGAAGTTGATGAATACCTCATGATGACCCAATTTATGGGTGTGCGAAATGTGGGGGTGTGCGAGAAGTGGGTGTGCGACGTTATGTATGCGAGTCCACAGGCGAAGCACCAGAACTACCGTGGAGAGGAAGAGACACATTGTTACCACACCAATAACGGTTGGCGATCTGTCCTCCGCCATCTCTTGTGGGGAGAGCTTTGGTAGGTCCATCTTGATGACGTATTTGCTCACGATTTATCTCCAGTTGTGAGGCCGCGACGGTTTGTACCCTCAGAATAAGACTTGAGAGCGAAGGGTCGACACTGTGGGGCGGCCATGGTTTATATCAGTCATAAGCAACACCAACTTCATTAACTTTCTTAGCAAGAGACAACAATGAAAGAAAATCACACTTTTTGGCTTGTCTGGGCTGGCTCAGCGATTGTCAGCGGCGTGTGTAAATTTGACGAATGCAGCGCAAAAAGCACATGGCAAAGGGAATTACCGTCGATCTGTGGAGGATCGTAACTACGGAACAAAAGGATCCTGGCGGGCGATTTCGCCGGATCTGGAGGGCTAGTGGACTTCTCGAGTGGTCTAGTCTTCGGTAGTCTACTGCACTGGGTCATCTCCATTCCAGCCAATCTCAACAAGTTGAAGAGAAGCTTTTGTGGCGAGGGCTCACGAGTGGCTGGATACCGTTTTTGCAAATCACCCCACTGCACAAAAGAGGAACACAGTTTCCCTAGGATAAAGTCCATGGGGCGCCAGGGTATGGTCTGATCTGACAGAGGCTAGTCACTCAAACGGATCGCCGTTCTTTGGAGCTCCCCATTGTCATAAGCTGACATTTCGAGGATGCTGGGTTGCTGCAAAGATACCTGAACGGCAGGAGGCGGCGCATTATGAAGGCTGCGAAAGTCTCGGTGAGAGAATGAGCTGAAGAGAAAACCCACGTGGTTCGGGCCTTTGCATCGCTGCATAAGGTTACTGCTGAATAATTAGAGCTAAGGAATGTTGACTTTTTTCGATTACTGACCTGCTTCGGAGACCGGGACTCGCCGGAACACAACCTGCATAGCCGGTGGCTGAGCCTCGCCGAGCTGACCGAGCATGTTGGTGGTGTAGTGCAAAGCGACGCACCAGAGAACTTATTTTGGGCCTGGACCAGCTCGCTTGTTCTGCAACGTCACGACATCTACAAGCGGCCCTCGCACCAGCAAAGGTTGCCTTCAGTTACACATGTCGTCAGCCTGGTGCATTGAGCCTCTCGGTATTACCTGCAGGGTTGCGGCGTTGCTCCGCCGTCTACTTCAACTGGTTCGCACGTGCATATGTCTTGGAGGGAAATCTAGGAGCCAAGACCTGCAGGCGATCTTAAATGGAAATCGACCCCACAATTTAGTCGTCTTACTGTTTGCATTTCAGATCGTTGCCCTTTCTCTTTCATGATCCGAAGTGACCACGCACAAAATAACAGGCGAACAGGCAGTTTAAATAGGCCCGCATGTTTTCATCGCCCCGGACCAAATACTGGAGTGGCCGCCTTTGGCAATAACCCGGTAGCTTGAAATGGGCAGTAGGGATTCAGTTAGGCAACGGTTTCTCTAGTCAATCACCTATTCGGCCATTAGGCCAACGTCGGACGGCTCTGATTCGCCAATAATTCAGTTGCCAATCGATGTAAAGAATAATTAAACAGTGCACTGTACAAATCAGATGTTTTCGTGGACTAACTACATGTCCTCAAACTCCAATTTTCAAGGTACATCAGTGGGCAGATGTTTGTGTTTGTCAACTCAATTTGCATTGAAGCGACCGGGTGCAGCTGAAAAATCAGGCCGAAGGGGTAGTTTGCTCTATTAGGCTAGTATTAGGGCACCTAATTCAAGTTGCAGGTGAGTTGAGGACATCCCAGCTAAACATCATATCAACCTTGAGAGTTTCTTTTCACGAAAGTTAGCATCGAAACGTAATTCCAGAAATGCCAACTCCCTAGAATGTACTTTTTTCTCCAATAAAAGAACCACATTAGGCAACAGCACCAACAAGAATCCGCCTGATGCTGATTGCCTGGCAGTCTGGGCGGTGTAATAAGCGTTCCAGACTCTCGGGTTCTCGGTTGAAGTCGTTCGCGTTGGTCGAGAAGCTGGTAAACGGCACTCAGACCCTTGTAGGAGGGCTAGGGTACCCCCCTCCTCTGGTCCCTAATTAGGTGGGCACAGACGCTGCAAACCTGCATGATGTGCCCCTCCTCTCCCACTTGCTCAGGCAGAAAAAAAGTCTTTCGTGATGCCACAGTTCAAAGTGATGCGGAGCTACTCGTCTGCCGTTCTGGAAGACTTTTGACAAGTAATGTAACCTTATCAGTCGGCCTGGAACCGGAGATGTCACCTTTCGAAGGCCCCATAGATGTTGTCACGAGTCGGTTTCTCCTGCACACCTCATTGGCTATGTCTGCCCATGAGTGGGGGAAGAATGGGTCGAATCTGAAGAGTAACACACAAACCGCTCCTTTCTGCGTCCTCGCTCGTAAATTCTTCGATGCCACGTGGGAATCTCATCGTCACAGGTTCACTGGGTAAAGTTGTAGCTGTTGCTACCCATCGCAAGGGCTCGCCTGCCAGCAGAGATTGGGAACCGAAGTAATTACGTTAGGTAAAACATGTATTATTTTGGTGGGAAAGAAGAAAAAAAAAAATGCTTTTGGGTATCCTCATCCGTTACAACGCTAAACCGCCCTTTGCGTGGGACCCTACAATATTCGAAATACGCCCGATCCACCTCCGAGGATCCCAATGGGCGGACAAACACACAACCTCGATACAGGTTGGCCGTCAGAAAGCTTTCTTCGCCAACTCAGACCTCACCGTTCGTTGATGGCAAAGGTCATCAATTGTTGGTGGATCTGCTTGAGGATGTAGCTCGGCTACTTGTGGCGTGCTCTTGAAGGATTTTGGCGTCCTCTAATGCTTCTTTCTTGGCAAATTCATCCAGCAGCTTGGCTGCAGATTCAAGGGGCAGATCGGCAATTAATTCGGACAAATGCTAAAAGAAAATAATTTAGCCACGGCACATGTACATGTTTGTAGTGGAAGAAAGAGAGCTGTTGGTGGGAATTATCCAAGGATAAGGAACAAACTTGACATACCGCAGGGAAGACGTCAGAACGTTGATACTTAAACTCCTCCAACATCCGGTTCAGGCGAAGCACCTGTTTCCAAGGCACGATAATGTCGCCGATCAGGAACGTAGGGAATCGCGCCATGGCAAGCTCCTCGAGGATCCAGCGGCGCTGGAAGTATGGGCGGAGCATGAAGTCTGTGCCGCCGACCCAACGTGGCATCAAGAAGGGAATCTCGCCATTGGGCCCGTCAGTCCAAATATGCGTGATCTTCTTCGCCCACTCATGCGTTGGCGAGTAGTCTTGTGGGTTCCTCTCCCGGTCTCCGGGGTCTCCCCAGTGAGGCGGCATAGCATCCTCAATCTCAGCAAACGCCAACATACCCGAGTCCGTGTGCTCCGTCTTGTCACCCAGCCAGCCGACGACAAGCTCGGCCGATCTGTAGATGTTACGCATGTCAGAGTGCTGTTTTGATCTTTCCCACTCGTCGCGCGGGTTGACACAGAGGAAATCGCACCACACCCTCAGCGCCCGGCCCTCGACTGGAGGGCGAGAGGTGCTCATGCCGAGAAGCTGTCTTAACCATCGTGGACCTCCGTGAGGCTTCCGTACAGGTGTGCGCTGGAAGCGCTGGGATATTGTCGGGTAGAAGACGGCACGGATGTGTTTCAAAGCCAGGGAGAGGTGAGCAGTGATGGTAATGGCCTGGCCATTGACGAAGATCTTATCGGTCTCGGAGGAGTCCCCGTACAGCGAGGACAGGGCGATGAACTCCAGGTCGTCGTTCAGGCGGACAGTAACAAGACGGCAATCGATGGGAGCGCTGATATCGCGTGCCGACTGTATCTCGATCAAGCGGATCTCGCGCCTTGACGAGTCCAAGCGTCTGTATGCGATGTTGTTCATGGTGCTGAGATTGCTTTCATTCAGCTCTGTGCAAGCTGCTTTCCAGATCCAAACGGGCGGTGAACAAGCAAACAAACATGCATCCAAGTCTTCCCTGAATTGCTTTTTCTTCGGCACTGTGCTGCGCGATAAGTGGGAGCGTCCGAGGGCGGTAGGGCGGAAGACGCAGAGTCAGGGGTGGGCTTCTGAGCAGTGGCACCAACAAAAGGACGGGGAATGCAGCAAACATCCAGAAAGCTGGACGGGATGCCGGCGTTTATACCAAGAATGCGCGAAAGCGGATCTCAACGGCTTCTACAGGGTATCTGGGGCCACTGGGTTTTCGGCTGTTACCACTGCTGGGTTGAAGTTTTTGAATGGCAGGGGTTAAACAGAACCTGTCGAAATCAGTTTGTGGCAAGCTGTGGTTGGCTCTATTAGGCCTGTTGGCCCCGTTAGCCCCCATTGACCCAACTGACCACCATTTCAACCGTTGCGATGGGCTCTTCGTGAATCGTAATTCAGCGTGACCGACGTTGTTCCGAATATACGTGTTTAGACACGAGGAGAGCGAAAAAAGAAGCAGATGGCTAACAGAGGATCATTTACGGTTGGTTATGTTTCCATCACCAGTGTTCGTCATTGTGTTGCTTGCTGGGTCGACATGCCATGTTTGCTTCAAGCGTGTTTGCTTCAGGCTCAACCTACACTACAAGATGTACGGAGTAGTACATGTCGATAATCAACGGCCAACCCGATGTCATGATACTTGGCGAAGTTCTCAATCTTGCTCACACGCAGAGTAGGGAGACCGTGGCAGATGGTTTCCGGTTGCCTGTTCACCGCATCCCCCGTGGACACGGTGGAAGACCCTCCGGAGAGGCAGATCATGTCATGTTTTGGAACGTAGTGTCGTACAACCCCGGATGACCCCCACTTCCTTCGCGCATGGAATAGCGTGGTACGACAGCATGGTGTTCCTCATGTTCTCCTATTCCATGGTGTAGTACGTAGTAGGTCTCCACAGCATCCTGACTCGTTGGTCTGTTCCATCTTTATCGCCGAAGTGTACAGCGTCTGGAAGAGCAAAAGAGGGAAGAATAATATATCTGTGTCATGCTTCATGTTATTATTTTCCGAAATGAGAACTGTCTTTGGTACCTAGGGAACACATTCACACACTTGGTAGCGTGGGCTCAGGGGTATATCCAGTCGGTATTTTGTTCGCCAAGCCAGTCCAAGCAATATGCCTGCTTGCCATGCCCTCGCTTCGGACCCTGCTCCGCCCACACCACTATTACGGATGGCACCCCCATCTCTTTTCAGTTCTACCAAGCTATGGTCTCGCATTGCTCTGAAATATTCGTCGTCCAGCAAGCGACAATCCTTGAAGATGGCAAACCTTATAAGCCAAGGGATGTTGGGGCTTACGGCCGTCCTTGGACCGGCTACACCAGTTAGTACCACAGGGCAACGACAAACCTCAGAACAAACTTCAAATTTGGTTGAGGTCTAGCTGATAAGCTGGAACATGTATTCAGCAGTTTTACAGGGCATCATCGCAAATGATTTCTTATAGCCGTAGATAAAAGCTCAAATCTACTAAATGTCAAACTCTGCAAATCGGTTCAGAAGACAAAAAACAGTGCTCATTGTATCTTGGTCTTGGATGCCAACTCTCCGCTTCGGACCAACCACGGCAGTCCGAATCTCAAAGCGTACCAATGGCCGTTACGACAGATGGGAGTCTCGGCGTCTACGATGCAGCCACCTTACCGGCATCTTCCTGGCTCAGAACGCTCCGCTCCTTATGGGGGCTGGCCTCCCCCATCATCAGTCCCCAGTTCGATGATGACCTGTCACAAGATCCCAAGAAGCTGGCATCTGCTGTCCAGCCAATTTGCGCACAGATGCTTGGACAGTTGAACTACCCTGGAGCACCGCAATTGAAGGCAGAGGCCGTCGAGGCTCTGCTGGAGTATATGTACCGGAGGGCAGTTGAGATGGACGTACCTCTTGACACCCCCATCTCCGCAAAAGGGTTCCGTTTGGGCTATGCCGAAGGACTGGTATGTAGTCTCGAAAACTTGCTCTTAGCATGTAATCAATTGTTGATTCATTAGGCAGCTTGCCCATCCCCGCCATCCAACCAAAGCCCAAGGGTATGTCGGCCTCTTCACTTGGCTCGTCGTACAGTACGATGATATTGTAGGGCAGAACGACCAGATGGTGGAAGAAGCCATGGTCTTCCATCGACGCTTCTTCAATGGCGAGCGTCAAAAGAATAGCCTCCTCGAAGGCATCGCGACTCTCCTGCGAGAAGCGCATGATCTGTTTGACCCTGTCATGGCAAACCTTCTGCAGCTCTCAGTTCTTAAGTTTCTAACCAGTAATCTACTGGAGCGGCACAATGGTTTCCAAAGCTTGGAGGTCACGCGGTCTGGCGAAAAGTTCCCTGATTTTTACAGAGACATGTCGGGAATGAATGTGGCCTACGCCGTATTCTGCTATCCTAAAGAGCAGTATCCAGACGTTTCACAATTTCTGGAGGCTGTTCCGGACATGGCTAGGTTTATTGATATCTCAAATGACGTCCTCTCGTAAGCTTCCCTGTTTTCGTCATCCTTGTGGGAACGTTCACTGACTCGAATACCTGACAGCTTCTACAAAGAGGAACTAGGTGGTGACAAGCGCAATTATATTCACAACCGCGCTCTGGCCACGGGAAAGCCAGTGCTCCGCATTGTTGAGGAGGTGAATATGGAGACCATAGAGTCTGCCAAGCGGGTCGAGGCGATTTTGCGTGGACGAGGCATCTATGAAGACTCCTGGAATGAAAGTGTTCGCGGCTACATGGCCATGCACACAACAAATGTAAGATACAAATTGGAGGACCTGGGCTTGGGCGAGGAACATCCCCTTGCTCCATTTGAGCACAGGATCGGCGAGCTTTTTGATCGCATGAAGGCACATTGAGGTATCATAGCGTTTGTGCGCGTAGCTGCAGACGCGGGGAAATATGGAAACTAATCATCTTTTGTGTTGATCACAGAGAGAAATAGAATATTGTGAGTATTTTGGATGGGTGTACAGCAAAGCAATGCCTCCTGTAGCACTGACAGCAACCAATGAGCGGGCTTGCAATGCCCTAGCAACACAGAGTGCAACCCTACTCAATTCATTTATGCATCAGCACTCTTGGGTTAGTTGGGTTCCTACGAGCTGGAGACACTAATTACGATCGGCATCTGTTCGCCCCGAAGCAATCCAGCTCCATAATCAATTCAGTCTAGTACTTTGGGAGACAAGGGACCTGGTCAATTTATACCATGAATACGACTCAAATGCCGAGATTTAGTCCTATGGCAGTAAGTCATTCTTTTGCCTTTGTGTATCTTGTGAGACGAAAAGATTTACAATCATTTTAATTTTGTTAGGTGTCCTTTCTTGCTGGTGGAGGCAGTTTATGGATTTGATGGGTCTTTTGGGCCTGGACTGCCAAGATTTCCATCGATTCGACCTGGGACCATGCCCATCCGTTTCCGGCATCATGCTTCATCATCTCTCAGTTTTTGGATGAACTTACCCCAGTCCACAATAAAGTTTGCGGGTTGAACCGCTTCTCAGCTTCTAGAACGTTAAGGACTTGGTTGACTATGCACAAATAGGAATGTGATGCGTACAAGACAGAGAGGGGTTTGAGTCAGGTTCTCAACATGAAAGTTGCGTCACGACCACCTTTTCACTTTGGTAACAAGCGAAGAAAACATTTTGGGATTAACCGAACGTGAAATAAAAGTAATTTCATTGTACCTACAACATTTTTTCTGTCAATTTGTGCTGTATTGTTTAGGCAGCGAGCGTGCCTTTTCGTTTCCCTCATTCATGAAGCGCTCAGCCAGCCTCTCGGTTCTGGTCTAAGTTTATCGAGATCCACAGTCTTCTAGAATAAATCGAGATCAACACTCTCGACACGTTTTTGGCCAAACGAAAGCTACACTATTTATGGCGTGAACGAGTTGAAATATGCAGATCTCAGCCTTGAGTCACGACGTGGCATTTGTCGCGGGCGAGGCGCATGTTTTGCAGATTTTTTTTTCTACAAGCTACTGGGGTGCCGCTTGGCCGCTTGAAAGTGGTTTGACTGGGGAGTAGGCTTGTCATGTCATTTTTTTGATATTCTTGCCCTGCCTATGCCTTTGCTATTCGAGAACGCATTATCCATTCTTTCGTCATACTCTGTAAACATTGTTACTAATTCTGTACTATGCGAATCACTACGTACCGTGATGAGTTCCCTACTCCAACATAATGCCGGGTTGAGCTTACATAGTAGGCCCGAGTCCAAGTGCGCATCGAAATTAGAGCACCTTATAAATCTGGGGCTGGATAAATGAGCTTGTGGCTCCTTTATTCTTATTAGGCGCTTTACATGGCATTTTGCCATTTTTCGTCTTGGCAGCTTCTTCCTTCAACAACGGGGCTCTTGCTCGTTCACCTCGACTTCTGTTGCGCGTATATCAGAACCAAGCTAGGGGATTTGAGACAGAAAGAATCAAGCTTGTACACACGCATGTTATGAAGCACACAAGCTCACAAAAATAGCCATTTTTGGTAGTTATCAAAGTACGAGAGCAAGAGGGCAGTGGCTGCTGAAAAGCCCTCCTGTACGGAGCCCTCGTGATAGTGTTCATTCTTTTCGCGTTTGCCTTTGCCTGCCAATGCCATGGTAAGGTAAGGTCTCAGATGGCCAATGATTATATTAAGTGGTTGAGGGAAGGTTTCGTTCGCATGGTTTTGATAACTTGGGATAGTCTCGGTCACCTCCTAATATGCTGATGAACTGATTGTCGCGAACAGTACCGTCTCATATTAGTTATTTGCAATCGCTTAGTTCGAAAAAAAAGAAAGAAAAAAAAGAAAAAAAAAAGCCCGAGACTTAAAGTGTGTTTAGGAACAGATCCATCTGGCAGGCGGAATGAGTTGAAATATTCCGCTGCTAATTTTTGGGGTTTGGCTCAAATGATAGTGCAAAGCTAAAAGATACCGATCTGAAATTCTGTATTTGTTGAGACTGGCTCTTTCATACCATTGCCCGGCCGTGGGTATCCTTAAGTTAGATAGGCTGATGCAAATCTCCCTTCCGTCACGGTATCTGTTTCCAATTCTGTTCTTACCCATGTGTCTCATCTCACTCACGACACTAATCAAGAGTGAGATTGGCTGGAACCTTCATAGACTAGACTATTACTGAAAATGAGTAGTCAGGGACTAACTATGAGCGGATTGTCAACGCAGGTCAGAGGTATCGTGGGCATATCTGTCACTCAGAAAGCGATGACTAGGTATATAACTTGCGACAACACTATCGCCCTGCATACTGCAGTAGTTTATTTCATGCTTTTTTGACAGATCAATCATCTGTATACCACAATTCCCATAGTTTGGAACGCCTCTATGTGTTTTGGTTTGTGCTACCTAGTAGAGCTGTCATCATTCAACCTTCCTTCGCCAGCCACTGCTACCACAAGCTTCCTGCTTACCCATATTTCAAACAGCATCATCTACGCGCTCTTTCAACGCTTATTCAACAGCTCACCTGTGTGGTCCTGCTTATATATTTTTATTGAGCCGACTATTTCGGTTTTCATGTTATCGTATGGGAGAGAGTAGCCAAGGGGCAACGAGTTCGACAAAGGACTTTTGAGCAATGTAGTCGGATTTAATGCGCAAATATTCAAAAGAACACACATGAATATAATCTCCACGCACAGTTAACTAAACCTTTTTGCTCGGTCTCTTACGTTCTGCAATGCTGTTGGCCTACGACGCCTCCCCGAAAGCTTCTGAATATCTAGTTTGGACTCATATGCATCGTCGATGGTCTTTGATGGTGTTACAAAGCTGTATTATCAAGTAAGCACTTCCACCTCGTTGTGGAAGTGACAGTAGTTTGAGACACATCAATGGTGCTTGTCCGGCATGGCCGTTATTAAATACCTAATCTATCCATACATACATGCATTTATACAACATAAACCTCGTTAACGTCGCTCGTCACTCCATCGAAGCAAATGCCCTCTCCTAGGCCTCCGGTACATAGACACCATCTTTGCAAAGTACTACAACTTTCTTGAAGAAACGTCGCCACTCAAGAGGATCACCCTTGATTTTCACGAATCGAATGTCAAGGAGTTCCTGCTCTTCAGGTAATCGATGCTTATCGACATGTATTTCGCCATGTAGCGACTGCCTCCGCTCGTCAAGCGTCTTGATCCGCAGAGTTGCAATATGGTCTGCGTACAAGTTAGGGATAACTGGCGGCAACGGGACGTTGAGTTGGTGCAAGGCATCTGTAAGCATTTGTACAATCAACTGCGGTGGCACATGCGAGAAGAAACGCGTAAGTGACTCGAAGGGTACAATATCCCGGAACCGACGCGCCGCCTGTGTAAGGGTCAACGGCACGCAGGGGGTCTGTGAAAACTGGCTCATAGACGGCTCCTCTGCGAGCGACTCGAGGAATAGGCGCCTGTTAGCGACGCCGGACTCGCTCCGCGAGATTGGCTGCGTGGAAGATACGGCCATAGGGTTCATAGCTTTAAGCGAGGGTCGCTCCCAATCCCAGGCGACATCGTTTATGGGCGTTTCCGGCTGCGTGAACGAGACCTTGCCTGTGGTATCGGCTCCGTCGACTTCCATGGCATCACTGTTGGACGTATTCCCTTGTGACGCCGTCGGTTGTTGGTTGAAGTCAATGCGAAGGCTCTCCAACATTTTAGTTGCAAGGTTTATAGGGTCGGATACCTGACCGTCGGAGGTCAGGTGTGGATTTGTCCTGGTGTACCAAGGGTGTTGCCGAATGCGTGCGAAGGAGAAGCGCTTTTCAGGATTGACATTCATCATACCGCGAAGCAATGATAGGGCGTTCGGCGGTATCCTTCCCCAGAGAGCATCTGTGCTGCGGCCATTTGTCCGAATGTACTCTTGATACTCCCAACTGCCTTTCGATGGCTCGTCCCAGGGGGTGTTTCCAACAAGTAACACAAAGAGAATGACACCACATGACCATATATCGACTAGGTCTGCCGAGTATTTGGCCGTACTGGTCGCTGCGCTCTTGTCCGCCTTGCTGCAGGTCAGGATCTCAGGGGCTATGTAAGGAGGACTGCCACAGAGGGTCGAGCTGGTTTTCCGCTGGCCTTTGTACTCGAACATTGTTGCCATTCCAAAATCAGCGAGCTTGAGATTTCCAGCCTCGGAAAGCAGGATATTCTCGGGCTTGAGATCACGATGTGCCACACCTTTGGAGTGGATGAAGCTGACGCCACTGATGAGTTGGAGAAAATACACGTGGGCGATATTTTCGTTCACGCCTACATCAGCCTCAATCTTATCAAATAGATCGCCACCATCAGCGAACTCCATGGCGATCCATCTCCAGTGCGTGTCTTCCCCTGATGCAAACCATTCAATGATGTTGGGGTGCTGACCAACGTGGCAGTGAAGCGACACTTCCATCAACAATTGCTTAGCTGAAACGCGGCCATGTTTGACAGCGTATCCTTTATGGATGAACTTCACAGCAAAAACAGGTGTCGCTGCGTCTTGCGGAATAGCCTTCTTGATCCTGTGTGCTCATCGTTAGTGAAGCGATCGTAAGCGGGGTTCTGAGAAAGAGGGGGAATCCCACGATGCGTATGCTCCCCGACCAATCGTTTTGGAGATTATACGGAAGGGTAAATCAGTGGGCAAGGGGTCGAGTTGCGACTGTTGCATCTTGTTTTAGTGAGTAGACCAAGGCTGAAGGTATTCGGATGATTCCAGTGAAAAGCTTGTGGTTAGGTAACCAGTTCATGACCGAAGCAAACCTAGGAGGGAATGGGAGCCAACAGGGTTTTTTTTTTTTTTTTTCCTTTCTTTTTTCACATTAGGTTGGATGACTCTTTTGGGTACATGGTATCCGTAAGGCAGGCAACAATCAACAGGCAGGCAGACCCCGTGAATGACGTAGAAGATTAGGTGTATCGATTCGTGCACAAAGAACGTCAGGGTCTAAAATTAACCTAACTTACCATCTTGACTCTGGCTGGATTCTTTGGCGTTACTCCACGCTGTTCCTCTCTCTTCAGGCATGAGGCGCGTCTGGACCGCGTAAAGAGCTTTTGGCGTGCGTTTGTTCCCAATTCAAGGGACGTTTCAGCGCCACCATGGCTGACGCGTATTCATTGGCCGATAAGATGCCTGTCTTATCGCGGTTGCTGGAGCGTTGACCAGGTAAACAACCCGTCAGCCACCCCTCTAAATCTATCAGGCCCACTACAAAGGCAATCGCCGCTTTTAAGCAGATGGTGGGGAGAAGGTAACTTCAATCTAGGGCGTCACCCAGAGGGCATCACTTGTTTCTGAAGAACTGAGCCACAATAAGGGTGACCAAATTTTGTATGTTCACATAGATCACAAGTAGATAGAAGTCTCAGCTAATGAATTCAAATGTTCGTATCCGGCTCTTCCTAACATACAACTTCACTTAACGGTTCATCTCCAAGGTGGTCCAAATCAAGGCTTCACAAAAGGTCAACCATGATCTAACAACGACAGGTTTTTTTTTTTTTTTTAACCTCTTTACACATCCCTAAGCCTCTGGAGGCGTGGTACACTCTAAACATTTGATGCCTCTATCATCAGACAAATTCAAGTCAAGTTCTTAGACAATGCTTAATGAGCAGGGTCCCATCGCCGAGAATGACCGCTAATAAACACCCAAAAGTTATTAACAGTAACCATCACTGTAGTGATGTTGAGCTCACCTAATTTCCCATCCATTGGCTCTTTTGCAACGAAGGCATACGCGTGTGTTGCACGCTCTGCATTGAAAGAGATACTTTTGTTGAGGTCCCACACATAGGTCGCATACAAGATTTGCCCCTCGGACACTTTTCCAGTGGTACCAAGTGCTCTTGTGCAAAGAGCAGTTTTGATTACTTTTGCTACCTTTTGCAATTTCTTGACATGGTGTAGAGAATGATGATGCGCTTGGCGTTAACGGCCATTCTTGCTGTTTGCGATGGTGCTGCTGCAGATCAATTTCCCTCTCCACCTGAGGCTGGCCCCGAGTTTCCACTGGAAAGTCCAAGAACACGGTGAGAACAGATGTGCTCTTTGCTGCATCATATATGGGGTTTGTTTGTCTTCAAATCAGTTACCATTACTGCTCCAAGGTATGGGATGCTGCAAGCTTACCCAAGTTTAAGCTCAGGCTTCCGGTGCGCGCATCCCCGCCAAGGGCAGCAACGCTCAGCAGATGCCATAGCGATCCAAATTCTAGTTTAAGTATGAGTTTTGCAACACCAAAGAAGAGTGGAAGGGGAACTCTTTCAACGACAAAATGGAACACGATAAGTAATAGGAAAAGAGAAAGTGACAGTAGCGAAAGTGAGAGAGATGAGAAAGCCAACGGATTCAAGGACGAATTAGTCCAGACAGAAGAACAAGATGGAATGAGGGGTTCAGATGGCAGTTGTGACGTAAACGGAAGGCAGCAAGCTAAAGATGGCAGGAAGGTGTCGGTTGTACTTGCTTGTCTGTCATTCCAAATGCTTTTGTGAACGAAGCTGTTATGGATGGCAAGAGCAAGCCAGTATGATGAAAGGCCTGCTTTGAAACTCGTGGAGTAAGTCCAGAGAGGTGATGGGTCTTGCTTTTCAAGTAGCTTACAGGGACTTTACCAAATTCTTACGAATGCTACCGCATGTTCTCTACTATGGATCCATTTACATATGCAACTAAAGCATGTGTTCCACGACGTACAAGTCAGCATGACTGCCCTGTGGTTGTTTCGTATTGTTTTGAGCTTATGCGCGTGAGACGGTGTCGGCCTTGCTACAATCTTCTGCTTGACTCTCCAGACAAGGGGGGATGCAGAAAGTAGTGAAGCAGACGAGACTGATGGAATCGATATGGAGACAAGTTATTTTTTCGCTCAATAATAAAATACAAATATAAACGATCAACCCAAACCAAGCAACGGGATGCTCGCGATTCCGTAATAATTCTGCGATAAGATGGATTCCGCTAACATTTCAGTAGTGCCCGAGATGGGTGTTGAATTTGATTAGCTTTTCTGAATAACCTAGGTATGTGCTTAAATCATAGATACAGGTGCTGCATGAGAGTGTGAGAGTTCGTTGACAGGCATTTCTCAGCAGTACGTACTGGTAGGCTGTTGGCCCGCTGTATGGCGGCGACAACGCTAACCCAAAACATTACTCAAGGTCAGCGCGTCGCCCAGGTACCGGTTTCTCCAGTTCTCCAATCCTGGGAAGCCCTTTCACCCTATGGAATAACTGCTTTCTTTTATTCTTGACGCCGCCGAGAGCCTTCACCTTTTGCCCCTTGATTTTACGATTGCCATTCCCTCCCTGTTCATAAACCCTTTCTTCCCCGATTCAACATCCGCTTGTTTGCTGCATTCTGTTTCTTGCTCACTATTACTTCTCAAGACTTTTCGTCCCTGCCTGATCCGGTCCTCGATACCCCAAAACATTTGCTTTCTTGTTTACTGTTGACGCCTTCAGTGACGATGGACTACAGCATGGAAGACACCCAGAACTCCTCTCCTGGCAGCGTCCAGGCAGCCAAGCTCGGTGGCGCCAGAAAGGGTCCTGATGCGCAGAGCGTCGTCAAGAGGTGGGATGACTCGTCAAGAGCTACAACCATGTTGGTACCAGGTGGACTAACTTCGTCGATACAGATTGCAGACAGAACTCATGCAACTTATGACCTCGCCCGCACCAGGTGTCTCCGCCTTCCCCTCGGCCGACGGCAATCTCATGTCATGGACGGCAACGATCGAAGGTCCCGACCAGACTCCCTACGCCGGCCTGACCCTCAAGCTCAGTCTCTCCTTCCCCAGCAACTACCCCTACGCACCGCCCACTGTGCTCTTCAAGACTCCCATCTACCATCCAAACTTTGATTTCTCTGGTCGCATCTGCCTCGACATCCTCAAGGACAAGTGGACACCCGCTTATAACATCCAAACCGTCCTACTCAGCTTGCAGAGTCTGTTGGGCGAGCCCAACAAGTAGGTTCCCTTGGGTGAATGTGGGCTTTCAAGCACTGACAGTATGAAACAGCGCCTCTCCTCTTAACGGCGAGGCCGCAGAGCTTTGGGACAAAGACCCCGAAGAGTTCAAGCGCAAGGTTCTTGGCCGCCATCGCGACGTTGAGGACGAGTGAGGGTGGAGAAAAAGTATTGAATGTTAACATGGGCAACGGTGGGGCGTGGCGAGGCATTCATTGTATTTGAGCACTGGAGAATTGGAGTCTTGTATGATTACGAATGGGCCTGGAGGGTTTGGAACTCTTTGTTAGGAATTGGACTGCATTGCATGGTAGGGACCTGGTTAGGTAGGATTTGGTGTATCCTGTGTCTGCATCTGGCAGATCACCAAGCCGGTAGAAAGACTCTGTCGTCGTCGACGGCATAGCATGAACCACAGAAATTATTGTGTTGTCCCAAGAACCTCATAATTTTGTTCACATCCGTCAACACAACGCTGCTCTGCGCTGGCGCCGCGCACAAACATCCTACCACCACACATCGCGGGGTTCCAAAAAACAAGAAACAGAAAAGTCGTCCAGTCGTGGTGGGGAATCAAGCGTTGTTCACATTTCCGTCGATTTTGTATGTGAGACTAGAATGCCGAGTGCAACTCCGATGCCTTTATGCCGCCCTTAAACCATCCCAAAGAGAACTTTTTATTCCTCAACGACAACGGTCTGGAGACCCTTGGGGTTCTTGACGTTAACGGCTTGGACATAGCTGTACAGCTTCTCCTTGGCACCCTCCTCGTCGTTTCGTCTGCGGGAAATACGGATGCGGAGTCTGTAGGCAACGCCCTTGACACCCTGCTCCCACACCTTCTTGTTGAGCTCGGGGTCCACGCGGACGTCAGAGGTACCCTATGGGATGCAGTGGTTAGCTGGTATTCGCAAACGGCTCCAGAGATCGAATCGCCCATGTTCCACAACCCGATTGTGTTGATAGGTCTCATGTGGTCATAGACGCCCTTCTCAAGCCAGACGAGGGGTAGCAAAACATACCATGGCCTTCAGAGCAAAAGCCTTGATCTCCTTGATGGCACGGGGAGCGCGCTTCTTGAAGGTAACACCGTGGAGCTAGAAAGACGTGAAAAGTCAGCACTGCTGTGTTCTGTGATGATTTCCCAACCATCATGGCCTGCCCATTGCGCCTCCAGCGGCAGCGACGGCGTTCTCGAGGATAATACTAACGCGCTTGTGCATGTGGATGGTGTACTCGCGAGCGACGACGTCCGCAATGGCGGAACGCTGCTTTCCGGCAGGCTTCTTCTGCTTGGTCGACATTTTGGCGGTACCTCTCGTCGTCGTTGGTCGGAGTCGGTCGGTCGGGGTCGAATTGTCGTGAGAAGTTGACAAAGTGAATAAATGGTAAATCCCACAAAATGTGTGTAGAGCGAAAAAAGCTAGGGCTAGAATTCTGATTGGCTCGCTAGCCCCCTCAGACAGATGCACGTGACCTTAGTCATCCAGCCAGCCAAGACTCCTCAGAAAGTGGGCCTCGTCAAGTTTGGCTCTCTGGTGGGGCAATTAAGAGATTGAATAGCGCGCATTCTTGGTCTGGTGCAGGTACGTACCTCTCAACCCAGCCTTCGACGCAGGCTCCTCCCCCTGACCAGACGACGAAATTAGTCCCGGGCCTAAACGGCGCTTGATCTGCTGTTGTGCCGTTTGGAGCGGCACTCGAGCATCCCCAAGTCATCACGCTGCAGCGCCATCGCCAACCACACTGACGCTGTCAGTTTGCGCCCAGCGCGATCCTTCCCTTCGTACGCTCGTTCAATCCAACATTCCAATCTGCATAGAGGTCAAACGGAGATAGACGACACAACCGAACCTGCCCAGGACATCTGCCAGACCTTTCGCTCGGCAACAGGTTGCTTTTCATTTGCGTTATCGCGTATTCTTCCGACGACTCGACTTTTGTCTTCACATTATCAACAAGCGACGCTCGGCATAACTGAGCCTTTCCTAAACTCGCGACGACATCTTGAATACCGAAACTCGCTATCTCTCTCACTCCGCAACACGCTCGCCGCTATAATGGATGATCGATCCAGCGGGGCGTCTGGCACGCCTTCCCCTCAGCCAGACCTGCATCGGAACCGTCTGCCGACGCTGTTCGAGGTGTTGAGTAGGCGGACCCTTCCACCCGTTGATCTATTCTCGTTCTACATTTTTATGAGAGATCAGCAGAAATCGGTGGACTATCTTGACTTCTGGTTCGTACAAACAAATATATTCGCTAGATACGTTCTTAATCTAACGTTGAGAAACAAGGCTTGATGTTGCCCAGCATATGTCTTTGTGCCGCCATTATGTCCGCGAACTTCGAAGATCCGTACTCGTCGGAACTCCTGACATGGACAAATCCGGTTCTAAGCGGTCTTCGGCAATTCTGGACGGCCTTGGCGACATGAGCCACCCAGCCGCTGGTCCTTCGATGTATGCAAGCGAGAAGGAGAAGAATCAGGATGCTCAGATGTCGGCATACTTACGCGAGGAGGCACACGAGTCGCCCCAGAGCAGTACCGACAACCGCAACAGACAGAGCGGCGCCTTCAGCACCCCGCGAGAACTAACGACTGACTCTAATTCCCCGCCGCATACGGTCTCGAGATCGGACATTCGCGCGTCAGCAGAGAAGATTCTCTACACCTTCTTGCTCCCCGGTGCCGAACGCGAAATTATTCTTCCTGGCTCCATCACTCAGGATGTCACCACCGCCATTGAGGATTTCGGCAGAGATGACCCCGAAGTTTTTGACGTTGCCAAGGATTATGTCTTCCAGGCTATGGAACGGGACGCGTTTCCTAACTTCCTGAGGATGAAGGCCTTGGGCAATTTGATCCCGACTACTCTTCAGATCAGGATGATCATTGGCCTCTTGTCGATGTTTGGTGCATTCTGGACCGCCTTTATCCTCATCTTTCTTGACTCGGCTCGTACAACGAGATGTTGGGTGTGTTTCCCTGATGACGACCCACATATCATGCAAGCGCTAATATTTCTTTTAGGTTATTCTCCCCTTTACCTTTGGTGTTTACTTTCTCGCATCATACCAATACTCGTTGGATCCTGTCCTTGCTCTTATTGGACTAAGCGAATACACCCCTTTCAACTTTTCCCGGATCCGCGAGCCCTACGTTCGTACGCTCCTCGCCAAGCGGGCCATTATGGTCTTGGCCGTTACTCTCTTCATTGACGCCGCACTCTGTGTGCTCTTTATTCTTGTTCCGGGCAAGCGGCTCTGAACGGTGACAAAGATGTGCAGTAGATAACTCACAAGTGCTTTCAGATTGCCCATCAACCTAAGTGTTGTTTAATAACGGCTCTGGTTGCATGTGAGGGCAATGGAGAGAGTGAGAGAGCTTTACGAACTTTACGACCAATCAGGATTTTGAGCGACCAGTTTCCACTTTTCGGTTTTGTCTCTTTTTCGGTCTTCCATGCAGGGTATCACCAGGGTTTATGGCGTAGGGAAAAAGAGGCTGTGGGCATCATAGCCCTGCATACGGCGTTCAACAGGAAGGACCTAGGCTTTCTTAAATGTGCATGCACAATGTATATGTGTACTACTATCGAAGGACCCAAGTTTGGTTCTACTATTCAGGTTGTTGTTGATAGAAGGGGTGGGTGAGGGTGAAGGAGGAAAGCATTTCTTCAAGACTTTTTGGGCTTCGACAGACACTCACTTTTTATTTCTTTTCTTTTGATTCCCTAATTTTCTCATCACCGGTAGATAGGAACCATAGGAGCCGAACGAGGCAAGGCTAGAAGCCCAGTTGCATCAACACGTTGAGGGTTCTACAAAATTGGCCTTTTTTTTTTTTTTTTTGGTCTGTCGTCATAATCTATCGTGAATTTCTTTGCTGTCCAGCTGGGTCTCCCCACGTATCAAGGTGTTCCATGACCCATTTCTCATGCTCGATTACTGGATTTCGTAATCTCCCTTTCAGCGGCTATTAAGATCTGTAGTAGCATCGGCATCGGCCATAGCGCGGTACCAAAGGATTCTTGCAGGGCCTCCATTCGCCCTGACTGCTACTCTTCTGCCATCCGAATACCTCCATCCGTGCCGGGACGCTGCTACCAAGGGGTCGCCCATGCTACAGCTTCCGTCGGCTGGCACGCTTCTTCTCCTGCTCATCATCTTCCTCGTCCACATCCATTGCTTCATCATCAACCTCTTCGGCATTATCCATCATGCTTGTGCTGCCACGTTTGTTGTATCGCTGGGATCTCGACGTATGACCTAGGAATCCACTGCCAGCACTACGCTCACCGCCGGCGTGCGAGTGTCCAACGGCCAGCTTACGGGAGTTCGGATCCGGATCTTTGCGGGTTTCCTCGACAAGGCGCATCAACCGAGCCTCTTGCTCCGCCTTCTCGCGCTGGAGGCGTGCTGCGGCGTTCCTGATACCGGCGATCTGAGACTCGAGGTCGCCAAGAGTCGACTCGCAACGCGCGGACCAAGCATGCAAAGCACGGATCATAGGGGGGACGGCACCAGGAGCAAGGTCGCGAAGGGCGGCGAGGGAGTTTACCTGCACGACCTGACGGTGTGGGTCAAGGGTGGCATCCAACAAGCCGGCATAGATTGCGGAGATGATGAGGTCTTCAAGAGCGCGGGCGGAGGGGAGATCGAGAGCGGATTGTAGGGCGGCATAGGAGAGGTTGGAACGCTCACGGGCGAGGGTTAGGAGCGAGAGTTGGCGAAGTTTGAGGGTCTGGGCGTCATTAAGCTGTGGGAGCTGTTGTTGCTGGGAGGCGGAGAGGTAGGCGGCATAGGTGCCATGGGAGAAGAGCTCGAGTAGGGTTAGGTGAGGTATGAATTCTGAAGACTGGGCAAGGGCTTGAATCTGTGGCGTCGAAAGAAGCTCGGTAAAGAGGAAGGTATTCGGATTAGAGGTCGCGCGGGTTACGAGGTCTGCGGCGGCGCGGGGGGATGTGGCGGACTTGCTCAGGGCCAGAAAAGGCTACGATGGTTAGCAATGGACGATTAACGGCAGCACCCTTTGGACGACAAATGCCTACCTCAAGGGCGTTGAGAGCTTTGGTTTGTTCCATCTTATGAGCTTCCTATTGGTGATGCTCAAGATGTGGAAGGTGGGGAAGTAATAGCTAGCTGTCGTCACTCAAGTTGCAATAACTCAAGGTGGGGGTATGACGAGGCTGAGAATCGCACGTCGTTGGGTTGGTATCGGACGAGACAGACAAGGCTGAAGGGGGGAAATTGATTGCCCCGAGCTGGTGTCTGGCTCGATCACCTGTCGTCAAATGTGGAGGGATGGAAAGAGATGGGGTAGTGTTTCTTTGGGAGAGGTATGGGAATGAAGCTTGTGTCAGATCCGTTTGAGGTGCCGTGTAGGCAGCGGCTGCAGTTGGGAAGGGGGCGCTACGGCTCCGACGCGGGGCAGGCAACTCGCGGCGTGGTGGGGCCCTAGGCACTGAGAAAGCCGACTGGTCTTGTCATACCTCAGTGCTTTCCACACCAAACTGAATCTTCCATGCTGTCCACTAAACTTTTCCGGACTGAAAGGGCACATGTCACCTAAAGACTTCCTTTGTCTTTCTTTGGGCGGCAGGGGCTGAGTGAGCCCGTTTACACATCAAATGTACTGGAACTAGGCTAGAACACAGGTGAGGATTGTGGCAAGTTTGGAAAGTTTGGAACCACAGATTACCTTTGCAGGCAACGAGCGCATTTCATCAGTGATCTATCATCCTACCTGGCTACTGTTTGAGGTTTTTTTCCTCTATCATCGTACTTTGGAAAGGAGAGGAGCACCTTACTGTTCGAGGAAGGTGAAGCTGGGCTATCGACTTGGCACAACTTCTCGGCAAACTAGTAAAGGATTCTCCCCTCACTGCCGGCCAACTCGGAAGTACTTATCGTACGTTGTTGGCTCTCTTTTCGGTACCTACACACTCGCTGCACTGCTGACAAAAGATAGCCTACTGTGATTGACAATGGTAGGCCCCCTTGGGCGGAGAGACGGAACTACCTTGGATCCGGCAATGGGACTTGTCCAGCGCAGATAAGATAGCACACTATAACGGTGGATAAAACACTTGTAGTTCACAGAGGTTGGTATCAAGGAAATATCACACAACCTGTGATACCTGAACCGAGTCTGTCGGGATATATGATTTGTATTCCTTACTAGAAGCGCACAGACCGTGGCCTCAGGAGCATGAAGCTTAGCGCTCAAAATCAAACTCCGAGACAGAAAACGAGAGCCAATAGACGCACCGAATGGCGGTGTTTGGGCGGCTTGAGTCCGAGGGCGAAGCTCAATTCGAACCCAGGAGATCCTAACCACCAACTGCCGCAGGAACCGTGCCCGGAATGTTTTGTAGAACTTCGTTCGAAACAGGTTGTGTCCAGACACTAGACACTGACTCTGCCGTGCTTCGTCTCGTGGCGCATGGGCTCTGGCCTGGTAGAATCGGAAGAGAGGGGCGAGGTGGTATTCCTCTTCAGCTGACGGCAGAACATGACATGGGGCTACGTGCGTACTGACTGACGACTGAAGATTGTCTTGTGTGCCACTTCCACTGGAAGCTACGAAGAAATGTTCTTTGTAGGGGTACAAAGCCTAACTCAGTCCTGACTCAGGGTCCGGCTTTGCGTCACTTGGAAGGAACAACGATGTCTGACATGAGCCCCAGGATTCGGGGAGTGCAAAGGTCGGTTGCTCGTCCGTTCCTAAATCAGAAGACGACGTGATGATATCTAAGATCACTAAGGGAACTAACCTACACGAGCAGTGGCGAGCGCGATCCTATCTTAGATTTGCCCAGAGAAAGGAGGGAAATAGGAGGATGGTAGGAGGAGCCCCGTTCCAGCTGTGGCGCCCAAGGGCCGAGAGCTGCAGCGGCGGGCAGAATAGCCCGTGCGACCCCATTGGTCACGGCCCGTCTATTTCCTTCTTCTGCAGCCCACTCGAGGCAGTTTTTTCTCAGGGTTCGACACAGGTGAAGGCCAACTGAGGCCGACTGTGTTCGGAGACTGGGGCGTTTTAGTCAGGGCAGCTCCGGTATGTTCCAGGGTGTGGGAAACGAACAGGGGACACTCCCACCTGCGAAGCGTATCTTACAGGGAAGTACGTCCTTACGTACACTACAGAGCAGCATTTCAGCGAGCCCTTACCGAGCCCAATGTCCCGTTCTGTCACGGAAGTAACAACCAGCATTAGGGACACTATGGTCAGAGGAACATTGGCTTCCCCCTCCCCCCTCCTCCACTTATTACAAACACACATACGCCCCCCGGCCGCAGTTCCACGATTGCGCCAGATGATAGATCCCGGCTACGCCGCATGTGTGGGAGCACACACCCGTCCTCGCTGCCGCTGTACGTATTACCTCGAACAGCATGCATTCTATTCTGCTCATGGTCCGCGCTACCACCCAGCCAGCGAAACTCTTTTGCCATTCTCACCCCTAGTCTATGCGGTCGAGACACACTGGCTGACAAAAGCCGACCTTCCGCTTCTGTCCCTTCCAAGCTTCTCTTGCCTTCCCCAATCGTGCCATTGATCTGCCACCGTTTTCTTCGTGCCTCTCTGGCTCTATTCCTAATCCTTACTTGTTCAACTCGCTGGCCCACGGCCTCTCTTTTCTTGTTTTAACCTCCGCTACGACACACCAGCACATCCGCACACGCAATAGCTCCCACGATACCCACCTTTTGCAACCCGTAAATATTCCTAGGAAGCCGGTCTTCTGGAGCACCCCCCCTATCCTCCCTTCGAAGTTTATTTGCCTTCATCCTCATTGCCGACCCGACCTTCTCTGTCGATCAAAAGCATATTTCGTCACATGGACAGCTAGCCGGATAATGAAGGCTGGAGCCAGATAGCTGGAGACCCAACCCCCAAGAACTGAAGCGCGAACGAAGATCGAGGCTGGCCCTGCACCCCGACTTTATCATCTTCTAGTCGCATCGATTTTACAAAATCATCAATACCATGGCTCCTCCGAATATCAAAGTTCCGGGGCCGAATGAGTTGGCCCCACGGGCTACTCTAGCCACACCAACCGCTACCCAGTGGGCGACAACGACCCTTAAGGTCGGCGGCATGACGTGAGTTGAGTCCTGTTGCGATTTTGTCGCTGTTGCCATGTACTTACCATCCGTTCCAGCTGCGGCGCCTGTACCTCCGCGGTCGAGTCCGGTTTTAAGGGTGTCGATGGCGTGGGAAGCGTCTCCGTGAGCTTGGTCATGGAGCGCGCCGTGATCATGCACAACCCGGAGGTGATTTCTGCTGAGCAAATCGCCGAGATTATTGAAGACCGCGGGTTTGACGCCGAAGTACTATCTACAGACCTACCGTCGCCGATGTTCCCGACAGGCCAGGACCTGTTTGACGCTGACGAAGACGCTGGCCTGCTCACAACGACGGTTGCGATTGAGGGAATGACTTGCGGCGCTTGTACATCAGCCGTGGAGGGAGGCTTCAAGGACGTCCCGGGTGTAAAGAGCTTTAGCATATCCTTGCTCTCTGAAAGAGCCGTTATTGAGCACGACCCGGATCTGTTGACTGCCGAGCAAATTGCCGAGATCATTGAGGACCGTGGATTCGGCGCTGAGATTGTGGATAGTGGAAGCGCACAACAAGAAAAGCCCAGAGCGAGCAGCAACCCAACCAGCTCAGTGGCAACAACAACAGTCGCTATTGAAGGCATGACCTGCGGAGCTTGTACGTCTGCCGTGGAGGGGGGTTTCAAAGAGTTGGACGGTGTATTGCGCTTTAATATCAGCCTGTTGGCGGAGCGCGCTGTTATTACCCACGACACGACGAAACTTTCCGCGGAGAAAATTGCCGAGATTATCGAGGATAGAGGCTTCGGTGCCGAAGTCTTGTCGACCGCATTCGAAGTATCTGCGCATGGTGGCGCCTCCTCAACCGCGCAGTTCAAAATCTACGGAAATCCGGACTCCACTCAAGCCTTAGCCCTGGAGGCGAAGCTGGCATCTATTCCGGGTATCAACACCGCGAAGCTTAGCTTGGCTTCATCGAGACTGACTGTCACACATCAACCCAACATCATCGGCCTACGAGGTATTGTTGAGGCTGTTGAAGCAGAGGGTCTCAATGCTCTGGTGTCCGACAACGATGATAACAATGCGCAGCTTGAATCGCTTGCCAAGACCCGAGAGATTAACGAGTGGCGGAGAGCCTTCAAGTTGTCACTCTCGTTCGCCATTCCCGTCTTTCTTATCAGCATGATTATTCCCATGTGCTTTCCAGCTCTAGATTTCGGTAGCTGGGAACTACTAAACGGCATTTTCCTCGGCGACTTGATCTGTTTAGCGCTCACGATACCCGTCCAGTTCGGCATTGGAAAGCGCTTCTACGTATCAGGCTGGAAATCCATCAAGCACGGGTCGCCAACTATGGACGTCCTCGTTATTCTTGGTACTTCTTGTGCCTTCTTCTTCAGTATTATGGCTATGTTGGTGTCTTTCTTATTCCCGCCGCACACGAGACCCGCTACCATTTTCGACACCAGCACCATGTTGATCACCTTCGTCACCCTGGGCCGGTTTTTGGAAAACAGAGCCAAGGGGCAGACCTCCAAGGCTCTTTCCCGCCTCATGTCTTTGGCACCCTCGATGGCCACCATCTACGCCGACCCTATTGCTGCTGAGAAAGCTGCCGAGGGCTGGGAGAACGCAGCGGTTTCCGGTGAACCCAAGACGCCCAACCGCGATGGTCACGCAGCAGAGGAAAAGGTCATCCCAACTGAGCTCCTTCAAGTTGGAGACGTCGTTATTCTTCGTCCTGGTGACAAGATTCCTGCTGATGGCGTTCTGGTCCGTGGTGAGACTTATGTTGATGAGAGCATGGTTACCGGTGAGGCCATGCCAGTCCAGAAGAAAAAGGGCAGCTTCTTTATTGGGGGCACGGTCAACGGTCACGGACGCGTCGACTTTAGGGTCACTAGGGCCGGTCGTGATACTCAGCTCAGCCAGATCGTTAAGCTTGTTCAGGATGCCCAGACTACTCGCGCTCCTATTCAACGACTTGCCGATACACTCGCTGGCTACTTTGTTCCCACCATTCTTCTGCTTGGTTTCCTAACTTTCCTTGTCTGGATGGTCCTCAGTCACGCGCTCACAAATCCACCAAAGATCTTTACTCAAGAAGCTAGCGGCGGTAAAATCATGGTGTGCGTCAAGCTGTGCATTTCGGTCATTGTCTTTGCCTGCCCCTGCGCTCTCGGTCTGGCTACACCCACCGCTGTCATGGTGGGCACCGGCATTGGCGCAGAGAATGGCATTTTGGTCAAGGGCGGTGCTGCTTTGGAGACGACCACCAGAATTACGCAGATCGTCCTTGACAAGACTGGCACGATTACTCATGGCAAGATGAGTGTGGCTGAAATGAAACTTCTTCCCGCCTGGCAGGATAGTGAATGGAGACGCCGACTCTGGTGGCATATCGTCGGCCTCGCCGAGATGGGCAGCGAGCATCCTGTCGGTAGAGCTGTCCTGGGGGCTGCTAAGACAGAATTAGGCCTGGACGATGAAGCAACCCTCGAAGGCAGTGTGGGCGAGTTCAAGGCTGCTGTTGGCAAGGGTATCAACGCCCTTGTTGAGCCTGCTGTCAGCAACAAGCGCACCCGTTACCGTGTTCTCCTCGGCAATGTTCGCTTCCTTCGTGAGAACGATGTCAACGTCCCGGTCGAGGCAGTCGAGGCTTCTGAGCAGCTCAACGTCAAGGCCAACTCCAGCTCCAAGAACACATCCGCAGGTACCACAAACATTTTTGTTGCCATCGATGGCACTTACACCGGCCACCTCTGCCTCTCTGATACAATCAAGGAGGGCGCTGCGGCCGCCATCGCTGTCCTCCACCGCATGAAGATTAAGACTGCCATTGTTACCGGCGACCAGCGCTCCACTGCGGTCGCTGTCGCGGTCGCTGTTGGTATCTCTCCTGATAACGTATTTGCTGGCGTCTCTCCGGACCAGAAGCAAGCTATTGTCCACCAGCTTCAGGAGCAAGGCGAGGTTGTCGGTATGGTTGGCGACGGCATCAACGACTCTCCTGCCCTTGCGACTGCAGATGTAGGCATTGCCATGGCCAGCGGCACCGACGTCGCTATGGAAGCCGCCGACGTTGTCCTCATGCGTCCTACTGACCTTATGGACATCCCCGCTGCGCTGCACCTCGCCCGCTCCATCTTCAACCGCATCAAGCTCAACCTCGCCTGGGCCTGCCTCTACAACGCCATCGGTCTTCCCTTCGCCATGGGCGTTTTCCTCCCTTTCGGCTTCCACCTCCATCCCATGGCCGCCGGTGCCGCCATGGCCTGCAGCAGTGTCAGTGTCGTCGTCAGCTCCCTTCTCCTCAAGTTCTGGACCCGCCCGAGTTACATGGTCGACCCGTCCATGCAGACTAAGCGCCGCGGCTTTGGTATTATCGAGAGGATCAAGTATGTCGTCCGCCGCATCAGGGGCAGACGCACTCAAGACCAGGGCTATGTGCCCCTCGCCAATATGGCAGACCGGGACGAGTAGCTGGATTTGTGAATACGCATCTTAGAACAAAGAAAGGGTTCAACAAGGAATAAAAATGAAAGGGTATTAAAATAATACCTCCCTCAGTGTGATTAGAAGAATATAGGTTATTGGCTCGAGTAGTTGATTTGTTCTTTTTTTGTTTGTACAGTTTCTGGCTTCTTGCGTCCGCAGTCCTTGGCAGCATAGCACCGGAGTAAATGAAGTATTTTATTTTGTCCACAAATTAAACAGTATCAAGCTTGTATGGGACGTATCTCTCTGACGACTTTGCGCATTACTCTCCTAACCCAGTTTATTTCCCGCGTGCCATCATCCTTGTTGTTGTTTTTTGGCCTTGTTAACCTGTCCTCATGGATATGGTTTTTTTTTTTTTTGAAAGGTAAAAGCTATAATAGACACATTTTTTGCAACTTGTTCCTCCAGATCTCGATTTTTAAGAAATAGTTAAACCCCCAACGCCATGCTATGCAATGATAAAAAGGGATACAAAGCGGCAAGGATTTCCGTAAGAGTAAAAATTAGACGCCGGCGTACGTTTTGCCGACGATTTGACTGCCGCATGCGCTCGTCCCCTCCTCGTCGCTGAGCATCCGGCTCCATAGCCTCAACTCGTCTACACTCACGTTCCGCTTCGCGAGCTCCCACTTCACGCTCCCTGGTAGCGATGCCGTCTGGCCCCCACCGGCGGATATTAATGGTACGGCTGCCTTCTCGCCCTCGCCCTTATTCTTTGACAAAATGCCGAAGCGGAGACCAACCTCGGTAACGGTGACCAGGATACTGATAATGATGAGCACGATGATGATCCACGTGATGTAACTCATCTTCGCGTCCGCGACTGAGTCGGCCAGAATCTCGGCGAGGTCAAGGAAAACGCGGCAGCGTTCGTTGAGGACTTTGATGCGCGGATCGATTTCCAGGTACTCGCGAATGGCAACGTAAAGCGGATGGAGCGTTGGTTCTGAATCCCAGAAGAAATTCGGCACATCGAGGATGTTTGATGCTGCGAAAGTCAGACAGGTATCACCCTCAAATCTGTACTGGACGATATGACTGGAAGTGAAAAGAAAGGTGGAGGCAGACTTACAGAGGTTAATATCGACACGAGATTTGAAAAGTCTCCCAAGAATCTTAACAATCTCCGTCCTCGTCATGTTCAGCTCTCCCGTAAGGGCTAAACGTTTGGGTACGTGCTGCGCGTCGAGCATTGTTTCACTCATGCGTTCTTCGAAAAGACACAGCTTGGTGCTCTGCGCGATGGCGTGGCTGATGGTCAGCTTCACCATGTGGTCGCTCCTCGGGAGCAGGGTGATCATGTCGTTGAAGATACGGGGTCGCTTTACGTCGGCGCTGTACTCGAAGTGGAACTCTTCCGTCTCAAAATCTTCCTCGTCGAGGGGGCGAGTAATGAGCGAGAGGCCATTCTCGTTTTGCGCAAAGGTCAGGTCTGCAAGGATATCCTTCTCCTGGTGCTCCGTAAAATTCCAGAACACGACCACGCCATACGAGAACAAGAACATCTCTGCAAAATTCTTCGCGTCAGGGGCCAAACGCGCGAGCGGCGATGAGTGCGGATCGTCGGGGCTCTGCTCTCGATGTCGAGGCGAAGAGTCATCGTACACGCCGTTCCCATTGATAGGGCTCCCCGTGTAAGCAAACTCTTCAAAGTAGCCCTCATGGTTATCCCGTTGCTCGCTACGCTCAATTTCCAGGTCAAGCACGGTCTTGCCGCTGCCTGGAGTCTTGACAATTGGCCGACTGCGCACGCGGTAACCCTCGTTGCCATTCAGCAGCGGCAATGAATAAATAGCGTACAAACAATCGTCGTAGAGCTTCGTTTTGGCCTCGTGTTTTTTACGAAGAAATTCTGCTGTGGATTGCATCTTGTAGGATTGCGCCGTGCAGTATGCCGTCAACCTGGCCAGCTTTTCCCTCCGCTGGACTTTGGGTAGACGCTCTGCATAGCTCTTACCGCGGATGCCGCCTCGTTTGCGAAGTACGTCAAGTTCTTCGTCGCGAAGGGGGCGATTCTCCTCCTCCTCAAACTGCCGGGCAATCTTGCTCGCCTCTTCATCAAGATCCTCGTCAGAGCCAGGTTTATCGTCGGTCTCGGGTAGGAGGACGAGCTTCTCGCTGATCTTAGTCGTACGGGAGGGCATGCTCTGCCCAACCATCCTAGTCTGAAGATTCGGAAGACTAATGCCGGGCCCGGTACTCGCACGGCGCGAGCCCGATGCTGCTGAACCAACCACATTTGGGCGTTGGGTAGTGGGTGGTACTCTGGGTTGGCCTGATGGGATCTCGGACGCGTACTGGAGAACGTTGTCGACGGATATAAAGCGCATTGCGGGTCGGGGTTGGCCAGCACCTAGACCGGTATTTTGGCGCTGGAGGGCACCTCGAGGTGGAGGACGCTCTCGCGAGTCGGTCACCTACAGTAGAACTTGCATTAGTGGACAGACGGTCCTTAGTGTTTTTGGGATTGGGGGGCGTGAAATGGGGACAGGATTGCGACGGACCAGCACTGTTGGGCCTCGCTTCGCGGACGCCATTGTAGCGGTTGATGTCGGACTTTTGGATGCTAGAAATTGGACGTTTCTATTGCGCGACAGGCACCACGGAGAAGTTCGTAGTGGAAGGTTGTCGTCGGATGGCCAAAACCATTGGGCGATTGTCCGGCTGCGGTTTCTGGACATGACGGAAGCATTTCAGGAAAGTTCAAAGCGCTGCACCGCCACATTGTGTCCTGTGGCTGAATCTACGTCATAACTAAGACTTGTCCGTCAATATATCAACCAGGGTCTTGAGGCAGTTGAGATGAAGTTTGTGAGCAACTACGAGACATCAGATACCTGTTTTTCATTCACTCAATTGTATGGTCTTTGTTGCGTTTAATAATTAGCTGAAAGGGGATCCAGTCAGAGGAAGAAGTCAAAGATATCCGACATTAAATACGTGATAAAGGGGAATCAAATAAAGAAACCATATTTAGTTCAGGGAATGGAACAACGTTGCAATTGTCGTGGTTTTATGACACATCCCTGTCCCCAAGAAATACGTCTTGAAAGAGAAACCTCCAACTAGCAGGGACCACAAATGCAATGTCCCAGAAACCCGAAAGATGGTGAGAAGACGCCGTGGCCTGACATTCTGGTGTCATCAGACCCTAAATGATGAGCAGTGCTTGGCCTTTGTCAATATGTTTCCCAAGCTTTGAGCTATCGTTCGTTACCGATACATTAAAGCACAACATTCTTTTTCTTGTCTTTTCAAAGAAACTACAATAGCAAACTTATTCATTCCTTGGATTCCACCCAACGAATACGGCATGTTTATCTCCACCAACCTTCGCCAAGTTGTTATAGAAATGGTATACCTAAGGGCAACATCTCTCAACATGAGGGCCGATTCGATTGGAAAAGTCAAAAGTCGTACAAGTGATTTAGTTAGAAGCGGCTTGGCTCAACCTGACTCTCTGTAGCCAAAAAAGCCATCAATGAGGATATTATGCCAATTCGAACATTTCTCATACTAGTAAATCTGCCTGAACGCCCCGCAAACCTGGTATCTTTGGCCCAGAACCCAACAAGAAGAGAACTCCCGCGCAATCTCAACACTTTGCACATTGTCGGAGGGTATGTATATCTCCCAGCGCATCAATCCGCCCGCCTAGCTCGCCAACTACCAAATGGCTCGCTCATCACTTCATGTCCTTGTTTTGTAGAGTTTCCTACAGTTGACCGCTGAAGATCGCCCTCATCCATATCGGGACGGCGCTTGTCCCCATCCCTGAGGAGGCTGGCCTTGAACAGGCGGCGCGTGACCCCATCCTGGAGGAGGTTGAGAATGGATAGGCGGAGGGTGCTGGAAGCCCGGCCCGCCCCCGCCCTTCATTGCCGTGACGTCGGGGCGGCTCTCCAGCGGCTGAGCAAAGTTGCAGATGTGGCAAGCGACATCGGTATATCCCTTGAAGGAAAGAGGAATAACAGGCTAGAAGATGAGGCATTAGCTTGGGATGCGCTCTTGTCCAGCATGCTGCGGCGCCGCCCAAATGGCCACCAGACCAGGCTATGGCGATGGAAGAAGAGAACAGCGTACTCACAATCCAGCAGAAGGTAAACCACGGATGGCTCTTAATGACGTGGCCAGCCATGTTGTGACAGTTGTGACACTGGCAGACCAAACCCTCATAGCCCTCGACGGGCTTGCGGAAGGTGTGCTCGCCGCACACGAAGAAGAAGAACATTGCGGCGGGCGCGGCGCACAGATGCAGAAGTGGTTGGAGGTCTTTGGCGTCTTGTTCTGTCACCTGATAATATGTCCTCCGCTGTCCCCTGAATTGGCGTCTGTCGGTGTCGCGTTATACAATATCACCCCTTGCGAGAAAGACTTGGAACGAAATCAACACTCGGTATCGAGGGTTCCAATAGCGAAAAATTCGATCGTGGGAGGAACCGTTGGATGGCAGGAAGAACAGCTGACGTTGGAGGGGACCAACGGGCAATTAAAGCTGTACTTTTAGGACCGAAAAGTGGCAGGGAATCTCGATTCCAGATGGGCGTGGAAGCAGGGGGGTGGCCCAAGCTCTCCGGCGATGGAAGGATTATGAGTGGCACGAAGAAGAAAAGAGGGATGAACGAAAGACTCTGATTGATGGTCCGGCTAGCTGGGTGTGTGACTTGTCTTGCGTGTCCTCGCGAGGCGGTGCATCCTTGGCAGACCATCCAAATCTCTACAATGTAAAGTACTGATTCACCAATAAGGCAATATCTGTCGGAGGCAAAGGAGAATGCCATTCCATATTTGTCGGTTACAGACTTTCCTGACGGGTAAAACAGACATAGTTGTGAGCGACTCGTGACCTGTCTTGATACCTTGGCGACGGAGGGCGCTCTGTAGCAGCCCCCTTTTGCCTCCAACTCTTATGCAGAAGCCTTTTGGAGGTAAATTTCCCTAGAATTAAACTCATGCTCTTGTAGCGAGGTCACTCCCCGCTCAATTGCCTCAGCTGCAACTCCGCCTGACCGGCTGAAAACCCGGGGTCATCCGTGAACCGCCGCCACATCCGGCAGCGCCTGGTTCGGGGGGACCATCGGCAACTGCGCCAAAAATCATTAGTTGTCGTTTCTCGGCGTCCCTTCCCCCTTATCGTTTACAGCTAATTTGCGTCCTACGGTTGTTGCGACTGTTTTGCAGATAGTCTAAATGGAAATAGCTTCATGAAGGTTGAGGTGGTTCAAAATAGCAAGATGAAATCATGACTTTTCCACCCCAGCCCGATGTTCCCGCCCGTGCTTGCCGCTGCGACGCACAGAAATTCAACAGCAGCCCATCGGCTAGTTTTCCAGATGTCCACTAGCTTTAACCCTTTTAGCGCCATGCAGCCCCGAAATGCCCCCGCCCACCTGCCAGGCTGGTCTGCCCCTCGCTGCCTGCTGCGGTAGTAGGGCCCCCAATGGAACCAAACTCTCTCCACTGCGTCATCCCGCGGAACCAACCTAACACCGACCTCCGACCGCTCTCAAAAAATTTCGCCCACGAAGAGAAAGATAGCACTATCGCGAGGCCTTCCACTGTGTGACACCACCCTGTACATTGTTTCACAAGCCTCGGATCAGTTCTACTAGCAGCCAACACTGCTGCAGTCTTGTGTACGAGCTCAATTACGAGGGTTCAGCTCTCGTCACAAAGCTGAAAGCATACCATAGTCATCACCCCCCTCGCACACCTATGCTAGCGGACCCGCGATAGCTTCAAAAATGCTCTACGACCTTAACATCCCGTGGACACCCTCCACCTCACCCGCCGAACTCAACCGCACAATCTCCTTCGCTTCTTCGCTGGGCTACTCAGTCGTCGCTCTCAATAACACAATAACGCCCCCAATCCCCTCGCAAATAACGAACCCCCTCCCTAAATTTCCGTCCGCCTCTCCTTCGACATCACAACAGCCACGGGCAAAAGCGCCAACTGTCCTCCACCGCGCGACGGTCCTCCTCTCCGATCCTTCCCAGAATTACCGTCTGCCCGCACTAGCAGCAGCTTATGACCTCCTCGCCGTCCGCCCGACCACTGAGAAGGCCTTCCAGGCCGCCTGCCTCTCCATGGCCGAGCCCTCGCTGATATCTCTCGACCTGACGCAGCACTTCCCTTTCCACTTCCGCCCAAAACCGCTAATGGCTGCCGTGTCCCGCGGCGTGCGCATTGAGGTGTGCTACGCCCAGGTCCTGTCCTCCCCGTCCGGCCAGGGCCCGACGGACGCCCGAGCCAGGGCATGCTTCATTTCCAACCTCGCCTCGCTCGTCCGCGCGACAAAGGGCCGGGGGATTGTCGTTAGCAGTGAGGCCAAGAATGCATTGGGACTACGCGCGCCGGCCGATGTGGTGAACCTGCTCGCCGTCTGGGGCCTAGGGAGCGAGAAGGGCACCGAAGCGCTTGGGGTCAACCCGCGCGGCGTGGTTGTCAATGAGGGAATCAAGAGGACCGGGTTCCGGGGTGTGGTGAACGTTCTCGAGGTTGGTGGGCGAGAGGGCGACGACGCGAAGAAGAAGGGCGAGGGGAAGAAGGGAGAGAACGCTGGCAAGGGAAAGCAGGGAGAAAAGGGCAATAACGCCCAGAAGCGCAAGACCCCCGACGAGACGGGAGACGGGCCGCAGCCGGCGGTCAGCAAGCGGCAAGCCAAGAAGTTGAGGCTAGCGCAAAAGGAAAAGGACAAGAGCTCATCATAGGAGTGGGAGGAGCTCAGCTAGCTAGGTTTGTAGAGATCATACGTATGGGTTGGGCGGACATGTCGTTTAACGCTTTATGATACCCCTTGGGAAGCAAAAAATCAAAAAAGAGAAACAAAATTCATCAACATCAATCAAGATCTGAACGACTTACGCCAAGTTACGTTGACCGGGGAAACATTTTTTGAGGCCTTTTTTTGGGTTCTTGTATTTTGTTTTTCACGCACCACGCCAGCATGGGGCATAATGAGACTCGCTCATTCTTCCATTTTTGGGGTTTGAAAATAAATGCTAAACGAACCTGGTATGCGATGTGAGGGGGAGATTTTGTGTGTGTGTGTCTGAATGTTGTTGTTTGTGCTTTTTTGTGCAAAGGTAGAAATGAATTATATACAGCTGGGGTTTGAAAGTTTTGGCCATTCCCCCGTTCAATTAGTTCCCCCCCTTTGGGAGAGAGAGAGAAGGGGGAACAAAAAAAGGAGAATAACCAAATTACCTGTCGCTCGCGCAGCCGGACGGAGGGAAAGGTTGTTCCAATGTCCAGATTTTCTCTTTTCCGTCTCTTCCTCCACAAGTTTACATATATATATATATATGTACCGGATAAAAGCGTCCCTCCTCGCCCCCTTCTTCGGAATTTGCACCATTAGTTACCACCTCCGTCCGTCCAAGAATCGAATTTTGAATAAAAGTGAAAATGAAATGTCTTCTAGGGTATTCGTATGCCGCTGCTGCAAACTGCTCCGTCAAAGTCGTCGGCGTCAGTCCTTTTCCGTCCCTCACAGTCCATCCCCAATGCCAAGCCTATTTCCTTGTAATGGTAGCTTGACAGAGGGGAGTTTCCAGTGAAGGGTGAATCGGTTGGGTTTTCACAAAAATCGTTCTCATGCGTCGTCCTCATTCTCGACCACAGCCTCAGGCTCCATCACCGCCGCCTTCACACCGGGGGTCGCGCGGGCCTGCAATCCGGGAGCTTGCTGGACGAGATTTCCTAGGACGAGCTTGCTGCTCAACGACAGACCGCTGACGGCAATATTGGGCGCGGCGGGGTTGACGGCGATCATGGGCACCGTGACTTGCGGAGCAGGCACGTTAGCAGCCGGGTTGGCGCCACCATTTGAGCCAAGACCACCCAGGTTGATAGACGACGTGGGGCTGTTGCCCGCGGCTGGGTTGCCAGCCTGCGGAACGGCCGCGGGTTGCGAGGGAGAAGCCGGGCTTGCTAGTCCGGGAGCAGCGAGGGCGGGTTGCGAGGCAGCGGGAATTACTAGTGGGGGGCCAGCGGCGGGCGGTTCTGATATACGAGTCAACATTTGCTGCGAGAAAATAGAAGTTTGAAAGCCAAGACTTACCGGCCGCAAGAGGAGGAGGAGTCGAAGGCGTAGTGACTGCTGGAGGGGGCGCTGCCGGTGGCACCAGAGGAGCGGCGGGAGGAGCTGCAGCAGGAGGCGGAGGCGGAGGAGGAGGCGGGCAGCTCTGGGTCATGATGACTGGGGGACTATGATGTCTGTCAGTATGCAAGTCTCAAGTCATTACATCGGATACCACCGTGAAAACGTACGGAGCAGCTTGCGTGACGAAAACCGTCAACGGTGCGGGGATCGAGGCATTCTGGAAGACTGTCTTCGTCACCGTGACGGGCGGCGGCGGCGGTGGCGGCGGTGGCGCTGGCGGCATCGTGGGACAGTTGTTGTTATTGTTATTGTTGTTGTTGGCGTTCTTATGGCCGCTATTTTGTCGGTTGCCGTTCAACACATCGAGGATGCCCGCGAGGATGCCATTGCCCTCCGTCAGTTTCTCAACGTTCTCTGCCGGCACAGTCGTCACTTCCACACCAGCATTTCCTTCGACGTTGACGATTTGCCTCTTTACGGCATCCTCCCTCTTATGTTCAATAACCGCACCCTATTGTTGTGTAAGTCCTCGTTCTTACCTGCCGGGTCGATGGCCGTCGCCTGCATCCTTCAAGCCAAGACAACGCACCTGAACAAATGTTGATAGAGCTGCCACCGCGAAAACTAGACTTTGCCTCATCGTGAAGACTCTTAAATGTGCGAGAAAAGCTGGTGACAGTGAGATGTCCCCCCAGCGTTTCTCGACTTTGTTTCTTCCTTTTCCTTGTCGGTACTCGTATAAATCGATCTCGTGGGCGTTTTCAAAAGAGTGGAATGCAACAGGCCAGCCGTCGTTGAAGTGTCAGTGGGATCAACCCTTGGTCAAAGGAGCGTATGGTTTGTATGGCTAGTGGAATGGTTCGGAAACCTTCACACGACCTTATTCGCGATTACGATGGGTGAGGAAAGGAAGGTGGTGGGAAAGAGTAAAGTTACGGGCACGCAGAGGGTCACCTGCAGAACATTGTACATAGTTTGGGCAAGATAGGATGGCCAAGACCCGAGTAATGAGAGACTGAGGGTGTGGGGACCGGGAAGGGTAGCAGGATGGAGAAGCGACCAAACACACGAACAGGGGGGTGGCATGTCATGAACGGTGTATCGTATGAAGACGATGATGTGAGAGAGCTCGGCCAAAGAGCTCGACCACAGTCTGCCGTCCTTCCCGTTTGCCCTGCAAAAGCGCAAATCTATCGCCAGATGCACGGCACGGAGTTTAAGAAATCGACGAGCGAGGGCCAACTACGACTGGATCAGACGGTGAACGATCAAGACACACAAACAACTGCTCGAAACTTCAGTGGAGCAGGCTGCAAATCATTCATCATCAGGAGGGGATATACACTGGATGGACTGAAAAAAAAAGGGGGACCAAGTCACCGAGATCCGAGTGCATCGCGACTCTCTCATTTTGCTTGCCCAAGGAATGCTCAGGCCTTGCGTCGCCACACTCCGTTCAAATTGGCTCTTAGGCTTCGGCGCACCGGTTGCCAAATTGTTGCCAAGTCTGGAATTCGCCAGAACGGCGCGGATGCGGGTCTGGACTGGTACGATCCGGCCTTGTCGAAGGCGAGGGCTGACTGGGAAGCAGGGCAAGACAGTTAAAAGTTGCCATTTTTGCGTCGTTGGATGCAGGCGGTTCCCATCTAGAACCAGGGGCAAGCCGAGGTGACCAGGGTATCTTCCAGGAACGGCAGACTTTGGTGACTGCGAACTTCAGGGCAGCCAAGAAAATTACAAGGGGGGACCCTGTGGCTTTGCTGGCGGGATCTTGAGCAGGCTTCGATCGGAGATGGAGACTGTGAAAAGCAAAGCGTTGTGGATTCCATGACCCTTGGCATGGGACAACCTTGGGCTGATTGTCTAGGGTTTGAGACATGCCCCAGACGGAGACCGTCTGAGACGGGGATGATGCGCCGCAACGCGTCCTTCTTAGCGGCTCCGAAACCACGAGAGCGCCAGATCATTAATTGAAAAAATATCGTTTTTCTCTCCCGGGCGCGCTAGGTCCAGTGACAGCAGCGCTAAACCGAGTCCCCCAGTGGCCCCCCTAAGCAACGCACACAGATGCACCCATGCCGCAGTGGGAGAAGCGGTTATCCCACCCGTACATAGTATGTTGAGATGGGTTACATGCTTGTTGTATGACGAGAAAGAAGGTCATGCGATATGTCCCTCTCTTCGCCAACGGGTACCCATCTTCCATTGTCCTTCTCAACTCTCAACCCTTGAATCCTTACCTAGTCCTCACTCCCACAGTCTCACACTTCTTCGAAAGGGTTGCTCAGCTGGAAGCCGCAAAGGAAACTTGTTTCCGACGGGCGGCCTTGCGGAATATATTCACACTTTCCAGTGATCTCCCCCCCACCCCTTCTCCTCAATCAGCTGTTGCTTCTGTGGCATCTGCGAACTGCTTTTGACTCAGGAACGAGCAATACGTTGTATCTAAAAATGAAGAAAATAAAAACCTAGAAGAATGCGGGAAACAAACTTTCAATTGGTTTCCCCAGAGTCACAGAGTACCGGCAGTCATTCTTAGCGGCGCGAATCATTGGAGCTGGGCATGGGAGATCGACTGTACCCCCATGGCGCTCCAAAACCCGAGCTGCCATGGTCGGTAGAGAAAATGTACACTTCCACAGCGGGAACGATGGGGTACGCTACAACATCCACGTGAGGATCATTCCTGGTGTTGCAATCAGATGGATCCTCCAGTATCTAACGCCTTCTAGAGAGGGCAGCCGCCGCACCTTCGTTCGCTTTACGAAACCATGAGGGCTCTCAGACTGGCACTGATGTTGGTCCCATCCCAAGTTACACTACCACCGTGAAGGAGGGGGGGAATGTCTTTGCAGCAACCAATGAGCCCACCATTGAGACAGGAGGTGTCGCTGGCACGTTGCGATTGCGTAGGCTCGATATCTCCGTGCGTGTAAGAGAACGGACAAAAGCATTGAGATGGCTCCGTCGTCCAAAGTCCGAAAACACTCGCTTCGTAGGGGACTCGCTTCAAGTGGCTGGAGACGGCTTCGACCGAAGATGGGTCAGACAGTGTCGTTCAGGCAATCGTGTTTGATGACTGAGAATTTCGCCCAGTCATACTATAGCCGCATATTCCCCAAGTACTACGGCAAGCCACAGCCACGAGCTGGAGGCCAGGGGAAGTGCCTGGCTGCTTAAGTAATGCGATATAGTCCATATCGATAGCATACTGAGAAAGTCATAGCATTGGACAGGAGATGTTGCAATACCGTGGGGAAATGAGTCCGTTGTTTCCGTGGACTTCTGTACCCCCGTAGATGTTGGTGGTTGGCGACGGTGAGGAAAGCTCTTCCCTTCTATCGCGGATCTTCGGGCTCCCGTGGACGTACTAGCCTGGTGTTGTGAGAAGGAAATCCATGTGAGCTTGAGACTAACACCCCTTTTTTCGCTTCAGCAAGTCCTTGCCATTAATTCCAAGGATATGGGTGTCATGATCGGGAGTCGGGAGTGCCAGTCTCGTTCGTTTCACTCAATTTAGTGGGGACAACCTGGGCACATGTGTGTGTGTGTGGTGTGTGGCGTAAGGATCCACTATTTACTCCCTTTTCTAGTTTGTGTGGCTTTTGATCTGTGGCTGGGCATCGCGGCCCTCGGTACTCTCAAATCTCCGATCGATGGAACAGTCCAATGTACCACGATCATACAAAATGTGTGGCATCGGTACACGGGCCTGTGTGAAGTGACCCGTCATGGCGGGCCAAACAAAGTCAATGACGACGTTGAAGCCTTCTGCTCTACCCCGAATCCTCACTAGACTGAGGCTATGCGACGAGCCATCGCGATTTTCGGCCTTCACTCATAGTATATGAAATCGGTGGTGACAGCGTCAGCAGGCTTGTTGCTGTATGTCGTCCTTCTAACTATCCCTCTGTAGTACTCAATCCAAGGTGGTTCACTAACACCTGTCGATTCTCGAGTGTTTCAACAATTTTACCAATCGTCTCAGGTTTTTGAACCACATCTCATCCATCGCATACACGCGCAAACACACAAGCCCACGACAGTGAGGTCGACAATCACTCCAAAATGACGACTGTACATGTTCTTGACGATTACTACCTGGCCATCACGGCCCTCATCACGATAGCATACCAGCTATTCTTCTTTTCAATAGCCTTCAGTTTCAAGTTTGACAAGCTCACCGGTAAGAAAGCCGCTCCGTTCTCGCAGCATCACCGAAGCCCCATCATGAGTCCCATAAACTAACACCGCAAGACTTCGCTGGCGGCACAAATTTCGTTCTCCTAGCCATCATCACTCTTGCATTTAGCGGCTACCATCATGCACGCCAGGTCGTCGCTTCCATCTTCATCATGCTCTGGGCCGCCCGCCTCTCGGGCTTTCTTCTTTTCAGAATCATCAAGACGGGCAAGGATGATCGTTTCGACGATAAGCGCGACAAGTTCTTCCCGTTCTTGGGATTCTGGATCTTTCAGATGATCTGGGTCTGGACCGTCTCGCTGCCCGTGACCATCCTGAACTCGCCCAACGTCACGCAGTACCCGCAGCACTCGTTTGGTACGGGAAGAGACATTGTCGGCATCATCTTTTTTGTTGTTGGCTTCACCATGGAGGCCGTGAGCGATGCGCAAAAGTTCGCCTTCCGACAGAACCACCCAGAGCGCGAGGCCATTTGCGACAAAGGCTTCTTCAAGGTCTCGCGGCACCCTAATTACTTTGGCGAAATCATTATTCAGTTCGGTATGTCCGTTTTTTTAGCGTCTTACGCGGCGCCAAGTGATACACTTCTTACTGCGTTGCCCCCAACATCTTGGCACCCCCGTCATTCAAACCCCCAAGAAAGTTTATATCTGACATCTGCAAAGGCATTTACATGATCGCCGTCTCGTCTGCCGCTGACGGTTACGTTGGCGGCCAAGCCTTCAAAGCTCTCTACGCCACCATCGTGGGCCCTTTCTTCCTGACGCTGCTCCTGATGTTCGTCTCGGGCCTGACCTTGCAGGAGCGTCCCGGCGCCAAGAAGAGATATGAAAAGGGCCAGAACTGGGAAGGATACAAGCGCTACCTCGACCGCACCAGCATTCTCATTCCCTTCCCGCCGCAACTGTATGTTCGCATGCCCACCATCCTCAAGCGGACTTTATTCCTGGAGTTCCCAATGTACGTGTTTGACCCGGCGAAGCACTCTGATGCCGCGGTGAGGGTCGAGGAGGGTGAGCACCGGCACGAAGACGTCACCAAGCCACCAGTGAGAAAGAGTGGCGAGGAGAGCCTTGTCGGACAGTCATCGTAGGTTACGATACTGGGATAGAGATGGGAGTGGTAGTAATAATTATAATGTGTATAACGGTATCACGAAGTGACTTTAGGCAGGGCTAAGATAATGAATCGACTAATGCTTACTTTCCACTCCCAACTCACACCCCACGGATGTGACAATGCTATCGTGTAAGTTCTAGATGAGGCAAGACTAACGTTATCCCCTGTGTTAGAGCCCTTCTCGATATTACCTATGGCATTCACATAACCTTTTTCCGTGAGCTTCAGACGTTGTAGTCGCAAACCGGCTTAACGGCGGGTTTCAGTGTTCCGGCACACCCGCCGTTCCCCCGCAGATCCGTCGGCTGGTCCAGCGCCTCCTGCGTGTCGCCGTAGTCGGTGTACTCGGCCTCTTCGCGGTGGGTCTCGGCCCCCTCCGGGATGGGGACCATCGCGTTCTTGGTCCAGATGTGCACCGCCGTCTTCCAGTCGAGGCCCTCGATGCAGCCGCCTTTGACCGAAACGACATTCTTGTCCTGGGATCTTGTATGAGCCATCACCTGTTTCCGTCCGAGCAGAGGAGTCCTACCGGTGTGCTGTGTATCAATCTTGTGCCGCAGTTTCGACAAAAGTAGCTAGGTTTTCATCAGTTCACTTACTCTTGACCTCGCGCGTACCTAAACAATTGTCCAGAAACTCACCAATGAAGCGTCGTGCCCGTCGCAGTCGGCCTCCTACGAAAACCAGTCAGCAAACTTTCATTCTCCGCCGTCGTTACTTTCTCATCATCTGCACTTCTCTCACCTCGCCACCCGACAATCGTCGTCCACCACCTCTCCGGACGCTTACACCTCCCCCCTCCCCTTGGATATCACTCACGAGTAAACCCCCAGCAACTCTAGCGGAGGAAGCTGGAACCTAGGGAAAATCGCCGAAGTCCCGAACGCAGACCCCGTCTGCCGCTTACACTCATCACAGTGGCAGACATACAACCTCAAGGGTTTGGGTAGCGGTGTCTTGAAGGCCACCGCGCCGCATTGGCACCGGGCGTCCATTTTGTGACGTCAGACGCGTGGGGTCACTGTCAATTGAGCCAAAGGCCAGGCTTCGTTCGGGTTTGATCTCTCTCGCCAGGCGACACTGTTAATTGACTTCTCCTCGATCTGATTGACTGCCCCAAGGAAGAGTGAAAAAAAAAAAGGATTATTTGACTGCAAGATGACTGAGGTTTCACATGTAAGTAAAGCAAGTTATGGTACCTCAGGACGAAAGTAGGTTGAGAAGTCAGCAAACAAAGAGAAAGTACCGGAGCGAGGGGGGATGCGTGCACGGGATCCTCCCGTCCTTTTTAAACCAATGACTCCCACGTCCACGTCTGAACAGGAACAAAAACAAAATAAAAATAAAAATAAAAACACAGAGAACCACATGACTCCCACTTCCACAGACGCGTCTTGCTCCCTGGCGTACATTGGAATTAGATGGGAGTGAGGGTAATCGGTATATCGCGCGTTCAGCTTGCGCTGTCGCATCTCTCAGGCGTAGGGGTCCATGTAGCGGTTACAGAGACAGTGAGTCACGGCCGATGGGTGCGGGGCAATAAAGCCCGTCTTGATGAATGGTGAGACGGGGGGGGAGGGGGGGGGCCGTTCGAGGGAACCACACCGCTTGGTGCGAGACTGTCGCGAAGTCACATGGCATGCGGTCAGGGGGGGTGGCGGAGGATGTCGAAGAACGTAAGCAGGTAAGCAGGAAATTGGCGTTCTTGTATGCTGGATTGTGTGGTAAAACCATGAGGAAAAAAAAAAAAGACTACTCAAAAAGTCCCGAAGCGCGACTCGAACCTTCAACACCACCATTCTCACCACCATTCTCAACTTCCCAGCCACCATCATATGTGCATATCCTAACGTTTCTAAAACTCAGTGCAGGTCAAAAAGATCTTCAATTCAAAATTTCAAAATAATATAGATGGCATAAGATGTTAAAGAAGGTATGGTATGAGGCGGAGGGGCCAGGGAGTGGGAGCGATGGCACTATGGACTTTTGGGAGATGCTCCAACAAGTGAGCATTACACTGCACTTAAGCACTCGGCCAAGTGCTGGTCCATCTCTTCTTGTTCCGGTGAAAGGAGTGGCGTGTGTGTTCCCTATAGACCTCTGCCTGTTTGTATGCGGTCGTCATCGAGGTGCCTGATCTGTTATCGCTGCCTGCCGTGAAGGTGAAGGTGAAGCGGAACGCAAGATCTGGGTGAATTCTCACATTATATCACGTGAGGACTCAATTGTCAACAAAGACACACAATCGCAATTATTAACCCATAATTAACTGTGAGTCCTCTCTGATAAAGTGATAACATTGGATACCTCTGTCTAAGACAAATACACTGTGTCAAATGTAAATCAAATAGTAACCAGCACATGTCGGCTCGTTTTGGTGATACCAAGGCAGCCACGAAGGATTGTCGAAAATCTCACCAGGCTTCTATCAACAACTACTGGGGAAATAAAAGTAAATAGAATGGCGTTTTGATGAACTCTCTTGAGCCTACCCGTCAAACAATTTGACAGAAGCCGGGATGTACATGATCAACATTTTTCTTGCCTAGAATACAAGATAGATAAAGAAGACCTGTGATATAGAGTCACATTCATTGAACACAGTATTGTCATAAAAGTATCATTGTCATCTATCATGCCGGTTATCAAGGGCCTCTTTGTTGTATTTTTGCCTGGTAGCTGTTCGCATGCCCTTGCTACCTACCCCTTGTGGATTACCCTAAAGAAATATCCTATGAATGAGCCCAAGTCCAATGTTGACTCAAGTGTAAGATACTCCTGCCCACAGTACCAGGCAAAAACCTTATCCCTCGCCATATAAATCCTCACCCCAGACGAGGCATTCATCAACCATGACTCTGTGTCTCATAACTGCTTGTAAGAGAAAATCGAAAAGCCGCAAAGCTGTTGTAGAAAAGGTGCTCGAAAAATCAAGTGTCCCCGACTTTGTTTCTTCAACAGTCTTTGTCATAACGTAAAGTAAGGGCATCAGCAGGAGATGTTGCGCTTCCGAGTCATTGCGACTTTCTGACGCGGACCAGAAAAGTTCATATTGTCAGCGACCAGAAAGGGTTTGTACTTTTTGTCGAAGACGCCACCAGGAATCCAGGGCTCGGCCTCAGTGGCATGAAGCCGGCTCATGATAGCGTTGAGCTTGGTATTGTTCTTGGTATCCAGCGATCCAAGGACGTCAAGGTCTCGAGTGTTGTTGCGGTTGGCAATCATACTGGGACCATCGACGAAGGTAAAGATAAGAATATGAACAATGACAACGAAGAAGTATCCTATCAGTAGAGCAAGGGGCTTGACAATCATCCAGATGGCGCGCTTGATAAAGCTGTCGATGGCAGGATGCATGCGCATGAAGATGATGGTGATGATGATAAGGATGGGGATTCGGACCAGAGGAGACCAAGCGGTTGAGTAATCGATATTGTCGCAGTCAGCGCAGCGAGGCATGAAACGACCTCTCATAACATGGCCGCACATTTTGATCTGTAACAATCAGCCAACTATTCGGTATTGTATGAAGGTAATAATACCAAGCGTGTGAGTAGTATTTTTTTGTTGTGTACTCAGTTCTTCGTAGTAGAATCTGCCTCTGTCAGTGTCTCGTTCAAAACAACTCTCAAGGAAACACACCGATTTCTTGAGATTGGATTTCGCGTTCTTCTTTTCGTAGATGTGCGGTGAAGTCTCGTACGGGTTTGTAGACGGGAGAAGGATGATCAAAGGGGATAGGATAGTACAGCGCAAAGGATATCGATTGAGGATAAAGGGCGCTAGGTGGTGGTGAAATAGAGTTGATCAAGTGAGAACCAGTGATTGTTTGTGAAGAAGACGGGCTGGCTGGAAAAAAAGAAAAAGGGTAAGAAGTTGTCAAAGTGGAAGGTACGGCAAGGTCATCAACACCAGATGGCAGGAGCGAACAACCGCGACTTCTTCATCTTTCCGCGGACAGCGACCTCTAACTCCCATTCACTGAAGTCAACAAGCAAGGTACAAAGAGATTGAGTAAAAAACAACTGTTTTGGGCTGAAATTTGCCTGTGCTGGTGTCCTTCCTAACTCCTGACGCCTGACTCCTCGAATTTAGATTTCCATCGACGACCCTTCCCATCCATCCAAACCAAACAGCCCAAATACATTCCAAATTCCTGGAGAACCAAATCAGTACCCATAGGGCTCCTCCTTTTGACCCTCTCTAGCAGCGCTTTTCCTAGGGCCCCGGTCTTCCATCAGCCTCTCAACACATCTCACGATGACTTTCTGACCTTCCTCCCTCTCTTCATTCAGGATGGCCTCAAGAGCCCCGCACCACTCAAGCTTCTGCGCGTCATCCCAGTCCAGAACAGTGAGCTCGACTTCAATCTGCTTCAACGCTCTCAACTTCCGAAGTCCCTCCTCGATCCATTCGGGCTTTGGATCCGGAAAATGTGAAATGTCCATGGCCTGGGCCTCTGCATTGTTGTTCAGCGCGGCAAATGTGGCAGCGGGTTCGAATATCCCACCTCCTATCAGTATCTTTAGCCTCAAGCCCCGGAGGCCATTAGTCCAGCACCCGCAGAGGTCGATCCATTCTTTGAGCGTAGGGCTGGTGAAATCTCGTCCGAGCATCTCCAGCCGGGCGTACCGCATCTCGTCACGCTGCCAAGGCTTCAGGCCGCGGGTGAAAGCCCGCGCGGCCCAGAGACCCGAGGAAAACCAATTGACGAACACGAATTCGTTAGTGCGGAACGGCAACATACTACATTCCGCGTAAATTTGGCGGTTGGTCCGGAGCAGACTCGAGGGAAGGCCACAGACGGGGCGGTGCGGAGATAGTAAGAGGTCCTCATCCTTTTTGTCGTCGCGATTATGTTCTTCGTTGCTGCCGGCGACTAGTTGGCTTGTTCCTTTATCTTCAATCGTGACTTCTTCAGCATCTCCCTCTGGTTTGATGAGCTTGAGGAAGTACGAACTGTATATTGGCGTGGGGTACCATGGCGCCAACTGGGCGTGTTGAATCGGGTGCATCAGATGCACCCAGCTGTATATCTGTTGGCGGATCTCGTAAGGAAGATCCAGGAATGGGCACTCTCCCGCCGGCGTGGAGGTTGTCAACATGGTAGGCCTCGCAAACGGCACCTGTACCGTCTCCGTCTGTGTGCTTGACATGGTCTTAGTTTCAATCTGTTTGTAGTGTGCAATAGCTCCCCAATAACACATGTATAATCTGCATCTATCGAGATGGGGGTTGTCAATAGGTGACTAGATTTCTCATCAACCGTACTCAATGAGAAGTGTATGAATGAAGGGTGATACCTAGTTTGTCACCACAAAACTTATTGGGCAACAATGGCAAACAAACATAAAAGACGTTATGACCGTCCAAAATGAAATCAGAAGAGGAGAAAACAAGAGGAAACACTTCTGGGAGGCTGGCCTTTTGAGTAACCTATATCTAGGGTGTTGGTACCTTACCCCATGTCTCTCATGTGCTTTCTTGTCCTTGCCTAATCAGGCAAATGTACCTGTCCACAAGGTGTCAACCAACTGGGCTACTGGGAATCCTACATTGGGGCCGTGGGAAAGCCCTCCCAATGGTTTCACTGTCTTCCGTCAGCCATGGCGTATTCGATTGGCCCAGGAGAGAAGCGCGGGCGGGCTGACCGGTCAGCATGCGGGCGACAACAGCTCCTCGAGAATTAGACGTTTGAATAACCTGCCCCGAAAGAGGTAATAGGGCATAAGCTGACCACGTCAAGAGTCCACACGCTCACAAGGGAAACCGGCTCTAAGGGAAGTAGGGAAAGGGGGGGAGGAGATTAACACTAAGGCTCGTCTGCCCTTGGCGATGTCAGCCCTATAATGCGCTTTCCTTGTTGGATGTAAGACCGCTACAGAGCATCTAATTGGCGGCCAGCGGGCTTCCGAGTGAGTCGATATTACGACCGTCGTAAATGCGTGACAAGCAAGCATACAGGCAGTAGCTGGCGACCAAAAAGCAACGAAAAGATCTTCTGTCGCCGGGCCCCCAGGCTGCAGACAGGGGCTTTCCCCCATTTCGTTCCGCGACCATACGCCGAGGAAGCTAGATATTCTCCCGCTAGGACATCACCTCCGAGAGGGTCCGGCTATCTATCCAACAGGCAGGTTCAGGGCGCGACGAGAACAAGCGAAGACTCGCATTTGCCCATTTCACACATCTCCTCTCCCCGGGCCCCCCACTTCCATAGGGGGGACAACCCGGCCGTTGTGCAGTCCCACAAAATCCTTCTTGCCCCCCGGGATCGGTCATCCGTACCACCGATATCCGACAACCGACGGCTATCAAGAATGTTCAAGAAGAGACCCCGAAGGACAAAAACAAAAGCCGTCATGTCTTGGTGCGGGGTCCCGCATTGTCTCTGCCGGCCCCTAGTGGAAATACCTCATTCCGAAGCATCAACAAAAAATCAATTGACATTTGATTCGGTTTGCGTGGGTAAACGGATCTTATGCAAGAGATTTTCCAACACGTCTTGGCTGAGACATGTGAGAAGTGAGCAAAGATGCGAGCCAACGGAGAGGGGGAAAGGGGAACGAAATAAAAACCCACCCCAAAACTGGAGTCGGATCCCCGCCTCTATCGCTTCCTGCGAGGTTTGACGGTGAGAGGCCAGAACATAAAGAGTCGCCGTCACCTTCAAGAGCGTGTCCCAATCAGATCGTGCGCTAAACGCATCAGACTTGACTATTGCACGGCCGTTGTCAAATTTCATCTGATCTAGGAACGAAGTGGATGGCGCACTCCGTGTGGACCCAGTTCTTCACGATTTGCGGGGGAGGAGCACACTTTGCAATAACTTTATATAGTTCTCCAGGTTTTGGCTGAACATGGCTCTAATGGGGGTCGATTCACCCTGTAGCTCGTGTCTCGAGTTCACACTCGTTACATCACCTACAGACATACATGGCATGTGTTTGTACCAGGCGAAACCCGGTATAACACAAAGTACAGTAGACGTGATCCATACGATCCGTGCCTCGTAGGCAACATTGACATTAAACTATACCGCCGAAACCTATCTTTGCCAGCTTGTCACAGTCGCCGGCGTCCCTTCCCGTCCTGCCCCGCCAGCCCTGAAATACATGGCCAGGTGCTGGCGGAGAGAAAGCCACAGGCAACTGCCTCTTTCTTCTTTACATTCGCATGACGCTTGATAAAAACGTCGTTCTCAGGTCCTTCTCTCATGCTACGCGTACACTGAAATAAACCCCTGAGCAAATTAAACGCCCCAAGGCTGTTAACGATAACGAGTGAGCCCTTCTCGTAAGCCAAGTTCAAGGATACATACACCCGCTGAGGGCGGTATCCCATATATAATAAACAAAAAGGTGACTGAAGCCAAAAAAGCAAGCACCATTTGTTCCTTCCAACGTCTCAAAACTGCAAACCCAAAATGCAAGCAAAGCCGCCCTGAGGACAGCAGGGGTATCAAAGCTTTCTCTCGCGAAAAAAATGGAAGGGGTTTCGTTCGAAGATTATGCGCATCGTGATAAGGTGTAGTTGGCAGCCTCAGATAAGTAGGCTTGCTATTATTATCAAAGCCGGGAGTATCTCACAACTCTGACTGGTATGGTGAGATTAAGCGAAGCCGCTATTGCCGTTGCCAAGGACCATCTGGTCAACGCGTTGGACCAATTCCTTCGTCTCCCGGGCAATCTCGAAAGCGATGGGCGGCAGCGTTTGCGTCCACATCCTCCACTCACGGTCGTTACCTGCCCCAGCGCCCTGGTTACGATCAATTTCCATTCCGCGCTCGCTGGCCTCAAGAAGCCTCTCCCGGCAGGCAGCAAGGCGGCCAATCATGTCACCATTGCCCGATGCCTCGGTTTCGGATATAACCTTGCCGACGACTTCGTTGATACCGTTTATTTCAGAGGTGATCTGATTGATGGACGCGTCGCTTCGGATGGAGCCGACGAGGTTCTGGATGTTCTGGACAAGGATGGCGGTCTGATCCTCGAGATATATCTTGAGTTCTTCAGTTTGGTTGTCTCGGCGCATGCCAAACCCGTTCGAGGGACCCGTCTTGTTCATCCCCATGTTGTAGCCCATGCCATTCATGCCATTCATTCCGTTAGGTCCATTAGGCCCGCGGTTGTAGGTGTCTGCAGACTGGCGGGGCGAATTGATGGGGCTGTAAGCGGAGGAGTCCATGCTGGTTCTGCCGCCGAGGCCCTGGAATGGTGGGGCCTGTCCCAACGGCAGCGGCACAGGAACTGTATCCTGGATTATCGATTCTTGCCGTGATGCAGTCCTAGGGGAAAAGAATCCGGTGGAATCGACAGGAGTAATTGTGCCGTCGTCGTCGTCTTCGAGTTCGCCAGCAGGAGTGGTCCGGATCTTTACGGTTCGTAGGAGGTCGACGATAGCCGCCACAAGGTGGGAGGCGGCGGCGTCAAGTAATGAAACTGGAGAGATGCCAGCTGAAGCAGCATAATTCTTTGAGGAGGTGATGAGGTTGTTGGCGGATGAGGAGATCTTGCCCTTGAGTTTTGAGCGTTGTTGCATTAGGTCCTCATTTGTTTGAGCCGCTTCGTCGATATCCTTAGTAATCCGTCGCACGCTGACGACGACTTGCTTCATAGCGTCAACGACCTTGTCAGGGTCATCCGATCGAGCCCTTTGGAGAAGCTCGTCAATGGCGATCTGGAACTTGGTGACGTGAACATCCTTAACTGCCCCATTATCCTGAGTGAAGCCCCTTTCGCGCACATACTTGCCCGCGTCTTGCTCAACGGTCAATCCGAGTGAAGAGGCACGCATGTCACGAAGTTGTGTCTTGGTGCGCGCATACCGGTTCCGCCACTCGCGAACCTCGCTCTCAAGCTGCTCGATTGTTTTTTCCAGCTCTTCCTGCTTCTGCCAGGTAGAGCCACTCTGTTGTGACAGCAACTTCATCTCGCGAAGGAACTCTCGGGCTTCGCGCCGCGCCTCTTCCGTAACCTGTTGTTGTTCTTGCAGGGACCTGCGCAGCTGCTCATTCTCCCGCTGCAGCTCACGGTCCGCATTGCCGTTGCTGACGTTCGCTGCAGCCATGCTTGACTGCCGCAGTTCCTCCACTTGGTCCCTCAGCTGCCGAGATTCACTTGCATGGTCGTCTCTCATGCGGTCTAGCTCTTGTTTAAGAGAGTCGTTCAGATCTTGGGCTTCCGCCAGTTTGTTCTCCAGATTGAGACGAAGGTCGGCAAATTCCTTCTTCTCCATATTGGCAGCTGTCGATCGTGATCTCTCACTGTCCAGGATGCTATTCATTTCGTCATCCTTCTTCTTCATAACGTCCTCCATGGCATCGAGCTTTTCCCGTAGCTCGCGTACTTGTGATTGGTACTCGTCTAGAAGCTTCTTGTCGGCCTGTAGGGCTGTTAATGTCTCCACTCAATACGAGGTTTAGTTGGGCAAAGATCACCTCTGATGCTACCGCACTCTGCTCCGTAGCCTGGCTCCTCTTACTCGTACGGTTTGTTGCCGTCCGTTCCAGTCCAAAAGCCTCGCCGTCGTCTTCGTTCGGGCTACCGTCGTCATCTTCTTCTACCATGGTACTTTTGTTTGGTACAATCGTGTTGCTCTGGAACTGCTTCTGCATCGGACGGTTGTACTCGCCATTAGGGGGCATGCCTGGCGACGGCGGCACGCCGTAGGGATCGGAAGGGGGTGGTCCCCTCATTGAGCTGGCGTCGGACGGACGTCTCATTCGGCTTTGGCTCCTTGGTGGATAGCCATTTTGACTACCGTTGACGGTTGCCTGTGAGCGGACCGATACGGGGCTACCCACTCTGGGGATATCTCCAGCGGCAAAGCGGGGAAACCTCCTCTCGAGTTCGCAAAATACGTCGGTCGCTAGATCGCGGAATCGTGGGGGACCCAGAGAAGAGAGCTTTTGTCTCGCCTGGTTACGTTTCGGGTGGAAATTGGGTTCTGGTAGTAGATAAGGGGGAGGGTTTTGAGCCCCTGGGCCAGAGGGTCGGCGGCCTAGGGATTGCCTCCGTATCAGTTCGTCGTACACATCGGTACTGAGCTCGAGGAACTGGACAGGCGAAAGTCGCAGCAACTTGTCGCGGGCCTTGTTAGGAGGCGTGGGCCGTCCTCCTTGTCCGCCATTTAGAAAATTCTTCAAGGCAACGTAGTGCTCTCCCAGGATGCCCTCGGCTTGTTCTTCACGAATACTCCTTCCGCTTTCACTCCTCGCATACAAATTGGTACCATTACTGGATCTGCCGACAGACGGCGGCGGTGACGGACCGCCGGCGCTCCGCGGGCCGGGAGGGAAAGAACCATTCATGGCCCCGTTGGAGCCTCCGGAATTCGGGGGTGAAGCGATGTTGCCACGGTTATTTGCGTAGGGGTCTTCGTTGATGGGTTGGTATTTGCCAACAGACCATTCGCTTCCGCCTAGAGAGACAGGTGAGAGAGGCGCATTGCGACCATTCATGATAGACCTCTAGGTGTTTTGTATAAAGATTCGGGCCGCGTGGGAAGCGAGAAGCAGTCGGCACAATAGGGACAAGGTGCGGCGAACAAAGGGAGCGTCGAAGTCGAAGGTCGCAAGTCGGTTAGGGGGCTTCGTACAGTGACCTTTCTTCTTCCTCTTCCTCCTGTAGCGCTACCACCTGACAGAATTCTAATCCAATCAAGTATACGCTCGTACCCAAAACCACTTGTCAAACCCAAAAGCCAACCTAAATGTGTATGTCGCAAAAACTTTTTTTCCCCCTTTCTTTTCCTGTTGCGTCTCGCTTGTCAAAGGTTGAGTCTAAGGCGAGAAGGTCAGTGGTCGAGGTCGGGTTGGAATGTGTCGACGATTGTCGATGTCTCTGTCTCTCGGATGAGGGTCGCGGGGGAGGGGCGTGAGACGAAAGCGAAGACGAGAGGCGAAAGAAAAAAAAAAGGCTTCTTTCAGAATGGCCAGTGGTTGCGACACGGCATGGCAGGGCGGGAAGATGTCGTGTCGAAAAGGAATATTGTGGGAGGGGGGATGCAGGAAAAAGCAAATGCCGCAGAAGAAGCGTGCGTGGAACGAGATGCTGCAGTACAGAGCGACTAGCGTTGCTGCACTCACTGTATGCGGCCAACGTACCTAAAGGACGGACTGGCGTGTTGTACAGATGCAACGCAAGAACAGAGGTGATGATAGAACAACAGCAGAATCCGCGACGAGGTGGTGAGGCATGAAACGTCAAGGTGACCGGCCGGGATGCCACGACCAATAGATGCAGCGATGTGGAAGAAACTGGGGGTTGGAAAGAGGAAAAAAGGGGGGTGGACAGGCGAGTACAGTGGGCTTTTGGGGGGAGATCTGTGCCGCTAAGACGGCTGCACAGAAGCACTCTCGTTGTTGTGGTGTGTGCACGCGCTGTACTGTAAGGTACGCACTGATGCTGTAGTGATTGAAGATGGACGACGAAATGGTGGACTGCTCTGGACACTTGCTAAGATAGCGGATCACTGGTGCTGGAGCGATGGATAGATGGGAAGCGGCCCGGGGGAAGGGGGGATGGGGGAAGGAGGAAGGGGCTCAATTGGTAGAATGACCAGGGGGGTAGGGAGGGGAAATGACACTGGAGACACCGGCCGTTGTAGTGTCTTGTACCCTGGAGCCATGAGACAGGCGAACAGTGTTGGGGAATGCACCAATCGGTACATGCAAATTTCCCTTCGTTGGCTACACCCCACTACGATTTTACTCTGATCGCCTCTTTTGGGGGAATACTGGCCAAGTGCCCATGTTATTAAGGCCTTGGATCATAGCGGTTGCCCTCTTCACTGCCACCTTCACTTCCACTTTCTCGGATCGGGGCCTGTACCGTTTTTGGCCGAGCATTTTCTTCATTATTATTCTACTGATTAGTTCTTTTTGAGAGTGGTCAGACATGGCCGAGACGGGTCTGTTTCTTGTTTCCTCCTTCCAACAGAGGGGGTGGTGGTCAGTAGAAGTTGGGCAACAGCAATTCAGCCAAAGTCTGAGAGTGACCTTTGACGTATGCATAAGGTCAAAATGGCATCTGCCGTGACATTGACGGACGACTCCCTAAGAAAGGTAGAAGATCGGGCAAAACAAGGCTAAGGCAGGTGGAGACCGGAACACAAAAAGCCTATCGTAACATGGACAACAAATGGCCCAAGATTGATATACGGACAGCCTAGTCTCTTGGATAATTTCCAGCTTGGAATGATGCAGCGATAGCACCGGTTGGATTCCCGTTCTCTCCCCCTCCCTTCTCTCTGTCTCTGTCTCTCTCTCTCACACCCGTCCCCCCAGTCCAGTTGAAGACGGACTCAGGTAGAAGAAGGGGAGCGAGACAAATCAAAGCAAGACCAACCCTAAGACTCGACACGACTCGACATAGCACGCCGAGACACACGAGACTCGCAGCAAGAGGGGAAAAAAGAATGTGCCAGCAAAGAGATCCTACCCTCATTGATTGATGATTCCATTTTCCATTCTGATCCAAGTACCATCACTGGGCCTGCTTTTGGCGTATAGGTAGTAGTATTGGGACCTGGGTGGAGACCTTATGTTCCTTCCTGATTCACAGGTTCATCCACTATTTGCTGGTACACAGCGGCAATGAATTAGCGCCAGAGTTTGTTCCTCCTGCCATTGGTAATACAGAAGTAGCTCAGCACAGTCCGCATTACTGACTGCCTGCCCATAATACAGCAGGCACGGTACGCAGTCACGGAGCACATAGCACATATTAAGGTAGTAGAAGTTGGGACAGACCTGAATGGGCAAGCAGCTCACCACTTACCCGATCAGGTCGCTTCCTTCCCCTGGTGTCTCAGCTTGACTCTTTTGCTCCTTTCCATTGGGTTTGTTGTACCCGTTCGTTCGTTCAGTCTTCCATCGTTCATCCACCCGTTTGCTCAAACAAGATCTCACAAGTTCATGACCGCAATGCATTTATCCTCCATCTCCCCTTTCCCATCTGCGACGTGCACCCATGTAGCCACCATACCCTTTTCTCTCTTCAATCTTCCAATCCCCTCAGAAGGCACCAGGCCTCCGATCTCTAGAAGCCAAGGTCAAGCCCCCTGATACAATGACCACCCATGCCTGATGGCGCGGCCTCTCCACAATCCATTGGCCCATCTTGCTGGCGCGCGCTAGCAGCAAAATTCAAGAGTGGATTTTCATCAGGGCCTAGCCTGTCACTCGACTGTGGCGGTGTCCGTGGGAGATGGAGATTCGGAGAGACATGGGCATGGGTAAGGGGCACTGGCCATTGGCAGGCATGTCCGGTCCAGCCCAGCAAGCCCCGGCTTACACAGCTTCCAGCTTTTGCAGGCCAGTTGCAACCTGCAGGGATGCCTTTTAAGCATGGTGGGGATGCGATTCTGCCTGTGTCCCTGCGCAAAGGGATGCCACCTGCAGAGTCCAGCACTCAATCGCTCCAAAGGCCATTGGCTTTGCCTCTGCAGATGTTATACCCTGACAAGCTGTCACCAGCTCTCATCGTCCGTCTTGCCTCGCCCGCCCGCCTTATGCATGTGAGCGGTTTTAACGGTCACAAACTCTTGGCCCTGCTTACTTTGTCAACTCCTGTAACTTGCAGACACATGACAGACTCCAATCCCTCGACAACAAGGGAAAACAAGAAAGAAAAAATGATAATGAACCTCGTTTACATCAACACTACGGATACTGAGAAAACAACTTTCACCGAACCCCCTGGCCTTGATATGTAAATGTCATACCCAGATTGGGGTATCCCATGCAAAAAGCTGCTTTGTTGTTGGCACCATGCGACTGGCTTTGTCCAGACAACCGATTCGCAACCCTCGTCAACATTCAAACCCCCCATGCAACGTTTTATTGCATCTGAAATTACGCCTCATCTGGCTCGCCCTGCACTTTCTGTATTGGTCTTTTCAACGCTTCTCTCACCAGAGTCTCGACTCGTCTAGCCCTCCTAGGCCACCGAGCGGGATCCATACACATCATCCAGACCACCCAATCTGACAAGCCATGTTGAAGGCCTCCGCCTGCACCTCTAGCAAGGACTCGTTCGCCTCGGATGCCGACGTCGCCGCTGCGATCGTTCTACCGTCAATGCCCCCCTATGCTTATGTACTGTGTAGTTCGTTTGCGTACCAGCTCGGTTCAAACTTCAAGCAACCCCTGATTTAGTTGCCGTTAGAGTATCTCATGCCGGGCCAATCAACCTCAATCCCGAGCTGGATCCCCTAGGCAGAAAACCCGGCCACAAGCTGCGGCTCCCAGGCTCCCAGACGACGTGACATGTGACATGGCAAGGTACATTCAGACCGTGTCATTCCCTCTGTCATTCGAATCGCACCTTGAGACGGGAATGAAGCCTTGCCATGGCAGCGAACATTCGATGGAAGCCGAGAAAAGAGGGCCACGCCACCATGAACTTATGCGAGGGAACGCGGATACGATCATACGCGGGCCTGCGGCCATCAGAACAAACCCCCACCACTTCAAAACCTACAGGGACTTTCCGGTTCATCCGCCTGCAATTTGCTATTACCGTTCAACCCGTTGCTACTCATTTATCTTTGGCGTGCAGTGAGGAATCACCTTAACGAGAAATGACTTCACACAACTTTAGGCTCCCACGTGAACTGGTTGGACCGTACAAGAACCGGCCTAACGCAATCAAAGCCTGCTCTTCCAACTACCGTGATGCCGTGCTGTGACGCCCTCAAGCTCCAGATAATTTACTCAATATCACCGGGATAAACTCGTGATCTACCGAAAAAGGTCAACTTTCTAAAGACCGGACATGCGCACCGTCATACCCAGCACCAAGCCATTCTAGTCTATTGGATTTTACGCACGACAAATAGACCAAAGAGAAAGGTATGCAACCCAAAGAAGAAAAGATTCAGAGCCGCGTCGCTTTCCCCACATCCACCGGTACCAATACCAACTTTTTTAATCCATTAAGGCTGTGTACGGAATGCAACGGGGAGGGACGTCTTTTCTCGTGGAAAGGAGCCGGAAGGAAACCCCCCAGGCACAAGGTCCGACCACACACACATCAAGCTCGATGAAACTTGCCTCGACTGAGGCTAGCTCGAAACGCGACCATGATAGCTTAAAGGAACCGTCGGCAACCGCAGCCGCGATGGGCCTTTGCCCTTTCTTCTTTTATTCCTGGTTGCACACCAGCCAGACGGTAATTTCACAGTCTCGTAGCAGGTGGAGGTCGAAAGTTGAACTAAGACGTTTCCTGGGACAATCTGATTTTGGTTTAACACGCGAATTATGATTATCATCATACATGGTTCATGTACCCATGAACTCTCTTCATAAGAACCGGAGACCTATACTTCTTCCGAGCCGCATCGCTTCCTCCGCCATGAGTCGTGCAGTCAGGGCTCGCTCGTCTCAAGAAAATGGATGGCGTCCGCAACTCTTACCCGCTCTTCTTATTTCGCCGTTGATAGGGCATGCTGCTTCATCGTTCCGGGGAGTATCCTATTCCACTACGATCCTCGCACGCATATGCTTCTCGTCTGATAGGTTTTCCTTCTCTCTTCCAACTTTCTACCGTAGCGAGCCGGAGTGCTTTAAATATCATAGGTGGATCAGCTAGATTCCTAATCCAGCTTATGTTTCCTGCCTGGCTCCCCTGGTTCGCATCATCCGCCCAATTAGTGATGTATATGAGGGAATTTTACCCGTAATTGTTCTGCAGGTCGCGACGGACGATGTCGGCTTTCACCACTCTAGCCTCTCGGGTTACCCGTATTGGTGATCAGCGGTACCCGCCGGGCCGGGCCCGAAACCCCGCTCCTCTCGTTTCCGTCTGGGTTAGGATGACATCCACCGGTAGTACCCGCGTATTTCCCAGCCTCTGGCTTAGAACCATGCCAGGGTCCAGATAGCAGGCAGATGCGGCCATCGGTCCTGCCACTCAGCGAGGATCTCCGGTACCTTCTCGTCGAAGCTTGCGCGAGCCGATGCGCTGCCAGAGTCGAAGGTCTCCGCGCCGACTGCCTCACGCTCTTTTCTAGCGGCCTCGTTAAGGTGGTCGGCCAGATCCAGAATCGCCTTGCCGCCGACGCTGGCCTCCTCGTGGTTATCCTTGATGTCGACATTGATGACGTGGACTGGCCGGTTCAAGGGGGACCCTCTGTTCATAAGGTCGTCAATCACGGCGTCCCAACAGCGTTCCTCGCACGTGATAACCACGTCCACGATCCCGCCTTCGGTTCCCACGCTGCCGCGGTCATCAGAGTGTTGCAGGCGCGGCATGCCAATCTGCCAGTCCTGCCAGCGCTCGGGACCCCATTTGACATGGCGGTTCCGGTCAACCATGTTGAGGACGCCATTGAGGCGGTAGAGGCGCGGATCCTTCGATTCAAGCTCCTTGAATATGCTGTCATACGAGGTCTTGTTGAAGTGATAAACGTTTGGCTGTGTTATGGACGGGCCCGGGAGGCGGACGAGGGAACCCGTGCCAAAGGAGATTACAGGGTAGTTTGCGTTTGCGAGGCGGAGATGGGAGACCATTGATCTACGATGCGTCCATATGTTAGCATTCACTGTGTTACTGGGATATTTACATCGGCGACTGCTCGCGACTGCGACGGACCACAGCAGGTGCGAGATTAAGGCAAGGCTCTTTACCTGTTCTGGTTGCTTGCGCAGACAGTGCAGAACTTCAGCTTGAAGTCGTCCGGGTTTGATGGCGCTGCACCTTCCCCATTACCGTTGATGGGCGCAGATACGGACGCTGTGGCTGCGGCCTGCGCAGCTCCATTCGAAACTTCCATTGCTGCTTGATGATATTGCTTTGTTCACGAGTGTTGGATGTGAGATGACGATGGTGGGGCCGTAGGATGGATCACACTGCACGAGTGGATCGGGTAAGGCGCGTATGGATGGGAAACGATGTGGGGGCCACACGAGAAGAAGTGCGATAAAAAAAAAAAAAACAAGACGGAAAAAAAAGTGTTAGTCAGGCTTATTCTGTCGTATCGTATCGTCGGGCGTCGTCGTCGTTGTTGTCGTTGTCGTCGTCGAGGGAGCTTCTAGTCTGACTTGAATTAGCTAAAATTCAGACACTTAATGGTTATCAAAGTATGTGATAATTGAGCGCAAGTTTCAGATGTTTGCGTATACGGTATAAATTGTGTCAACATGGGGATTTAGACAGCTCCAATAAATAAGAACTCATCACAGAAAATGCTCGAAAATCATGGTTTGCTCGTCGAGTTTTTTCTTTTGCCTTACCTTTTGGGGGTTGAGTGGACGCGACTAACGCGTCTTTCTAACTTTGATGCTTTTCCCTCCAAATGACCACCAGGATCTATATGCACTCCAGAGACGGACGGCGGTTGGCTTTTGAGAGCTCCGTGTCCTGACTACGAAGTTGTGGTGTTGAAAGGAAGAAAAGGTTTTGCGAGCCTCAATGACGTCCGTTTTTTTAGCAGGAACAAGTGGAGGGCAGCTAGCTCGCTTCCGGCGAAATGTCGGGCCTTGACACAGGTGGAGTTATTCGATACGACCGTGAATACCTTTGGTCAAAGCCCCTGGACAGCTGCCTGAGGCTCAACGATCCCCAAAGTCTTTCAACAACTCACGTGGCTTTGGAAGATTGTCGAGATGATTGGCTGATAGGCGCTCACAGATTCTGAAACGAACGACGCTTGCAAGGGCACCAATCAGTACCAAGTCCAATTGCAGCTGTACGCAGCACGCCAGAAATAGAAACAGCTAACATTTGAAAACCAGCCACAAAGCGAATTGGGAACGTCCGGATGGCGTTTCGCTGGGAGCGGTGCAGCCAAAGAAGGGCCAGACGAGGTCGCTCGACATCTGCCATTAAAGACTAGACTGTTCTTCCTCTAAGAGGTAGGGCTCCTTATCCAAGTAAAAGTCACGCGTGGTAGGGCATATCTACTACGGATACCGGGAGACTTAGGCACGGAGCAGTACTCGACTGAGAAGGCAATGCAGCATTGCATGTCAAAATATATGGACCCTGACAGTCTTGTCCCGAAAGAATTGACGTGCTAGACCTCTCTTGGTAGCTTACAGTCGGCCCATGAATTCTGTTTTACCTTGGCAAGGGAAGTTTGGCAACTTGCAAGGTGTTCTGGGACCTGATCATCGGAGGAATAGCCTATCTTTCGGAAGGTTGAATTTGGTATTTCTGTCCTGGCTGGGTGCTGCGGAGCCCAACACGGTGACGCTCATACTCCCGCTTCGCGCTTCGCGCTAGGCCTGGCTAGGCTCTGGTCTTCAAATGCAATTTTGTCGTCTCCCGTGAATGGGTTCGTGTGAAGATGCGAGAGCAACAGACCTTCGACACTGATGGACTGAGACGCGGGAGATGCAAGCATTTCTCGCCCCTTCTCTGCCCACTTTAACAAAAGCAGTACTACTTATGTGTTATATCCTTCAATAGCCGCTATTCCACACGTGGCTGCCGACTTACTGGTCAGCGAAGCAGAGCTGCAGCCTCAAGGAGTTACGGGAGACCGCCGATCAGCGTTGAAGTTTCACCATGGCCAATTTCCACCTTTTTGGGAATTGGACGACACCTATGCAATTTCCATGCAGAACCATCTGTCGGCTTGTGGGCTGCTCCAAGGATGGCACTGATGGCCGCTGAGAAGCAGCTAAGAAAATAGCGCTCGACTAACGAGTGGATGGCTGTTTGTGCTTCAGGCTGTTCAGTCGAGAGAGGAGGATTACACAGTACACACTATAAGGATCAAGCTCATAGGAAGCAATTATTTTGGCAACATGACAAAGGCGTAGACAGTTGCGTACGAAGTCTTTGGAGGTAGGGCAAACTGTTGATGTGAGCGTAATGTGTATGTGCATGCGTGTTTTCCTACTGCAGAAACTGTAGGCATCAGCGCGGGGTCCATCATCGATCTTGCAAAGCATCAATGAACTGACTCTGCCGCTGACAATCAGTCCCAGTTCAGGACTCAGGGCCGACCAAGCGCCCCAGTAGTTACACAGAAGCTCCCCAGCGACGGTTTGGGCCAGGACAGCGATGCATTCCCAGGTGTACCATGGCATAGTAACAGACGTTAATGGATGGCGACTGGATACCTTCATGATTTGCGCTAGGGACGTCCTCGCTAATCAGCTGTGGGCCGGCCTCTGTCTGACCTTGGTGCGACCTGAACGGGAATCTACGCCGGCTGATGCTGGAGGAGTCAATATCGATTGAGGGCAGCCCGAGTGGACCAAGAATAGCACTGGAAGCCGCCGTTGCCCTGTTCGAGTCTGACAGGCTCCTCTGGGGGCCTATAGAGATTTGGTGCAGCGGATAATGGTCCGCGAAAGGAAACACATGAATTGATCCAGATCCAAGACGCTGACCAGAGCGTTCCGTCATCTAGACTCAGTGGATAATTGGTGCTCTCAGCCCCTGCTTTTCGTCCCGTGTTGGCCGGAAGACCCAGTCTACAGACATAGACATGGACGAATTGAGCCGGAATTTGAATCGGGCTGCGAAATATACCTCGTAGGATCCTGCAAACCTGGCCGGAAAGCACGGGCGGCTCTTTGGACATTGGGGGATTGAGTTCAGACTGAAGGGCTGGTTTCCTCCTTGGTGGACTAAGAGGGGGGGGGGGGACAGGAGTAAACATAGCGCGGGCGCCTGTCACCGTGTCAGGTATGCCATATATTGTCGAGCAAAAAGGATCTGAACAAGAAAAGGTCAAGTCAAATGGTTGTCTGCACAAGCCGCGAGACCACATAGCGGGTAAGAGAGGAAGGCTGAGTTCTGCTGCTGTGTTACCCGCTCCTTGTGGCGGAGGTACCGTGTACATAGTATACCTAGGCATGGAAGACACTGATGTTGATGCTGAAGGGATCCCCTTGGGTCGACGATGGGGACGTACGGAGGAAAGGGGTATGGTCAATTCAGACTGATGACGAGCGCAATTAACCAGGTGCAAAGCCGCAGCGGGCCATCCGCCAGTCTACAAGAGGACTGTAGGGAGAGAGAGAGAGAGAGAGAGAGAGAGAGAGAGAGAGAGAGAGAGAGAGAGAATTCTGAAGCGCAGGAAGAAAGCGGACCTGATGCCCTCGCCCTGGTGTCTTGGCTGGCTGTTGCAGCTGCAAGACAAGATGAGGTACATGAGGCAGAGAAAAGCTGAGAAGTACTCCCCAGGACAGGCAGGGTAAAGGGAAGGCGTGTTCGCACACCCAGATGGGGCTTCCCAGGCAGTACTTGCAGAGCTTCCCTGCAGCGCTGCACAGCATCTGGAGCTGGTACTGTTTTCCTGACAAAGTCTCCAGATATTCTTACCCACGAAAGCAACGGAGGACATTCCTTTCCAGTTCAGATCTGACGGATGGGCCATGGGAGTGAGGCCATGCAGGCAAGTACCCATACCAAAACGAAGGTACTTCCTTTGGCGACTAAACGGGCCAGTGGGTGGAAGTATCCAGTCGAGCCCGCCCCGAGTCCGTCCTACCGATTGCAGCAAAGTCGCCGCTGACTCGGTTCGGTTGCTGCTGCCGCTGTTGCTGCTCCTGCCGCTCCTGCTGCTGCTTCGGGCTGAGAAGAAAGTCGCTGGCTGATGCTGCTGCTGTTTGTAGCTCCTGCTTCTGCTATTGTTCCTTCCTGTGTCGCTGTTTCTGTCGTCGCCGCCCCCATCCCCTCCTTCATCACCTGGGGTGTTCCTACCTTTCTTGAGTTCTACTACAGTATTCGTCCCCTCCTGCTCTCGCACTCACCTCATTTCACCTCCCACCTCCCCTCCCCTCTTCCTCCCTCCTTCCCACCAGCTCCTGCTCCAACCAAATTGCAGCCAGTAGGATCACCGCGCGACGCGCTTAGAAGCAAGGTGCAGTCCAGTGCGTTTTGGGGGTTGAGTTGTCTGTTCGTTCATGTGCTCTTGGGGTCCAGGTACAAGTACTTTGGGATAGCGCATGGGTAAGTTCCATTTTCTGTTGTTTTGTCTACACTTACTTTCCTTCGGGCCCTCCTCTTCCATCCAAACTTTGAGAGTGCCTCCATGTTTATGTCTGCTCACTGACGCCCAGCGCCCTACCACAAGGTTACGACATCAAGGTACATGTACATTCCCCCGCGACCGATACCTGAGGTGGTCCAGTCCTGTTAGTGTGTCGTCTGGTGCGAAAAGGCACGGCCGTTCTGGGTACTTTCTACTTCCCACCATCTGCGAACACCACAACAGTCGTCTGCAGACGGAGTAGCACCAACAACCAGCCGCTGCCCAGCACCACTCAGAGGCAGAGGCAGAGACAGAGAGTAGAGCCAGACAGAGGGCAGCGCCAGCGACCTGAACCTTAACGAATTATTCCCAACTTCACCTCCTCCTTCACCTATTCTTGCTCCTCCCATCATCTTCTCTTCTCTTCCCATCTCCCTTCTCCTCACCCCACCAATACCTTCTACTCTGTATTCTTCCACCATCCTCTTGTCGCATTTTGAGCGACTCCGCGACCTGAATTAATCGGCCGCTCGCTCCTGGCTTTAAGTTCTTGACGCTCCTTATTCAATTTCAACCCCTCAGCGTCGCGTGCGACGACTTTCGTTTTGCGACATCGACCGAGCCGGTTGGTTGCTACGACTACTCTTCTTTTCAACAACCTGCTCGTACTCACCTCGTTCGATTCACCATTACGCCGGCCTGCCTGGCTACGTCCCTCAGTATCCGTGCAGGGCTGTACGACTTCACGATAACATTTGCGCAACCCTCGAAGCTGTTGCTACTGCTGCCACTGCGGTGGTGCGATACCGAATTTTGCCAATCATATTCCCCTCACTTTTTTCCCCCTCCCGGCGACGAGCGCATTCTTCTGTTCTACCGAGCATCTGTTTGCTTAGTGGGACACAAGGCTATAGGAGCCGCGAATCGGGTGCCTGTCATCCTTCTGCTGGCTTCCCCATCAGCTGCGATATTCTCAGGATGACCACGCTCTTGTCCCAAGCCTCCTCTCCCGCGACATCCCCACCTGCAGCACCTTCGCCCTCCACAAACCCGAATCACCCCTCACTACCGCCACTAATAACATCGCCTCCAAGCCGACGCTCGACAGCCCCGAGACCAATGTCGCACGCTTCCAAGAATCGGCTGTCGCAATACTCGACGGGCTCTGTTCCGTCTCGTTCGCGACCGCATTCTCATATATTTCCAATGTTTCCCTCCAGCCTCACCTACACCCTGGTGCGGGATTTCGCCTATCCCATTATGCACCCGATGCACTATGGCCCCCCGCCAGAGCCATCGCACCCTGCTTCCGGCCTTAGCACTCCCGCCAGCGAATCGCGCCGCCTGTCCGACCCTCCCGCGGCTTGGGAGACAAAGATGAGTTGGGATACAGGATCATGGGGGCCTGACGGCTTTGGAAGGCATGATCTTCCATCTGTCCAATTTGCAGATGGTCCCCCCTGGAGCGAGGACGAAGATCTGGCAAGCCCGGTCGTCAGCTCTCGGCACCGTAAGCACAGGTCGTCTACGGCGGCCTTGGGGACCGGAAGAACAAGAAGCGATCGCGAGTCAGGCGACATTTTGAACCCAGTGCAATACGAAAGAGAACGCGGTTACTATGTTGGCACTAGCGGCGATGGTAGCGAACGGTACTATTTGAATCAGGGAGGGGAAGCAAACGGGCCTGGCGGGGAATATGTCACCTACCCGCCTGACGACGCAAGACATTCAAGCCACGCATACCAATTAGGCGATTTACCCCCGCGGCAGTACGCTGAACAGGAGTACTCGGATGCCTCGAGCTCCGCATCATCCCCTAGCTTTCGCGACGAAGACCAGTCTCGATACTCGCGGGACTACCAATTCACCATCACATCGCCTGATGAGGAGATGCATGGCAAGGCCGTAGCGCTTTTTGATTTTGAGAGAGAAAACGAAAATGAGTTACCTTTGGTGGAGGGACAAATTATTTGGGTATCTTATCGACATGGCCAAGGCTGGCTTGTGGCCGAAGATCCCAAAACTCAAGAGAGTGGACTGGTGCCCGAAGAATATGTTCGTCTGCTGCGCGATATTGAAGGGGGTATGAACAGCCTTACCGGCAACCTAGGCGAGGGCTCAACCTCACCAAACGATGTCGGTACACCCACACAAGCTGAGCATCTCACGTACGGCCACACCCCGACGGGAAGTCAATCTTCGAATGGATACCATCAACCCGTAGTTTCGACCTTCTCTACATCTAGCAAAGATTTAGACCCTTACCCAACACAACAACTGGGGATCCAAGCCGGCCAGCCCCCGCCGCAAGTTGTTCACTACCACGGCCAGAGGGGTGGTAGCCAAGCCAACACACCTACCCTCACCTCTCACCACGATGTCGGCATAATGCGACGAGGCAGCCAGGACACTACTGCAAAGAAGGGTGAAAAGGGCGATTCTCAGACAGTTCCTCTGACGGATGCGGCAGTCGAGGGTAAGATGGTTGACCGGTCAAGTACACCGAAGGCGAAGACACCTAGCGAGAAACCTGCCGAACCCGAAGCCATGGACACTGGCCGGTGATAACCAATGCATTGGCTGCGGCAACTCGAAGGCTAGACTTCTGTTGACGGATTCTTCCACTTAGAGGATCAGTCATGAATCATGTACTATGAGGGACGTCAGGGAGGAGCGTTTCTGATTTGGGTTTGATGATCAAGAGGCGCATAGTTATATTTCAGGAGACATAAAGAGAGGAGCCCCTGGTCGGTCGCTTTCAGCATGTAGCTTGGATGATGGAGAGGATGGGAGGTTAGGGAACTAACTGAAGGATGCATTTGTGATCAATGAGGAGGTGGATAGGATCCTGCGCCCGAATACCCGGTTCGAGGTGCGGATTGAATGTGAGGAAGTGCTTTAACTAAGCTCTCAGCAACTGAAGCTGTTTGCTTGTACATAATATATCGGGAAAACAACATGCCTCGTCTTGAGAGTGCAACGCATTGCTGTCTACTACCATGATTGTGCATGATGTCTAATGCTAGGCAAGTTAGAACCCCGGTGGGCAGCAAGCAAACGACACCTCCCCAAGCATCAGCTATAATCAATAGTGTGCGATGAGATCTTGAGAGTACGTTTTCACTCTTGCTTAGAAATTCATTTGCCTTGCAACCGAACAGCCAACGGCGCTGTAAAATTCGGCGGGGGATCGGAGAGCTTAGGCACGCTTCACGTGACTTTATACGTCATCCATTGGGCGGCACGCCAGACCTTTGCAGGGTTACCCGAGCTTGAGCTTCCGTCTGTGTCTCGGATCCCACCCCCAAAGCTCAAGGTAACCTGCCACGAGTCGGACATCCTTCACAATACTTTCCCCCCCCCAAATTGGTCCTCATCGACATCTTCAATTGCATCCCCGAGCTTGACTAAGATCAATTGACAATTCAAAATGTTCGCTAGAAGCGCTTTCAGGGCTGCGCAGCCCCTTAAGATGGTGAGCAGTTCTTTGTCGCGTTTGCTGCAGTACATTTTCCCCCACCAACGAACCTTTCTGGATAGGTTGGTCATCGGTTGGCATGATGCCATATTACGCGCCCTCCCCCTCTCCCTCTCACAGCAAACCTCCATCGGCAACTTAACAAGCTAATCGATTCGTTTTACTAAAATAGCAAACTCGCCGCTACGCGACCGAGCCCGCGAAGGGCGGCTCCAACGCGGCTCTCTACGCCGGCGCAGCCGCCGCCGTGGCCGGCGGAGCGTACTACTTCCTCTCTGGCTCGGGTGCTGCCCAGAAGGCCGAGGCCGCCGTTGGCGTGGCCCCTAAGAAGGCCCTGACGGGAGGCGACCAGGGTTTCATCTCGCTGAAGCTGGAGGACGTCGAGATCGTCAACCACAACACCAAGAAGTTCCGCTTCAAGCTGCCCGAGGACGACATGGTCTCCGGTCTGAGCGTCGCGAGCGCCGTGCTTACCAAGTACAAGGGTCCCGAGGATGAGAAAGCCACTTTGAGGCCTTATACTCCGATTAGTGACGAGGGTAAGCTTTCCTGATTTTATCTCACATTTTCGCTACACCCTCTACTCCAGCACTCTACGAGAGGTGACTGGTTCAAGGCAAAGTTACTGACAGCGAGCAGAGGCCAAGGGTCACATTGACCTCATCGTCAAGAAGTACCCCAATGGCCCCATGTCTACGCACATGCACGACATGGTTCCCGGCCAGCGCCTCGACTTCAAGGGCCCTCTTCCCAAGTATCCTTGGACCCCTAACAAGCACGAGCACATCGCCTTAGTTGCTGGCGGAACTGGTATCACCCCCATGTACCAGATCGCCCGTGCCATCTTCAAGAACCCCGACGACAAGACCAAGGTCACCCTCGTATTCGGCAATGTCAGCGAGGATGACATCCTTCTCAAGAAGGAGTTCGCTGAGCTCGAGAACACTTACCCCCAGCGCTTCCGTGCCTTCTACGTCCTAGACAACCCACCCAAGGAGTGGGCCGGCGGCAAGGGCTTCGTCACTAAGGAACTGCTGAAGCAGGTCCTTCCTGAGCCCAAGTCTGAGAACATCAAGGTCTTCGTGTGTGGACCTCCCGGCATGATGAACGCTGTTTCAGGCAACAAGAAGAGCCCCAAGGACCAGGGCGAGCTTGTTGGCATCCTGAAGGACTTGGGCTACACTCCTGACCAGGTTTACAAGTTCTAAACTCACTCTGATGAGATGAGTGGGGACGGAAGACTTGGAGCGATTTGTATGAATAGAAGGCGATAGATGCATAGATCTCTGTTTAGCCTGTCGAGCGAGCATTTCCATGCTGAGATAAGTAACGCAAGTCCCGCGGAGCCGCTGTGCTTTTGATCGTGCTAGATATAATTGGCCAGCGCAAAGTTTGGCTGTGTGCTGAGAACATAAGGCGATGAGGTCAAGCTGTTATTTAGGCGAGGCTTGTGGTACGCCCCCCTTAAAAAAAAAGGTGTATATATTGAATCAATAGCTACGCTATGGGGGCATCGTACAAATTGATCCTAAGCAACCAGCAATCCGACTTGAGATATCCTACATGGAGCGTGCGAGAGCACTCCAATTTCACGTCTTGTCCGCCTCTCAGATAGCCTTGTTGGCAGAAGCGACGCACTCGTTGATGATGCCAGACCACTTAACAGCATTAATGTAGTCCTTGGCGTCGATGCTCTCCTGCAGACCAGGGTAGACGGCTTCGCCTTGTTAGCATTCTTCGTAAAAGTAGAGTAATACCATGTGTGTGACGTACCTCCAGCATATCCGGTCCACAGACCAGGGGCAAACACGACATGCTTGAACCAGTTACGGCCGTCCAAGCCGCCGGGATACAAAAAGTTACGCTCAAAACCCTTGTAGCTCTTATTCACCCAGACAAAGGCGAGAGCCAACTTGATCTTGCGTAAGAGGTTCCACCAAGGGATGTCGGACTTGAGCTCCGCATCGACCCAGGCAGCCGTAGCGTCGAGTTTCTCCGACTTCTCGCGCAGGGCGGCGATGGAAGTGCGGAGAACCTGCAGGGAGGCGCGGAATTGTGACTGCGAGCCTCTAATATCGACGTCGGAGACTGTGATACTGGCGCGCTGCCTGAAGAGCTCCTCGTCGTTGGTAGGCTCGGCCGCGGTGAGCTTGGTTTCGACTTGGTCGACGTAAGCGTCGAGAGCGTCGGCGTAATCAGTCGCGTTGAAGCGGATGACGGGCACATTGGAGAGCTCAGCAACTACCAGGCCCAAAATCTGGGCCATTGTGCGGTGGTACACGAAACCCGGGTCGCCAAACTTCTCCATCCAGTGGAAGGAATCATAATTGGAGTGATATTGGTAGATAGCATCAACATTCTCACCTCCGAAACCCATGTCGATAGACGGGATACCGGCAAAGTCCTGGAACGCAGTGAAGTCGGAGCCGGAGCCCATGGTGCTGATGTAGCCGTTCCAGACATCACCAACAGTCTGGCCAGGAACAGTCTGGTTGGGAGAGGGGACGAGGTGAGTGACGTCGCGGAGGACGCGGTGAAGGAGAGGTGCAGCGGAGCTGCTGAAGTGCGGGCCGCGGACACCAACATCGACGTTGACATAGGCAACAGTGGCCTGGGAGAGCCAGGGAAGATACTCCTCTACCCATTCAGTGCTGCCAATCAAAGAATACTCCTCTCCGTCCCAGCTGGCGAAGACAATGGTGCGGGTTGGCTTCCAGCCGCTGGCGACGGCAATACCGACACCGCGGATGACCTCGTTGAGGACAGCAGAACCGCTGTTGGGGTCACCTGCGCCGCCTAGGTGGTATAAGCTATGAGTGGGCACGAGATGTCAAAGAATGGTACTTACCGGCAATCCAGGCATCGCGATGGTTGCCAACCACAATAACCTCGTTGGGGATTGTGCCATTGACGATGCCAATAACGTTCCAGAGAGGAGTGGTGGTGTAGTTTTGCTCGTTGTAAAGGTTGAGGACGATGTTATCAGGGGAAGGACCAATGTTGTACTCGACACCCTTGTAGCCGAGTCCGAGATTACGGTTCCAGTACTTGTTGAAGTCCTTGATAGAGGGGCCATGTCCGTTGAGGGCCTTCAAAATAGGAATGGCGTCGGCATAGGAGATGGGGATAGAAGGAATGGAAGGAGTAGCGTCGTCAACAGGCGCACGAGGGGCGCCGGGCTTGGAGGGATAACCGGGGGTGGATGGGTCGCCGGGCCGCACGCTGAGGAATTGGGCGCTTCCGCGCTGGACGGCGCTCGGGTGGCGGGCAGGACCGTTGGGATAGACTTCATACCCGTTCTCTTCCGTGACTTTACCGTCGTCACCAGGGTCGCTGTACAACAAGGCACCGATCATGCCCAGCTCCTGAGCGCGCTTCACCTTGAGACCACGGAAGATGCCGCCATACTTTGCGATAGCGATCTTGCCCTCGAGGCTGACGTTTGCCTTGAGGAGATCCTCGTAGTCTTGGTACGTGCCGTAGTTGACGAAGACGAAAGAACCGGTGACGTTGCCGCTGGCAGAGAAGCCATGGAATGTCGGCACGCGGTTGGGCAGGCTGGTCGTAGGGTCCTCTTCGAGGACGTCCTCCTCAAGAGCGGCCTTGAACTCAACCTTCCATTCGGATTTTTCCTCTTCCTTAGACTTGGAGAGAAGTGAGAGGCTATGGTCGACAGGGTAATTAAGGTAGACGTCGTAGGAGACAATATCGGACTGGATGCCCCAAGATCCCCACTTTTCCTTAGTCCACAAAGCCTGAAAGATGATGAGTAGTTGACCAGCTCTCCAAGTCATAAGACACCTACCTGGGAGTAGTTCTGACCCGCCAGATGAGGGCCGGCAGCATAGTACCTGCTCCACTCCTCTGCTCTTTCAGACGAGGGAACCTCGAACAGAATCTTCTGAACTTCCTCGTGGGTGATGGGGGCACGATTGAGGCTGTTGGTCAAGGACCAGCCGTGGTGGTGATGATGGTGGTGACGAGGAGGATCATCTACAAAGAGCGCGACTACGAAGAAGACAGACCAGAAGATGAGAATGGAGGAGAGAGCGATTGTGCAGAAACGGCGGACGACGTGATTCTGGTAGCGGGGTCGCGGTGCGCCAACGTAGACGTTGGTGATCAGCGGCGTCCGCTCATTAGACATTTTGTCGAGGTAGCGCTTTCTATTACTCGAGTCAGCCGAACTCATGCTGTGCAGCTCAGGCGCTCAGCCGTTGACTGAGACTTTATGATGATAAGGTGGGAAGAGGAGGGACATGAGACGCGAATGCGCACATGTGGCTGAGGGTGATGGTTGCATCATCGCCAGGCCACCAGCCACACTAGCTCAGGCACCAAGCTCGTAAAGGTGCACGAGGACGGTGAGGGAGGCAGCTACTTACTCTTGTGCCATCTTGCTAGCACTGGAAGCTGTCACCAAACAATTGCAACTATCTCTGCGCCTTTTGCCAGAGGTGTCGTTGAAACAGAGTTGAAATTGGTATGAGCATTGCGTGCTTCGTAGATGTTATCAGCGTCAATTGGTAACGGTTTTGCCGATCGGCTTCCGGCGCCTGGTTGTAATCCTCCACTGGCACTGGCCGCCCACGGACCTGATCAACAGATTGAGAGCCCGCCTGTCCCTGCTTACGTAGTACATAGAAATTGACACAATTGATCAGTAACTGCTTGGCCTCCTTCCTCTTTGGGTGACACAGGCGAGCCGAGGGAATTATGGGTCATTGCGCTCCGGTGCCGACAGTGAAAGGAATCCACCGGCGACTGGAGATAACTACATGGCATTTGCTGAGATAATACGGAAACATCGTTCGGCTCTAGCCCATTATCTTGTCTATCTTGTCGAATTAGGTGAGCCTCAAAAACCCGTCCTGTGACACACTACATCGACTGTCTCACTACATCCGATCCATGGGCATAGGCCTGTGCTAAAACCACCCGCTTGAACGCACTTGACCCATCGTCATCGTCAAGGGAGTTACATCATCCGTTCTTAGTCCTCGCTAGGCTGACCGTCCCCCTCATTCCGAGTCAAGAAAATCAAGACAACCCTCTCGCTCGTGTTTCTGAGTGAATCGGCCAATACCCGGTGATCACGCAATTGATTGGGTGGAGGTCGCCCAATCAGTTATTCCCGACGTGCCGCCTGCCAACCACCGCACTCCGAGGCTAGAGCCTCTGTGAGAAAATGTATCAGATGTGTGGCTTTTATTTTATCTTGTCTGAATTGTGCATGGTTTGACGACGAGCAGAGACAGCGAAGCAGCAGTATATGTCTTGGGGTTTGCATGTCAAGACTCATGCCGATGCTGCGCTGGCAGTCCTGGCAAAAAGGGTCTTCCCTGGGCCCAATTGGCCCGTGATGATTATTAAGCCTGTCCACCTGCTTCGTGTGCTCCTGCAAGCCACACCGACCTTCGGCCCCGGCCTCGGCGAACTCGGTCAATCGCCGCCGGGAAGGAGGTCCCCACCGAGGGAAAGCTGGACGTCATGGGATTTGCGGGGCAACTTTTTTTTCGTCCCAATCTTTTTTCATCGTTTAGGCGTACCACAAACCGTCCTACAGCGAGGACCCCTGCCTCGTCCGCTTTGCTACACACCCTCACCGACTCTAACCCTCCTCCTCCCCAAGTTTTCTGCCGACAACGGATCTAGAGTTGAAGCTGCAAGTATCCGTACACGGTATTACGCTGCGCTGCCGCATTGCAGTTGGAAGAGGGGGGGAGACAAACCACCCCTACTCTAACTACTCCCCTGTCATGAGCCCGTCGCGCACCTCCCGACCGCCCGCTGGGCCAGCCGCACCGTACCGCACCACAGCCCAAAACCAACCGGGTCTGCAGCGTTCTCTTCACTCGTTCTAGCAGCAGGGAAGCCATGACAATGGAGTCAGATTGTGCGCATTGTTCTTGAGAGCCCGATACCAGAACACGGAGCACCGCACAAGCCGAACAGGCGTCTTCCTACCGGCAAAAGGTTCTTACCTGACCATATCCGAGACACTTGACGCCTACAGTCATCTCATCTCCCACCGACCGCAATAAACCATCTCGAATACTTCCCTCGCGTCTCGCGCTCACATCGCCCATTCCGCACCAGTGAGCAGGACTGTTGACAGTGGTTTTCCGAATGCTGATGTGCTAAGGTAATCCTTAGATACCTTTTAGTGAATGCCAAGTCAGGGTACGGCAGGCGGGAATGCCCACTTTCAGAGTAGTTTCCAGCGCCTAGCCCACCGAGAGGCGAGACCGTTCCCAGTGGCCCGCCCCATTAATCTTCACCCCCAGTGATATCACCCCTCTTCTGACCAGTAATCGATTGAACATCTTCCGTCAGCAGCACACTATGTACGCGGGGATCGGCGTCCAAAAAAAATAAATGGTCGAGTCCCCTACTGCTGCCACTGCCCACACTCCCTCCCGGGTCTCAAAGTCCTGCAGGAAGCTGGGGGGATGACTGCGGATACATGAATTACATTACCCACGCTATTCCCTGTTCGGTACAGTGCAGCCGCAAGCCTGCAGAACGAAAGTGGATCGTTGCCGTTGGTTTTTTGTTTGTGCTTGACAACCGTCTTTTCCATCTCTCTTAGTGTTCTTGTGACTCCCATCTTTCTTCTTCCAAACTATTTTGTTTTTAAAGGTGGTTGGTCCCCCTCGATTATAATCGTCCCCTACATGGTCTTCTCTCACGTCACATAACGCAGACCAAGAGAATTGTTACTCCGACAAGAATCCAATACCATTTTTAAAATCGCACTCGGGCATATCACTTACTCGAGCCGGCGATTTCAATCTTTTGCACTCTCGTGAATTCCTCCTTCACTGGCCCTGGCTGGTTTCGTCGCAGACCCGAAGATGGCCAAGCCGACGAAGCCAAAGTTGCCCGCGAAGCAACTGGCCATTCTGGGTAAGACAACCCGTGTTTTCAAGACATGTTGTTGCGATTGCTTTTAACTGCTCTTTCCAACAAATGCGACTCTACGCAGATTCCAGTTAGTGCCGGGCAAGTGCCAATAGCCAAGAAAAACGGACGTATGGGAGTCAGGAACCAAAGCAGAGGTCTTTGAACATTTGAGAGACGCTTCTGAAGAACTGGGAAGGGATGGATGGTCGTTTTTTTTCGCATGTTGTTCTTGTGCTGCAGCCTTGTCCTTAGCCACATACTCTCCTCAGTCTACTTTTACCTTCGAAATGCGACGCATGGAATGGTTTTGATCTTCCGAGCTGCCTGATCAACGTGAACCTCCAAGTCGACTTCAATACCAAGCCCAAGGCGGTTGGCACGCGCGCTGCAACAAGACTGGACTTCCGCATACGTCTTACACAACGCGAACCCTTAACCTGAGGTATCATTCAACGTTGTCTGTCACTGTATCGCTGACTTGGAAACAGCCGTTGCGCGGTTCGCCGAGCCCCTCGCTCTAACCTCCGTCTTCCCTTACCTGCCAGAAATGGTTCGCAGTTTCGGAGTCGAACAAAACGATATCGCAAAATGGGCCGGCATCACATCTGCTGTTTTCTCGCTATCTCAGAGCTGTACCGCCGTTCCATGGGGCAGAGCTTCAGATCGATTTGGAAGGAAACCAACTATTATAACTGGCTTGATTTCGACCATGATATTCTTCGTTATATGGGGTATGTCCACGAGTCTTCCCATGGCGATTACCGTACGTGCCATTTTGGGAAGTGGTAATGGAAATGGTAAGTAAACTGCTCGAACTGGAACTCTGAGCTCTTGTGGCTGACGCGAAACCTCCAGTTGGTATTATCCGTACCATGGTCGCAGAAATGGTCCCCGAAAAGGAGCTACAACCTCGAGCATTCTCAATTATGCCCCTCGTCTGGTCCGTCGGCTCCATCTTCGGCCCCGCCTTCGGTGGTTTCTTCGCCAATCCCGCCGAGCGTTTCCCTTCAATATTCGGCAACAGCTGGTTCTTCAACGCTTATCCCTTTGCCCTGCCGAACCTTCTAGCCGCTGTTTTCTTCCTGATCTCAGTGACAACCGCCACACTGTTCCTGAAGGAGACGCTTGAGAGCAAGCGTCACCAACCGGACTGGGGCCTACTCATGGGCGAGCGTATTACCCGACCGTTCCGCCGCTCTCACGCCCACCGCCACCACCACGCCCATGCCCGTCGCACATCTTTCGTTGATGGCGAAGCTACGGCCCCTTTGGTTCCGACAAAGGCAAACCGCTCAGGCCAACCGCTCGAGGACAACAAGCAGCCTGCCGAGACTCCAAGCATGAGAGAGGTGTTTACCACTCAAACAAGCATAAACCTGCTGTGCTACACCTTTCTTGCCCTTCACTCCGTAGCCTACGATCAAGTCCTCCCCGTCTTCCTCAACTACCCCAAGCAAAAGCACACACCGGAGAACACCCACCTGCCTTTCCAGTTCTCCGGCGGCTTCGGCCTCGGCTCCGGTCAGATCGGCACCATCTTCACCATCTATGGCATCACCTGCGGTGTCATCCAGTTCTTCCTCTTCCCTCCCCTGTGCAACTATTTTGGCGTGTTACGCTGTTTCCGCGCATGTGGTACGTACACTATCTTCCTCCAAACCATGGATCCCCAAACTTACTAACTTGCGCTCAGCCATTACGTTCCCCGTCGTCTATATCCTTACCCCCTACACTATCCTTTTCCAGACTGACACAGGCCGCTACGCCGCTCTCATGGTCGTAATGTTCGTCAAGGCCTTCGCCGTCATCATCGGTTTCCCCTGTATGACCATCCTTCTCACGAACTCGGCTTCTTCGCTCCGTATTCTCGGCACCCTCAATGGTTTCGCCACCATGTTCAGCGGCTTCGGCCGTGCCTTTGGGCCCGCTGCCGCCGGTGCTGCCTTTAGCTGGGGCGTTTCGGAGGGCTACGTTATCACCGCCTGGTGGTTCCTCGCTGCTACTGCCGTAATCGGCGCGATTCCTGTTTACATGCTCGTCGACAGCGACGCCTTGACGCAGACACCCGATACTAGCGACGATGAGGAAAGCACCGATGACGATTCGACCAGCGATGACAGCGGCGCCACGTCCAGAAGCAACCACAACGAGACTGCGCCATTGTTGGCGAGGAACGGTTCAGCGGGCTACGACACCGTTACCTCAACCCGATCTTAGGACCTCGCTCTCTCTGCATAGATTTGGCATGGCTACTTTTAGTTTCTTCGTCTGATGAGCGTGCACGTGCGAGCAAGCACCTTGCGATGTTTATGTGGAATACGATATACGCGGTTGGCTCTATAATGCCCAGGACCTGATGGTCATGTTACATCTGCTGTTACCTTTACGAATGTTTCATCGCTCCCCAACAATCTTGTCGATGTGTTGTTTCTCGGGATTAGGTCCGTCATTGCAGGCGCTCAGCATCGCGGGTTGTTCATGGGTTGCTTTTGGGGTGTTGTTTAATAGGGAGTTCTGAAAAGCATTGGATTTATGTTGTCTATCTCAGTTCGGTTGGTATGCATACGCGCATCATATATCACGTAGATGTGTCGCTGTTCCAGCTCTCTAATATCAACTATTTGTCAATGAGATTTAGCTGGCCTAATGCGTGTTACCTGAAACAATAAATCGCAGGTTCCAACTACTTTTTCACACGCTCCCTCCGAGACCCTTAAGGTGTTTTCAGGAGATTACATTGTCCGTCCAACTGTTCCAATATTTTAAATTTTCCAACATTCAACAATGACATAAAAGATTCAAAAAGATGAAGTTGCGAAATCTTGTATAGTGATGTAAACTTCTACACCCAGTTCAAAACCCTTTCCAAAAACTCCTCAACTCACACAACAGTACCGGAATTGAGCTGGGGCCAAGCCTAGAGCAAGATGTGATTCATGAAACGCAGAAGAATGAGGGGAGGGGGGGAAAAGCAGAAAAAAAAAAGATGAAAAAAGATAAAAAAAAAAAAAAAAAAAAAAAAAAGCAAGAGCTCTAGCTCAAGAAAAGCTCACGGCCATTTGTCACGCGTCCTGGCATGAAGCTCAAGCGCCCCCGCTGATGTCAGTTAGTTCTGGGCCGATCGCGGAGACGTTGCAAAGTCGAATGAAACTGACCATGTCTTCTCTTCCCCCTTCGGATAACAGCAATCACTGTACACAGAAAAAGAGCAGAAGGGGGAAAAAAAAGGACATGACCATTGGCTGTTGTCGCCGATAAAAATATTTCTTAATTCATTTTACCCGTGGAGGTTTGTTTTGGTATTCAGAACGCTGCATCATCTCTAAGGCACTTCAAGCCTGCCTTCATAAGGACTCCAAAAACTCCGCTTAAGACTTTCTTAGTCACTAACCTCCCGCTTAACCCAAAGGCCCCTTCTCCTTTGCTTCCCTTCCTCCCGTATATAACGTGTATATATAATCTTGAGGGAGGGCGAGGGGCACATTTCCTTCTATGTAATCCCATTTTCCCTGCCATACCTTTTTCGTTTTCATCAACCCTTTTTTTTAGTATCATCCCATCACTTCGTCATTTGTTAAGCTGTTGGCTTCGCCATATTTTCAGGCGAAGAGCTTCTTCTCGAAAGACTCCATGTTCACGTTACCCTCCATCTGGGCGCTGGCAGTACGGAGCTCAAAGCGGAGAATGCCGTTGTCGACGGACTCGCGGAGCTCCTTGAGAGACTGGATACCGCAGTCCTGCATGGAGTGCTTGAGACCGGCGGCCAAGTAGGGGATGAACCTGCTGATGGGTCTGTGACTTGTTAGCATTGTTGGATCATTTTCAGATATGAAGTGAGACTCACCCTCTGTGGGCAACCGAGCCAGTAACACCCTGGGCAACAAGGACGCTGTCACCCTCGGAGAAGTAGCGAGCAGTACCAGCGTTGCTCTTCTGGCTGTCCTTGCCGCCGTTGCCGGCCTTCTTGTCCTGCATGGCGTCGATGGAGCCCATACCACGGTAGGCCTTGACGAGCTTGCCCTCGCGGGAGACGAAGGAAGTACCGGGAGACTCGGTGGTACCAGCAAGAAGACCACCCATCATGACGGTAGAAGCACCAAGGGCAAGACCCTTGACAACGTGGCCAACGTTCTGGACACCACCATCGGCGATGCAAGGAACGCCGAAGCGGGCGGCAAAGCTGCTGACAGAGTGGACAGCGGCAGCCTGGGGACGACCGACAGCCATGACCTCCTGGGTAATGCAGGCAGAGCCGGAGCCCATACCGATACGGATGCCGTCAACGCCGGCCTCGATGAGGGTCGCGGCCTGCTCACGAGTGACAACGTTTCCGCCAATGACGTCAAGACCAGGGAACTCGCTCTTGCACCACTTGATCATCTCAACCTGGTACATGGAGTTACCCTGGGAAGAGTCAAGGATAACGACATCAAGTCCAGCATCGACAAGAAGCTTGAGGCGCTCCTTGTCCTCAGGGCGAGTGCCGATGGCAGCACCGCAGAGAAGCTGCTTGCTGTCGGGAAGCTTGGAAGCGAGGGGGAAGTGCTGGTTCTTGTTCAGATCGGAGCGGGAGATCATGGAGACGAGGTTGAAGTCCTTGTCAACGATGGGCAGCTTGCCCTTCTTGGACTTGGCAAGGATCTTGTTAGCCTCAACGAGATCGATACCGGCGGGGGCAGTGATAAGGTCGGTAACCATCACGTTGGCGATGGACTGGTTGGCATCCTCCTCGAACTGGATGTCACGGTTCGTAACGATACCCAGCAGCTTGGAGCCGAGCTTGCCGGTCTCTGTAAGTTTCCATCAGCCACATATCCCAATAGAAGGTATGAACGAAATCTTTTAGTGAGGTAGGCTGGGATCATAGTAAAGTGTCTCCTCATGACGACATGGTCGTCAATGTGGTGGAACGAAAGTTATAATTGAAAAAAGGTTTGTAATCATGTAGAGCCGGGGTAGAGAAATTTTCACAAATGGGGGGTACTGACCAGTAACAGGGAAACCACCGAAACCCCACTTCTCCTTGAGAGCCTTTGCCTCGCCGACGGTGGTGTCGCGGCTGATGACAACGGGGTCGAGGATGAAGCCGTTCTCGTAACGCTTGACCTTGCGGACCATGTCGGCTTGAGCCTCAGGGGAGCAGTTGTGGTGGATGATACCCAGACCACCCTGGAGAGCCATGTGAATGGCCATCTCGTGCTCAGTGACGGTGTCCATGGGGGAGGAGACGAAGGGGGTCTTGAGGGTAACCCGCTTGGTAACGGGAGAGTCAAGAGCCACGGCAGAGGCGGGGAAGCCAATGTAGCCGGGCAGCAGCAGGAAGTCGTTGTAGGTCAGACCACCGTGCTTCTTGGTGTCCATGAGCTCGTGAATGTCGAGGCCATCGCGGCTCTCGTATTCCTTCAGAACCTGGAGGGCGGACTTGGAGTCCAGCACCTTGGCGCCGTTGATACCGTTGGTGGAAGGCATTTTTTCAGCTTCTTCCGTAAGGAATAAAGAGTAGTATAGAACGGAGTGTAAGGAGAAAAGAAACGGAGTTGAAGAACTGCTAGTCTTTCGAAAGAGGACAAGATTTGACTCGATTTCGAAGACTAAGGTTGGATAGGTCTCTTCTTCCCGTAAGAAAGAAGGAGAAAAAAACTTCGAGACGACACCCCGCAGGAAATTTTTTAATGGAATTGGGACCCTGCGCCTGCGCGACCGGCGGATGGAGGGGCAGGAGGGGCAGGCGGTGAGTGCCACAGTGCGGCGCGACAGACATGCTACTGCGGCGTCACTGTGCCAAGCAATGGCCTGACCCGTTGGGCCATCCAGGTAAGGTTATCGTTTGCTGAACCCGACCATACCCGCCTTGTTTTATTTTACAGGTGTATATATATAGTATGCTGACGTACTCCAAAGGTGCTTCAAAGACATCACGGCCGGTCAATCAATGGTCGAGAAGAATATAGCCCACATTGAGGCTTGAGAAATATTGAAAAGAGCTTTCGACAGTGTTTCTGCTGGATGGAAACATGGTGGCCACTGTATTAGCTAAGCTCGGTATTAGTTGGGTCTTATGACGCAAGTCCCAGCGGGAAGCTTAGTGTTCAAAAATGGCATGCAAGATGGTCTTCGTCGTAGCGCGCACTGAAAGAAACTCTCGTGGGAGCCTGCTCTGGGCTCGCACAATATTCAAGAACCGTAGTGAACGTGGGGAAATCTGCTATTTGAGACGAAAACAACAAAGCAAAGTTGCTTTTGCCGGAAACCCGTGGCGTAGGTTTGGTGTCTCTGGTTGGCCAGAGCAACAGACACAGGACAATCCTTGCTTGAATTGAATGTGTTCTGGGTTTAGCCCAACACGAAAGCAGAAAATATCTCTGCGCCAGTCCGAGGAGTGGTCACAACAGCATGCGGTGAATAGGGGATGAGAAGCCCTGAGCTTCCGCACCGGCTCTCAGTTCCAATTGTGGGAGTTCACTCTCGATGCATCAATTGCTTTTTTCCTTCTTGTCACGCGTCTAAATGAAACCAGCGGATATATTTCCTGCAGCAACAAGTGGTCACAGAGAGTCTCCCTGGGAGCGACTTTTCCTAAGACCCGTATCCCCCAGCAGCCACACATACTGGGTGCTGTTTGCAGCGTACGCTATGATATTGCCCATGAGCCATAGTGTCTGTGTGGCAAATCTGATCGGGTGCTCAAGTTTAGTACATCGGGTACAGTGTGCCACTATTCTTATACTCGATCCTGACACGACAGCCACGTTGACCTCTGATTGGCTGAGCTGTCGGTGCCGAAAAAAAGGAACAAAAAGAGAAAAAAAGAAAACAAGGAAACAATAGCCCTTGTTTTGTATTGGGGAAGAAAGATCTTACCACAGACATAACAGACTTTAACTTGATTCGACATTGTTTGTTGAGCCGCAGTATCTCACCGGTAGGCTAAGACCATCTGCAAATGGGCTGACGAAGAATGTTGAATTGTCTCAGTCCCAAACCCTTCCGTAGACATTCGCTTCACAGGTCAAATCTTGACACAAGCCTCAGTATATATGAGCATCACAATTATCGTAAACACAGATAGGCTATACGTGCTCCTGTGATGGTAACATAACCCAGTTCATTCATGAGACTTGCCCTGGTGATGGACATTGATTTTTCTTAAAATTTTCGGTCCACGGCCAAACGACAAACCATTTTGACGTTTCTTGGACAACAAGCAGTTGGGTTAGGTTTGTCGACGTGTCACAGGCCCGAATGGAGTAGACATTGACATCTGTCGAACCAATGAATGTCTTCTCATCATCGATGTTCAAGGGACGTGCCTGAAAACCTTCAGATAGATGGCACTTGCAGGTGTTGGGCATCTTTGCGGTCCTGTGTTGACTTCCCTCCGCCGAAGCGCCAGTCTAGACCCAAAGAAAACGGGACGATAGGCCAATTGACGTGAGCGGAGGCGGGTCGGAGGACCGTGCAACGGAAGATTTGCTGGGCAGTGGCCCACTTAAAAAGCCGGGCGGGTGCGACGCAGGGGCCACAATAGCCACTAGCCACCCGAATTTCCTAGTTATCGTTGACACCCCCGGTTGCAAGGGGGCTGGTTGCCGCAGCTCGCTTACCTCTTGCAGCAGTAAACAAACAAACTGCCTTATCAGGTCCCAACTCCCTCCCCCTCCTCCCCTCCATTGCCAGACCTTCAAACGACCCAACATTCCGCCCACACCTGGTCGTTGACGAGATTGCGACCACGCTTCGGTAATCGCAGTGGCTGGTGGGCTGTCCGTCATTAAGCATTTCTGCAAACCAGCAATATTATCTTCCCCTCAACGTTGTTGACGGCACTGTCGTCAACTTCTCCTCTTTGTTTGCGCAGTGCGCGCTCCATGTTTTGAGAGTCAGACATCCATTCCTCTTGCGCTTCCCCGCGTCACCGCCGGCCGCTTCGAAATTCCACCTTTGCTCGTCTTGCTTGGTCTTTACCAACAAGATTTACACTATAGAATCGAACACAACGAGCCCGCTCCGACAGGGACGCCCAGCTCCAAGGTCGAACATAGCTCTACTCGTCGCATACCATACGATATCCGATAAAGGTGCCCTAATGTTGTCATCCGAATTCCTTAGCCCACAGATCCTTCAGCGCAGGCTTCCTCCGGTATCCTAAATCGCCCATCATGTCGTACCGGCCGCACCCCCTTAGACAGTCGCATACCCTAGACTACCCTAGCAACATCAACCGCCAGACTTCTACCACATCTTCCGTTGCCTCATCAGGATACTCTCTATACTCTGAGAACAGCCGAGCGAGCACCCAGTTATCTTCAATTTCTAGCGGATACTCGGTACCAACACACAAAAGAGGCAAGAGTGATGGTTCCCGCCTGCATCACGTATCTTTCGGAGGAGAAAACCTCGACCAGAAGAGGGACCAGGACAATATCTATTCTATGGCTCGACAGTCTCTTCGACCGCTTGCCCAAGCTCCTGTCGCACCGTCAGCTGCACCTGCGTCCCCAACGCCATCGACACCTTCTCCTCCACGACCAAGCCATCGCCATGAACGGACACAAAGCGTGGATATCGGAAAGCTGTCACACGCTCAGTATGATGGTAGCACATCTCCATCTCCAGTTTCCAGAACTCTTACAATTCGGCCAAATTCGATGCTAGTCAGCCGCTCCGACTCTGTCAGTAGAGGAAGCGTTGCCCTCCCTCATGCTCATGAGCCTCCCCAGGCAGTACATTCTACAGCGCTCGCGCGACCGGATCTCGAGAAGCTTGGCCGATCGTCAACAAGCCAGCTCCGCACTCTGTCCAGACTTGCTCAGTCCGAATCCGCCGAGGAGTTTGCCATCACATCGCCGGCGCAAGAGGTCGTAGGGTTGAGAGGCCGTCGCAGATTACAGAGGGCCGACAAGCCAACCGCCAATCGTGCCGGTCAACGGACTGGTGGCTATGGCTGGGAAGGACGGAATTGGATGGACAAGCAACGTCAATTTCTCCAAGCTTACGAATATCTCTGCCATATTGGTGAGGCAAAGGAGTGGATTGAAGATGTCATTCACAGAGCAATTCCTCCCATTGTCGAATTGGAGGAAGCCCTACGGGATGGAGTTACCCTCGCAGAGGTCGTTGAGGCCCTTAATCCCGATCGCCGATTCCGTATATTCCACCACCAAAAGCTACAATTCCGCCATTCCGACAATATTGCCATTTTCTTTCGATATCTGGATGAGGTCGAGCTTCCAGACCTCTTCAGATTCGAGCTAATTGACTTGTACGAGAAGAAAAACATCCCAAAAGTAATCTACTGCATTCACGCTTTGAGTTGGCTCCTATTCAGGAAAGGCATCGTCGACTTCCGCATTGGCAATCTTGTCGGACAGCTCGAATTCGAGCATCACGAGCTTGAGGCGATGCAAAAGGGTCTCGATAAACTCGGGGTTAACATGCCCAGTTTCGGCAATATGGGAGCTGACTTTGGCGTTGAGCCTGCAACTCCAGAACCAGAAGAGACGGAGGAAGAGAGAATTGATCGTGAGTTGGCCGAGAACGAGGAGTCCGTTGTCGAGCTTCAAGCCCAAGTCCGTGGTGCCGTGGTGAGGATGCGCCTTGGGGACACTATGCAACAGCTTTGGGACACTGAAGAGGCACTCATCGACCTTCAGTCTCGCATCAGAGCTGATTGGACCCGTCAAGTCATTGGCTATCGGCTACAGATGAGACGTTTCGCGGTCGATCTTCAAAGTCTTGCTCGCGGATTCCTTGTCCGCAACAGAATGGCAAACAAGGAGCGTTTCTGGCGAGCTATGGAGCCCGATATCTTGGAGCTTCAAAGTCTTGTTCGAGCCAAGAAAGTCCGTGATGAAGTCCAAGACCAGAGATCTCAATTGGCCCTGCATGCCGGTCCTGTTCGGGAAATCCAAGCAGCGTTTAGGGGATTCTTGGTTCGCAAGGACCTCGTTACTCAACAGAAAGAAACGGTTGAAACATCAGGGGAGGTTCGGAACCTCCAGGCTGCAGTCCGTGGAATGCTGTTGAGGGGGCGTATTTCTGATGACCTCCACCTCCTGGACAGACAAGTCGACAGCATCACTAGCTTGCAGGCTGCTGCCCGGGCTTTGCTGACTAGAAAGCAGCTCTCAGTGGAGCAGAAGCACCTTCAGGAGTTTTCGCCACAATGGACTGCTCTTCAAGCAGCTTTCCGGGGCCAGTCGCTTCGGTCAGAGGTTGCCGCTACCAAGGCTGAGCTCAGCAAACACGTTCCCGAGGTTGAGAGTCTCCAAGCTCACGTCCGAGCTGCAGCTGTCCGCCGGAATGTCACTCAGTTGCTCGACGACCTAAACAGCCACGAGCCTTCTGTCATTGATTTGCAGTCCATTTCACGAGGTACGCTTGAACGACGCCGCATTGCCGCCGATCAAGATGCTTTGATCCGCGCAGAGCCGAAAATCACGAAGCTGCAGGCTCGCATGAGAGGCTACCTGTATCGCCAGCATCACAGCAACTTCCTCGAAGAGCTCAACTCCCATACTGCCGAGATTGAGAAGCTCCAGGGCCTGGCGCGGGCGATGATGGTGAGAGGCGATGTGTTCAACCTCATCTCAGACATTGAGGCGGAAGACGCAGCGATTACGGAAATTCAAGCAGTTGCGAAAGCTTTCACTGTCCGAGCGAAATTTGAGGAGAAGAAGCGCTTCTTCAACGAGAACATGCAGAAGGTTGTGAAGATCCAGAGCCTCGTCAGAGCCAAGATCCAGGGCGATGCCTACAAAAGCCTTACGCATGGCAAGGACCCACCGGTGAATGCTGTCAAGAACTTCGTGCACCTCCTCAACGACAGTGATTTTGACTTCAACGAAGAAATCGAGTTTGAGAGAATGCGCAAGACGGTGGTCCAGCAAGTGCGTCAGAACGAGATGCTGGAGCAGTACATCGACCAACTAGACATCAAGATTGCACTACTCGTCAAGAACAAGATTACCTTGGATGAGGTCGTCAGACATCAAAGCAACTACGGCGGCAACTCAATCGGCCTGCTGGCCAATTCTTCCATGTCCTCCGCCAATCACTTCGACTTGAAAGCCCTCAACAAGAGTTCCAGGAAGAAGCTGGAGTCTTACCAACAACTCTTCTTCAACCTCCAAACCCAACCCCAATACCTTGCCCGCCTTTTCAAGCGCATTCGCGAGCAAGGTACACCCGAAAAGGAATGCAAAAGAATCGAGCATCTCATCATGGGTCTCTTTGGCTACGCCCAAAAGCGACGTGAGGAGTACTACCTTCTGAAACTCCTTGCTAGATCAATGAAGGAGGAAATCGAGAGCAGCAGAACACTACAGGACTATCTCCGCGGAAACTTCTTTTGGACCAAGGTCCTTGCCAACTACACTCGGTCTCCTCGCGACCGTAAATATCTGCGAGAACTCCTTGGTCCTATCGTCAGAGACAACATCGTAGAGGATCCGGCTCTGGATCTCGAGAGTGACCCTCTTCAGATTTACCGAGCAGCTATTAACAACGAGGAATTGCGAACCGGTCGTCCAAGCCGGCGCCCCCTGGACGTTCCTCGCGAGGTTGCCATTAAAGACCCTGAAACTAGAGACCTCTTCATCGACCATTTGCGCGACCTACGAGAAATCTGTGACCAGTACCTGCTGGCCCTCGAAGACCTTTTGCCCAAGATGCCTTATGGACTTCGTTTCCTTTGCCGACAAATGTTTGAGACTCTCTGCCAACACTTCAAGAAAGACCCTCAACATCACCATCTACAGGTTGTTACTAACTGGATCTGGCGCGTCTACCTGCAACCCGCCGTTACCGCTCCTGAGAACGTGGGTGTCATTGAGAAACAGTTGAGCCCTCTTCAGAAGCGCAATTTGGGCGAGGTTGCCAAGGTGCTTGGCCAGATCTCTTCAAGCCGGCCTTTCGGCGGTGAAAACATATATCTGCAACCCCTCAACGCTTTCGTTGCCGAGTCATGCGAACGTCTCGCCGATATTACGCACCAACTTATTTCGGTGCCTGATGCTGAGCGCAACTTCGATATCGATGAGTTCAACGATCTGTACTCCAAGCACAAGCCCACTCTCTACATCAAGATGACAGATATCTTTGCCATTCACAACCTTGTCGCCGGCGAGCTTCCGTCAATATGCCCCAACCGGGACGATATCGTCCGGGAAATCTTGCAAGATCTCGGTAGCGCTAAGAACAACGAGAACGAGATGCTTGCAGCTGGGTCATCTGACATTCAGATGTACCTTACGCCGAAGCTGCACGACATCGAAGACCCAGACGCGGAGGCTAAGGCACTCTTCATGGAGACAAAGCGATGTATCCTGTATATTATTCGTGTACAGACCGGCGCCAATCTCTTGGAAATCCTCGTCAAGCCAATCTCAGCCGAGGATGAACACAAGTGGCGGTCAGTCCTGCACGACGACTTTACAACCGACACCAACACAAAAGGAGCGTACTCGGATGCGCACATGGTCGACGTGACACGCATGTCATACTACGACTTGAAGCGGACGGCGCTTGAGAACATCATGAGGTTGGAGCATATGGGCAGGATTTCCAAACACAACTTCTACCAGGACATACTCAACGCCATCGCCCTCGACATCAGAACCAAGAGCCGCAGACGCGTGCAGCGTCAGCGCGAACTTGAAGGCGTACGACTGACTCTTGCCAACCTCCACGAGAAGGCCAAATACCTTGAGCAGCAACGAAAGAGCTATGACGACTACATTGAGTCAGCCATGGCAACGCTGCAAAAGAATAAAGGGTAAGTCCTAAAAGTGCATCTAGTTTCCCATTCCCCAGCCCCGGATGGCTTTTCCCCATCCTCATCCCCACATTATAAGCACGGTCCAAGTGTGTCGCCATATGCTGACTGAATTTCGTCATAAACAGAAAGAAACGGTTCCTGCTTCCGTTCACCAAACAGTACAACCATCAGCGCGAGCTGGAACGTAGTGGGCGGGTCCCTAAATTTGGCAGTTACAAATATAGCGCTCGGGCTCTCGCGGAGAAAGGCGTGCTCGTCGCTTGGAATGGCGTCACCGATTGGGAGAGGGTGAACCTCACCATCTCCTGCGATGAGGTTGGTATCTTCAATCTCGAGGGCTCCCGCGGCCATATCCAGATGCCAGGGGCGAGCGCCCTCGTACCGATCGAAGATCTGCTGCAGGCTCAGTTCGAGGCCCACCAGTTCATGAACCTCTTTGAGGGCAATCTCAAGCTAAACGTCAACTTATTGCTGCATCTTCTGTATAAGAAGTTTTACCGCACGCAATAATGTAGGTGGCAGACAACGACAACTGCGGATGCAGTAGCCAAAAACGCAGCAATTATAAAAAAAAAAAAAAACGAGAACATGGCTTAACGGGATGATTGGGCATTAAGCGGTGTCGCGGGCGTGCGGATCTTTTTCTATTATCCTACACCCCTGGATGCATTGAGACGACGAATGTTACTTGGGCCGCATATTGGGTTGACTGGCAAAGCAAGGCGAGGGCGGTTTTTTCCACTTTTTTTTATTACTGTTTTTCTTTTCATTTACTTATCCAAAGATTGCATTGCGGGGAGACAAAAGTCAACCAACTGGGAGATATTGCTTGTAGGAGTATATATGAGAAACACAACACATGCGCAGAGAGAGAGGGGGGGGGGGGAAGGGGACACAGAGAGAGAGGCACACACAGATGCACACATTCGTTGGGTGCAGACCCCCGGCTCTTATTTTTTTTTATTCCGAGGGCTGCTACCCCAAAGTAGTTTCGGACTTTCACCACTACGACTAGGGAAGCGGGGAGTCTTTTGGAGAAGGGGGAAAAGCCTGAAGGGAGGAGGAGAAATTGGGTTGGTTGCATATGTGATGCACCCAGACCCAGACACTACTAGTTGTGATACCTTTTTGAATGTTAACCCGCATTGTTGAATATCACTGTGCATGTGGTATGTGTGTGGCCGATGCGTAAACGTGCACAATGTGTTTGAAGATGAGTGGCTGTAATGATATACTACTAGTATATGTGTGTTGCAGAAAGACAAAAAAAAAAAGATAACTAATGCGCTTTCTCGCCCACTTCTTTGTTTTAATCGTCTCTATTTGTTGCGTATCCGACGCTGCCCGCTCGCTCGCCCGCCCGCACTGCTGCTGCTGCTGCTGCTGCTGTTGCGCACACCATCTCAACAGAACCTGGAATGATAAAACCTGGAGGCGCAAGACGGCCGAGACAGAGACAGATATGTGTTTGACAATGAGTGGTTCGTGATCAGTAAAAGAACGAGGTAGCCTTGTACATCCGTAGACGTTGTGTTGACCCCGTGGTTTTCCCCTCCCCCCCCTTCCCCCGTCAGGCTTGTAGCACAGCCCGAAACACGGAATGGTGGTCAGGTGAGGTTATTTTCGAGGGCCTGGGCAAGGGGGCCGGCCAGATTGTGGGAAAATCTGGGGAAGACATGGAGGCCTGTTATTGGCGTGCAAGGGGTGGGGGGGCTTTAGGTAGGTAGGTGGAACAGACAGAAGCTTGCGGCTCCCCCCTTCTTTTGTAATGGTCATCATTTATTTTTCTCTTTTTGGGAGAGGAAGAGGGGTTGGTGACATGGGGCGATGCCGAGATGGTGGGCGGGGCGGGCTGTGGTTGATGGGACGCGGCCACGATATGACTACTACAAGGAGTGCCGAGTGTAAACCAAAGAGGAGGAGGCGCGTGGATGGAATATGTGGATGGGGGTGTTGCTGGCCTCGATCATCGATCGCAAGCTGCGATGGCCGATTCCCGGAAATCTGTTCAGATGCTTTGTCCTTATCTTTAGTGTACAATGTTGAGTATATTAGTGAGAGGGGGGCAGATACATGGTTCTGGGCATGTTGGAACAGTGCTGGATGGTCAACCGCTGCATTCTACATACTATGTGGCACGACTTTCCATGGTGTGTGCCGGATTTGTGCATAATCTGTCAGCCTTCTCCACGAGGGTATGTCGGCGCCCGTCACAGCGTGGTAAGCGTACATAGTGGACGGGCCCCTCCCATTGTCTCAGCTCGGGGCTCGGTGAGTGGATGATGGGGTTCTTGGGGCTGGCAGATTAGCACCGGATTGGAGGGCGGTGGGAGATAGCTTGGCGTGATATGTGTGTGGCCGAGGGGGACGGGATGCTCGGGGCTGGAAGGGCAAATGTCACTGTCTATCTGCCTCATGGGCGGGATCGCCACACACCTCCAATTACCTAAGATGGTCACCTACTTGACCTACCTTGCCAATAAGTCTAGAATCCCAAACGCCATGCATGCATGTAAACGGATGTGAAGAGGGAATGACGACCATCAGATGATCAACAGTGTTATGCAGGAAGACGGTAAGAGGTGAGCAAGGAAACCGCAACAAAGCCGAAAACGAAGATGGGACCATGGCACGTTGGAAGAGGTTGACGAAGAGGGGGGAGCCCTGGGCAAAAAGGCGGGAAGGAGGAAGCGGAAGCGCAGGAAGTAATCCCATGGCGGATCGCCGGATATTTTGGTCCTCGCAACCCCTAGGATGGAATCTCGGGAAGATAGGCCTTGATAGTGATGAGGTTGTAGCGTAATCGGCAAATTTCTATGATGCTGAAACGAAGTGACGCCCGATTTGACTCAGCTTCCGCTGTTTTAGTTGATGAAGCCATACTGGAGCGCGATGATGTGATTGCGGCCTGGCTGACGGGACGGACGCCAGGGCCACTTGCGCCGGCGGTCAAGGTCCATCAGATATCGAATACGCATTTGTTGGTATGCGTGTTGGTGCGTGCGCTGCGCTAATGTTGAGCGCCGCCATGATGGAAGGATTGAGGGAAGGATGAATCAGACTGCGTGGAACCGCGTCGCAAAAGGTCCGCATCCCCATCCCATGGCAAAGGCGAGAGAAAAGAAGGCGATGGCGTGACCGGGTAGCCGTCCAAGCAACCCCGCAATTGCGGAGTCGGAGGCGGCTCCAAGTCGGAGGTAAACGCCATCACGACATTTCTAAAGGCTCTCGATGGTTGGAATATGAGATTTAGGAGATCGACTGCCATGTACCTAGCCCGAAAAGTGCCTCTGGGTTCGCCGCAATCTTGGCTCGGAGGAGCTGCGGAATCTGGAGAACATACATGGTAGACAAGGGCGACACGTCGGTTACTAATTCCGATGACATGGCCCATTATGCCCGCCCACCTTTGGAATCTGGAGAGAACCAGCCCCCGTTCGTTGCAATTTATTACCACAGCATTGGTGCCGTACCCTACATGCGTATAATGGGGCTTTTGGGGACGCAAAGATCCGAGATGGAGACATCCTTGACAACCAAAATGAATGGGCGTCATCTCGTGCTCGTGACCCATTTTGCCGGGTTATTCGCTTTTTTGCGGCTCGCCGTCTTATCTGTGGAGCTGTGTGGTTGATGCAGAAACGGAATCCCCCGAAATTTTGATCGCGTGCACGAAGTCTGGCACAGGAACAGTCTCCCTCAAGATAGGTCGTCGTCAAGAAAATTTCTCGTTACACCCTCGTCGCCCTTCAAGCATATCTGTCCAATTGTCTGTCTAATCGGAGTAAAGCCTGACATGGATTGAGCGACGCTTATGCAGGTTGCGTTCTCGTCTTTGGGTAAACGCCCATATGCAGGTGAGTGATTGCGGTTTAGTGGTTCGAATCCAGGGGTCCAAGTAGCCGGGAGACGATGATACTACGTCGTAGGGGTACGCCGTAGTAGTTGTGTAATCCATCCGCAAGTATCCGTATTCTGCTTAAAGCATAATCTAAGGTAGGCGTCAGTCAGTGCCCGGGGGTCAAAAGGTGCTTGGTCCGACCACTGATCATGGGAGAACGCGAGACAGGCCAGCCCATGCGTGTTATTCCAGAAGGTCTAGCCGACCGTTTTCCTTTTGCTGCTTTTCCGTTTGTGGTTGGATTTGTTCACACCGCCATCTACACACACTATCCGTATCGCTGTCGCTTTGGGATGTCGTATGGAGTAAGTCAGGGGGGGAAGAAAAAAAAAAGGGAATAAGGAAAAACGACTAGCCAAATGGCGCAGGAGCGTAATGAACTGATAATAAACTGGAGCAGTGCTGGGAGGAGTTACTTTGTAATGCAAAGATGCCAGGACGTAAAACGATCGACATGTCGATGGTGGTGCAAAGCATTCGAAACTGTATAACTGGCTAGGGAAGATCCGCTTGCGACATTTCGCAATACGTTAATCGAAATACGCCATTTTGACACATACGACAATCCATCCTTCTAAGGGGGAGCGAGCATCACACTAGCGTGAGTTATGTGCTATGTAGCGGCATGAAAAGACCATTACGAAGCAGGAAGAAGCTCAGGGAAGCGGGCAGGGCAGAGCATGTCTCTTGTGAGTGGTAGGGATGTAGGCGCTTACTCTCCTTACCTAAGTCGCACACCGAAGACAGCAGGAAGCAGAAATTAGCGGCCATGTTGCACTTAGGTTGTTCCCGCCTCCATGTGAACGTGCTCATATCTCCTTAGAGGCGGCATGGATGGAATCGAGGTCAGCTGCACCAAACCCGTAAAATTGCATGAGTCGGAAAGGCTCCACCGAACACACGCACCAGTTCAGGCGAAGGGACAGCGTTATCTGGGGTATCCCATTCTGCAACCAATCGTGATGGCTCCGTTTTGCATATAGGCATATACATTGATGGTGCATATCGCTGTGCCCCGTTTGGCGCTTTTACTTTCCCTACCTCCTTCCTTACGCCCCGCCGCTCTTTCCATACGGGCAAGTGAACCCCGGGGATGGATCTTGAGGGTAGGGACTGGTCTTTCCTCGACCCAAGAAACGCCCATTTTTAAAATGACAGCTCCTCCCACATATAAGTTAAGTTCGCTCTTCCCTTTTCAGTCTCATCCTCTTCAAGGTTCGGCTGGTTGAGCTTACCTTTCCTCTTGTCTCTGCCCAACCCTTGATCACTTATACAAATCATTACTCGTTTTTTCATCACCACCACCGCCACACACACACACACCCCCCTACTTTGTCGCCAGTTGGACCACCGGTTCTGATCGCCACATTCACGTTTTTCCCGTCTCACCGACTGGTTTCACGACTCGACATCAACTTCTGTCTCAAGACACCTCTTTTCATAATCTAGAAGCTGCTTCAACTCTCACAGTTGACGTCAGTGACCATAATGGCTCCCGACCTCAACTCTCTTCCCTCCTCGCCATTGGCGCAGCCCAATGGCAAGTCATTCAACGGCGCTGGCGCGCCCCCTGCCAAGCAACCCAATATCCTGTTCATCATGGCCGACCAACTGGCTGCACCTCAGCTCAAGATGTATAACCCAGAATCTCAAATCAAGACACCCAACCTTGATGCTCTCGCCGCCGAATCCGTCCAATTTGACTCAGCGTACTGCCCCTCGCCGCTATGTGCGCCTTCGCGCATGAGTCTGATTACGGGTCTTTTGCCCATGAAGATTGGCGCCTACGACAACGCCGCACAGATCTCAAGTGAGATTCCCACCTACGCGCATTACCTGCGCTTGAAGGGTTATCAGACGGCCTTGGCTGGTAAGATGCACTTCATCGGAGATCAGCTGCATGGCTACGAAACCCGTCTCACCAGCGACATCTACCCTGGTGATTTTGGCTGGGTCGTCAATTGGGATGAGCCTGACACCCGACTCGAGTGGTACCACAACTCCAGCTCCATCCTTCAGGCCGGCACCTGCGTGCGAAGCAACCAGCTGGACTACGACGAAGAGGTCATGTACCGATCTACCCAATTCCTCTATGACCATGTCCGTGAGGGCCCTGAGAAACGTCCTTTCGCTCTGACGGTCTCTCTCACCCATCCACATGACCCCTACACCATTGAAGACAAGTACTGGGATCTCTACGAGGATGTCGACATTGCGCTTCCCAAGGTCCGCATCCCCAAAGAGGAGCAGGATCCTCATAGTAAGCGTCTCATGAAGGTCTGTGACCTTTGGGATTACGACTTCACCGATGACCAAATCAAGCGGGCGCGGCGTGCCTACTATGGCGCTGTCAGCTACGTCGATGACTGCGTCGGGCGGCTTATATCCGTACTGAAGAAGTGCGGCCTGGAAGACGACACCATCATCGTTTTCAGCGGCGACCACGGCGACATGCTTGGCGAACGTGGCCTGTGGTACAAGATGAGCTACTTTGAGTCCTCCGTCAGAGTGCCTCTGTTCGTGCGCTACCCTCAGCAATTCGAGCCCCATCGCGTCACGAAGAACGTCTCGACCCTCGATATTCTCCCGACTTTGTGTGATTTAGTGGGCACAAAGCCCGCTCCTGGCTTGCCGATGGATGGTGTTTCCCTGCTACCTCATCTTGAGGGCAAGGAGGGCCACGACAAGGTGTACGCCGAGTACACGGGTGAGGGCACCGTCAGCCCTTTGATGATGATCAGGGAGGGTCCATGGAAGTACATTCACTGCCCCGCTGATGGAACGCAACTTTTCAACCTTGAGCACGACCCCCTGGAGCTTGTCAACCTGGCATCCGACAAGGCCATTGCTGCAAAGACCCTTGAGGCGGAAGCCAAGGCTAAGCTGGAAGAGTACACGGCCGAGACGAAGCGCAAGTGGGATTTCGATGCCATCACAGAAGAAGTTCTCCAGTCTCAGCGCAAGCGTCGCCTCGTGTGGGCAGCTCTGACCAAGGGTGCTTTCACTAGCTGGGACTACAACCCGGAGGACGATGGCAGAATGAAGTAAGTCATTTGAAGATTGTATTCCAAGTTGCCTGCTAACATTAATCAAGATATATCCGCTCGCAAATTCCACTTGATGATCTCGAGCGCCGTGCTCGTTACCCACCCGTTGACAAATATGGCCGGGAGATTGACCGGGCCGTTGCCGGCCGCCGAATTTTGGTAGACCAAGCTGGATCTCATGGACAGTAAAGCTTTTTGGACGAAATCACGATGATGACCTTGTAAAATGCATTTTAGGACGGCGTTCAGGCATTTGACTGGGGTTTAGCCAAGTATTTGCTTCTTCTCTTTTGCTGATTTCCACATTGCGGTCACGGCATTTGAGCGAATATACCAGATGGATCGAGCTCCTCTGCATAGCACATTTTGATTTGATTTAGGATCATGGTAAATAGGGATTCAAAATAGCAAATTGAAGCAAATAATTACATCGAAACTACACCTTTGACCATGTTGATCAGTCTGGCTGGTTGCCCCTCATTGGGCACGCGCCAATTAATTCGCGAAGAACCGAGGCTTGATCTGCTTCAGAAACTTACTAGTAAGTCGTGAATTCTGAGGGCCAAGTAGCTTTTCGTCTGAAGAACAGTTTAAACGGGAAGTAATCTATTAGTACTCTGATAGCCATCTCAGTAAATAGAGCTTCCGTAAGATAGTGACATCCCTGCCCCACAAGATTCAGTCGCACAGGGGTCAATGCCCCTGCAGTAATGCGGTCACCGCCCAGCCAGAAGCGGTTCTAGTGGACCCACTCCTCTCCCCGTGCGGTTTTCCAGAACGTCGAGCTTCTTGGAACCGCATCTCAACTTGGAACCTCACTTCCAACTATACCCCGCGGCTTGAAGCTGTCGCAAACAACGCCACACTGCATGGAAGCCCTTCAATTGCGCCAATACTCGTCTAATGTATATATAGAAGGTGTTCTAAGCTGAAGATAGCCACAGCTAGGCATATACGGCAGCCGCGATCGCAAAAACACAACATAACTCCACGATTGAACCTCCACCACAGCGAATTCCGAAACGGCAATAGTAGCCATGGAGAAGCCTAACGCGCTCGGAATCTCTGCAGAGGAGTTCAAGGCTATTGAGCAGACTCGCCAGCGTCTGTTTCAGCTATCCAACAGCATCCAAGGCCTGAAAGTGGATGTGCTCAAAAGCAACCCACTCCCTCCTCCGTACGTTCCTTCCTCTTCATGACGCTTCCGCGAAGCCTCAACTTTTGCACAATATCCCCCGAGATGAATTGAATTCTGACATCAAGATCCATAGTTCTTCGCTACAAGCACAGTCCCAAATTCTCCTCCGCAACCTCCAATCCCTCCTCGACACCCTTACGGAAAACACCCATGTCTTTCAGCATCTGCATGTCTTTCCAGACGTCGCATACCCGGGCCGTGTGTACGAGAACATCCTGCTTCAGCTGCTTCGCAAGAAACTTGAGCCCGGCGTCGAGGAATGGGTCGAGCGCGGTCGCGAGACGACGCGGGAGCTGCGCGGCGATGGTACCAGTGATGGCGAGGCCAAGCTCGAGGAGGTCTGGCGTGAGGTGCGTTCGTGGACCGTTGAACGAGTGCAAAAATATGTTCTCGAAGAGGCACATGACGTATACACCGAAGAAGAACGCGAGAAAGGTATTGAGAACGTAAGGACAGGTTTGAAGAGGGGCCTTGAGGAAGACGAAGACAGCGACGAGGAGGGGGAGGGAGATGATGAAGATGTCGTAATGGGGGGCCAGCAGCAGCCACAGCAGCCGCAGAAAATGACGGGCCCAGAGCCAGAGATGCTGTTTTGGTTTGAGGCAAGAGGAGATTTTGAGTTGCCGAGGAATGTCGACTTGTTGAGTCAGGCGGGGACGAAGCGTGGGTCGATGGGAGTGAGAAAGTGAGGACGCGGAAGACATGATACCCGGCCGTAAAAAGGCTTCGATTCTTGCAGGCGAATCGAAAATTGCATTCCAAATGTGTCCATTTCAGGTACCCCCGAGACGCAATTTTCCCTACAAATAGATATGAATGTTATCCATGTGATTGACGTCAAAAGCCTTGGCCCTCAAGTGAAGCTACGGATATTTCAGTAAAGGTGCGCGTTGGAGCTCGTTTTTTTGATGATGTCCAGCTTGTTTTGTTGAAGCTATATCAAGGAGATAAAGTCGAACACTTACCCAGCTTGTCGGGGGAGGGGGTCTACTGGGCCTCCCTTCTCGCGCTTCTCCAGTTATACTCCCAGTTTGACGAATCAGTCAGTCAACTTGGGTGAAGTTGACTGGATCATGTTAAATGAGGCTAGCTAGCTATTTTCTTTACCAGCTGCATTGGTGAGCTGAGAGAACGATTAAGGTTTTGAGCGAGGGATTCACAGCATCATGAATTGCTTAATTTCAATAACGATATTTGATTCCGATTATATTGAGAGGGATGATTATCACGACAAAAAACTCATTATCGGAGCCGTCGTCCTCATTAATTCATCTTGGGTTTCCCCCATCCGGAATTTGGACGAGCTGTAGCACCCGTTCCCTACCTTCTGCTTGAACTCTCCAAGAGTCCGGTACTTGTTTGCAATTATTTTCCAGGTGAACCCAAGTCCCGAAGCCTTCTGGTAAAATAATCGTAAAGAAGTTAGAATACAAAGCACACCCGCTCAAAAACATTGCCTCCCCTCCTTGACCAGGATCGAATCATACCTAACAGAGAACCTGACGTTTGCTCCCAAGAAGCATGGCGCTGCATTTATGACATTAATATCCTTTCAAGCTGTCGTGGCTTGTAATGACAATGGTTTTATTGGTGTCGTCCAACGAATAGATTCGATAGTAGTTAATGAGGGTCTATAGCCCATCCACTCCATGGACAGACAGTAGTTCCAGTGCAATGTGACAGCGTTAGAACGTATGAAACTTTCATAGGGATGGTGACTAAAGCCCAGTTTCCAATTTGAAGTCGCAGCCCAATGTTTAAAGGTGTAACTGGCTGGCTCATGGATATCCTGAGAAATATGAATCATAGTTGTTGAAGTGGGTCAAAAAAACAGACGCATTTATTTGCCTCTCACTAAGATCAATCTTGCCCCTATCACAGTGACCAAACCCAAGTTGGATTCCACTCTCTGAATTCAGGTCCTGACTTCTCAGCTAGGGAGCCAGGCCCTCAGTGAGCAAGATGACCACCTTGCTGTATGTAGAGCCGGATACAGATGGAGTCTAGACCATGATAGCCCCGCCTTGGTGTCGATACTCGGCTGCTCATTTCTGGGGTTGTAGAGATATAATTTGAAACCACGGCCTATTCCTCTCGCTTAAGATTCATTGAGCCGAGAAGCTTTTCCTCTCAAAGGAGCTTTGGGGCCTTACCAATGACTTCATATAAACAGGAACCTCCCTTATTTTGTTGTATGTGATTTTGGAACACGAAACCACGCGTTTTTATGGAAATCTCTTTTCAGTGTCCTAATATAAAGCCTAATGTTATAGGCTACGCCACGGTTGATGTGGTGTAAGCTGTGCCTACGCATAATCCCTATCTAAGGGCAGCAAAACAATAAGTAAGCGACTTGTTGGCGGGGTTTCAGCCTTCACACCCACAATATATACCTATGCGACATGAACATAATCCGACATGCCCAGAAAGATTTGTTTATAGGTCACATGTTTGCGCTATATATCATACAAGTCATTGGACGGCAACTGAGATTAGAGCCTTGGTTGAACACAACAATCGGTCCATAATAGCATTGTGGTGATGGTAGGTACGCGTTATGTGGCATTATTGTCTCAATGTATTGACAGAGCTTCAACGGATGGGCCTTGCCGTTCAACCAAGCTCCCTATTCTGAAGCCCGCCTTGTCTTAGCTTCTACAAAGCTGAGTTGTGCGAGGGACAAGCCGACGGCTCTGCTGCGGTAAAATTTGGATCTGTAATCAGATTTGGGATTCTGATGAGCACTAGCCGCCACAAGACGATGACCGCGGAGCTGTAGGATAATGCGTGTCTTACAACTACAGACATTTTCATAACTGGCTGTTCGACATTGGACTATTCACTCCAGCGTCCGGGAAAAGGACAGGTCCTCAAAGATTGCAAGGATGAAGAACCCATTAGTATATTAGGTGACCGATTCTTTACTCACGAATCGTACAACGATTTCTAGCAAGCCAAAACATTTCCAGTTTGCCGAAGTCAAATTAAATCTCAAAGCGAAGAGGTTCTAGAGGGCCTTTGAGCCGCTTTTTGCACAATAGACCACATTTAAAACCATTTGAACACTGATCGCAAGATAATAGCGCTTGGGGTATGTCACCATGCAGGATATATCAAAGAAAACTGGAAAGAACAAAAAGGCTAATAATGCGTTGCCCAGGCACATACGCAATGAAACTATGAGTGCAGGGTGAAGAGTGAAAAGTGATTTCATGTGGCTTTGATATCCATGAAGTTTAGCATCTATAATCAAGACTGAGGCGAAGTATCACTGAGGACAATGCAGTTGGAAATTCTTGACTTCTCACAGATAAAACACATTGATGAAGAAGCAAACCTGTTTTATCATCTGTCAAGACGATTGTTAGAGTCGACTAGGAGACATCTAAACCAAAAGCCGCGGGAATGCTGGAATGGAGGCGCAGTGGTCCGCCCACTAGATGAGATGATGGCAAACCGTAATTGGCGTCTTATTTACGGCTCTGCTCGGATCACTCCCAATTCCGGCCAGTCCATATCACGCTTATGCCGCTTATCAGGCGTGTTAGAACTTGATGTTACCAGGCGACATATTATGCTGTTCGAGAAGCCGGGTACGTGAGAAGGGAGTGAGTTTTTTCCGCATGCACACCAAAACATAGAGCACGGCAGTCGGCATAAATATACTTCAAGCTTGATCTTGAGCCTACCTATATTTAGTAGCCACTTCAAGATCCAAAGCCTAATCAGTGCGGTTGAGAATACAGCGATAGGCTGACGTTAAATCTAACGATGTCAACAAAAGGTGGGAGGACCCACTCCAGCACTGAAATTTGCATGTGCTCCTGTGTCACTAGGCGAAACATCAGTTCATCTAGCGTTTGTAACCGCTGATCGAGGTAGTTCATGTGTTTCTCAGCATTCATTGGGTATTGGTGGTCTTGCATGGAGATTCCCCGCCTGAAAATACAGGAATGCCCAAAAGAGGGGACGACAAGATCAAGATCTCGTCATACCAACACATAGGTATTGCCTTTGTCTCTTCAGCAACGATTTCTTAGTGCTTGAATTCCACCAGCGATTGAAACGTGGATAACCAAAATTCATACTGCCTGAGAATTGCAGTCTGATCGCCAAGACAACCCCAGATCTAAGCAATGAAACGCCGCCATCTTGCTGGCCCAATCACTACCGAGGGTGTAAATAACTTCTGTTAGATGGCACCGCCAGAACCAATGGCTGATAGTTGTTCTGCACTAATGTCTTCGGTATTGGCCGGCTTTGGGTTTAGTTCAGTGCGGCTGAGGCGCCACTCGCCGACTGCGTCTTGGCAGGCGGAATGCTTTATGATGCCCAACTAAAACCGATTCAAAGGGGGCTCCCTATGTGACGAATACTCCTAGGTAATCAATAAAAAATAAGATTGGGTTGAAAAAACTTGGTTAGACGTGGCTTCATCATACCAGGCAATGCTATCTAACATCATGATTACAAGGAAACGAATGCAGCAAGTCAGATCATTGGAACTAAAGGCCCACAAGATCTTGGATATCGTAGTTTTCTCGTTCGAGAGGGAAGACTTTCTCCCGATTCTTTCGGGTCATTGTTGACATGTTTCCATGGTCTCATATTTTACATTTCTAAGCACTGGTTCATAGTTACTGAACACAACCCTGGTCACGAGACTCCCCTTGCATATGTCAGTATCCCTTGGGCCACCATTTACCAAGACGGCTGGCATCTGCATTACCGCAGCGGGTATCTAGAACGGGATGGTGCCTTGGTATCATGCAAGAAACATCCCGGTGAGCTGCATGTTGATGCCTTACCGACCAAAACCGGCCGATAGCCTCAGCCGCATAGCTCAGCTCCAACCGCTCATCTTCCTCATTTCCTATTGGACTTAGACACCATCCAAGCCACATCTGTCCTTCCAACGCGGCCAGCTTTCAGCCAAATGCAGAAAGTTTCACGAGCACGTCGTGCCGTTTGAGCCGCCCCGGACTAACCATCCAAGACAGCTTCCAGTAAAACAAGCCTTTTGATTAGTGAGGAGAATGTCTTGCAAGCTCAAGTCTCCCCGTTTCGCGCCCATCCAGCTTTTAACTCAGTAGACATGTTCACCACCTCAGCCCATTTCAACATACGTTGGAACCATCGATCCGCAACGGGCATGAGTGTGGCTTTCCGAAGAACGCCTTACGAGGAGAGCCTAGTCCGTTCCCAGGGTCAAGGGGTATTCTGGTGACTGCGGTGAGCCTTGATCGTACCCTTGGACGCCACGGCGCGAGCTATTCGTGACAGCCTTGATGCGCGTTGCAGGCGAGCTTTTGTGGCGCGCTGTGCAAGGGGCGCATCAAAATTACGAGGATTGACAATGTTGCCTCACGTTGCTAAGGGGAAGGAACCAATGCATTGAAAAGCCCATGGGGGTCCCAGGGGGGACGGTATCTGTCTCTCCATTCCTCACACACACGCGCACACACACATTATTCCATCATATATACCACACGGCCAATCTCCTTTTCCCCCTTCCCTACTTCTAACCCTTTTACTCTCTACTTCTCGCCAAATCTGCCTTCATACTGACCATTGTTCTCGTACAACATTTACCGGATAGTAATAATGGAGAATGGCAACCAGTATCCCACCCAGCGACCAGCTGGTCGCGAGCACATCCCTATCTATCCCAAGGGATTCATAGCCCTCAGAATTGTTCAACTTGTACTCGCAGTAATGACGCTCGCTCTCTGCGCCTTTGGTGCCTATGTCTTGCCTACTTCAGGCAATTGTCTAATGCTCTTTGTTGTAAGTACTGAAAACATATCATTGGAACTTATTTTCTCCATGCTAATATTCGGACCATAGTCAGTAGCAACTTTGTTCGTCACGGTCTGGCTAATCGTTTCCGAATACTCGATGCCCAAGGCTTATAACTGTAAGGTTTCTTGACGAGCCATGATTTTAGCGCTGTTAATGACACAATGTTCTCACAGATTGGGCGGTATTGGGTTTGGAAATATTCCTTGTGGTCTTCTGGCTCTGCGCTTTTGCCCTATTGGCATCAGAGGCGGCCTACATCTTTGCTCGGTGCACTTATTATTCTTGCTATGATTGGGCAACAACTCTTTCCGCTTGCATGTCGGCTGCGGCCGGCGTTGGTGGCCTTCAATTGTGAGTTGGCCTTCAAGTCTTTCGGCAACAACTCTGTTTCTGACTTTATCGATAGCGCTCTCTTCATCACATCTCTATCGATTCACGGTGTTATGCTCCACCGTCATCGCAAGGCTGGCCTGCACTGCAACCCCGTCTCCTCCGGCATTGCTCCTGTTGTTTCCAGCCAGGTTCACCACGAGAAGAACAACACCACCGTCAACGCTGCCGCCTACCAACCTGTTCACCAAGGCCAGGCTGCGCCACCCTATGTGCAACAGCAGCAGCAACAACAGCAGCCTATCCATCAGCAGCAGATGTACGCCCCGACACCAGCCCAACAAATGCAGCCTCAACAACAACAGCCGCAGCAGCAGCCGCAGCAGTTCCACCCGCAGCCGTCTCCCACGCCTCTGAGCGCTCAGCACACCGGGGGCTCATTTGCCCAGATGCCACCGCAGCAGACGAACGTGCCACCCATGCCAAATGCTCATGAGGTACCAGGCAACCATTACCACCCTCAATAAGTAAACTCTGCGATTTACCTGGCCACTCGTTTGGGTAACGTTATACGTCTGTTTTCATCTTTGGAATAAGTTCGGGCGGTTCGTTTTTTTTGATTCGAAAAATAGCACACGTGCTATTTTTATGTGAACGAGCCGGTGATTCCTATACGTCTGGATGTTAGAAGTGCAAATAATCTATTAAATTGACCTATAATCTTGAATACACACGTTGTAGTCTTATTCTGACGGTTCCTGGAAGAAACTCGTCCAAATCCCCATCTATTTGAAAGTGACATGAATGAATTCGCCGAAATCAAGAGATCAACGGTTCTCGTTTGCGTCTCTTTGATCTTCACCATGCATTCTTTCCAAATACTCAAAGCTTGTACGGCTTCTTCCGAACCTAGGAAAATGGGCTTATCAAAAATCACATGCAAACCTTAGTGAACTAGTCGAACTTTGAATGTACGTTAGTACTTTTCTGTCCCAGGACGCTGGCCCGGATAATTCTCGCAAAATGCCTGTTTGGGTGGATGTTCAGGGCCAGTCACTTGATGCTCCCATATGCTAGCCTAGCTGTTTTAGTATTGATACAACATTCGCCGCGAGTACACGACAATACCAGAACGGGGGTGTGATAAGGTATTAGTCTCTACTCCGGCAAAGGTGTACGGCTTTTTGAGGCTACCTAAATACTTTGAACCTATAAAACAGTTGATTGCAACTGCTCTTCTTTAAAGAACATTAGCTTATGCCAGTCAAACATGAGCGACATCGCGTTATAAAATCACGATTCCTTAGGTGCGTGAGACATGTAAGCAGTTAGTAAGAACTGAGACGTAGTTGCTCTTTCGACTAGCTTGCGGGCCGTTATTTGAGTCTACTCTGGCGACTTGAAAGAAATTCATATGAGAGCAACCAATGGGTTTTAAAACCATATGAGCAGCTATGATTTGAACGGACCCCCTTAGAACTATGTACATGTTTCTCATTATGATGCCTGTCTCAATAGACCTACTCAAGCCTGCTTTACAGTGATGTCTACGCTAAATCGTTCCAATTCTCCGTGCTAAAATCCGGCCAGTACAGCCCCTGCAAATCATCGTAAAAGGATGCCTCCAAGAATTGCAAATCTAGTACTGGCTGCGCTAGAAGTTCTTCCAGCGACGGTTCGGCAAGCGCCATGCCTCCCGTGGTGTGCGCTGGCAACATGGGCGCGGGGCCGAAGTTCGCGGATGTCGCTGGACCCAGCAGCCGTGGCGGATTCTCGCCCAAACCTCCAGGTGGCCCAGGTAGCTCCGATTCTAGGCCCATCCTCTTCGCGCAGAATTTCTCAAGATCGGCTTTCATCACATCAACGTGATGACAGTACTCTTGAGCGGCGAAGTTCCCGGCATCCCGCAGCTGTGAGAGAAACCTAGCCGACTCCTCAAAGGCTTCTCTGTCACTCCTGCTCTCTGGTCCGTTGAGCAAGCTTGAGGCCGCGAGAATGGTGAGCGCGGAGAAGAGATACTGCGTGTAAAAGTAGTCAAAAGTCGCGAATGAACCATCTATCCAGGAATCGGTAAGGAGGCGGATTGAGTGGCGTGCACAGCGTATGCATGCCTCGGAAAGCGTTATAGCGCTGGGGGGTACCTGAGACTCGGTCACGGGGGATGATGCCGGCCATGTGGCGACATGAGTCCGCAGGATATGAAGCAAAATTGGACGAGTTGCCAATATAGCACACTGAGCGTCAACTGTCAGATAAGTCTTCGAAAGGTTTGGGGTTCAGATGATTGCTTACTTGATTGAATGAGAGATGGAGTGATGTTGGCTTTGGACCCGAGTCCGGATTGTCAATCTGTAAGTGAGACGGCAGGTCTTCAACCCAAGATCGAAGGTCTTTTAGAGCCTGCTGCACCCTTGTAGATAACGTGACCTCACCCTGATTACGCTGGCCGTAGATGGAGCGGACAGTTTTCGTAACGAGCGCCGCCAAACGCAGACTGGCAATGTGATAGGCTGTATCATCGAAATCAGTACCAAAAGCCTGACCGATGACTGGCTCAGAAGGTAGATCCACCCCGATATCGTTATCTTGGATGGCGCTTGGGTGGCCCAGCTTGGACGCCCATATTCGATCAAATATATACGTGGTCCAAAATAGTCGCTTCCTGTGTTCTCTCATGTCCGGATCAGGAAGTTGTGATTCTGGGATATTGAGATGGAGGCCCATCACTATGGCCATGCGCATTGCCGTCCCGGACATGACAAAGGCACTATATCGGCGATTGAGAGCTAAAGAGTAGAATGACTGCCACAGTTAGGACCCATAGAACTTTGACTAAACTTGGACGTACAAGAAGGAGCATGATCTCAATTGAGTCTGTACCAGGCCGCTCATCGAGCACACCGAGTATTCTAGAAGCTTTCGCAAAATACGCCATTCCCGGAAAATCCTTTTCCGACGGAATAGACCGAGTCGAGTAAAGTTCCCCAATGGCGAACAACGCCCACAATTTTGATCTAAGCATCAAGTCTCCCCACGATGGATTATGAATACTTTGTTCCAGGTTCTCCAGGATCGAACTCCTGCGAACGACGTGGTAGCGCCTGCTAACGTACTTCAGCGCGACATCAACCAAGAACCGAGACCTAGATGGCGTAGGCCAGGTAATGTCCGACTTGACGAGATTCATCAGCTCCCTATCTGGAGCGTAATTGAGTCTCAGTATATGCTTAGGTTGAGGGGCATTGGGGTCAGAAATGACTTGGCGGAAACGGGTTGAGAATGCCGCGTCCGCGACTTCACCTATAAGGATTGGCGTGCGGAAGACATTTGCACTGATGAACCACGGCCTCACTTCAAGCGTTGCAGTTTCTGAAGGCTCCTCATTGTCGCTGGCTCCCTTTCCGGAAGATGGGGTAGCGGCCCTATTGCCAACATAACTTGTACTACTTTGGGTAGTCACGTCATCCCGCGTGGAGCTGGGGGCGCTCTGGGCATTTTGACTCTTGAGACGGCGGATTTCATCAAGAAGCCCGTCGATATAGCTTTTGATTCATCAGTTACCCGAGGAAGAAAAAAAGAAGAAAAAAAACTCAAAAGAAAACTCGAGATAATCGGGCTAGTTCTGAAAAGAGGCTTCTATTACCTTTGTCTGACCTTGACTTGCCTGTTTCGTCGCGGGTATGTGCACTCGGAACCTTTGCCAGCGTGCCGACAATTTTGGCAGGGCTGCTCCCCTGAGCACTTCACTTTTCTAGAGTGACATCGGCGGCATCTGCGACAAAACAGAGAATTAGTTGGTAGCCTTTTGAAGTCGTCCAAAATGGGTTTCCCACGCGGTTGACTTAATCGGTGGCAGGGGCCCGTCAGTCAGGGGACTTCTGCTCCCGACATCCGTGCTGGGCGGGGTCCTGTTGCATGTTGCCATGGGGAATTGAAAAAGGACATTCGATAGAATGCCGCAAGAGGAAGCATGAATTTTGAATCAATTCATCACATATCACTGTGTGCTTTGGTGGTAACCTCGTTGTACGTCGGCAAGTTTACTCGACGACTGTATGTGTCAGAGTAGACGACGTTGTCACCGATGACGGCGAAATGTCAAGACGCCGATAGGGCGGGCCGGCAAGAAAGGTTTAGTCAGATTATCTACCAAAAGGGGTAAGAGAAATCTGCTCCCCGGACTCTCGGCAGTGGCCCGAGCTTGTCTCTCCGGTTTCGTCGGCAAAGTGGTGGCTTTACCGAGATGAGTCATCCGAGCCGTAGCGAATTCTGGTGTTTTGGTACAATTGCGTTTTGGCATCCTTATCAAGTAACTCCTGTCTCTCTCACCAGCATTGTCCACATCATTTTGAAGGCAGAGCGCAGCCATCAAATTTCCAAAGCTACAGCTTCAGGGACGTTGTGATACCATTTCATCCTAGACCTAGTTGTAGATTGGTATTCTCATTCATACTCCCTTCACGTGAGCATGTGCCACAGGTTGTGGACCTAAAATAAATGCAACAAATATTCTTGAACTTTCAGCATCCGTGTAAGATACCAATGACTAATCGTTTATAGTTTATCATTATAGGGGCATATTCCTTGTCTATCATACAACTCAGGATCAATGAATCTGATCATTTCCTGGCTGCAGTGAACATGTTCAGACTTCTTGCAGCGTGGTCGCACCAATAGCCTGACCAGACTTTGGAACCAAGAAATTGCTGCCCTTGACTTTCTTGTCGGAACCTCTGGGTCCCTTCAGAACGGACGCATCGACGCTGGCAAACGAGCTGTTGGACCAGCTGCCAGAGTTCCACGAATTGCCCGAGGCGCTGACGGAGCTGACCAAGCTAACCTGCGCACTTCCCACATTCACCGCGGCAATGTTACCGGTCATCTTGGATGAAGAGCTACGCATCACGAAACCAGTATCTCCGTTGTTCCAAGCAGTGTTGCGCTCGAAGGTAAGAGAGCCTGGGTTGCCGTTGTCGATGAAACCCTTCTTGAGGTTGCCAAAGGCGATCGAGTTGCGGATAACATGGTTAGCCGGCGGGTTGTTCGTGATACCCAGCTTGAAGCCGTTGCCGTCGCCCTCGAAGGGGCTGAAGCCCCATCGGTTGTAGCCGTTGCCCCAGGCATAGACCTCCTCGAGCGTGACGGGGGACGTGAACATGAAAAGGTCCAGGCCATCGTCAACGTTATCCCATAGGCGGGCGTTGCGCAGCACATTGCCCTCACCGGAGCCTGATTTGCAGGCGAAACCATCAGCACTTTCGCCATTCTTGCGAGGGTCGCGGTTGCGGTAAGAGTCGAGGTTGAGAACAGTGTTGTTGGAAGACGCGCCCTCGAGCTGGAAACCAGTCTCGTAGTTATCATGCGTCGACAAACCGTTATAGTAGTTGTGGGAGGCATCTCGGGCATAAATGCCGTAAGGACCGTTAATTAGTCTGAGATTGGTTAGTAAGTACGTCGAGAGACCATGAAGCACGACTTACTCCAGATCATAGAACGCCCAGTAGTTTGCGTTCTGAATATGGAAAATGCCCCTCTCGCCATTTGGCAACGACTCGTCCAAAGCCTTGGGGGTTCTGCCGGGCGTTAGTGCTGTGTGAACTCCGTTTCCGATATTCAACTTACCCTGGCATGTTCTCGCCGTTGATGATGACCTTCTCATTTTGGTAGGGCCGGACAGAAATTGGCGAGGTTCTAGTTCCGCTCTTTCCAATTTGGATATTCGACGAAGGCGCATACGTGCCTTGGCGGAGATAAATAGTGTCGCCGGCAGCGGCGGCGTTGACGGCCGATTGGATGGACCCAAACGGCGCTGTCTGGGTACCAGACCCGGTGCCGGTCGGGGACACAAAGATGTCGCGGGCAGCGGCACCGGTCAATAGAGCCAAGAAGGCGGTGGGAACAACGTTGAATGGAGCCATTGTTTCGTCACTTCCAATTAACGGTGTAACTCCCGATTAGCGGCGGAAACTCTGCATTTCAGCTGGGCTTAACAACCATCTTATAGTTCATTAACAGACTAAAAAGCTCTTCGTTCTCGTTAAAATTGAAGGCGATTTAGCACGTCACTGAGTTCCACAAGTGAATTGCAAGATGATTGTTGTCAATTTTCCGAGGCTTCAAGAGCGGCCAAATCAGAAATCCCCCAATCAACCACCCCTGTCCCTGGCAATGAAGGAGGTCTGCCAGTACCACGCAACATGGATTGAGGTTCCTAGGATGGTAGCTGCGGAGAAAACTCTTCCGCAAATAAATGATTTTAAGAGTCTAATTACCGATTATCCATCAAAAACCAAGCTTTTCTTTCCTAAATGTTCAGCTACAAATTGGGCCTCCGCACTCCGTAATGTTCGCCTACTGGCTACAAAAGCTTCACGCATCAGCCACTGAGCAAGCACACCTTGCCGTACCGCCTTGATTTCAAACAAGGTAGCCTTGACACCAAGATGTTCCACGAATCCTGTGCTCATTCAAGAGTAAATGAATCAGAAACTTGGCATTGAGTCGCCAATTACTGGTTGAAAAAGGTACCTAGATCCATATGCCCCATCCTAAAACAATAAAGGTGGTTTTCTTGGCGTCTAAGGAACCCTAGGGTTGATTAGATTACGAGTTGCCGGTGGGATAATCGTATTGTTTGAAAGATTTGCTTATTGCGCGGTGGATTTCTTCTTTCCGGCCCCATTCAGGAGTTTCTGGTTTTGGAAAACACTGATAACTTTCAACACAGGGGATTTTTTTGTTCCTTCGTGGTGCCCATCGATCTTTGAGGGATGACTTATCGGATTTCCATTTTTAGTTTAGACTGTTGTCTTGCGCAAACGTCAATGTGACGCAGAATTTTCAATGACATTTAGTACGAATCTCTGGAGCTTCGAGCGCTAATGTTTCTCATTAGAGTTTGCCGCTTTTGAGGTTTAAATAGTACAGTGAGCTGCAGCTGCTCATAAGCTTAAGTTAAAGTCATGGGAGCGTGCAGGGGATGCCGATCATATGATTGTGGAGCCTTTTGGCTGATCCTAGCTCACCTCGAAGCGGTGTTACAAATCCATATTGGCTAATTTTAAGGGAGGAACAAGGAGAAAAATAAAAGCAAGAGAAAAAAGTCATGAAGAAATAAAATCTATGGACAACAAAAGCCCTCGTGTCCATGCATAGGCGTAGCGAGTAGTGGCAATAAAAGATATAATTATGCTAACTCTGCGAAACCTCTTAAGACAGTGCTGTTAGATATTCGTTATCGGCATTCGCGGATCGTAGAAGATCCAAGCTGTCGATCGGTACCTTAGGTTACTAGGTTTGAAACAGAGGGGACGATTGTAGAACAGCTTCCCATACATAGTAGCTTTCATGTTGCCAATCTTCATGACGTTGAGTGGATTAGACGGAATTCATGAAGCACCTGCAGTCTGACGCTTGTGCTGCATAGCATCGCCTTTTAAGCCTTGATGGCAGTTGAATGAATTCTCTCAGTTTCACTCACCCTCTTCATCCAAGAAGATATCTTTCATACTGATCTATGGCGTACAATATAGTTACCATCCGCTCAACTATATAGCATTTTGATTACAGAAAACCTGAGTTTTCATATCTTCTCATCATTCAACTTTTACAGGCTATGTCACGGTTGATATGGCGTAGTCTGTGCCTACGCATTATACCTACTTAAGTTCAGCCAAACAACAAGTGAGCGACCTCTTGTCACGTATTCTTTTGCGTATTTAGCTGGGATAGCATCTCTGTTTTTACACGTGCTGGAGGCTGGTGTGCGGCTGCCACTGCAAACCTGTAGGCGGGGTCTGACTCTTTACAATAACCTATCCTTCGAAGGCATGATGGACGACGTAGCGAATCAAGCCGCACAGCAGATTGCCCTGGTCGCCAGTTCCATAGTGGCGAGGTCTGAAATTCACCTTGCTCCTCATGAACTATTCCATGGTGTTTTCCTTGCTGCCGCAATCTTTATATGCAGATGAAGAGTTCCAACCCGCTCGTTGCGCAACTGGGCATATCAGGCCTCACCAACTGCAAAATGGTATTCCAAGCCAGTCGGGAGACGCGGGACCCAAGCCCATAGTTCACGCAGCTCTTTGACAGGGGCCTGTTTGCCATGAAGCCCCATCTCTTCGACGGTAATCAAACTTCAAGTACCATGGGCGAGTCGTTGACCAACCAAGTGGGCACTGGCAGCAGCAATGCAAGCACAAGCGGTCTGTTTCCACTGAGCTACGACATGTGGCAGACCCACCCTGTACTTGTAGATCTTTTCGAAATGGCTCTAAACTGTTCGCCATTAATGGGAAGTCCAGAACTTGACAGATCAGGAATGCTGTGGCTGGGCCCGTAGCCTTGCGATTTGGATTTACCATTCAGGATGCAAAAGTCTATTCTAGACGTGTCATATGGGGCTGCGACACGGGTGACATCAACTAGAAACCAAATAGCTTGTATTCTTTAAGTGGACGACTAGAGGGAAGGTCGACTAAGATGTCTGTCGCCGGGGCGAGCCACATCACGTGACTAGGCGGCCGGGTCGCAACCGAGCGGATCCGGAGGACGAAGCCATCACGACAATGCGAAAGACCCATCTCAGACTTTCTTCAGAACAGGACTCACCATCTCAATCTTGTTGTGCATGCCACCAGTATATTGGGAGAGCTCTTGGTGTCTCACATCGATTATGTCAACCAGTTGCCTTTTGAATCCTCCCAGCCAAAGTCGACCTCTGTCCACCCTTGCAAAGTCCTCTTACCGTCAAGTTCAACCCACAGCTGATTCTGAATATTGCAGATTCTATGGCCCCCAATCTTATTGTGTGCACTATTGATGGCGCCCATGTCCTCGTTATCGAGACTGACAATCCTAATATTGCTGCTAATGCGTGACTTCAAGCTGCTCTTGGGGATGACAGTCACACCCCGTTGCACCGCCCACGACAGGGAGACGGTACTTGCCGAGATGTTGTGCTTTCTGGCGACGCTAGTGAAAACATCGTGTTGAAGGATGTGATCCTTGGCGAATTTGCTATCCCCCCCTAAGGTTCTACGTGTGATATGTTAGCTATCCGTGCTATAGGTTGACTGAAAAGGTATTTATTTGCACTGCCATGTGTTGGCAGTATGCAACTTACCCCCAGGCCATCACATGGATTCCTTTGGACTGGCAGTATGGAACCAGCTTGAGGCAGGGGTTGAGTGCGTGAAGCTCGACCTGGTTGACGGCTGGTACGATTGCGGCATGCTGAAGAAGCATGCTCAGAGTTTTTTGGGTAAAGTTGCAAACCCCAATTCCTTTGCATTTGTCGCCGACCAGACTTTCCATCTGCTTCCAAGTTTCCAAGAATGTCGGTGACCGGTGAATCCGGAGAGGCTTCCCATCGGGCGTCATAGCCCACGGCCAATGCATCAGGAAGAGGTCAACATAGCCGAGATCGAGTTCTCTCAGCGAAACCTCTAGAGCAGCAGCGACGTCGTGATGATAATGGCCCCAGTATTTGGATACCACGGTGATCTCACTTCTCGGCACCCGACTGTTCCGGACAGCACGACCTACGACTGATTCTATCCCGTAATACTGTGCCGTATCAATGAGACGGTAACCATTCTGAATAGCCACGATGATGGACTCTTCGAGGGCTTTCTCATCGTCTGTGCCTATACGTCCTGCAAGGCTTATAAAATAAATCAGGAGCAATTCCAGAGATGAAAGGATTCCCCACCTTGCCAGGTCCCAAGGCCAACAGCAGGCATGAATGTGCCTAGTCGTCAGCTTTTGTTAACACCTCTTTCCTTTCCTTTGGACTTGGCAGTATCAGAACCAGATCTAGGCCGGCAAAACTCACCATTATTCAACTTAAAAGTCTTTGTGCAAATAGGTATTTCAGTCATTTTGGGCAAGAAGGTTGTCCTCTCAGATTGAGTAGCGAGTTCTTCGCTGTGATAAAGGTCTAGATGATTGGGGGTTTCAAAAAGTTTGGAGATGGGTTTTGTCTTGCAATTTAAACTCGAGCGATCTCATTTGGTGTCAAGGACATTCATTACAGATGAGAGAGAGAGAGAGAGAGAGAGAGAGAGAGAGAGAGAGAGAGAGAGAGAGAGAGAGAGAGAGAGAGAGAAAAGAAAAGCAATCTTTTTTCAACTAGACGGTTCAAGTGAGGGGTGCAGCAGCTGAGGCGATGACGGCACTCCTATGATTATTTGCCTGGTTCGGGACTTCACTACTTACGCTGTCACTTTGTGGGGCGGCTCTTCCGCCGAGCGCCCCTCGCAGATAGCCGGATACTGGGCCTGTATATCACAACCGGAACTCGCTCTCGCCCGGTTATACTAAGCTCGGGGTTTTTACCTGATATTGTAACAGTGATTCTGGCCGTTTATATGATTCGGCCGCAATCTAAGACGATTGAATTCGGCTGATTAACGTCATATTGTCCTAACATTAACAAATCATCTAGCAAACGCCATGTCGACCGTGTGTATCTTGAACCCAAATTCTTAAACATCGTGCTGACGGTTCCTTCCAGATACTCGCTCGTCCAATTAACCATGTTGCCGTCTCGGTCGGCGATATTGAAGCCGTAACAATGTGGTACTCTCAAGTGTTGGGTTTTCAAATCATCGGTAACCGCATCTTCCATATTAAAAGGTCGGAGAATCCTGAGGCAGCCATATTCGCCATTTACGGTGAAGCTCTTCGCGAAGTCAAACTGGCATACATGACAACAGGCAACAGTGTGGGCTTTGAGGTCTTTCAATTCCTTGACCCCGCATTCAAGGCAAACGATGTTGATTTTGAATACAATCGCGGCGGTTTCTTCCACATCTGTGTGACGGATCCTCATCCAGACGCACTGGCTGATAAAGTTGTCCAGTACGGTGGAAGCAGGCAGGGGGTGACGGTGAAGGTCGCAGGAGGTGGGGCAGCCTGCGTATACGTAAAGGATCCGTGGGGAAACGTGATCGAAATACTAGACACCAGCTTCGACCGCATGGCTGCCATGAATGTGCAGCAATTGAGTAACTGATGGCATAGGTACAGGGCAATGGGAAGATAGCGAGGATCAAGGCGATGTAGATATTCAATCACAATCTATTCCACTGTAACCTACAGGACGAGATTTCTACAAACATTTTAAATGTTAAGCAGAATTAATGCATAGCTGTAGTGTCTGAACTTGTGAAAGGGTTTGTGTAAATACCCGGATAATGCCAGCCGCCTCAGTGGTTATGATCCATTTAACCGCTCCCCGGTGGACCTTCTATTCGGTAGTTCGCACCGCAAGCAACCTTGGCCGGTTACTCGAGATGACACGGAACCTGCATTAAGGGATGGAATAGACAGTGTGAGAGACTTTACCAAGGTAATCTGTCTCCTTTAACCTAACCGGGCAGTTTCTGGCGGCCGTGCAGACTAGACTTCCCTACATAGTTTTTTGGGCACCGTCAGGCTGTTTTGGCTGGAGTGCCAGGTTACACATTCCCCCTCCCCTTTCCTTGTGACGAACTAATGGTCCAGGGTTCCATCTCTCATGTGAAATAGTGTGGTCAATACAGAGAGTATGGCCAGCCAGATACAATATAGCCCCTGGAATATAATACCTAGTAAAGGATGTCTCCAACATAGGCATTATGTAGCCAGATGGAACCGTTTAGGCATGGGCAATTCTGGTTTCACTGCCATGCATTGCACACATACATTGGGTTATAAAATACACATACTCGAGATTATGCATAAAAATAAGCAGAAACTTCAAGAAATCGAGCGCTGCATTTTCGATAGGGGGAAATACAAAACTGCTCATCTAACCTCTGGTACACGTAATCAAGGCAATTCACCTTACAGGTTGATAGAATGTTCTGACGTGTAACATTTTCTAGCCGGTTATATAGATGACATAATCTAGACATAAAGCCCTACAGCATCCCAAACCCCACCCGGCACGGGTCTTTTATACTCGCGAGACGCAAGGCAAAAGAGTGTAGCTAACTCATAGCGAAGCATTATCGGATGATTTCATCAAGTATGTCACGGTTACATTGGGATTGTCACAGAAGTCACGCAAGATCTCACGTGCTCTTCCCAACCCGACGCCCGTATGAGACAGCCTTCTCGATACTCCACCGACAGGTCAGGGCTTACAGCACCTTGATGTGAACTACTCACGGAGCTTGTAAAGATAGAGATTCGAAGTTGAGAGGTGAATTCATAAATACTGTTGATTGCTTTGGGGAGCCCCCTATGGCGGCTTAGTGATACTCGGGTACAAATATGGATATACACTGGGTTCAACCCAGCCTCGCTGCCTCTGACTTGACAATAGTCGGAATTTCCTGGATTAATCCATGCTCCACTGGCTGCCATCCCAGAAACTTCTTTGCCCGCAACGCCTTGGCCCTAGAGTTCATGCCCCAACTCGCCGCTTCGAATCCGGCAGAAGACTTGACGGCCTCATCCATTGACAATTCCTTGAGCTCGAGCTCGCCACTTGCCAATCCTTGTGTGCACACTTCGCGTCCAATCTGGACTGCCAGATCGCTCCAAGTATGCTCACCGTTCTCAGTGAGGAAGTAGCCTCGCGGACCCCATATCTGTGAGTCGTCTTTGCGAGAGGGGTCGAGCGCGGCTTCGGCCAAGAGACCGATTGCGCTGCTCAAATCGTAGACATGGATGTTGTTCCACCGGGAGAGACCTCTGCCAATTCGTGGGCAGTACTTCTCTTTAAGGATGAAAGACGTCAACTCGTAAACCTGGCGGCCACGCCCAGACACCGGACCACGTCCCTTTCCATAGATGGTCGGAGGACAGACAACAGCTGTCTTCACTCTATCAGAATGCTTGGCCCCCGCTTCTAAGACAATCTTATCAACATTGCGGTGAAAGGCGTCGTCAGGCAGGTTCACCAGTTCATCAACGCCTTCGAGATCGTTAAACACCTTCTCGTCGGGCTCACCAAATGTCTTTTTCACGGAGTCGAAATATGTGAGAATGCCGGTACCGCCGACATGAAGCCAGTAGCCTGGTCGAGAAGGGGAATGACCTTCAACCAGGCCCTTTGAAATGGCCTTTGCGCTGCCCTCATGATCTGATGAGTCGGCCGTGTCTGTTGTCCCCAGTTATTAGTCATGGCTTGACATACGATGACGAAATGGATTTCATACGAAGAACAATGTCGGCCCATGCGGCTTCACGGCGAATGATATCTGAATCATCAAGACTTCCGAGAACGATCCTAGCGTTCGGGTACTTCGATTGGACTGTTTTGGCTTTGTCTTCGGACCTCACCAGAAGAGCCAAGTCTAGGTCAGGGTATTTATGGGTTAGGTGAAACAGAGCGTCACCACCAATATAACCTGTGGCTCCAGTGACAAAGAATTTCGGTGCCATGTTATCGTGTCTGATGTAACAGTTGTAAGAAAAGAGGTAAAATCGCGGCGCTCGGTACCTCAAAAAGCAATTTTAGTGTGTGAACTCTTGCTCATATGCAAAAGCTTCAAAATTCCTTTACAGAACTCGGAATCTCGTCTTCTTATGGTTTGGGATGTCTGGCAAGCTCATGATGTGACTGACTAATGAGAGATGCTGTGACGTGATGTCAACTAAGTAGCGTGGACGGCAATATGGCATAGCCGATATGATTGTGGAGGTCGCGAGCTGTGACGGAAAATCATTTAAGCCTTCCACTTGAACGCACATTTATCAGCTTAAGTGGGGAACGGCGTCGTCATTATTCTACACTTGTAGTCCTCGCTCTATTGGCTGGTGTGTGAGGGGCCATATTGGTTTAACCGTCACATGCAAGGCAATCATTTGTGATATCAATTATTGTCTGCTTGTGCTGGAACACCCTCGCTTGGACAACATCGTGGAAATTCTATATGTCAAGGAAACTTCTTGCTTCAAAGCCCATGCCCAACCGTTGCAATTTCAATACCTCAGATATTCCAAAATTTAGGATAACAGGGACTTCGGTCCTTTGCGATTTTGGATGTCCCACTAGCAGTGACCACCTGAGTATTCGCACTACCTTTTCCAAAGCTGGATAATCGAGCACACCGAAACCCATGTAAATCATTTCGTGTGAGCTAGAAGTTTCCAGAATTCTGTCGCCAGTAGATAACAGTTGGTTGTAACATTTTTCATTCCAGATTGTTGGTCTCAAGTCTTGCACCCTTGAGTCATCCGAAGATGGTCTCAAAGCCAAGCCAACGCCAGCGGCCGATAATCCTACTAGTTTCGTGGCTGAATGCATTAGCTTCGTAGCCGTTGAGGGGTGTGATAAGGAGCTACCAGACATAATGGTTTCGCGGCAGGCAGGATCTTTCTTTCAGCCAATCCTAGGGCGTTGCAGTGTGTTCAGTTAGGAAGACGACGCTGAAAGCATATTTCAATACCATCCTTGATGTTGAAAGTTTCGTTAACCAGCTGTCCGTCAACAGGCTATATGCAGAATTCGCAAAGGGAGAGTACCCGGCCTCCTTTGACCGTCCCCACTGGTCCTGGCCACTTGTGTTGATGCTTTTCGCACTTTTGTTCTATGCGGGGAAGAGTAGTTTTGCTTTACGCTGGAAATCCCATAAACCCCATTTTCCGCATCGCCGAAGGACAGTTCCCAGATCCCGGATCAAAATACCACGCTTTTGCAATAAGATAAGCTTACAGTTGCGCGACACAACCCACACTACAGAAGATTAGCAACTTCCGAAGCCTAACGAAAAGAAAATGGCAGCCGCGCAACCACCCATTCAATTCGTCGATGACTATCAGACGTCCAACGTCTTTGACCTGTTGTCCCTCAAAGATAGAGTGGTAGTCATCACAGGCGGTGCGCAAGGCATTGGCTTGGCACTAGGCTTCGCTGTTGCCGAGGCGGGGGCTTCTATTGCCATCATTGACGCCGCCTCTGAGCCCGATTTGGCTTACAAGGATCTCCAAGCGATTAGCAGCAAGACAGCATTCTATCAGTATGGGATTCTTCGAGTGCTGCTTCAGAAGTCATCATGTCGCTGATTCAGGGTCATGCAGATCAGACGTAACCGATTTTGAGCGTCTCAAATCGACCTTCACCTCCATCGCCAAAGACTTTGGGCGAGTTGATGGCTTGTGAGTAGGAGTACTACCTAGCCCCAGCCCGTATAAGACTGACCATCTGTGATAGAATTACAGCGGCCGGAGTCGTCTCAGACGAGCCGCTTCTGCAGCGAGACCCGAGGAGCGTAAAGCGCTGCTTGGAGATCAATTCACTGGGCACATACTATGCAGTACGCCTCGCAACCGAGCAAATGGTGAAGCAGCCCCTTCGAAGCCCTGGCGCCGGAGCTGGCTCCATCATGACGATTGCCTCAATATCGGCCCATCAGGCGAGCAGGGGCCAGTACACCAGCGACTACTGCATGAGTAAGGGTGCTGTTCTATCACTTACGAAGCAGCTCGGTGTCGAGCTCGCTGAGTATGGTATAAGAATAAACTCTCTCTCACCCGGGTAGGTTGCATTTTCAAACTTTTGTGAACAATTCCAGGCCCGATTGATACAAAGACTTACCGAATTCACTACTGACGTTCACATCAAGGTACATCTCCACGGGGCTGACCGCCAGTCTGGTTAGACAGCACCCCAACCTGGGTGACATCTTTACCACTGAGCCCCCGATGAAGAGGATGGGCAGACGGTCGGACCTCAAAGGCGCCGCTGTGTTCTTGTTGTCCGATGCCAGTTCTTACATGACGAGTGCCGAAATTCTGATCACTGGTGGCATGCATGCCGGAAGGTTGTAGGGTACTGTAAGGCAATTACTCACAAACTTTTGTACGGTCGGGAAATAGATCTAAGCCTATCGTAGTTTCTCCCAACCATCGAATCACATTGCAAAATGATATTATGAGAAAATCTTCGGTTCTGTATGTTGGATACAGGCTGCTTGATTGAAATCCGTCCTGTTATCAACTTCATTTGGCCATTGCTAAATATTTCAACCCCCACTCAGTGCCTATACTCATGAGTCTTCTACTCCGCGTACAGCTTTATCGAACAGCCAATTCGAGCGAAGTAGTAGTCTCTGTATCCTCAATGTCCCACGTCCAGGTGACACCTAAATATTCATCATAAGCCGATATATCTCCATTCTTCTTAGCAAACCATAACAGGGCGGTGATCTAGTGGTTAAGGCGTATGTGCTCTATATCCTGACCCTAGCGAAATAACGAAAGCAAGAGGAAGACGGTGGTCCCAATCCATCACTCCCAACTCCATTTTGGCCATTTACTGCTTGTCAAGTGATACTTTAGCCACCTGGATTTTCAAGCAGGGCTAAACTAGTTTTCAGCATTAGCACGAGGTACATATGACATATGTGGCCACAGATAATTAGGTTCGGTTCGAGGCTTTTGAGTTTGTCGACCTAATAAACCCATAGGCTGCGACTTCAAACTTGAATACAAGCGTGGCGAGTTTGTACACATTTCCATGATGAACCCGAACGTAGATGAGATACGGCTGGCAAGAAGGATTGTAAATAATGAAGGCAAGCGTCAAGGATTCACTGTTGAAGCGGTTAGTGGGAGGAGCGCGACTTGACCAAACTTTCAGAATCCGCGGGACAGCATCGTAGAGACTGTCGACTTGAGCTTTGAGGGAATTTAGTTACCGAACCCTGAATTGTAGTATCAATAATATTATTCTCTTATATGCTGCCAAAAATTCCCCATACATGTTGCAGATCCTGGGACGATTTCGCTTCTCAATGTCCCGGTCTAGGTCTCTGTTTGAGGTTGTCGCCATTCGGAAGCGGTAAACCATTCAGCCCTCTGGTGAGTTTTAGCCGGGTCTTAACCGGACCTTTGCAACCCACATGGTTCTTGCGAGAACAAATCCTTGCGAAAGAGCATGTCTGGATATGAGTCTGTGGTTCCATGGGCGATGATTGCATATAGCCGGCGAGGGCAGTGCGCGTAACCGAGACATTGATTTTCAATTAGTAGTTCTGAGTCAGAAGCCACTTGCCGACGTGTGATCCACAACTGCCACATGTACCTATATGAAGCTGAAAGTGAAAGCAAAGTATGCAACGGATAGCTCTGCAGCTCAAGGTCCTCTAGTAAAAAGTCCCCGAGACGTCTTGCAAAATATGTCGATTATACACATTGTCATGTTCCAGTTTGGTGAGAATGCCACTCCAAAAGACATTGAAGAGGTAATGCAATCAAATTACATGAGGTATCTCATAAAGGCTGCTAATAACTCGTCACTAGGCGTGTCAGCGGATGCTTGCGTTGAAAGACGAGTGTCTTCACCCCGTCACGCAAAAGCCCTACATCCAAAGAATCTCAGGAGGCCTGGACAATTCTCCGGAGGGAAAACAGGTACGTCACTAGATTACACCTTGGCTTTTTCCCGTTCAGAACTGACGCAGTGGGGCCTTACGGTTCCTATGATAGGGAGGGATAACTCATGCTTTCGTCGCCGAGTTTTCTTCTGCTGAGGATCGTGACTACTACATTAAGGACGATTCTACTCACAAGTTGTTTGCCCAAAGTCTGTCAGGGTTGGTGGCAAGAGCACAGGTTATTGATTTCACGCCGGGCGTGTTCTAGGGGATTTATGCTCATTTACAACTCTTACCAAATGGCCATGTGTTATTCGAAAGGAATCAAGTTGAAGCATGCGTCAATTGAAAACATCTACTGTGAAGTAACTATGCATTTGACAAGATCAGGTGGCTTTGACAGTGTGAGCTCCAGTGCTTCGGCGACCTTCTCGAAAGGATATTGATGCGTGATCATGGGCTTGACGTCGACCATACCCGCCTCAATCAGGTCGACTGCAGCTTGAAAGGTGTTGGTGTACCGCCATACGCCATAAATCTTGATTTCCCTAACCAACGCGACCCCAAGGTTGACGTTCTGCAGCGGCCTACCCATACCGACCAGCACAACTTTAGCTCCCGCATCAACGGTTGTGATGCAGAGATTAAGACAAGACTCAACACCGGTGCACTCAAAGGCAGCGGTGGCAGTGGCCACCCGGGTCCGCTTGAGCAGCTCTGCCGCAATTCGTGTGACGAAGTCGGCGCTAGACTCTCCCTCAAGTCCAGACGTTGGAACTTTGTACGTCTGATCCGCTAGACCGTGTTTCTGGGCAAAGCTGAGTCTCGTCTCGTCCACATCGACCATAATAATAGACGACGCGCCCGAGATCTTGGCCACTCTGGCGCACAACAGACCGATAGCGCCAGCGCCCGTAACGAGAACCGTCTGGCCTGCTTCTAACTTAGCTTTACGGACAGAATGTAAAGCCACCGAGAGAGGCTCAACCATAGCGCCCTCTTCGAAGGACACACTTTCGGGAAGGTTGTAGCAGAGGTAGGCCGGGTGATTCCAAAGTTTTTGCAGAGATCCTTGGGATGGAGGTCGAGAACTGGCCGAGCCGTTGAAACGCATCCTCTTGCACAAGTTGTAATGCCCTGCTCGGCAGTGGTGGCATGAGTTGCAGGCCAACTGAGGCTCCAGCACAACGCGATCGCCAATCTGGAAGTTCTGTACCGCAGAACCCACGGCGACCACTTCTCCGCTAGCCTCGTGGCCAAGAATGAGGGGTTCATAAACCTGGTAGATCCCATTGCGTCCGTTCTGGTAGTAATGCTGGTCTGTCCCGCAGAGGCCGGTAGCACGAGGTGAGACTTGAATCTCATCGGAGCCCAGCGGTGGGGCTTCGACAGGCGTGATGCGAAGATCTCTTGCGCCGTATAGCACCGCCGCCAAATGAGTGGTAGCCATGAAAGCGAGACTCTCAAGAAACGATTTAATGGGTAAGCTTTGTTGTGCATCCGCTGAGGTATTGACAAGGGAATGCTGAGCTGAGTTATATAGGCTCTCAGTGCTCTTGGTGACACAAAATATACAATGTGCGGCCCTCACAAGCTTCGACGGCTTCAAACCACGGCTATAGGCTGAAGAATACTGAGTAGTCATCCTAAGACAAGAAGAACTTGATTAGAGGCCAATAGACACCGGCTATATGCCATAGATACTTGGATTGCGCGCTACTACGCTTTCGGTTGTTCAGTCAGGCGCCTTTCTATATGGTTCCAAGAGGCTTTCGTTCAAACTACGATGGGAAATGAATCATTTAGAGAATCACGCTACAGTTGGAGCCCTGACATAATCGAATCTGTTTCTAATTATGATTTGCGTGAAGTACCTAAGATACACGGACAAATGCTCTGGGGAGCTGCGTATCAAATATCACTGGGGGATGGTTCTGGAGACAGAAGCTGTTGAAGAATAGTATATGCCGAGTCTTGAGAAACTATTTGAGAACCGCTGGTTCATGGGCCTTAATGCGTAGCAGGTTGCTATGAATGAAAATAACTGCCGTAATGAAGACCCTGCCACCAGCACCGAAGAGCCAGCCCGATGATGACTGATGCCGCCCCAAGGCGAAGGCCAAACTTTGTCCAAGGGCTTGTGGGCACCGTTCCCTTTCCTCCGTATAAATTAAAATCGCTCCACACAGGCCAATATAAGTCCCACCAGAACTTCCAGGTCGGATCGTGATAATTTGTCGTGTTGCGGCCTGCCGAGTTGAGGTTCCAGTTCGCGCAGCCCTCGTTCCAAACCATGTTCTCTAGCCTTTTTTGGACATGGTTAGAGTGATAGGTTTCGGCTGCTTGCTTGACATCCATGACGGAGAAATGACCTTGCAGTACAGGCTTGATGAGGGCCTTGATGATGTACTCGGCTTGGGTTTCGTTGGTGTAGATAACAGAGTTGTGTGCCGGAAAAGCATTAGGGCCAAACACAATGCCGAAATTGGGAAACCCATGTACAAAAGTGGCCTTGTACGCCTGAGCGCCGCGAGTGTCCTTCCAATGCTCGTTCAGAGATTTCTCTGTCCCGATGACCTGGATTGGGGATAGAAATTCTTGAATCTTGAAACCAGTGCTTAGAACCACTCCATCCACGTCGATATCGCGCTTGGACGTTCTTAAACCGGTGGGCGTGAACTCGACGATACGCTCCGTAGTCAGCTCCACGTTGGAACGGTGCAGAGCTGCAAGGTAACCTGGATCGAACACGCGACGCTTACAGCCAAGGGGGAAAGTTGGGATGAGAATGTCGTGATACCTTTTCGGTGCGGTTTCCCTCATGTAACGCTCAGCTATTGCCTGGTGCTCAGCACGCTGGCGTTCCAAAGAAATGTCGCCTGTGATGTACAGTCCGTGAAGCATATCCGTGGACCTCCAAAGCCAGTAGCGATATAGCCTTCCATAGAGGGGCACATAGCGGAAGCAAAACTTGCGAAACTCAGATATCTTGGGATTGGGCCGGTCATTGAGCCATTGAGGAGACCGTTGAAACTGAATAACTTTGCTAGCTTTCTCGGCAACGCGAGGCATCAGCTGTGCGCCGGAGCAGCCGTTGCCGACAATAGCGACATGCTTTCCCTCGTAATCGAACGAGTGATCCCACCGAGCGGAGTGGAATAAAGCCCCCTTGTAGACTTCATGGTTGGGAATATTGCAATCTTTGGGTATGGAGATGGTGCCCACACAAGACACGAGCATCTCTGCCTCACAGGTGTATTTGTGTCCATTCTCCATGTCCTTGAGGTCGACACGCCAGACATTCTTCTCAGCAATCCAAGTCGCCTCGACAACTTCAGTGCGCAGCTGGACGTGAGGTCGGACCCCAAACTTTTCAGCGGTATTGTGTAAGTATTGCAGAATTTCGGGCTGTTCCGCAAATCGCTGTGACCAGTTCGGGTTTGGATTGAAGGAGAATGAGTAAAGGTGGGAGTCAACGTCGCAACCAACCCCTGGGTAAGTGTTTAAGTGCCATGTCCCGCCTATATCACTCTCCCGCTCAAAAATGGTAAAGTTTTGGTAACCGAGCTCGAATCTTACGCGCGATGCGAGCGCGATACCGGCGATTCCAGCACCAATAATGATGAGACGTGGCTCAGGTTTGTTGACCGTCATCTTAAACGTCGAGAGATTTCGCCGCATCAAACTATCAATGGCCAAGAGCAGATGTGATATTGTAGGAAAAGCTCAGAAAGAAAGCAAGATAGAACAACGATAATGTGCTTGAGCGAGGAACAGCTGATCATTAAGTCGGAGCTACACTTTCAAAAGCAATGAGAAGAGGTTATCAGGATTATTATTATGGAGCTATCTATTCTTCCTGATCACTCTATCTACAGTTGTAAAAAGGAGACCAATATGAATTATCAAATCAACACACCAGGGTAAAAGCTTCGATGCATACACAGGCTGTATGCTCGCCTAAAAGGAGTTATGGCGGGATATTTCCCATGGCAGACCTGGCTTATCTGCCTTTATGGCTGGCTTTCTTGTGGAATCGTGAACGCACACTTGGGCGACATCTGCTGCACATACCCGAACACTTTACCAGAAGCCGTTCTGGTTATATGCCATGTCCATCTCTAAAACCGGATTAAGAGGCAGGTTCATATCTTTAGCGGTTCAGCAAGGAAACACCGTTTCCATTGTCGCCATTCGCTATTCTTGGCTGGTACACCGAGAGTTAGGCAAGAGTTAGGACATGGTATAGCCTGAGACTCGGTCGGTAGCATCAGACTTTGCTGGTAACCCATTATTGCTTCGCCATCCATTTTGATATTTTGACCTGTCACGTACTGCGACGTCTCACCAATCACAAAGACTACGAGCTTGGCAATCTCCTCCGGAATCCTTAGCCTTTGTAGCGGTAATTGCCCACGGAACTTGACCATCAGTACCTTATCATGACATGAAATGGAAAGCATAGAATTGTCATGCGTTTGATACCTAGTACTTAGGCTGAAACCTGAAGAATGATCACCTGCGGCTTCGTGTATTGGGCAGGCGATGACGGTCGACTTGTATGCATCATAATTGTTCTTGCCAGAAATCAACACTGATGTGTTTTTGATATTCTTCATACATCTTTACCCACTCCGTAACGAAAAGTCCCGGCTATCCGCTTTTTTCCCAGTGGAAGGAGACCTTGTTTGAGTTACAAGCCAGATGCTTGCTAAAAAACACTTCTTGTGCTGAACATTGAAGATTTAGATTGTGGAAGGCGAAATACAAGCAGGGGACGTTCGACTCAACAGTGAATATTCTCGAGTTACACGTTTATGGTAATGTTTTTCAACACTTGAAACTCCGACAACCCATACTTGCTCCCTTCTTTTCCCAACCCGGATTCCTTGACTCCACCAAATGGCGCCTCAGCTGCGCTGATTTTCCCGGTGTTGACACCAACCATGCCGACTTCCAATGCCCCAGTGACGCGCCAAATGGTCTTTAAAGAGTTAGAAAAGATATATCCAGCAAGTCCAAACTCTGTGTTGTTCGCCATGTCAATGACCTCTTCTATCGTGTCGAAGCGGAAGATCGGCGCCAACGGACCAAAGGTTTCGTCACGTGAGACCAGCATCTGGGAGGTCAAGCCGGTTAATATTGCTGGCTCAACGTAGCATTTGCCCAAGTCGCCGCGAGCCTGACCGCCAATAACCAGCTGGGCACCTTTGCTCATGGCATCGTCAATGTGGCACTTGAATTTCGCGACAGCCGCCTCATTTACCAACGGACCATGGGTCGTGGAAGGATCGAGGCCGGGGCCAACTTTGAAGGCCTTCACACGTCCAGTCAGAGCAGCAACAAACTGGTCATGGATGCCGCTTTGAACATAAAGCCTGTTGGCGCAGACGCATGTCTGGCCAGAGCACCGGTACTTGCAGGCAACGACGCCCTCGATTGCAGTTTCAAGAGTAGCGTCATCGAAAATGATATATGGCGCATTGCCACCGAGCTCCATTGAGACCTTCTTCATCGTGCCGGCAGCCTTTTCCGAAATCATCTTTCCGACACTAGTGGAGCCAGTAAAGCTAACTTTCTTTATGATTGGGTTAGTATAGAGCTCAGTCACGGCGGCACGGTCGCGCGTGGGAACCACTTGTACTGAGTCTAGTGGAAACCCAGCTTCCTGCGCAAGAGTCGCGAGAGCAAGTGTACAGAGGGGTGTCTCGCTAGGGGGCTTGATGACGACGGTACACCCAGCAGCAAGAGCAGGTCCTAGTTTCCTGGTGATCATCGCAATCGGGAAATTCCACGGTGCAATAATTGCACAAACGCCGATTGGCTGGCGAATTACAAAATTGGTGCTTCCCTTGTGCTGGGATGGAATAATATCTCCGTAGGAGCGAATAGCCTCCTCCGCAAACCAGGTGATGAAGCTTGCGCCATATTCCACTTCACTCCGAGCTTCAGCGAGCGTCTTGCCATTTTCCATGGTCAAAATGACCGCCAAGTCTTCTGCGTTGATGCGTATGAGTGCTGCAAACTTGTGCAGAAGACATGACCGCTCATGCTCAGATGTGTGGCGAAATATGTTGAAGCATTCGCTGGCGGAGTTGATGGCATCTTTGAAGGCAGACGTATCGAAGCTTGCAACATTCGCGATTATCCCGTCAGTTGCGGGGTCGAAAACAGGAAATGTCTTATCACTGGTCCTCCAGGAACCGCTGATAAAGCCTTGCTCTCGCACGAGAGATTGTTTGGAAACGATCTCTTGAAGCATGGAAGGATAAGGCATCATGACAAAGATGATCAGTCAACTGCGGAACAGATCTTGAATGACGATGAAGAGAAAACAGCAGGTGGAAAACAGAGCCTTCGAGAAGAAATGCACTTTCACTTAGATTAAGTGGCCCAAACGAACGTTGGCAATCTACACCACTACTTATGTTCAAACATGAGAACGAGAACAACATCCAGTCAAGACAATGCAAAAAGCCAACAAGCATATATAGAGTACTTTGAGCCAAGAACTGACTGTAGGAAAGATACTCGTTCGTTAATTTGGAAGTGGCGTGCATGAACGGGGAGCACGCCCAGTAGATATAGGCTTTATGACATACCTAGATGCTATGGCTCACTACTACAGGTTTCCTGAGCATAAACGCCGGCTCTTGTCTGCATTATTATGATATGAGAGGCTTACTTGGGTTCAAATAAAAGTATTAAAATGGGACATTATCTGGGGTTTGGAGAGGAGCTGAATAGTTCTAGCATTACCTAGTTCAAGTTTTCACACTTTTCCACGTGATTAGCGATTGCGTTGCAATATGAACAGAGAAATCAATCACGCGCACCTGGCGCATACGCTTGAGAGCAACGCAGAATTTGATCTGCAGGCTACCAAAGACATTCGCAAACTCCTTATCGATATATGCCGCCAGAACGGAGGGGGCCATGGAGGCTCGGCCATTGGTATGGCGCCAATGGCCGTGGCGCTTTGGAAGTACGCGATGCGCTATAACCCAAGAAATACCGAAGTAAGCCTTTTTGGATTCCTACAGGTCGTTCGCCTGTCTAATGTTAACAAAAACAGTGGTTCGACAGAGACCGTTTCGTCCTTTCCAACGGCCACGCTGCAATGTTGCTGTATACCATGCTACACATCTCCGGCCACGAACACATGAGCATCGACGAGCTTAAGCTCTACGGCAGCCCAAAAAGTGTTGACAGACACACCGGCAAGTGGGAGTCTACAATTTGTCATGGTCACCCCGAAATACAAGTTCCAGGAGTCGAGGTTACCACAGGCCCCTTGGGTCAAGGTGTTGCAAACGCCGTGGGCCTAGCCATTGCCTCCAAGAACTTGCGTGCCACTTTCAACAAGCCCGATTTAAAGCTTCTAGACTCTCATATCTACTGCATTACGGGGGATGGCTGTTTGCAAGAGGGAGTCGCAAACGAAGCTATTGCGATTGCTGGCCATCTGGCGTTGGACAATATGACGCTTCTCTACGACAACAACCAGGTCACTTGCGACGGACCCCTTGACTGGATTGTCTCTGAAGATACCAATGCAAAGATGAAGTCAATGGGATGGAACGTAATCGATGTTTTGGACGGCGATTCGTCAGTCTCTAGCATCGTGAAAGCTCTCGCACAGGCTCGCAGTCACCGAGGCCAACCAACTTTCATCAACATTAGGACTACCATCGGGTTTGGTACGTCCACTGCCGGAACATTCAAGTCACACCACGGTACATACTCGGAGGAAGACGCTGCCCTCTACGGAACGGCAGGTCTTTCTTCAACACACACGCTGTCGGATAAGACCAAAGAATACTTCGGTGAGGTCATTGACCGTGGCAATTTTCTTGAGAAATCTTGGAACAAGAAGCTACAAGAGTATGCCTCGGCATATCCTGAGAAAGCCAGTGCTCTTAAAGACCGCATGAATGGTGTTTCAGAGTTCCAAAACGTTCTAGACACGATTGAGGTCCCAGACATTGTCCAGTCGACTCGGACCTTCAACGGCGAAGTCTTCAATAAGCTCATGGACAGTGTGCCAAGTATGATAGCAGGCGGTGCTGATCTGTGGAACTCGAATCAGTTGGGGGATCAGTCGAACCGTATTTTTGATCGGACAAATGCAGAAGGCCGGGTCATCCGCTATGGCATCCGCGAACATGCCATGGCTTCCATCTCAAACGGCATTGCAGCTTATGCGCCGGGCTGCTTCATTCCTATCACGGCTACCTTCTTCATGTTCTATCTCTACGCCGCAGCAGGGGTGAGGATGGGTGCACTTAGTGGCCTTCCGGTCATTCATATCGCAACCCACGATTCGATTGGGGAAGGGCAAAACGGGCCAACCCATCAGCCCGTGGAGCTTGATTCTCTATTCCGTACCATGCCAAACTTCCAGTATATGCGCCCTGCAGATGCAGAAGAGGTTCTAGGTGCCTGGTCTGTTGCTTTGGCTGCTAAAAGCCATCCGTCCATGATCTCCTTGGCCCGGGACCCTGCTCTAACGAAGGTCTCAGGAACAAATCGCCAAATGGTCTGCAAGGGGGGTTATGTGGTGTCGGAAGTCAACGGTGCCCAAGTGACTCTTATATCGTGTGGTTCCGAACTGCAATTTGCCATTGAAGCTGCTAAGCGACTGAATGGTAAAGGATTGTCCACCCGGGTGGTCAGCATGCCAGCAATCGGTCTCTTCGAGCAACAGCCTTCTGATTATCAAGACAGTGTTCTATCTAGTTCGCCCCATATCATTTCTGTTGAGGCGTATGTGTCTGGAATTTGGTCACGTTTCTGTACGGCCTCAGTGGCTATGGACTCTTTTGGGTACTCAGGGGCCGGAAGGGAGAATTTCGCCAGATTTGGCATTGACGCTGACGGCATTGTGAGAAAGGTCAGAAAACATGTTAGTCAGAGCCCTCCGAGTCGCCGTTGGAAACTCTTAGGATAGTCATTCTTTTTGGTATGTCCAGGTCTACTGAGGGCCACAATGTTGCTAGTAAACCTGTATGAGCATACGTGTATGCTACACATATCAATCTACAATAGTGTCCCATCTGTTCGGTTATACTCTCTTGTGATTATACCAAATCTAGATCAGTAGGTCATGTAGCCGGGTTTTCACTCCAAACACACACAGCGTTCAGAGTTGTAGTCCGACCCCAGATTTCCCCACGGTCTTCCCTGCCTCCTACATGGGATCGCTTAGAAAGGGGGTAGTGTTGATGCAAATATATATTCGTCAGCAGCACTCCATACAACCGTTCAACCTTTTAAGAGACAAACGCTCGTACGCACATCTTTCTAGTTGCAATTTGAAACCAGACTTCCCCTCATATCAAAACTCACCTCTTCATTGCCTCGTGGTACAACTTACGCGATGTTTGACAACAATGGTGACGCCCTGCGACATCGCATCACGGCGGCATGCGGCGCCGGCTTCTTGCTTTTTGGGTACGATCAGGGAGTTTTTGGAGGCATTTTGAGCAACAAGTCTTTTATCGAAACGTTCAATAACCCAAACTCCACAATTCAAGGCCAAATCGTGGCTTCGTATGATATTGGCTGCATCATGGGCACAATCGTGTCCATGTTTCTCGGAGACAAGCTTGGCCGAAAGAGGTGCATCTTCTGCGGATGTACTATCCTCATCATAGGGGGCATTTTGCAGGCGGCTTCATACTCTATTGCGCTGATGATATTCGGCAGAGTTGTCGCTGGCATTGGCAACGGCATGAATACTATAGCCATTCCTGTTTGGCAGTCTGAGACGGCAAAACCAGGTAATCGTGGGAAACTGATTGTGTTACAAATGGTTACAAATATATTTGGTATTGTCATCACCAATGTAAGTGGGCAAGACTCTGGCAACTCAAACCAAATACAACCAACTATTCTCAAACTGACATTCTACTTCCAGTGGATGAACTTCGGATTTACTTACGTCCCGGATAATTCGGTATCTTGGAGATTTCCATTGGCTTTCCAATGTGTCTTTGCTATTGTCACGATCATCATGACCTCCATTGCCCCAGAATCACCACGTTGGTTGATAATGAGCAAACGCGAAACAGAGGCCCAAAACGTCATTGCCCGTTTTCAAAGCAAACCTGAGAACCATGCCTCTGTGATAGAAGAGATGCAGTACCTCGCTGCATCGGTAAACCATGAGGCAGAACTACAAAATTCTGTTTCCTTCAAGGAGATATTCAGCAACGGGCCACAACAGACTTTCCGCCGTATTCTTCTTGGGGCAGGGACGCCGGTTTTTCAACAAGTGGGAGGAGTAAATGTTATCGCTTACTATCTTCCAATGTCTGTTCCAACGTATTCCGCCAGTTTAAAAAGCTTCTACTAACTATTTGCAGCGTTCTAGTTCGATCTTTCGGCATGTCGCAGCGTCTAGCACTGATTCTTTCCGCCGTGGACTCCATGTCTCTGATGTTCTGGGGCGGCATAGCTGCCTTGCTCATTGACCGCATTGGTCGCAGGCGGTTAATGCTCATGGGTGTGGCCTGCAGCGGGGTCTGCTTTGCGCTCGTGGCCATCGGACTCCGCTACAGTGGACCCGACAAGACAAACAAGAGCATGTCTATCTTGGCTGTCGTCTTCATATTCTTGTACTATGTCTTTTATGGCCTGTCGCTGCTCTCTATTCCGTTCATGTACCCTGCCGAAGTTAATTCGCAGCGCATGCGTAACATGGGCACCTCGATTGCTACGGCGGTCAACTGGACTTGCGTATACATCGTTGTTGTCGTTACACCAACTGCAATTGACAGCATCGGCTGGAAGTACTATTTGATCTATGCTATTTTCAATTTTGCTTTCGTGCCGATCATTTGGCACTGGTACGTGGAAACGGCCAACTTGTCACTGGAACAAGTTGATCGTCTGTTCGAGATTAAACACGCAGGGGGCAAAAAGATGAACTGGAAAGAAGCAACCAGGTTGGCAAAGATGGAGACTCCCACTAATATCGAACTGAAAGAAGAAAACGGTCAGAACGGCATGGCAAGTCACCATGAGTCACCTAATAAATGAAGAGTTGTGTGGACTTAGAGCAACAATCAGGCTCAATACATGTCTCATGGCGAAAAATGTCTCAAAGTTGAAGTCTGTTTGGTCAGACAACAAAAGTAAAGATTGACAGATTTAAACATGCAGTAATTGATACACTTGTGGTTTGTAAATACCAGTTTTGTGCTTCTTTGTTTTCTATAATGATGTTCGACATAATAGAGACACTCAATTCGGAATTAGCTGTGAATCTGTCTCCAATGCATAGCAACACCATTGTTGAGGTAAGTCCCTAGACATTGGCATAATTAACATGACTATAAACTGAATAGCTGGTCAAAGCTGCCTTCATCCTCAATTATGTTACCTTGCAGAACTCTTTGATATCTTTGAAACCTGCACAGGGCGGCGAATAGGAGGAAGCTAAGGTACCTAAAGTAGCATACAGCCGAGCGGACGGTTGCATATAACCGAGTTGCCGAGAGCGTGCCGCGCGACATCAAGCCATCAGGAACCTAGAAATGGACCAAGGAATAGCTTCTTCGAACACCAGCTATCAATTTAGGCAAAACTTCAAACGAACGGGAAACCAATTCAATAATGACTGTTTATTGGAGCATCTCGTAACATACGAATACTGTCACATAGAAAAAAGAGTGCACCGAAGGTCTCATTGCTTCTCGTCTTTTTTCTTGTCCTAATTGTATGAATCCTGGCAAACGCAGCCTACTAGATATGGATATTTCTTTGCAAGGTAGAATCCGGAATCCTTTCCGATCCGCCATTTCGTCGTTCGCTACTAACCCGTTTTGTCATTAACCCCGGACTTTTGAATGCGGGGGACCCCATTGAGTTCATGTCTCGGATGGTATTTCCGATTCCCATGATCCTGGACCGATGCCAAAGTCGATGTCCAGCAATGATGGGCGAGAGATTCGCCGTTGGGAACGCAATAACCAGCATACCTGTCAAAAGACACCTGTGAAATCAATTTCTGGTTCTGCTGTTTCCACGGTCATCAACTATGACTCCAGCTCCTCGCCGATGTGGGGAGGCGGCTTCTTCAACCCAACAGCTCACGCCACAGTCCAAGGAAAGAGATCATGAGGAGGAACGAGACCAAGGCCGGGGCACCAGAGAGCTATCACAACCAGTATCACGCGATCAACCTCAGGCTAGGCGAGTCCGTCCTGGCCCTTTGATTCGCCACCGTGCCGCGCGCGCATGCCAAAAGTGTAATGAAAAGCGCATCAAATGCGATGCCAGTGAACGAGGCACGCCGTGTACAAGATGTGTTGAAAAGGGCGAAGTTGAGTGCAAGCTCATCAAGTCGCGACGCGGTACATACGCTCGAAAGCTGGCCGGAGCCAGACGTCAAACACGAGAAGACAGCAATAGCCTTCCCGAAAGTTTGCTAGACAGAACCGCAGCAGGCTCGCAAGATGGTGACAACTTTGCTATCATGACCGCAACTGCGGCTGCCACCGACGCCCCAAGAGAGAGCGAGCCACACCTGCATGACGAGCCTGATCAATTGAACATGCAACAAACAGCCGAGACACCGACTGGTCAGAAAACATGCAGTCAGTCAGGGCCAAATGTCTCTTCTCAGTCGCCGACTTGTGGGGGCCGCATATTCTCACAGAGCAGGTCTCCGTCGCCTGAAGCCGACCTAGCGTCAGGAAGCACCGGGAAGACAGAGGCATCAACCTACCGCGAGATCAGCTGGTCGGCTCTGTTCTCCCACCTTCTCGAGGACGGCAACCAAGGACCACATGCTTTAGACAAAGGCTCTATAACATATCTGGGCGAGTCGTTCCCATTGGCTCTGATATTCAAGGATCTTGCTGGATTCGGTGGCTGGAGACAGCTTCACCATCGGGGGCCTTCCTATCCAGCTATCGACGATGAGCAGTCACACGCCTGTCCTCAGAGCATGCACCCACCATACATGCGGTCGGAAGATATTACTTATCTCTCTTCCAAAGGGGCATTTGAAACGCCGAGCCAGACTGTGCTTGACGCTCTCATAGAGGTCTTCATCACCCAGGTCTACCCGCTCTACCCGATTGTCAACCGTACCGAGTTCATAGAGCAGCATCGAAATAAGAAGGTCCCATGGATTCTTCTACATTCTGTCTGCCTTGCTGCGACAACATTCTGTCCTGCCCGTTTGATTCACAAGTTAGGCTTCGAGTCTCGACGGGCCGCTAGGTGGTCGTTCTACGCTAAGGCTAAGGCACTATTTGATCTTAGCTACGAGGGAAGTAAAATTGTTGCGCTTCAGGTAACCATCCTCATGACATTTTGGGGAGGTGGGCCAAACATGTATTGGAACTTCTATTCGTGGGTTAGCACAGGTGTCACTATAGCCGAAACGCTGGGCTGTCATCGCACAATGGTCAGTACTAATGTCCAGCCGCAGGACCGCAGTCTGCTTAAGCGGCTCTGGTGGATTTTGGTAATACGAGACACGGCATGTGCGGCGCTGGTTGGGCGTCCCTTTAGGATCAACATGGACCACTGCGATGTTGATCAGCTCGTCATGAGTGACTTCGAGCAAGGTACGCCTTCCATTTCGGGACTGTACCAGATCGAGTTTTCAAAACTGTCTCTGATACTCCGGAATATCATAATGACACGTTTTTCCGCGCGTCGAGATCCGTCGCGCGTTCCCATGACCCTTCACTACATGCTCACCGAGTGGCGATCCAAGCTTCCAGTTGAGCTCGCTTGGTCTGATACTGGGAGTCGTCCACCCAACGTCCTCAGTGCTTGTCTTGCTGTCACCTATAATCACCATATGATTCTTTCGCATCTGAATTGCTCGACTGAACAAACTCCGGCCCACCAGTTGACGTCCGAAGAGCTAGTCAGTCTCGCAGCGCAACAGATAGCCTCGATTTCGTGCGGCGTCGTTACCCGCAGAGAGATTCTAATGGCACCTCATGAGTTCCTGCATGGAATTTTTACTGCTGCTGTTGTTTTCTATAAGCTCACCAAGAGCCTTCGACCCATTGAGGGCCAGCTAGGTAGGGCTGGCTTGACTAACTGTCAGATGGTGCTACACGAGACGTACGAGTCCTGGGATCCGAGCCCTTGGATTCAGCATATTCTCAACAAGATTTCGAGCTGCCGGACGTATTCTTCGTCGTCGACTAATACAGAGAGAGAGAATTTATATCAAACTTCTGGGACGATTTCTGTAATGAATGATTACGAGCCACTTGGTCCTGATGAGAACTTGATCTCACCGCAGACCTTTGAATATTGGCAAGACTATCCTATACCAGGGAATTTGTTTGATCTTTGTTACGACCCGCTAGGCACAACCTAACCGGAACCAGACCCACAAGACACTTGGCGGCTATATGACATTTGTATGCAGAGAAATACAGGAACAGAAGGGTCACCTCGGGACAGCAGAACTACAAGCAAGTCACGTACTTTGAGACTTATCTCTAAGCAACTTCTAGCCCAAAGTTAACAGTAGTATAATGTTACTATTACTCAAACACCAACCTAGTACAAGCTTAACTACCTTACCTTAACTTTTAATTCATCTGTACAATTATTAGTTTAGCAACCTATAACCTATTGTTAGTCTTACTACTTTAACTTTCATCAGTAGATATACCGTTACCTAAGCTAGCCGTAATAATAATTCTACAAAAATCATTTGTAATGTATATAAGATCAATTTCAAGCCAAACTTCGGGGAAAAAAAGAACAAAACTTAAGAAAATGTCGATAAACATTACCATCGATGGTAAATGTGTCGTTGTATTTGAATAGAAGATGTTAAATTTATGTTGCAACTTAAACTGATTTCCGATTCAGTAGCCCTATTTCTACCTAGACAAACTATTTCAAGACCCATCATATCACAACGGATGTAAGAGTACGTTAGTGCCATATGGCCATAAAGATGGATGTAAAACGACTGAGTATCTATCTGAATTTACTTCAATATGCCTTAACTATCTGCCTGCCCGAATTCATCATACATTAAATCGGAAATCTTGACTGCTAGATCCCATAAAGTCGGCGTGTAAATGAGGTCGAACAACGGCAAGTCGACCAAAAAGTACTGAGCGATCCAGCCGGTAAGCTCGATAGCATTCAAAGAGTCCAGTCCAATATCATCCAACAAAGCTGTGGGAAGGATTTCTGTATCCGGCTGAGCGAGCAACTCCGATATGGCAATTCCAACATGCTTGACGATGAGTTCGATTGTGGCATCGTCCTTCAAGCGATCCGGAGCAGTCTTGGCAATAAGAACGACAGCTTCAACATTGTTCTGTTCGAGCTGGTCTTGTGCGCTGCCACTTTGGTTGTTAAAACTATAAGCCGGACTCATTCTGGCGTCTTTCTTCCAAAGAACGTGTGTTGATGGATCCGCCAGGGGTCTTTCAGACCAAAGTCCAAGAACGACTTGGCTTCTGTCGGAGGTCGGATCTGAATTAGGTTGTGAATGGAGAATGCTTGTTGTCAAGCAGTCCAAAAGGTCTTGCTCCCCTAGAACATGATACCCAGCTGCCTTAGCTCTGAGTTCCATGTTGTCAGTCTGAGCGACCACGCCTATGCCTCCCATCACACCAATGTCAATTACTGATGCGTTCAGTCCAAGCTGGTGTCTATACTTGACAAATGCATCAAGGTAAGTGTTTGCCGCGTTGTAGTTTGCCTGCCCAATCTGCCCAGTGACGCCACTCATGGATGAGAACAGAAGGAAGAAATCGAGATGATGATGCAAGAGCGCCTTGTGGAGGTTTATTGTTCCTTCAATCTTGGGATCAATGCACTCTTTCCACTCCTCGAATGACATTCGTGAAATTGCATTATCCTTCTTTGTGTTAGCTCTTGACCGCAAAGAAAGTTATATGAGAGTGGAAAGATACTAGACATACCCTCAAAACCATAGACATTTGGATAACACCAGAAATAGGGGAATTGGCTACTTTCACTGCTTTTGATACGTCGCTTGAATTTGAGACGCTGCCTGCCACCGTCGTTACGAGGCATCCTTGGCTTCTAAGCTCTTCGAGGAAATTGGAGGAGTCGGATCGCTTTCCTGCACTGCGAGAGAGGAAGATCAACTCTCTTGCACCATTTTCGACCATCCAAGTCGCTACAGCTTGACCTAATCCTCCTAAGCCTCCCACCAACAGATAAGAAGCATCAGAGCGGAATCGAAGTCCCGTCTCAGAAGGCGACATATGGAATGTCGTTCGCTGATTTTCTAAAGGCAGCCTGAGGATGATTTTGTTCTCAATTGAATCTTTCTTAGCCGCGGCTTGAAACGCTTCGCGAACATAGTCTGCCTCAAAGGTTAAGCAAAGCTGCATCCAGCTCGGTTGCGCTTCTGCGAAGAAATACGCTTTGCATTGTTGTAATGCTCTGGGATTGAGATATCAGCAAACGGAAGATCAGTCATCATAAGAAAACACCATTTGTGCTTCTCTTACCTTGCCATCAACTCAGGCTCTTCTAGGCCCAGAAGCATAATATTGACAATACGATGAGCTTGGCTAGCGCGAAGGCTTGCTGGTATCAAATCCCTCGCCCTGGAATCTGATATGTCCAAAAATGTGCCGGAAGTCGACAAGCACTGCAGCAAGATCTCTGGCTGGCTGCTTCCGAAACCCAATACATAATCCGCATATTTCTGATTCAAGGTCTCTTTGACTCTTGAAATCGAAAGGCCTTCATGGCTGGACAATATGTGAGTTCTAGAGATTTGAAACTCATTCTCCAGGAGTGATCCATCTTCCTCGGAATCAACGACGAAATAAACCTAAGGTTTCATTAGCTTTCATTTTTGTTCGCTTTCTTTCGAAGAAAATAAGATGTGGCGTATGGATGGTGTTCTGCTTGTCTCTTACCGATGCCTGAGCTGCTTTCAAGATCTGCATGACTGCAAGACAGACGTGACTACGAACGAAAGGTAATAAAACAGTCTGTGAACTAAGCATTAGCAAAAGAGAAGAAACTAAACATTTACAGGTGCCAACTCACCGCTCCCTGCCGAACTCTTCCGAACTCTACCACCGCCAGAAACGCATTTGCAAATGCTAGTGGAATAGAAGAAGCAGTCTCGTACAACATGTTGTCTTCTAGTCTGAGACAATTTGTAGGAGAAATGTCTATGTGGCTTGCAAGAGTACCATGGGAGACGAACATGACTCTGTCGCCGACTTTAAAATCTCGGATATCACTGCCAACTTGTCTGATAATGCCAGCTCCCTCGCACCCAAGAAGAAGAGTGCTCGTATTAACAAGACGCTTAACGGTATCCGCATCCTATGAGACTTGTTAAAGAAGGTTACATGAATGGGACTGCGGATGCATCAACTTACCTGTTTGTCGATAGAAGCTGCTTGGACCTCTACCCGAATGTGACTAGGATCAACGTCTCGTAGGGGGAAGTTGACCCATTGAAGGGTTGTTACGACCCGTAAACAAGGATAACAGCTGAACGACCCACTTGGGCGTCGGGCGGCTAGAACAGGACATTTGTACTGCAGGATCACGGGAACAACAGGGACTCACTCGGGAACGGAAGAACTATGGTACAAGTCACGTGATGATAAGATAAGACTGAGCAGGTAGTATGGGTCACTGAGCGCTCAGTCAGAGCTACTGAGCGCTCACCAACGATCACTGATCGCTCACCGGTACCTGATCAGTGATCAGCGACAAGACACAGGGACTGTCCAGGACTTGTATATAGTATGACCTGAGCTCGGCCCATGGTCAGACTTCCATAGCTCTTCAGCAATCAACTTTGTGATTACCCTAACCGGTACTTTCAGCTATACCTAAGTGACGACTACTCTACGACTCTTGTTGAGGCCTTGACTGATCACCAAGACCTTTGAAGATCTACGATCTATTCGACCAGGACCACGGAACGACTGTTACTACTCTCAATCCCTGGCTTACTGTTAACACAAACCCACTGTCAGTTAGCTGGCCGTAACAAGGGTCTCCAATTGACGGGGTTTCTTTGGGATGGGCCTTGAAGAGGATTGTTTAGCCATGGATAAGGAGCACCGAGAAAGCTCTTCCTGTATTGTGGTGCAGTGAAACCTTGGTACTTTGACGGCGCCGCGAGTCAGGGCAAATTCAAAATCCGGATTGATGCCATCGTTGAAACGTCGCAAGGGCAAGTGTTTAACAATGTTGATAAGGCCTTTGCTCAAGCTGGTAATGTCGCCATCCTCTGTGTCGACCTCTACAACAGTGATGTCCGTCTTCAACTCAGACCGCAGAGTACGGGCCAGCCCATTAATCATGGCGAATTTGGGGTCTTTGCAGGAAGTTTGGGACAGAGGCGTGACCCAAACGATTGGTTTCCTATGTCCCGATAAGAGATCGATGAATGGCCTGAACTCAGCATCGGTGAGATTGTAAATATATGGCGTAACCAGATCCCAGAAGAAAATCAAAGTTTCCTCCGCCGGGATATTCTGCATGTTGAAGCATACATGTGACGGAACGGAGTATGAATCAAGATCTGACTTAAACTAATCAACGAGTAAAGTTGCTTGTTCTGGGGCCAGAATGCAGATGTTCTGCGTGATGGGGGGTGTATGAAGCTGTAAAACAGGCGGTATTATGTTAGGCTCCTTTTTATTTTCCGGAATTAAATTGAAGCCAGCAGCTCGAAGCTCCTGTAGTAGCCTTTCTGTTGCGATAGTTGGAATACGGAGTCGTGTGGCACTTCCAGCCACACGCCCGCCAGGCTGAGAGGCCCAAGCCTCCCAGACCCACGTGACAGGCCAAGGGGGAATATCCCTACCTTCTAGTTAATAATACTACTTTCAACTATTATAAACTATCGATTAGAATTAATTTACTATTATTTATTATTAACGAACGGAATTCCGTTTTACCCCTTATAAAACCTATACTAATTAGTAGTAAACCTTATAGTTGCTATTAATTTAGTTAACTTTATAATTACTACTTTGCTACGGATAAACCGTAGATTAGCAAGGTTAACACTAGAAGAGACGACTTCTTGAACTGGATACCTAAGCCTAGGTAAAAGTAGGGATTTCGTACTAACGAGAGAAGAAGCGAGAGTAACTAGGATCTATGGAAACTAGTAGAAGAAAGCTTTTTTTCCTCGAATCTACTAGTAATCCGATTATTCGAGTAACCTAGGGACTGCTATGCTTACCTTAGGCAGGATAAGGTTAATCGTAGCTAATTATCGCTAGTAAGAGCGTTCTATTACGCGTTTTTAATTACTAGAAGAAGAGACCTACCGAATCGATAGTCTTCTAACCTCTTTACGTTATAAAGGCGAAGATTTACAAATCTTATAAGGGATAATAACTTCCCTAACTATAACTATCCCCTACGCGCGGTGCTAATTACGAGGCGCCTGCTAGTTTCTTAATAAATCCCTAGATAAGGTGCTAACCGCGAAGCGCTTACTATAAGAGACCTCCCTATTAGAAGAAGAATACGCTAAAAGGTAAGTAGAGACTACTAATAGTAATCCGCCTATATAGCTATATATATACGCCTCCGAGGCTACGGCTTAAGAGAAACGCACGTAGTTATAAGCGTTATAAAGCTAACTATCTACTAGATTCTAAACTTCTTAATAGTAAGGAGCGAAGCCCGAAGCGAGAAAGAGAGATTTACGAGAGAATCTACGGTAGAACTTTCTCCCTACTAATTCGAGACCTATATATACCCTTATACCCTTCGAGAATATTAGTAAGAACGGCGCCGACGGAAATAAACGACGAACCGACGAAAATCCCCGATTTTACGATTCTTTCCCCTTAGAATCGTAATATCCCGAATCGTCTTTTAACTCCTACTTCTAGGCCTATATCTTATATTAATCGTAGCTAACGCTATTAAGGATTAGAATTTAAGATTCTAAATAGAAGTAATCCTTTTATACTATTAGAATAAAGCGAAATTTACGAGAAGGATCGCTTATAAGCAGCGTTACTACTAAAAGCTAATTAATAGTCCCTATCCTATAGAGAATCGAAAGTATAATCGATCTAGTAGTATAAGGCAACTAGGCAATCAACCTTATAAACGCTAGCCTATAGCAACTAGGTTCCTATATAGGTTTCCTACTTAAGACCTATAAGAAGAGGAATCTTATAAGCCTTAAGCTATAGAACGAAGTTTCTCCCGATTTCGCCGACTAGTTAGAAGAAGACTTCTAGAACATACCTCCCCTAATCTTACGATTCTTTAGAGACTATTTAATTAGTAACAGCGTCTACGTCGAAATAGATAGTAAGAAAATCTCGAAAAACATAGCATTAGCCTTTAAAAAGGAAGAATTCTACTACTAGTTACCTTAAGAACTCGAATAAGGCGTTAAGAGATATCGCAACCTAAAGGCTTTAATAAAAAACCCCGAATTCTACGAAGAGATTACGAGACTAGCAATAGTAGCTAACAGTATAGGAGGAAGAGTCGAACCAACCCTATAGCTACCTCCTCTATAAGAATAATAACAGTAGCAACTACCGTACCGACCGCTATATCCTACGGTCTCTCCGTTAACAGACTTCTAACTATATAAGTTAACAGACCGTATCGGAAAGCAATTAACAGAATTCGCGAAACTATACCCCGACGATATAAAATATAGCGGCGATATATACGATATACTTGAAAAGAAGATGCTAGTATTCGTAGATTACTATAAAATGCTAGGAATTTACACCTCCTAATATAACAAGGTACTTCCCTTAATACTAAAAGGAATAGCTAAAACCTACTTCTACGCCTCGATTAAAGTAATTAACCTATAGCCTAACTTCGAGACTATAATCAACTAATTAAAATCATACTTCGAGACTAGGGAAAGGCAATAAGCGTACGTTACGTAGTAGAATATAACTACTCTTCCCTAAATCATTCGCGATAACCTTAGAAAGACTAAATCGGAGTATTTTAACATACTATATAATAAATTAAGCAAGATTTAGCCTGGTTTGCTATAATAGGATCATAACGACCGATCCCTCTATACCTAACTTCTATACGCTTATAGAGATATTCTAGAGTATATAATAGCGTTATTTATACCGGCTAAGACGTACGAAAGACTTTGTAGCTAATTAATCTCGTCGATCGAGATAGCTACCCGTCTTAACTAATAACAATTTAATATAATAGCTAACCTACTAGAGTAGTACTAGACTGATAGAACTTTTAACGGTCGAGGGCGTTATTTACGATATAGTCGTTTATTACGAAGTCGATTATTACGAGGAAGAAGCCGTAACAAACCCTTATTACTGCTAACGCCTAAGAAGTGCTACGTATATAGAAAACCTAACTACTAGTTAACTAAACATACTATAGAAGAGAGACGAAAAGCGTACGAGAAGTTTAAAACTACCTAATATACCTAGGATACGTTACTTCTAGCATATAGCTAATTTCTCGTCTAATACGAGGGTTTCGACGGGTTAGACTTATAACCTACCGCCGAAGACCCCTAGCAATACTACTACGTAACCGAATAAACTAGTAAAAGTAACGAAGAGGAAGAGACCGGTAGCGATAGTTAATTCTAAGTTACCGCCTATTTTACTATAATAGCAATTAATAGTAATAGGATCGCTACGATCCTAGCAGACTAGTTAACCTGCTATGCTATTACGAAAGAAGACTTCTTCCGTAACTAACTAGAACCGAAAAAGCTACCTTCGCAATTTATACTCGAGGGATGCTACTCTGCCTAGAACTTCTAAGGGATTATGCCTGACTCGGGCGTAGTAGGATTCTTAACCGCTAGCTACCTATAATTCGTAGCTTTATAATAAATTTACGAAGGAATTACGTTAAATACTAAGGCGGCTAGCGGCGTTATAGTGAAATTCGGCGATAAGATACTACTAGAGTCTATAAGGACTACTAAAGTACTAACGCTATTTAGAAGCGTTAAATTTTACGTTATTAAGACTAATACTCCCTTCCTTATATGCCTAGGAGATATAGACTAATTAAAAGTCTACTTTAACAACATTACAAATACCTTCATCTAAGGAAACAAGGTCGTACCTATTATTCGCAAATAAGGCTACCTATAGTTATTACTCGATAAGGAGAAACTACTTGCTTAGAACTACCTTATAGACGCTAAATTGCGACGGGTTTACCGTCGCTTCGGATACCTATCTATTTAACGATTATACAAGGTGCTTTAGAAGGCCGGCTACCTAGTTGAAATTACGGTAATTAAGCAACTATCGAAAGTCTATTATCGATACTAAATATACGTACTAGCGTTATTACGGTTTAAATTTACGTTACAAGACGATTACGAATTTAACTACGAGGTTATCGCCGACGTAATATACCTTAAGGGTAATAGACCGGTCTTCTACGTCGTCGATACCGCTACGGCGTTTAACGCCGCCTAGTTCCTTAAAGATATTTCTACGAAAGCTACTTAGGAAGCCTTACGCCTCTGCTAGATAGATATATATCAAGGACCCCTAGACTAGCTAGTTACCGACGCTAGAATAAACTTCCGCTTAATAGAATTCCGAAACGCGGCGAGAGGAATAGTAATTAAAATCAAGGAAATTCCTATAAAAGCTTATAATAGTATTAAGAAAGTTAAACGATACTATATACCTCTAAGGAAGGCGTACGAAATTATCAAAGTAGAAGACCTAATAATTACGCTAGAATTAGTATTTTAAATAGTAGTTAAAGTAGTTAACGATACTGCTAGCTTAAACGGAATAGTATTAATACTCTTAGTATTCGGCTTATACTTACGAATTACCGACGATTTACTACTATCTCCCGAAGTTATAAGGTAGGCGAAAGCGATTAAGAAGGCGATAAGCAAAGTATATAAACTTTACGTAAGGCGATAGGTAGTAGAAGCTATCGCTACCTATAATAGCCTTAATATAAGGCTAATTATTAATTTACTACTATAGTTATAAATATAAGTATAGCGTAAAAAGAAAGGCTAGACTAGACTATTTACTTTAGTAGCTATAAATAGCAAAACCTATACTATCGATACGCTATATAGTCTAAAGACCTTCCGGTCTACTATAGTTAAACTATACTACGAAGATCCTGATTAACTACCTAATTCCATCGCCGTGCTAGAAGAAGAAGAACCCGAAGCTAAGATACCGTAGTAGGAAGTAGTATGCGACGAAATTATCGTCGCTAGCAGAGGTAGTAAACCGGACGAACCGCAAGAAGCACCGGAGCTACCGAGAAGACGCCCAGGCAGACCTTAGAAGAGACTACTACTAATCGCCTACTTTAT